GCACTATGAAGAAACCAAACAATACCACCCAGTCAAATAAATGGAGTCCATTCCAGAGAAGGAAGGTGCTCATCCCAGAGCCCAAAATCTGGGACGGCGGAGTAGAACTACCCGGCCTCAATCCACATTGCCTGCAGGCCCAAGGTTAGCCTAGCGGACATGCCCGACAACGGGCCGAACGCGGGCGCTTGCGGTGGCGATATCATGCGCGTCAACTGAGTAGATATAAACTGAAAGGTTCTGTGTTGATTCTATGTACATTCTTTGGTTGGGAAGTGGTAGATTGCAAAAAGGCTAAATTGCATATTGCATGAGAGGGGTTTGAAGCCAGTGCTGGCACGGGATAGGAGGATTGCATCGAAGTGTCTAGAACTGTATATGTGTCATGTTGAGGGGAAAATGCAGTAGTAATGTCTCAAATTGGAGGGTTTCCCGCGTAATGTGCAGTGTGCAGCAGTGCGGCAGTGCTAGAGGTGATATGACTGCAGAGCAAATGTTTGGTACGTTATTCGGCCCCGCGCCAGTGCTAGGCCTGCAGTAGCAATCCAGGAAACGCGGCGGGGACTGACGAAAGAAGCCATGTGCAGGAGGCGTCAAGGTGGGGGAATGCCGGTTTCAAGTTCGAGAGTTGTAAGAGACAAAAGACCCGAGCTAAGGGCAGTTGAATGAGAAAAATAAAATGGGAGAAATATTAGACAGGTAACAAATACAACCAATTTCATACCATAACATTCAAATGGTTGAACTCTTCTCTCATGCCTAGGAAGTAAAAGGTCCAAAGGGGAAAACAGAACTGATCTCTCTCTCTCTCTCTCTTTCCCCCCTCGGCGCGGGTAGCTGTCCCCAATCACTGATCGGGCATCACTACACTGTTGAGATACGTCACCTGTTTAAGAAAGAAGCGGTCAGCGGTCAGCACAAAATATATGTACAATATAAAGGTTATTGTCCCACATCCCTTCGTGGGAAAAAAAAAAAAAAAACCAGTGACAGTGCTGATTTAGCGGTGGGTACGGAGTAAAAGGGACGGCTAACACCGCCAAAGTGGCTAGCTCAGAAGGGAAAAGAGACTAGTCAAGAGGGGCCAAACCGGCGGGAAATGGAAAGGAAAACTTACGAAGGGCTCCATGACCCCAACTAAAGCCGCAATCTTCTCTTGAGCATCATCTCCAGTGAGTTCATCATCTGTAATGGGCTTTCCAATAGTGAAACTGCGTAGTCGAAGCAATTTGATGTTCTCGTTGTCTGCCTCGTAACCCTAGATGTGTCAGCCCGTAAAAGAAATCCCGATACGTGGAGCCTGGCGCGAATGTGAACCATGGAACCAAACTCGACGGCGTGAGAACATATCCCCTTCTAGCAAGTGCGATTTCCCCATTGAGAGTCTGCCAAATTGAATCTTTCTTGGGTTCCATGGTTGTGGTTCGGGAGCAAAAATTGGTCCCAAAACACGGGTTGACCTTCCCCGTAAACCCCCCTGTCTTCCACATCACTTTTGATTTGAAGTTGGGATAGAAACACTTGGTTTCTTTTGATCCGTTATTTGCCAGGTTTCTTTCATCTTTGAGGATGGTTGCACCTAGGCCGGAGGCATCTCTTGGAGAGATCCAGATCTGAGGCCCATTGCGGTCAAGCCCTTATCCCCTTGATGATGGGAGTGAATTTCGTTTCCCCAAGACCAGCCCCGGTCGGATGATAGATGCAACCTCGAAAACCTCGTGCCCCAGTCTTCAAGACCTTCGCGTCGCCCATAAATAATAAACAAACAGCTGACAATGCAACCGAACCACAAGATGACGACGGGAAGGAGTAAAGTCGGTCTCAGGGAAAACCATATACTTCACAATGGGATCAGGAGGAATAAACAACAGAAAGCTTACCTTTGGCTTCGTCTTGAGAGCAGACTCTCTGTTGTGATGTGTAAAAGCGTCCACAACCGCATCGTCATTGTCGGACGCTCCCTTCAGAAACTCGCGACGCATCTCCGGCGCCCGGAGTACGCCCTTTAAGCCAGCCGAGTTCTCGTCGATGTCCTCTCGCAGCAGTGCAAGTGGCTCCGACTCGGGGTTCCACAGCCCACAGCCTACACACGGCGTGTTAGCCGCAATCGATAATCATAAAGGGAAAGGCAGGATGGCGATGGCGACAGTGGAAACCAGGGGGACAACCTACCCACAAAACAAGAGCCTGGCTGAAAGTGGACATAGTATGCTGCGTATGGGCCCTTCTTACCAGTCCGAGACCTACATCGTGTTCATGTTCAGTGATCTGTCTCTCTAAAAACCACGGCATCGAGCATTAACACTCACCAGGCAGCAGAGAAATGCGTCTATACATTGAGTCAGCACAAGCACTGCTAACCAGCCCACAGTACCACACGCACACCCGCCACAAAAATATGCGACAGGCATAGCGACAGGGACCCGGGGGGGGAATATAGCCTACCTTGTACGGAAGTGGATTCTTGCTGAAGCGAACATCCCTGTGGATGCGGAATACCTGGGGCAAGATTGTGAGCGTCGGGTACAAATAAAAGACAGGAGTATTCGCAAGCCTACCAGGTCCTTGATAGGAAGTTCGGGGACGGTAGCGTCTACTTCTGCAATCTTCGGTGTGAGGGACTCAACGAATGTCTCGAAGTCCTTCTTTGCCGCTCGGTAATCTGGATCATGGGCTGCGCAAATCAGCCAGCAACTCAATGACCAGAATATATGTGCGTTTCTCACCCTTCAGCCATTGGCGGTCATTATTACCAGCTATATCGATCAAAAACAGCCTGGTATTGGGGTGCAGCGTCTCATCCTGGTACGGGGTCTTCCCCGCGTCTCGCGCCTTGGGCTTTGCGATGATAACTTCTTGTCCAGGCTCCAGGCCCACTCTGACACCCTCGCGCCAGAGCTCCTTACCCTTCATAGGGTCGCTTCCGCTGCTGGCGCTCTGTCGTTGCTTCCCCCTAGCGGTGGGTTTCGTCTTCGCGTCCTCGTCGGAGTCGGAGAGTTCTTCCGGCTCCACTTCGTCGGCGGGGGATTCCTCTGCTTCCTCGTACACAGAGCCAGAGGAATCCCCCGCAGAGGCATCGGACTCCGAGTCGGGATCATCGGAGTCTTCCGCCTCGAAGTACTTGCTCTTGCTGGTCGTGGACTTTGCCTGGCGGAGGGTCAGGTCGACGTTTGACTTGACCCGTTTGACCTCCGGTTCGGCGGCGGACAGCCTAGCTGAAGCGCGTCGCTTTGGCGCCACAGGCGCTTCAGGCGACACAGGATCAGGCCAAGAGGACGGTGGTGGCATACTTAGATGAAAAGAATGGATATGATCAAATTTGAGAGACTTTTCCCCCCTTCTTCTATGTTTTGAGGCTAAAAATATCCGAATTTGTCAAATTGGAAAGCAATAAAAATGAAGCAAAATACTGTAGATGACAAAAGTGGTAAATGGAATAAAAAAGGGCCCGCATGCCTTAAAAACCTGTAAATAACGGCTCCGCTTTTAGTACCAGCGCCCTTACGTTTTTTTCGTTTTCCCCCCCTCAGATGTATCATGTCTACCTTGGACATATTGAAACCAATATAAATTCCAAAGTTGGATCAGTCTTGTCCAATCACATTTGCGGTATATACTCCGATCTCGATCTGTGATGAGACTTAATATGCGATATCGGTCGTTTCGAGGCTACTAGCTGTGCTCAACATAATGTCTTTGCAGGGGTCACAGGTCGTACACTTCACCGAGAGCCCCCGAACACACTTGTATGTCGTCCCATATTGTCTCATGCTAGAGACCCTGATATATATCTCGCACCTCGTTCCAAATAGTAACCTCATGACTGTGGGTATTCAAACTTGTAGGACGGGCACCTTTGCATGGTATACATCGATGGTAAGCCGCTCGAGGTAGATGGAGACCATGTATCTCATCTCGTACGCTTCTATGTGGGCATCTAGGTGTATCTCGTCGTCTCCTTGAAGGAGGCTGTTATATCTTGCAACAGGAAGTGTTAGCCGTGTCTCGACATCAATAATAATCCAATATAATCTCCCCAACACCTCAGCTGGTACTAGTATAGGCCCTCGACTGAGTGGCAGTCATACTCTCTCATAGCTATTCCCATTTGTTTGGGCCGTGTCTCTGTCTCTTCAACCGTATTGTAGCCAGCGCTTGTTTGGTCCCTATTAAGGGTCGACGGTTTGCTGTCGTGGTAATAAGAGATCTGCTGGTAGCAGTCGACGTCTGCCCTCCCATAGCTTGGTCACAAATATATGTTTTGAGATTCGGCAGCAAGTGATCGTGGGTGTGTCATCGGGACCAACCGCGATGAGCGCTCAGATGCTTGTCTGATAGATCCATAGTTCCTAGATCAAGATCAAGAGACAGAAAGTAAGCCAGGGGGATATATCTCGGAAGAAAGACACTGATATGCTGGAAGAAGATGGTGAGTAGGAAGTCAGACCTGGTCAAGCACTGCGGACTTCGGCAATTGCCCGGACACAAACAGGTGATGCTGAAAGAGTATCCTGATTGTCATACATCAGTGTCCTACTATATGCATGTTGTCGGATAGCTACCTAGTCTACAAACAAGCAAAAACAACGCCCGAAGAAAGTCTACTGAAAGCAAAAGAAATAAAAGCAAAGGGGTTTAATCTAACTCAAACAAAACTGGCTAGTGCCCTCACTATCGAGTGACATTAAAGCCAGGGGAAATTGAAACTAATCTGAATTCAACCACAGAGAGTCCCCCAAACCGGCCAAGCACACCTCAATGGGCAGCACGCCGCGAATGGTTCGTTATCTCTAGGAGGAACTCGTAAATGGCGCAAGCGCCAGGGAGACAAGGGTTTTCTGAATTAGCCTGGGTGGATGTCTCCATACATCCACCCAGGGGGCACCGGGGGAGAACAAAAACCAGAAAGCAAAACCCAAGGAAGACAAACCACGTTACCGTGTTTATTGATCAGTATCTCGACACGAGAACTACTGATCTGGGGTGTCTACCAAGCCTGCTTACTTCTGGGCGGCCTTGCCGCGGCGAGCAGCGCGCAAATCATCAAATGCCTGACGATCAACGGTCGAAAGGCGGGCGGCATCAGAGCGGGACCGATGGCTGCTGGGGGCAACCGAAGGGCCGGGAGCGAAGGGGTCAGAAGACGACCGGACGTTATGTGCGGTCAAGTGAGGAGCGCGGTAGATAGGGCGGACAGGAGCCTGGTTCTCAGACGAGGCAGCGGCAGGTGCCTGCTGGGCTCGGGGCATGCGCCAGTCGCGGGCGGCCTCGGAGACTTCGCGATGGTGGGGAGGGCGGTAGGGACGAACCGATGGGGGAGCACGGCGTGTGGGGGTATCCGGCAGATATTGGTCAGCATCAAGACGCTGAGAGATACCACGGGTGTGACCAGGGGCGTTCCAGTTGTTACCATCGTCGACGCTGCCAGGCATGTTGCGGGCGGTCGAAAAGGAGGAGCCTTGCTGAGAGGCGGCGCTGGGATTCATAGAGCGAGAGCGAGATGCGGAGATTGTACGCTCGCTGTCAACCGAGGTGGTGCTGTGGGTTGGCGAAGAGTCAGGAGGGGCAGTGCCAATGGTAGAGATACTGGAGTTTCGCTTATGCAGATGCTGGAATCCAGTAATGATGAATTTTCGAAGAACACTTGCTTCGTAGTTGGCTGCGTCTTTGTAAATGGTGTTGCGGGCAGCTTCGTCGTCCCACTCGAACCAGAATCGTCCGAAGATTCGCTCGATCTCAGGATGAGTGTGCTTGTTGATTAGACCATCATTCTCGGTGCGCAGAACAACACCATGAGACATGAGGTATGCATAGAACTATAGCGATTGGAGAATGAATTAGCGATGTTGCAAAAGAAAACAATGTATCGGTCAAATTTATTACCTGAATAGCGGTGGGAGGATGTCCATGGACATAGGTCATGGTGTCGAATGGGAAGTAAAGGCACCAGTCATGATCCAGGGTTGCAATTCCTCTCATATCCTGCGACCACCAGGCAAAACAGTACTTCATGCGAGGGTTGAAGGCAGGACAGCAAATTCCTGCATACACCAACTCGTTGAGAAGGCGGACGTCCAGACCAACTGTGTTTGTTTTCTGCATGCGTTCGACCAGGGTCTTGATCATAGTACCAAGGGTCTTGAAAAGGGCATTTCGGTGGTGCACGGTGTAAAGATGAGTCGCCTGCCACGGGAACTATACGATAGGACAAAGAATGTAAGCACGACATGGAATGGCAAACAGAAATGTAAGGACGATGATAGACTTACCTTCCAGATAGTGGAAATGAACGATTCGTAGCATCGCTGTGGAACTTTGCTGGCAAATACGCTCTGCAATGTGTTAGAACATCAGTGACATGAAAGTGAAGAATATAAAAGAGAAGTTGGACGTACACGGTGGGGTTGCTCAGAGAGACGAGTGAGGCAGAACAATTCCTCGTCGGTGAGGAAGCCATTGAAACCAGTCGACCAACTATCTTTGTTGGGAACCTGGATAGGCTTTCCAGTCTCCCATGAAATGCACTTCGCCTGGGGGAAAAGAGCCTGGAGCAGCTTGGCCGGGCTGCTCATCTCAATGTCAACATGGCGGCTGCCGATACGTGGGGCACTGCCAGCATCATATGCGTTACCAGTGATCCGATCAAAGGTATCTTGCGCATCTTTCTTGGTCGAGAATTCCACGAAAATGTCCATGGTCTTACCGGTGGACCGTTCCATAATGATATGGATCGGACAACCTTCAGAGGACGGAAGAAGATAGGCATTTTTGCCAAGGAACGAGGACACCTCGTGGCGAGACACAGTGTACGGAATCTGAGCATCAGAATTGTTAGTAACGGAATATCGAAAGCAGCTGTCAACAGGAAGAATATGGGCAAAAGCAAACTCACATTCGAAATCATCAGAACACCATCACGGGGAGGAACGTTCATGTCAGTGATGCCCCCGAATGGAATCAAGGATTGCTGCAGGAGCTCCTCAATTGGGCAGCTTTCATAACGTTCGAAATCCACATAGTTGGTGGTCCCTGCGAGCCCGAAGGGGTACGCCATCTCGGTATTGAGAGGTGGAAAAAGGTTGGGTTCGAAGGTGTCTGGTGAAGTGAGGATGTTACAGTGTGGTCCAGCCAGTCTTGATGGTGATGGTACAGGTGGTCAAGCGATCAGGAGAAAGGGAGGTAAGAAGATACTTACTTGGATATAGATAGTACTGAGGATCAACGTCCACAGCGTTGTAGTAGACTTGAGGTGCAACCTCAAGATAAGACTGCCAGTAGTGAGGCTGATAGGTGACTGCAGGATGGGCTGCAGTCAGGTAGCTGAATGGATTGGGGTAGAACACAGGTGTTAAGTCAGGAGGTTGTGGAGGATGGATAGTGGAAGTGGAAGATGAATCGTGATGATGGGAAGAGACAAATGTGGATGGGGTTGAAGAAACTGGAGGTGCAGATGGGGTTGATGAAACTGGAGGTGCAGATGGGGTTGAAGAAACTGGAGGTGGTGATGGGATTGAAGAAATTGGTGCAGATGGGACAAGAAATTTATCCGCAGTCTGGGAGCTCAAAGCAGAACCAGAGGACGATTTCCTCAGATGAGGGCAACTGGCAATTTGAGAAGGTGAATGATGTCGACTGTCAAAAACTGAAGGAATAGTCGCAGTCGCAGTCGCAGTCGTAGTATTTGGCTCTGAGTGCGCCTCTGAGTGTGTCTCATCATCACTGAGACTCAACATGTCAAAATTAGCCGTTATTACACTCATCGTAATGGGCCAGTCGTAAAGATCAGGCATACGCCACAATGGTTCACCCATCCATGTTAGGGCTAGGACTGATATCAGATGAGAGGTATTGTGCGTGGAAACAAGAAATATTTTCGAGGGAGAGTGCGTGGGGATAAATGGGATCTATCTATACGCGTGGAATTAAGCCGACACGCGCGCGAGTCCGCCGTGGTCGGAAGGCACTTGACGGTCGTACTCTCACTCTAAATCCAGACCCCCTCTATAAAATCGTCACTTTTGAACCTCACTTTGCTCAATAAATTTGTATGATATACTATTTTTTTATTTTTTTTAATTGAAGTTAGTGGTCTAAAGTACTATATATGTCGTTTTCTCCAGAATCTCCCATTGTGGTGATTTTTAAAAATTCATCGAATCTCAACTCTGGGAATGGTCTCGGTACTGTGTCGCAGTCACCCCAGGTACGTTTTATCCCGACGCACTTCTGCCCGCGATCCTTTTCATTACCACGCATTCCAACGTTTGCGATACAATTTCCACGCATTTTTGATATTTGTTGCCACGTCGCCCAACTTGCACCAAACATTCCTTTGCCACGCACTCATACACACGAAAATTTCTTATCTCCACGCCCCATTCCCATATTTTATTTATTATTCACGCACTTGTCCCAATTCGACATTAGCCTTTTACATCGTACAAAAAGCAAGTCCCTGCTTCTATTTGGACAATACTCTCATCCAATTGATCGACACTGTAGATTTAAATATGCATAGTACAATTTTATCAGTTAAAATGCATCCTATTACCTAGGTAATGGTGGCCCCGCTGGACGGCCGAAGCATGCCCAGTGCTGCGGGGCGCCGTACTGCTCCAGGTTCCCCTTTGGCTTGTTAGATAACGCTGAGCCGTGAGCTCTTGGAGATATGTATTGTGTTACTCTTGTCAATACGCCCTTGCTCTCTGGTGCAGATTCTTCTTTTTTCATTGATTACTATATAGCGCTATCGAGGTAGTCTCCGTCTTAATGAGGAACCAGGCCATACGACAACAACAGGCTAGCATCACCGGTGAGGTACTTTGCCAGTGGATATGGTCTACTATGTTATTAAAGAACTAATCGAACCTGGACGGAAAACATCGATCGACGGACATCGGTATAAGGTTCTCTCTTAATCAATGCAAGCCTATGCTATCTGTACAGGAGTAGAAAGTGGGAAACACAGGGCCATTCATTATTCGGAATCAACAAGAAAACGCTGAGCAATTTAATCGAACTGAATGATCGTCAGCAATTGAGTCTATGGTAGACAGCTCAATAAATACATACCGGTGTCAGGAAAGACTCGGCAACAAATCGAGCACGGGCATTCAACTAGTGGGCTGTTAGTAACTTGCGACGTAAACGATGCATCCGCACACATACGAAGAGCTTCATTTCCGAAATCTCCTTGTCCACCTCTTCCATGAACTCAATCACGAAATCAATTAGCTTGTGGGTAAGCATTTTTTCCGTGTGGAAGTTAGTAATGAGGAAACTGATGTCATATCCCTCCACTGGCTTCCGGCGCAAAATGAAGAACGATTCTGCTCGCTGGGTGAGGAACCGAGTGAATTTGTGGACAAGAATGTGCTCGATCTCATCTGCCTGCTTGATTCTGATACTTATGCGTACAGAGTTGTAGCTTGGCTCGATTTTCACCTTCTCATTTTCATTCCTGCTTATGTGAAGCCTGGAAACCCATCAATACAATTGTCCATGCGACTTTGGAGGGAAATGATGGTCAGACGTACGGGTTCAGTAGGATCTCGGGCGAAGAATTTGCCTCAATCTCTGGGCAGTTGCTGGTAGAACCGAGTATTAGGATCTTTCGAAGTTTATCATTTGCATCATGGGCGACTTACTGCCGTTCGGATGTCTGAGAAGCGAAGTTGGAGATCGTAAGAGCCGCAGTCAGAGAGGACCGAACACTGGTAAAGGAAGTGTTAGGAAGCTTGCCGCTGAAAACTTGTGGTAAGGCCAAGACTCACGCCTGAAGGTAGGGCCGGAGAGATTGACTCTGATAATCAATTAGTATAGAACGAGCTGGCTGATTGGAGCTGTACCCACCATGATGAGGGGGTGTTTGTCCAGGCCACGAGGATGCAATCGTCACGGATGATAATACGGTCAGGAGTGGGTTGAAGAGAAATTGAGATAAGCTCGTTGTGAGGACCCTTCGACCTAAAGCAGTGAACGAGAATGGCAGTTCTCTGGATAACAGGTTGTCCTAGGCAGAAGAGGAGTTGACGTCGGGGTGGGCGGTGATGATAGTGGTTGGGCGGTGAGAGACCCCCCACGCTTCGTCTCAGGCTGTTTATCATTTGCCCCAGCAATCGTAAGCTCTTCCAAGCTCTTTATCTTTCTCACGTCACCCATCACTCAAACTTATTGAAAATGGCAGCTATACCGAGTATGTATGGATGTATTGGCAGTTCCTTGACCACTACTAACGGATACACAGTTATTGTCAAACACGCCGGCAAGCGCCACGAAGTCGAGCTCGATCCTACATCCAACGGCGAAACACTCAAGTACCAACTCTTCTCCCTGACTGGTGTGGAACCTGACCGCCAAAAGGTTTTGGTCAAAGGTGGCCAGCTTAAAGATGATACGCCTCTTTCGTCCCTTAATGCCAAACCCGGACAGATGTTCATGATGATGGGCACCCCGTCGGGAGGTCAAGGTTCCGTTGACCTTGGTCGGCCAAAGGAGACTGTCAAATTCCTGGAAGACATGACCGAGGCCGAGGTGGCACGACAGGAGGGTGCCACCCCTGCCGGTTTGCAAAACCTGGGAAACACTTGCTACCTCAACTCTTCCCTACAAACCTTGCGGAGTGTCCCGGAGCTTCAGGAGGAGCTCATGCGGTATCGGCCAAGTGGAGGAGCTGGGCAATCGAATCTATCGGACCTCAGCAGCTTTGGTATTGGCGGCCTTGGGGGTTCTCGGGATTTGGCCGCTTCTCTACGAGATCTGTTCAAGCAAATGTCCGAGACGCAGGAGGGCATTCCTCCACTGATGTTCCTCAATGCTCTCCGAGCCGTCTTCCCTCAATTCGCCCAGCGTGACCGAAATGGACAAGGATACTCCCAGCAGGATGCCGAGGAGGCTTTCTCCCAGATCTTGAACCAGTTGCGGACCAAGTTGACCATCACCGAGGGCGAGGGAGACTCTGCTACTACCACCTCATTTGTAGATAAGTATCTCGCGGGCCAATTCGAATCTACCACGGAGTGTCAGGATCCCGCCGCTAAGGAACTCGGCGAGCAACCGAGTCAAAGTTCTGATGTTTTCTACAAACTTGACTGTCATATCGGAAAAGAAACGAACCACCTGCAGGATGGAATTTTGGCTGGACTCGAAGAGGAACTCGAGAAAAACTCTCCTCTTTTGGAGCGCAATTGTGTGTACAAAAAGCGGTCTCGCATCGCACGACTGCCCAAGTACCTCACAGTGCATTTTGTCCGATTTTACTGGAAGCGCGAGACACAGAAAAAGGCCAAGATCATGCGCAAAGTGACTTTCCCTGCCGAGTTGGATGTCGTGGAGTTCTGTACCGAGGACCTCCGAAAGCAGCTCATCCCTATTCGTGACAAGGTTCGCGAGATCCGCAAGGAGGAGCTGGAGGTCGAACGTTCTCAGAAACGTCAGAGAGTTGCGGAAGAGCGCGCAGAGCGTCAGAAGAAAGAGACCAACCTAGGCGAAAGCGTGGAGCCGATGCAGAAGAAGCAGGCCACCGAGGAGAACAAGGCTAAAGTCAACGACAAGGACGGCGATAGCCAGATGGAGGAAACTTTCAAAACCGATGCCGAGTACGAAGCAGAACGAACGGAATCTATCCGCGTTGCTAAGAAAGAGCTCCAAGAACTTATCAACCAACGGGGTGCTGGAGACAGCGGAACCAACCAATCTGGTCTGTATGAGCTTCGCGCCGTGATTACCCACCAGGGTGCTAGCGCCGACAGCGGTCACTACACGGCATATGTCAAAAAGCAGGAGCGGGATGAGCCTCAGACAGGTAGCAAGCGCCGCGAGGCAGACGACAAGTGGTGGTGGTTCAACGACGACACAGTGACTGAGGTGGAGGCACAAAGATCGAGACCCTTTCGGGTGGTGGTAAGTGAACTACATTCAACAATCCAAGAGCCATTGCTAATAACATATATAGGCGAGTCACACTCTGCCCTCATCTGTCTCTACCGCGCGATTGAGCTGCCTCAATCCGAGTAAATGGGTTTGCCTTAGCATTCGTTCATATGAGAAAGAAATCTGCAAATGGTTGCCTCTAGATGAATAGAAACGATGAACATGAATTATGCTCGTCTCCAACGCTTTAACTGTTACCAATTGATTTATTTGATTGTCTTGTGCCTTGCCATGATCTTTCATTCTGTAGTCATGGATCTTTAGATTAGTTACTTCCGGTGACGACATATGTAAATGACTAATGGCAATATACACGTGACCTAAGCCTCGGTCCAAATTGTCCCAAGCTCTAACTAAATCAACATCCTAATTCTAGAGGAATGGCAATGTGACCACCATGATCCATTATCGCAGCATACTCCAGTCGGCACTTCGCCAATCCTCGATACAGACACAAAGCTTTTGGCGACCAGCGGTCAGAAACGTCAGCACCGCGGCACAACCAAATGCATCACGAGCAACATCGCGTTGGACGCGCCGCTTAATCTATGCCGGCATCTTTGGAACACTTGGCGTCGGTGCAGGGCAATGGCTGGACAACAAAATTGCAGCGCCACCGGCTCCTGGGACATTAGAGGACCAAATGGAGCTTCAGGAACTCCAACGAGTGTTCGACATTGGACTCCCCATTGTGCAGGAGCTGCGCCGTAACCCCGATTACGAGGAAAAAGACGTCTACGAAAATTTTGCGGATAAGCACAAAACCCATCGACTGACATCTGGCCCCTTGGCTGGCAGTAGGGGCTTGGGATTACAGGTTGGTCTCTCATTCCTTGGGGGGTCCGAGGCATGTCCATATATGAATGCCGACCTTTTGACTACCGAACCTCGGGATCCCGCTGTGTCTAACCATTTTCGTATTTTATAGAAAGTTTTTTGGAACGAGAAAGAGAAGAAAATCGTTAGCGTGGTCTTTTTAGGACCAGGCCTCGAAGGCTGGCCAACCATGGTCCATGGGGGCGCGCTTGGCACTGTGGTCGATGAGAACATGGGGCGCATAGCCATTCGGCACTTCCCAGCACGAACAGGGGTCACTGCCAATCTCGAACTCAACTACCGGGCGCCAGTCTACTCGGACAATTTCTATACCCTGCAAACAACCCTGGATCAGGAACGGAGCACGGATACCAAAGCATATGCCAACTGTGAGGTCCGTGACATGGCAGGCCGACTATGTGTTGAAGCAACGGGACTTTTCGTTGTTCCCAAGACACTCAAGCTGAGCATGATTGGGGAATATTTCTGAAATGGAAATATCCACACTTTACTTGCTACATGGCTTGATGTCTACGAATACGGGATGGCTTGGATCGTGTGACTTGAAAGCTTCGACGGATATTGTCCTCAGCACCGGCCTGGCCCCTTTGGAAGTCAACTCGAAAGCAGAATAGGGAAGACCTTCATATAATTCATATATGCACCATATATAAAAATGAGCTATCTAATGACTTACAGATATGTACATTTTGATATGAATTCAAACTCAGTCGGGGCTGATACCCATTCTGGCATGGACCTCCGAAGTAGAAGCCACCTCCAGGTTTTCTTCCCCCGCATTTCTCTAGTATTCGCCAAGCTGCCTCGGTATTTTCTCGATTCAAGCATTTACTGTTTCGGTTAACGGGCATGAGCTTGTCTTTCCCCCACTGATATATCACAGACGTTTCTGACAGACTGGTTCAAATGAAATGGTTTATATATATTGTCCTTCCTCCAAGCTCTGGACATAATTTTTTAATATCCGCATTTTAGTCCAATTTGAATTACATTCAATTTTATTTGAGTCCAATAGGGCTAAAGTCAACCCCAGATTTATACTCTTTGCCCCTATCTTCACCTATACTGCTTTTGTTTACAATTTGTGGCCTTGGCTCATACCCATCATGGCGGACTCAATCCTTCAATCGAGTCGGCCGGCCGATGAAAAGGCTGTGATGCAACATCACGAACATAGTGACGCTTCACAGCACAGTCACCAGGAGATAACTGGCCTGGGCTCAGAGGAAGCTATGCATGAGTCTGAGAAGGATATCCCGGTAGGATTTGGATGTTCAGCTTGTGGTTGCAAACAATACTGACCATTAGAAGATGACCTTCCGTCGCTTCATGGGCTTTACTGCCATGGCTTTCTTGTGGACTGGAAGTCAAATCCCAGTCTACCTGTTTGGTATGTTGAAAACAAAATGAAAGTTGTAGTATAATACTGATGTATTCTCAGGCGGCATCCCTCCCTACATTTATGGAGACATTGGTGGATCAGACCGGTGGGTCTGGTTTGTGAGTGTATACGCACCGAAGTCCAGGGCTATCAACTAACGAACTTCTGTTTAGGTTCTTGCAAACCTGCTCGGCCTTGCTGGTGTATGCCCTTTTGTTGGATCTCTATCAGATCTAATCGGACGTCGCCCAGTCGCTATTATCGGAGCATCCCTGATTGTCATTGGGATGATCATCTGCAGCACAGTGCACACAATGAACAACTTCATCGGTTTGTATTCGCCCAGATATCGAAGTAGACATTCACTGACATGGACACAGCGGGCATGGCCATCGCTGGCGCCGGTGCCGGAATCAATGAACTGACAGCACTGGCTGCAACCTCAGAGATGGCGCCGACTCGAAAGAGAGGAGTCTATGTGGCAGTTCTTATATTCACCATCTTACCATTCTGCCCGTCCGTACTATGGGCTCAGCTCATCGCATATCACACCCATTGGCGCTATGTTGGTGCGTTCTGTGCTGCGTGGAGTGCCTTTGGTCTGTTGATCACGATTTTGTTCTACTTCCCTCCGCCCCGAGTCAACTCAGCTGGTTTGAGCCGAAAGGAGATAATTGGACGGATCGACTTTGTTGGTGGTTTGCTCAGCATCACTGGTCTGATTGTTTTCTTGGCCGGCTTGCAATGGGGTGGATATATGGTATGCTTGGAGACATCCTGTGCACGGCTATATATCTTACTGACGTTAATTTAGTACCCATGGACATCTGCCCATGTCCTGGCACCATTGATCATTGGGTTCCTTTTGCTTGTTGCTTTTGGTTTCTGGGAAGTCTATGGAGCCAAATACCCCATTTTCCCATCGCGCCTCAAGCAAGAGCCTCGGATTCTGGGTCTTACCCTCGTCATTACTTTCATCTCCGGTGCCAACTTCTTCTCCGTGCTTATGTTCTGGCCCACCGAATCGTTCAATGTCTACGGCCATGACCCAGTGGACGTGGGTGTTCGCAGTCTCCCTATTGGTTTTGGAATCATGGCGGGAGCATGTATTGTGCTTGCGCTGCTAAGTGTTCTTCGTGGGCATAACAAGGAGCTCTTGATCATTAGTAGCGTTCTGATGACTGCAGGTGAGTTTTCTTGGTGGATATAATAGTTCCTAAAACGCTAATTTGTTTTCTAGGATGCGGTGCTATGGCTATTGGCCGTACTGACAATATGTATCAGCTCTGGGGAATCCTCATCCTTGCTGGCCTTGGAATTGGAGGTATTGTGGTGCCAGCCTCGATTATCACCACAATTATTTGCCCGGATGTAAGTTGTTCTTCTGTAAGTGAAGAAGTTTCCCTACTGACATTGGCTTTCGCTAGGATCTGATTGCCACTATCTCTGCGCTCACCCTCTCCATTCGCGTGGTAGGGGGTGGCATTGGCTACACCATTTACTACAATGTCTTCATCTCTAAGTTTGTCCCCGCGGCAACGCACTACATCGGTGGTGTGATGATGACACAACTTAACATCACCGATGTCAAACTGATTGGCGAGGCAATTGAGCTGACAGGTGCCTCGTTGCTGCACGAGCTGCACACAATCCCTGGTATTGCTGGCAATGAGACTGCATATCAAATGGTCGTAGCGGCTGGTCAGATTGCATATGCTGAAGGATATAAATGGGTGTACTATGTCAGTATTGCATTCGGTGCTGTCTCCCTTGTGGCCGCCTGTTTCTTGGGCGACATCCAGAAGTATATGACAGACCATGTCGCTGTGGTGATGTGAGGGCATAGCCTAATTGCGATTTATGCAAACTATGTATCGTTCGCTCTATTTGTTTATTTACAGGGGATGTTTGAATTATGAGAATAATGTATCAAAAATGCGATTGGAAAATATTCAAGAAAGTAGATGTCAATAGTAAAAGAGCAGTAAATAAGATCATCCTCGGCCGCCGATCATGACGCGCCAAGCCCGGCAACTTTTTTACACTCGCAAACGTCGACACAACTTCAGCAGCCATGGCTTCCAACCCTTCCGCCAAGCGGAAACCTTTCGCTCCCCCAGGACCTCATGGCCCAGCCGGGGCATCTCGCAAACGCGCCAAAACCTTTGATGCGCGTACCTTGGCTGTGCAGTCGGCCGACGCTGCCCTCTCCGCAACGGGCGAACTTGATGTCGCCGCCTACTCTGCAGCTCGGGCATATGAGATCCAGGCTCTGGAGGAGGGGATGCAGCGGTCGAGAACTGCGCTCACGACGCGAGCCTTCCAAAAAGTTCCCCGCACCCTGCGGCGGCGGACGGCGAGTCACAATGTGAAGCGAGTTCCGCGGAGGTTGAGGGCTCGAGCCAAGCGAGAGGTATTGAAAGACAATACTCTACGAATTTTCTAATAGCTGTTGACTAACCTGCTTTTTCAACCATGTTAGATGGCCGAGGATAACACACCTACTGTTACGGCGCGCAGACGCAAGCCATCCCAGATGATGCGCATTCGACTGGATACCGCACGGCGGCTACAGGCTATCAACTCGAAAACAAAGGCCCGACGAGCGGCTGCGAAACTAAAGCGCGACCAAGAGAGCCAAACCTCCTTAGAGAAGGAGGGAAGTCATGCCTTCGATATTGCACCACGAGTTCCCAAGATCAAGAAGAACAAGCTCTCGAGGCCTGTTCCGGCAGAGCATAAGTACCGCAAGCGCCAGCAATGCAAGACATGGCTACCTACTCATTTGTATCATGCAAAGCGAGCTCATATGGCAACGACCAAAGACCCGATTTGGCGCTTTGCTATTCCCTTGGCCCCCACCGAGAAATGCTATCGGCCTACACACCGGGCGCGAGGCGCCCGGGGTGCTGTGGCGTGGGATATGAGCTATATGTCTACTATTCAGTTGGAAGGAACGGAACCAGCTGTTCAGGCTGTCCTAACGGCAGTCGGTGTCAACGGGGACAATGCATGGGGCACCAAGGGGAAGAAATGGAGAGCAGGGACTCGGTCTCTACAGGTCTGGACCTACGAGAAAGATCATCCGAAACGTCCAACTGCACCGGTGACATTGATATGGTGTGCCAAGCAAGAAGATGTTGAGATGGTTGATGCCGACGAGTCTCAGCCCAAGTCGTCCAAGAAAGATCACCGAAAACTCTGGATTAGAGTCCATCCTTCCGCGTTCCTCCAGCTGTGGACGGATGTGCTTGATGTATCCAAATCGCAAAATCCCCCTGTTATGGTCGAGGATCTGCGATTCGAAATTGGCAGTATTGAAATCACAGGACCAGGGTCTACCGAGGCCTTGTTGACGGCATTGAAACCGATCCTCGGATCAGACGGCAATACTTCATCGACACAAAGCCCGGAAGCCATCTGGCCATCTCTTCTGGGGGTGTCTAATCCGTCCTCACTACCGCATAATGCCCTGCTCTCTTTTGCTATTTCTGATCCTCGTCTGCACTTCCCGCCACGCACACTTCACGTCCCCGACAATGAATCTCACATGAATGACCTTGCTATCTTACTTTCTACATGGCATCCAGATAAAACGCAAGGTCCCTCTAAGCTGTTCGACCGATCCACTCGGTTAACAGCTGCTCGTCAGCTCCCGAGCCAGCAGGCTATTAACCGGCGCCGCACTCTTGCCGGTCCTGGTGAATATCCGCCATCCCAACCATCAGACCCTCAAATCCCGATCATGATACTCGCAAACAAGCCACAAGCCCAGGCCAACCGCAGCAATGCCCCAGGCTCCTGGACAGTATTATTACCGTGGAAATGTGTTGTCCCGGTCTGGTATTCAATCATGTTCTACCCACTATCCAGCGGGGGAAACCCTTTGCTTGGCGGCTTGAAGCAGCAGCAACAGCTTGCTTTCGAAGCAGGCGAGGCTTGGTTCCCTGGAGATTTCCCAGGAACACGAGCTGGCTGGGAATGGGGCCAGCGTGAGACTGAAAAGTCTCGACGTGATTGGGAGCGACGTCCTAAGGGGCGGCGCCCCGAGTTCGATAACATTTCCTTGGGTGATGGTCGTCCAAAGGGCGAGATAGGCCACGGGTGGGCCTGCGACTGGGAAAGGCTTCTTCGAGGGCCGAAACAGGACGATGCGACGACGGAGACTGCCGGTGGCAGCTCGGTCAAAAAGCCAACTGAGTCCAAGGAGGCTGAGAAAAACAAACCCTCCACTCCCATCATCCCACCTCTCAATATTCACAATGTTCGTCTTCCTCCGGTTGATACTTACCAAAACTTGAGTAAGCTCGACAAAGCATCTGTCGATGTCTCCACCCTTGCCACGGTCTATGTTTCCCTTACCACGCGAGGCACACCCACACCTCGCGCACGAATCTATCGGCTTCCTACGGACCCAGCTCTACGCCAGAAATGGCTGGAACTAGGCGCGGCAAGGGCCAACAAGTCTGGTCAATCGAAGCTCTCCAAGGGAGGAAACCCTACGCCCGAATCTGAAGAGGCTCGGCGTCTCCTTGCCAAAGCTCTCGTCTCATCTGCTGATGGAGAACTTGACTCTGAGCCATTGGGCGTGCCCACTGAAGATGACCTGATTGGTTTTGTCACTACAGGAAACTATAATCTTTCCGAAGGCAAAGGGACAGGCGTTGGGTCTATCCAGCTTTCCAAGGTATTGGTTCCCAATATCAAGCCCTCTGAGAGAAGAATGTGTATAATTCGGTCTTCGGGGGAGAAGAGTGGCCGTTTGGGGATGTGGGAGTTTGTATGATATCAAACTCGATGAACCTTGCCCAGCAGTGGTGATGGCCAATGTGGTTTTAAACCGTCTGCCCGAGTCACTTGATACTTAGTATATATTTCTACTGGCAAAATAATAGCCCTTCCAAGGGTTAAACGACGAAGATCCACCCTCATCCATGGATTAACTCTATCCTATTTTAGATGAAAACAAATGGAACAAAGAAAAATGCACGTTCTATACATACAGTACAGCAGCTCCTAGCCCAAAATCACGTCCCATAAAACGTAAAGACTTCACATCAAGCCGCTGTATCCCCGAACCCACCAGTTTAACCCACAATGCGATCCACGAAAGCGGCCTCCATACGCGCAACCTCACGCTTGAAAGCATCAACCTCCTCCCAGCAGTTCAACGGCCGACGATCATTCAACTGCAGACAGCTAGCAACATCCGAGCGAGCCTTAGCAACACCATCATCGAGCTCCACAAGCTTCCTCCGCCCATCAAGCTTGCTCCGCAGCTGCTCGATCTCAGCAGCTACAGAGTCGCGCGAGATATCGCGCTTAGTGACAGGCTGTGCGGCAGCAGCGGTCTCCTGCGGCGCGGCTACTGCAGGCACGGGGTCGTGGTGGCGGCCGGCGAAGGGAATGCGCGGTGCGTCCAGGTTCAGTGAGCCGGCTGGGTAACCCGAGGTGGAGGGGGCGAGGGGCGCGGTCGCTGCTGTGACGGGCAGGGAGGTGGTGTCTTTGGACTCTGAGATGCGCTTCTCGATCTCGGCGAGGGTTTGCTGCTCGCGTTCGCGGAGGCGCTTCAGTTCCTGCGCGACGCGGTTTTGGATCTCCAATTCCAGGGCTTTGGCGCGGGTGGAGTCGGTCTGTTTGATTGGTGGATTGTGAGCTTTTGCTTTGAGCTGGGGATTTGCTTATGGCTGTGTTGGGCTCACCTCTGAGGTCGATTGGAGTGCATCGACTAGGTTTGAGGAGAATTGGACCGGAGAGTTGCTGTGCATGGGTAGGTTAGCGTTGGCTGTAGGATGTTTTATATGAGTTCCGCGGTGTCGCAAATTGTGATTGTATCTTGAGAGCTTCTTTGGATCTGCAGGAATCACCTGCCCTTCTCAATTGGCGCCAATTGGAAGGTAGTTCCCGTTCTCTCCGTCATCAAGTACGAAATGCCGCGGAAGCTGAAATTGAGGTCGGAGAGCAATACCTGGAGAACACATGTTGTGAGCCAGCCGAAGCCTCAGGCTTAGAGTTTCCAGCACCCATTTTTCGACAAAAAGGACGAGTCCTGTGGAGATAGAAAGATAGTGGTGGTTCGAGATGCCCGCTCACAACCCGTTCAGTTCGGAGGATGTTGGAGGTCATGTGACTCTAGTTAGTCATCCTCGGTCCGGCCAGTTGCCGCTGTGTCGTCATGCATCCTGCAACCTTGGAACTACGATGTATATTGCTATGATATTCAAGCGATACAGCTTATTTTAACGGCAGTCTAAATCACAAACAATGAAGGACTCGGCGCTATCAAATTCCAATACCAAATACAGGTTTGCAAACAACATTACATGTATGTAATACTTGGGAGGACTGAGTCTCGAGCTAGGCTTGGTCTAATCTTCAATGTTTAACTAGGATATTTGCTTGAATGACGTTGCCAAAACTAAATGATTCATGACAGCCATGGTTGCCACTCCCGAACTCCATGTGACGATGAATCAAACTTGTACTTAGTCTCCGTGGGGTCTATTGTTATATAGACATTGAGATGATTAGACCTCCGCAAAGCCCATAAATGGGCCCAGGTTCAGGCCCAACGTATTAATTAAAATAATAAAATATTAACCTAATCTAAGGGCTAAAAACGGGGTCTAAACATAAAGTAATTAAAAAAGTTACGTTTCTTAGAATGTTTGTATTGTTTGGAGCTTATTTTGGGCTTTGGGCCCCCATCGTGGGCCCGGGGTGAAAGCCCACCGGGCCCACGATGGGGGCCCGAGGATAGGCCCAAAGCCCAACCCATTTAGTGGGTTGGGTTGGGTTGGGCCCTGGGCTTTATGGGCTTTGCGGAGGTCTAGAGATGATATATTATGGCCTTCCAGTAGGAGGAGGCAAGCTCATATCATAGCATAGAATAATAGTCGGCCACTTATGTGGTCTTGTCAGGCCTTTCTAGAAATCTTTTGGATGCTTCTCGGATGTTCTTTATAGATGCTTTTTCTGGGTATTATCTCCCCTCCCACCCGACCTTTCTATGTATAACCAGGGATTTGGGTGGTATATTCTGGCCCTTTTAGCGTCGTATACAACGAGAAAGAAAAAGCACTGTACAAATTGTGCGCTTTAACAAAGTAGATTTACTACGCTAGTCCTATATAGTCTCCAAGCAACATTTGAAGCAGGGTGGTGACCATACCATTATTACCCTAAAGCGTTTCGAAGTATGGGATGAAGTTCCATCAATAAAAAAAAGCTTGATAACCCTAATTTTGCTTAATGAATTCAAACTAACTCCGTACATGTAACTAACTAACTACATGTACTAAATAACTAGTACCTATAAATAATGCCCCTGATTAGGGCCGATTAGTAAGCAGATCTCACCTGACCTCGGGATGTACCCGACCCCTATTTCCGTTCCAGGTCCACCGGGGATGGAGATGGTCCATGACATCTTCAGCTGAAAGTTGAAGCTGTAATGTGTCTGTGACTAACAACGAACTCAGTACATAATCAAGAGAGCCTACCACTTGAAAAGAATTCTCTTTAAGTTTCTCTATGAAGATGCGTGCAACTAGAGGTGCTAAGGAGTCTGCGACTCAGGACGTCATGATAAATTCCCTCGGCTCTTATAATATCCGCGTGGTGACGCCTACCTCCTGCGATAAATACCCAGGTCAGTACCTTCCTCCCTAGAGTAAACATCGCAAGTTCCGAATGCCTTCATCTGTCCTCCTTGCCCTCTCACGGCCCTGTTTGCTACTCCACTGAACCCCCACCGGTGATCGCGTGAGACTCGAGCTGACTAGACCGCCCCCACTAGCTAAGCACCATGCGCGCAACGTCGCCCGGAAGCTTGGAGCTTCAACTGGCTTGATCTTCCTTTCCGGACAGCCGACCATTAATCTGCGTGATTCCGATCAATCGCGCCCATTCCGTCAACGACGATACTTCTATTACCTGAGCGGAGTTGACGAGCCTGACTGCACTCTGACGTACGATATTGAAAAAGACCTGTTAACTCTTTATGTCCCGGATTTTGACCTCCACCGGGCTATTTGGATGGGACCGACCCTCTCACGGGAGGACGCACAAGACCGATATGATGTGGACCATGTGCGGTATCACACCTCACTCAAATATGAGCTGCAGGTGTGGCTGGACGAGCGAAAGCAGGGCAGCGAGCTGTACCTAATCCATGACTCAGAGAAGCCTGAGCATCTACCAAAGGACCTATCTGTGGACTTGGAGCAGCTTGGACCCGCTATGGACACAGCCCGAGGTGTCAAGGACGAATATGAAATTCGGATGATCCGCCAGGCCAACAAAGTCTCGGGGCTTGCCCATCGGAGAATCCTAGAGAATATCCAGACTATGTCCAACGAGTCGCAGATTGAAGGATCATTTTTGAACACCTGCATCTCGAACGGCGCCCGGAACCAGGCATACCAGATTATCGCAGCATCGGGGCCCAACGCGGCTGTTTTGCACTACGACCGAAATAACGAAACTCTCCACAAGAAACCGCTCGTCTGTCTCGATGCCGGCGCAGAATGGAACTGTTATGCAAGTGACGTGACGCGAACCTTCCCCCTTACCGGCGAGTGGCCCAGCAACTACGTGCGGGATATCTATAACCTGGTAGAGCGCATGCAAGAGGAGTGTATCCGGTTGATCCGCAAAGGGGCGCGCTATCTATCCCTCCACGATCTAGCCCATGACATCGCTATCGAGGGTCTCCTGGCTCTGGGTGTGTTCAAGAACGGCACGAATCTCGAGATCCGTCAGTCTGGCGCATCCAAAGTCTTCTTCCCACACGGTCTAGGTCATCATGTCGGTCTTGAAGTCCACGATGTGTCGGAGCGGTCAATCATGGCTCTTCACCGGGGTTTCGATCAACTCCAGTATCGCCCGATCTTGAACTCTACATGTCTTTCGCCGTGCACTCTTTCCGCTCCGCTGCTGGAAGAAGGAATGGTTGTGACTGTTGAGCCAGGCCTGTATTTCTCTCCTCTGGCTATGGCCAACGCGCGCCGCCAGCCGTATGCCCGGTACATTGATTTCGATGTTGCGGAGAAATATGTTCATATTGGTGGAGTGCGCATTGAAGATGATATTCTTGTGACTGCTACTGGATACGAGAATCTCACCACTGCACCAAAGGGCGAGGAAATGCTTGCCATTATTAGAGGATCTGCATAGTGTAGAATTTAGTATAATAACAAGGAGACACTATCCATTCATATCTCTGCAACATCCAAGACTATTAGCAAAGCCAGCTGAGACGGGCCGTCCAGATATGCAGGGGGTAAATTGTGACCTCGGTGTCCTGCCGTTACGCACTCACACAAGTCACATGGTCAATGCTTGTGCAATCCCAAGGACTTCTCTTGTATCTCACCGTATAGCCATGGCCGAGTTTCCCGAATATCCCGACTTTCGGGTCGGGTCCCGGTAACTTCTCGGACCCGAGAGCTCGTCATTATATGGGGTACATCTTGCATTATTTGTTTTATGCGGGGTTTCATAATGAATAGTAATTTATGAAAAGGCGGATATACCCCAATAAGTGGGGGAGATATATATGTCAAAGAAACAGATGCCTCTTAGATTAATATGAATTGCAAATGTCTTTTGTCTATTCACGAGTAACAGCGAGCAGTTCAAAGAATGAGCTTCGAACTTGTCTAGGTATAAAAGAAACGCTCATAAAAAAAAAGAATGCCGGTGGGAAACAAAGTGAATGAATCGTCCTTGTCGCCCGCATTTATGTATACACCCCCTTCAGGTTATCGGCTCGTTGTCGGTTTCAGTTTTCAGTTCGCGTTTTCAGTTTGCACTTTTTTCTCGCAGGGTCCGTAGATCGATCTGGCTCAGTAGTCGGTGGTGTTCTTTTTTCAAGGCTTTGAACTCGTCGTCTAACTGATGGTGCCATGGGTATAAGACGAAGACTTGGAATGCGAGTGCTGAAGAGGCAACTCCGAAATTGATGATCGAGATTCCGCGCGTGATCCACATGGTGAGAAGACTAACTGATCAGTATTTGGGGCTGGAAATGAAGGAATAAGGGACTCACGATGAACTGAGGAGAGAGAGAGTATTATTGTTAGACAGTGGGTATAACACACCTATGGATGTAGACAGAGGTAGTGAATGTAGGTGAAAGGAAAGAAGTCAAACTTGACACGGCTATTAAAAGATTCTGATTTCGGCAGGAACTGCGAATTAATACCGAATATACTTCGAGTCGAGAAATGTACCTCGGACCCGTGGACTTTATTATCTTTCGGAGATTGATCGTATCAGTCGGATCCGAAGCGATAAGGAAAGAACCCTACCCAGGGTTCTTTCAGCCCCAACCTTGAACTTCCCAAACACTTTAAACTTTAAATTTGCTGTGTGAAATCTTTCAAGAAAGTCATAAGTGATTACACCTTCCTCTCAATAGGGAATATTTATACTAACTGTTATTATAGATCAATTCTGCCATCCTCAAGACACCCAAGCCACAAACACAAGTACATCCAAAGCAATGGAAGCAAACTACACACAGAGTAAACCGCAGCAGCTGCTCAGTTGGGTAAGGGAACACAAATACAAGCTTGCTGGCGCAACTTTCGCTGCCAGCATGGTCGGTTCCTTTATTCTGGTCGGTCGCAACCCGTACCTGACGGGTAAACAAAAGCTTGTGCAGGCTCGCGTGTATGCACAAGGTCTGACGCTGGCTGTCATTGTTTCATTGGCTGCATTGGATATGTCGGATCGACGAAAGCCATGAATGCATTTCATCAGCAAAAGGAAGTTGTCAAGCAGTTCGATGCAGAGAACTAAGGCCAGGGATTCTCAGGAGGACCATCATTCAATCGAGACGGGGATATGTATAGATGTGTCGATATGTATCATATGTTACAGCTTATTTAGATCATAGACCGATTGGGGATCTTGCACTCGTACACTGTGATAAGCTAGAGCCCCGGTATTTCACGTGGAGCTTATGGTGTTAGAATAGTCATTTCGCGTTAGTGGTAGAAGCTAAGGAGTCGGAGGTGCTAAAAGTTCTTTAGATTTGAATTAACCACTCATAAATCCCCCCTATAAGGGGAGACCGTTATTACTATCCCTAGTGGAATCTATTAGGACGAGATTTGACGTGTACAGCTCATTATAAATGTCTCGCGCAACTAAATTTTAATTTTTAGTATAGTATTTATGTAGGTCTACAGTAGTGTGGTTTGTATTTTCTTACAATCATCAAGATTACGCGCCAGTGGAAGTCAACTTATTCGTATTGAAAACACCCATGCAGGATTGTAAAGGGTAAATGGAGTCCATTACTTTCCACATATGCATTGTCTTTTTTTTGTTACTTTATAGATGGTTTGATTTGAACAAATAAATTTGGAAATTTGCTTAGGGATATGGCGGCTAACCGGCAAAGCACTGGTATTTGGCTCCACTGTCTACATAGCTCTTCTCGTAAGAAACATATAGTTCGATCAAAAGGATAAGATTCGCTTAGAAAATAAAATGATTGAGAGCTCCTATACGTATCTCTGTCCAAAAGCTGTGTAGCCAATCTTCTAACAAATCTCTGAAGGGAGAATGTAGCCATACGCTAAAGCGGCAGGGATATAGTGTTCCAAAAATCGGCCTTTAACTAGAATAGGTCCTATATGTACGGAGGATTTGTATATTGCACATACCTAATGTAGGTACATCATATCAAACCCAGCCGCTCAAGCTCCCAGAGAGTGGAGATAGCTACACAGCCCATTCCAGACCGGCACATAATAACAAGACCTCATAGGCCAAGCCCTCTTGAAAGGCGACGGAGATACCTTAGCGGGTTTATTTTAGCTCATCACAAATCCACGAAACGCTGTCAAGAGATGTCATTTAAAACGAGAGGTCAGTCAGCAGTAACCACCTATTTATTAAGTCCATCTCCTGTCAAATAAGTGCATTCGTTCCATGCATTGGCCTTAGACCTCAACGAGAATTCCAAGGTACCTATGTCCGGAGTACAAGTGGATAATGGATGCCAAAAAAAAGCATATCACATTTTTCTGACTAAAGCATGCAGAATCCTAGGCAGACCCTCAGCGTTCGAGCAACATAGCAGTAAGTACAATACAGCAAATGGGACATAAGAACATTACGAAATAAATTAGATGTGTCAAAAATATACGGAGAATTTTTGGAATGTGTGGTGATGAGGCAACGGTTTATATAGCGAGATGTGGGCCTGCCATTCATAAGTAACTTGTCCTCCTCATCAGCGTGAAGACGTCCACGACTGGCAAGAGGACAAGGACAACGAATACTGCCCCGTGCACAAGGGAGAAACACCATCAGACACACCCTAAAGACCATGGACGAGGCTTCATACTCTGTTATTTATTCCGGCTCATTATTCATCACTGTCTGCATGTTTTTAACAATTTTCTGCTCCGCTTTACCCCCCCAAGTATACGAAGCAGCCCTCTCTTTTGCCTTTTCAGTCCATCGATCGCGAGCGATGAAGGATCTGTGTAATCAGAAAGGGTAATCATTACCAAAAAAAATTGACTGGGCGTCTCACAGTCTGCCACTTTGTTGACTTGCAAGGTATACCTGATGGGGAAGTTGCAAAACATCCTCCTGGCTGAGTGGTTCAGTAACATCCAAATCAAGAATAAACCATCTTTTAAGAGGCTTTGGCGAGTCGAAGTCAGCGGGAATATGGATGTGGTCGTAGCCCGCCGGGTGAAGTGTAGAACTGAATACACGATTTAATATACTTTCACAGAAATCGTTCCCAATTTTGACATGACGCCGTTGGGGAAAACCATCTATATCGGTAACACAAGCATAAATGAGTATTCTGGTGGGATGGGAGTCCATATTGATAGTAAATAATAACAAGGCGAGAAGTTGCGCTGAATTCCACGCTTTTAATGAATCGACCACGAGATCAAGCGGTCAAGGACCTCGGTCGTGGATCAATAGAAAAGCCGAATCCTGCGAAGGCAGAACGCCATAAGGAGATGCCCAGGCTAGTGATAAGGTCGGAGCTTCCATCTTCTGTAAAGCAGGGCCCGCCTGATGCCTCCTTCATTTTGTGACTGTGAAAGTTGGCAATAGCACTCCATGTATTCCTTGTTCGGCGGCTGTAGGTCTTCGTAACTTGGCATCTGTTTGAACGCAAGTTCAGTGCTATGAGGCGCATACTGCTTCACCTCGAGAGAGAAGCATTTATAATGGACCAAACGATCCTGCAGCTTTCTACAAAAAAGCTGTGGTTAGCCCAGAGTCCACTTAACAAAGTGGTGACCTTTTTGATATAATAATCGTGCAACCAGATCCAAGCTGCCCTAGAATTTGTTTCATGAAGGAGTCTGTGGTACGCACTACCTAGTATAATCACCGGCCAATTATAATATAAAAAGGTATGTGAGTGTGGGTCAGGCGGGTATTCTCTCCCTTCAAGGCTTCAACTTCGGCCCTCAACTCTGGATTGTCAGATTCTCAAATACCCGAGGAAACCGATTGTATTAGCAGATAACTCCATGATGTTAGAATATTGCCTCAGAACATAGGCTGCAGATTTAGCATGGCCGGGTGCTGTTGTCATGCTGGGCGGGATGTAGTCTGCCAGATTCAAGGAACAAATCGACAGTCGTGCCCAATGGGGAGGTTGTAGCTGGATCCATATAATGATGCGATGAAATAACCAATGTGGCTTCAAAATCAACAAAAGCATTGTTTCATGAAGATAACAACGTAATCCTCGCTTGAAAATTGGAGGCAAGAGTGCCGAATTATCGCGCCAGGGATTAGAGACGCTGCTTCACAGCTTCAAGGCCGTGGCTAGGAATAACTTGAAAACTGCGGACGAGTTTTGGGAGGGTTTGACGTATGCGATATCTGTACATGATTAGTCTCGATCCACGGTTCTAGATTCGACCAAGGGCAAAGCAAAGCTGAATGCGGGTGGATGAAGAGATGTATGTATACATCGACCTCGGGAGGTACCTAGATCGGCAAACCGTGAATAAGCGACGCCGATTATTGGGTTTATGTCATCGGCGCCGATGTCGGAGTTGGTGGGGTCGAACACTGGAATTCACCCGCCTTTATATTCTAAAGCTCCCGACCTGGATAATTGAGTCAATAATTTCTTTTCATATTACTGCATAATGTCTTCCTTCAATATCGTCGTCTTCGGTGGTGACCACTGTGGTCCTGAGGTATGTCATTGGGAGCTCTAGTGGGGAAATCGAATACAAGACTGACATTGAGGGAATAGGTGACTGCTGAGGCTGTCAAGGTAACATTGGACGCTGGAATTGCACGGAATAGACATACTGATTGAATTTCAGATCCTCCGAGTCATTGAGAAGTCCCGTGGTGTTACTTTCAACCTGCAGGATCACCTGCTCGGTGGTGTGAGTATACTCCACCTACGCGACAAAAGCCCCAATGGCTAACAATTGCAGGCCTCTATCGATGCTACCGGTTCTCCCTTGACCGACGAGGCTCTGAACGCCGCCAAGAACGCCGACGCCGTTCTCCTCGGTGCCATTGGAGGTCCCGTACGTCTACATCTCCAACCCCTCCATTCCCCCTCCCCGCACAAACACCAGGAACAAGCCTACTCACACATTGCGTCCGACAGAAATGGGGCACCGGCGCCGTCCGCCCAGAACAGGGTATTCTCAAGCTGCGCAAGGAGATGGGCACATTCGGCAACCTACGTCCCTGTAACTTCGCGGCGCCCTCGCTGGTCGAGAGCTCCCCGCTCAAGGCCGAGATCTGCCGCGGAGTCGACTTCAACATCATCCGTGAGCTGACCGGCGGTATCTACTTCGGTGAGCGTGTGGAGGACGATGGTTCCGGATACGCTATGGACACTGAGCCCTACTACCGCCACGAGATCGAGCGCATCATCCGTCTCGCCGCTTCCCTCGCTCTGCAGCACAACCCTCCCCTTCCCGTCTGGAGTTTGGACAAGGCCAATGTCCTCGCTACCAGCCGTCTCTGGCGTAAGGTCGTTACTGAGATTATGGAGAAGGAGTACCCCCAGGTCTCCATTGGTCACCACCTCATTGACTCGGCTGCCATGCTGATGATCAAGGATCCCCGTAAGCTGAACGGTATTGTTGTTACTAGCAACTTGTTCGGTGATATCATTAGCGATGAGGCCAGTGTTATCCCCGGTTCCCTGGGTCTGCTTCCCAGTGCCAGTTTGAGCGGTATTCCCGATGGCAAGAACCGTGTCAACGGTATCTACGAGCCTATTCACGGTATGTGTTCTGTTCCCTTTATTCCTCTTGCCAAATCTTGGTTCTGGTCATGGCTAATTGGTACTCATAGGCTCTGCCCCCGATATTGCTGGCAAGGGTATCGTTAACCCCGTCGCTACTATCCTGTCTGTGGCCATGATGATGCAATACTCCTTCAACATGATCGACGTCGCTCGCGTGATTGAGCAGGCTGTGAGCAACGTCATCGAGGCTGGTGTCCGCACCGGCGACATTGGCGGCACAGCCAAGACCACCGAGGTCGGCGATGCCGTCGCTGCCGAGCTGGAGAAGCTGCTTAAGTAGATATACAAAGCAGCCTCTTCGATGTTTCTATATGAGATATGACTAGCATAGAAAACTAAAAATTTGAATACCCGTTTTTAAGATGCAACATGTATTTCACTGGCGCAAAAAATGCCTAATGATGTTCACTCGCCGACCCAAACCCATGCAAAAAAAAATAGGAACTGGGTATCATGAAGACATTGAAACTCCGATAATAAAACCTCCGTTGGCATTTTGCAAGCCAATCAACGCCGGTATTTTTGTTGGTCCTTGTAAGAAGCCCGTCCTTATCGAATCACTGGCTCACCCATCCAATCTGGCTCGTCTAAACCGGTAGTAGTGAATCCAGTATCAGCATCTTCACTTGCAGTACGTCCCCGAAGGTCATGAGCCCCACGCAGGGACGGACGACGGCGCCGAGGATCAGCAGAAGCCGAGGGAGCAGCGGCCATCCGACGACGACTATCATCACAAGCAAACACCTGGAATCCACGAACATGAGTATCCTTTCCGTTCTGATGGTTCTCCATAATGCGCATCTGGACAACCATAGCCTTCAGCACATTCCCAGAATAGGGATCATCCTCATCATCCTGACTATCAGGTTCATCAACTTCATAAAACGGATCACACTCATCGTCATGTTCATGGTCAGGGTCGTCACAGTTCCGGTACACAATTGTCCGTCGACGCATACTCGTAGATCGGCGTTTCGACTTCCCAGGCTCATTACGCACCCACCCACCGTTTCTACCCCCGACGCCGTCCAGTGGCACATCAACCCAGCCGCATGGTCCGTCGCCTTCCCAAGTTGCGAACTCGACGAGGTCGTTGCCGCCCATCCCGGCTGCGAAAATCATCTTCGTGGGCGTGTAGCTTTCGTCGAGCTCGAAATCGAGATAGACGCGGATACGTACGATGGCTACCATTTTGAAGAAATGGAGGGTTAATGTGTGCGGTTGTGGTCCGTCGGATTGCCAGTATTGGGCCGGGGAAGGGTTGCGGAGGGCCACGACGCCGCAGCCCGGCTTGGAGGTGGAGACGGTCCAGGAAGCGAGCGATGAGATTTCACGCAGGTTGGGTGGTAAGGGGGAGGGTGATTTTTCTGTTGCGCGAGAAGATTAGCTTGCATGTTTGACGCGTAGCTATGAGGAAAGTATGGGAGCGGGGAATCAGTACCTCGATCGTGCATCTCATGGTCGGGGTCTTCGTCGTCGAATTGATCCTCGACTTCTTCCTCCAGTTCCTCGCCATCAATATCGGAGTCATCGAATTGACCGTCGATGGGGTGACCATCATCGAAGGAATCATCAAAGTCGAGTGGCCCGTCGTTCCCAAGCTCTTGCATGCTGTGGCCGCGCGGGTCGAAATCATCGTCAAAATCGTCGTCATCCATCATTTGCGGTGGTGGTTGCTCGACCCTTGGTCTTCCAAATATCGTAAATGGATTTATTGGTGCCGCTGGATGTCCCGCCACGGCGACCTGGTCGGGCGTGAGAGCATTTGGACCCGTGGAGGGGGTTGGCGTTGATGGGTTGGGTTGGTGGGAGTGTGACGCGTTGGCGGGGTCTGGAATTGTGCTCGGAGGTTTCCTGGGGCATTTCCCTCTTGACTGGGTATAATTTCGCGTGGATTTGGTTGTCGGCGCAAGTGAGGCATGGTTGTTCTATAAGTTGCAGTGATGTTTACGCGCAGATCGAGGGGAGCTCCATTTCCTTTTACGGTTAGCGCCGTTTGGTAGCTATGAGGTATTCCAAGTTAGGGCAAATAACTTGGCAACCTATTTAATCCAAGAATTTCTAATCCTTTGAATACTAAGAAATACCATGTCTTAGCTCAGATGTATAGCACTTAACTCATTGGAGGTTTTAGATCTCACTATACCCATGAACTGCTTTGACAAAGACCACGGGTGAGGTTATTGAGCTAATATGCCTATATGGCTAACCAGCAGTCTACTCTTGCTCTTCCTCAAGAGCTCCCCTCCCAAGAACAGTGTCCGGACAAATATTGTCAATGTATTTGTTCTATATATGTACAAGTACGTACCAGATTTTAAGGTATCAAATCCACTCAACTAATTTCAATGAGGGTTGGATGAATACGGGCTTTTGCTCGGTAGAGATCTTCCATACACCCCTAATAGAACGACGGCAGGGTGTCCGATTCCAAGGGCAATGAAGCCAAGGATGCTTGACCCCCATCCATAACCCAGTGAAGACACTGAAGAGTACCTATCATATAATTAGACTTTATCAAAGGAAAAAGGCTGATTGACAAAATTGACTTACATGTAGGGTGCGAACATCGGAAATGTAAACCCAGCGAGACACCCGATTGTGAAAACAGCTGCTAGTCCACTCGCCGAGTACCTTCCGTATGTATCAATGACATAGGCGTTTACAGATATTGTGCATGCAAGTCCCCCAGCAACAAAGATGGAGGCTCCGATATTAGGCATAATCCAGTGCATCCTTTTTTTCGGCGGTCCACCCATACCAGAACATCCCAGCGCTCAAAACGAGCGTTGCAGGTAGCATGATCGGAATTCGAAATTCGGGGACACCTTGACCCCCGTTCCGCTTGGATACTGTTTGATATATCCTGTCGTTTATGAGGGTGCAACATTCTGCAGCAATGGAAGATCCAATGGCGATTGAGATGTAGTTCAGCCCTGCGATCTCAATGGACTCCCCGTAGACATCAATTTACAGGGCGATAAAATCGGCGTACAATATATAGATATTGCCATAAAGGAAGGCGTTATAAATAGCCAGGACTTGGACGATAGGCTGAGTGGCAAATAGTTTGAAAGGCCGAAACAAATTCACCAAGAGGAACAGAACTTCCCCCCGGTATCAAGGCCTCCAATCTCATTCGAAATCTTTCTGTCTTGGTGTACTCGAAAGTATCTCCAGTCCTAGTGAGACCAATCATGTATTTTGCCTGAAAGCCTCGAAGGCTATTTCGCGCAAGCTGGGCCATATTTTGGATCGCATCAACCCAGCCAAATCTACAGAATCCCCTGGATTTACTGAGCCTGTCCCGACTCCACCTATGCTAGACAATACATCCCCAGAGACAGTGAATATCGATACGACTAGCCTTGTTAATTTCGATCAATTCGATCTTACAGATCGGGCAATCGATTTTGATATCGGTACTATGAGTGATGACTGGAGGATGTTTTAAGGGCACAGATGTATTCAGAGCAGAAATGAGGAAATCTCAATTTAGAGTTATAAACACGGGCCAATGAAGTTGTAAGAACCCACAATCCATCATGATTAAACACTAGTGTCGAGACACATAAGTGTTTCTACGCTGCCTCATCATTTCACTCAATACTCAAGCTTTCCCTTCAAGGGATGACAAAATAGACCAGCCAAGGCCTCCAAGGCACGATCGCAGATTTGATAATGAGATATGAGTCGCCCTTGCAAGCGACCACTTCTAGAGATCGTGACACGGATTATAAACTGAAGATAGTTCCACCGGTAGTATCTTATTGTGACAACGTAATATCCATTATGACTCGCATTATTCACAGGTGCCGAATTCCTTCCATCGCCGTTCATCAACCGGTGTAGCATTTCGTAGTAAGTCGACATATTTAGCAGCAGCACTCACAGCACTCGAAGCAAGCGATACCAGCGCAACTATTAGAGAAATATCAGCCAGTCTTCCTTATTCTTCTTGGTTAAGGCGCTGAAGTAATCTGGAAAGACTTACATTCCGCAGCAAATATCACCACCTTCACCGCCACCGCGGAGTTCCATCTTCATGGACTCGGAGCTCTAAAGGGTCCGTTAGTTGCGATCTCAACAAATCATAATCGGAGAGCATACAGGCTGATGGGAGACGACATTGTTGGAAGACATGGCCTCAGTGTTGGAGGGCTGTTCCATGGCCATAGTGGCCGCATCCCAGGTAGGCTCCTGGGTTGGCTTGGACTCGTTAGAAGACTTGAACCAGCCGAACATTTTGGTGGATGATTTGTATTTTTGAAGAGAGAGAGGGAGATTGAAGAAAATATACAGGAAGAGGGGGAAACGAAAGATAAAGGGGAAGTAAATAAGCCGGGGTCAGCCGTATGTTTCTATTGAAAAGTACTTCTATGTAATATTCAAACTCTTTTTCAGTACAGTCCCGACCATACTAGCCATCATCACCCAGGCAGCCATATTATGGGCTTGTGGGGCTGTCGGCTGAGGTATTACCGACTTATGTGTTGGCCTCTCCAGGCAAGAGGCTATATTTGGAAGAGCTGATTCAAAGGGATCAGTCCAGTAGCTTATTGTGCTTTGTTTTTTTCTTAATCTAATACAGTAAAAATAGAAAAGCATGGGAAACGGAAGTCCACGTGAAGCGAACCTTGGAATGGACCAAGCTTTTAGTCAAGCTTTATGAGGTCTTGGCACGTTTTTCCTTTTCAGCCTTGTTTTATGAAGTATATTTAGTGACTATAAAAATTTACATCTTCATTCTTAGTCTATATATCTAAATAATATTCCCCAGATTCAAATTCAAAAGCACAAACCGAAATCCCCGAAACTAAAGTCATCACCTCGAAGCCGAATTAACCATCCCCTGTAAACACTCCGGCGCGTCATATTTGTCTATATGCAACTCAACAATACGCAAGGGGGGTACATGATCCTCATCAAACAGAGCAGCGGGACCAAACGATGGGTCTTCGAGCAGCATATTTAGCTCAGCCCTAGTCCGAATAGCATAAGTGCGTGCAGTATTCGGAGCGGCCTGGAAAACAGCCGGCAAAAGCTTGTGGTCCCAAAGCTGGACATCGTTATACTCATCATCCCTGCCATGTATCAAGCGTTCTATTGTGTACCCCTCGTTGCAGACGATAAACAGGATAATGCCCAGCTTGCGGCGGACCATGGTGCTCACTTCTTGTGCGGTCATTTGGAAGCTACCATCGCCTGTGAGGCAGATGGTCCGTCGGCGCCGAGTGCCCTGGGACTCTTTCTCGTCTTCGCGCGCGGCAAGTGCAGCTCCCACTGCTGCACCGACCGCATACCCAATGGAAGACCAAAGGAGCTGCACTAGTGGAACGGCCCCGCGCGGGTATCGAGACCACAATGTGCCAAAAGTGGAGGTTCCGACGTCGATAGCTATAATGTCGTCTTCTTCGAGCCATGAAGACATTCGCTGCCAGATCCAGTCGTGAGTCAGTGGTTGAGACTTATCAACAATGTTACCCTCGAAGTCCATAAACTCATCGCCATTCACACTTCCCTTGGGTGGGCTTGAGGAGGGTGAGACGGTTCCATGTACATCAGGAGTTCCACTCAGCTGGCGGGAGGGTGTGGAGGCCGCGGAGACAGATCCTGACCGTTCTTTATCAAGGACATTGCTGAGCCTTTCGAGCACACTCATCCCGAGCGCCAGAATCTCTTGGGATGGCATTTGGATCCTGTGACGTTCGAATCTGATGATATCGATATGAGGCAAATCCGTCTTGAACTCAGCTGTGTTAAAATCCGTAACACGCGGCCCAACCACTAGGACCAAATCGGAGGATTTGACCTGCTCAAAAACGGTAGGTTCCGAGATATTTCCTGCGTATACACCGCGAAAGTTTATCAGGCTCTCGTCAATGACCCCCTTGCCCATTGGCGTAGTAAAACAAGGCAATCCTGAGCTTTGAACGAATAACCTCGTCGTATTCAGACTGTAAGACTTTCCAGCCAGACCATCAACAATGATGACCGGATTCTGGGCCGCCCGAATACGGCCAAGGATCAGATTCGCAGTATGCTCTTCATCCTCCATGGTTTGGAGGTTGAGTTCTTCGAATGCCAGGGGGGATTCGAGCGGAGATGGATCTACCTCTGCATTGACAAGATCCACTGGGAAGCCAATATAGACAGGCTTGCTGGAACGGCAGCACTCGAGAATTGTTTCGTCGATGAGCCTAGTCGCATCTGACTTGTCTTTCAGAATGACTACGGCGCTCGAGACTTCGGCACTCATTCTGGCAAATCGCCCAAAGTCGCCATCTCCCATCGTGTGGTGCATTGGCGGTCGCTTTTCTTGGACAGTTGTCGAGGGATATCCGACAATGTGGATGACTGGTACATGCTCGGCGCATGAACCTGCTAGGGCATTGATGGCTGAAAGCTCCCCAACACCTAATGTAGTCATGATTGCTCCTATTCCTTTGATGCGGGCATAACCATCGGCGGCATAGCCTAGGTGTATACATTAGTGAGACTCGAATGTTCCGGTCAAGTGGAAGTAGGTCTAGCTACTTACCGCCGTTGAGCTCGTTCACATTCCCGACCCAGTTGAGACCACATGGAACAATGTAGTCAAGGGAGGTTAGATTAAAATCACCGGGGACGCCAAAGATGGATCGGATTCCAAGTTCATGAATGCGGTGGAAAAGATACTATACAATAGAAGTGAGTGTGTTAGCCATATACTGAGGTTGACATATTATTTTTTATACCTCAGCAAGATGCATAATGACGTCGAAAATTTCCGATATCAGCTTTTAGGCTTTTTGACTTAGAATTGGATATCAAACTCTTTTGGAATGTATAGAATAATTTCTAATGAGGGTCTGTCCAAGGCTTTTATCACTTCCTCGTCACAACTCGTCACACCTCGTCAACCACACCTTGCCATCATGCTTCTACTTTGACTTGATATCACAACACTTGAGATTGTCTACTTTGCCTCACAGCCAGTGATACACCCATTCGCAATAAGTAATTAGGCTCAATGGGGCTAAGAAAGTTCCCAACACACCCAAAGAGTGCTAAAATATTACCCGAATGAGCGACATGCGCAAGATCGGCACAACTGTGCTACACCATGGAATCAATATAAAAACCAATGCATTCCTTTTGCGTCATAATTCTTGATCTATATACATTTTCAGACCTCATGGTTTATCATACTCACTATCCTCCGAATCAGAGGTATACTTGCATGCTCTAGCAGTATGGCGTGCCCGTGTGTGTGTGTGTGTCTTATTGGTTAACCTATTCAGCATGTTGCACAATCTCCTCAGATTGTACAAGCATACATATATGGATATGCCGAGTAGCAAGGGGTATCTTGAGGGTATTCTTCTGAAGAATCTACGCCACCTCAAGTCGTGAGGCCGCGAGCAACATTTGTACCCGGATTTATATATCCTATTGTGTACCAATCGTCAGCCGATCATTCGAAGATTGTGCAAAAGACACGTTCGCAATGTGAGCATGCTATTGACTGCTCTATTTCGGGTACTGATTCATATTATACATTTGTCCTTTACTCCTTTAATGAACTGACGGTTAGTAGGCAGTTGAAAGAAGCTACTTTTGCAGTCGCTTTATGGGTCATATGCTCATTACATGGGCTACTCTCAGGCTATTAGCTCAATATAATAGAATGAGAGTGACCAGGCCATGACATGTCTGCTTAATCCCAGAATGGATCATAGTGGATGTCGACTCTAGGTGCATCAGATGTTCTGTAACTTGTCGATAGATTTGGCTTAGAGATCCGAAGCTCAGTAAAAGGCTACCACGTCCACAAAAAAGGCTCTAAGCTGGACTAAACTCCTCCAAACCACATTCTTGATCAATCTTCACGACCAGAACACAAAACTCGCCATGTTTAGTTTCATCCCAAATGGGCTTCCCACGCGCATCAACAGGGATGAGTTTTCGGATTTCTGGATGCTTAAGCATTTGCCGTAACTTCTCCATGCTCTCTATCTTAAATTGTGTCTTTCGGGTCTCAACTTCCCCAGGCGTGGGCGGAAATGGTAGGGATGGAACCAGGTTAACCCCATATCTAGTACCATGATTAGTGAACAGTAAACCTATTCAAGGAATCTCCTTCCTCTGCTTCCAACTGTCGTCCAATATCCTCCTGACTAACCCCGGCGATCTGTGCCGCAGCCCAATAGTAGTCAAATAAGCACCTCATCGGCCATGCCGTCCCCGTTGCCCGAAGATCCTTCTCCGTTTTTGGACGCCCGATATTCTTCAGTCTGTCGTGTGCGATGTCTACCTTGATCGCCATATCTGCATTTGGGGACACTTTAAAATCATACGGGCCCCTCGAGTAGATCTTGAAGCAGCGGGCTCCTTCATCTTTGTACTTCTGCTGCGCGGCCAGTGCGTTTTGTGGGTAAGTAATCGGCGGGAGTGGGAGATCAGGGCCTTTCGGCTTTATAGGCTCTTGGCCAGGTCATAGCAATTCATGCTTCTCGAGGAGCTTCTTTAGTCGTGTTTCGAAGACGCGCCATTCATGCTAGCTTTGGAGACGGTCGAGGATCTTGGCATGCCCGAGGCCAGCATTACTGGCGCGAAACTCATGCAGGACTGGGAGGAGCTCATCATCAGTAGGAAGGGAGAGATTATCCATGTTTGATGTTTGATGATATGGCTGGTCTGTCACAGGTGTGAAGGGGTTGAAGTACTTCGGTAACCAGCGAGAGGATAAGGGAAGGAGTAGGAGAAGAAGGGGAATGGATACTGCTGCTGCTATTTAGAGCAAACCGGGTCATTGATACCCAAAAATGATCTGATCTTAGCTAGGTAGCTTGAGCCCAAAAGACATCTGGCATCTCAGCAGAAGTCATTGAAGTTGGCATAAACACATGGCGCGCTTCAAAGGTGTGGGTTTGGCCGGTCTGCTGTGTTTTTTTCTTTCTGGAGTCATATGAACAAAGCCTTTTGACAGTACGGCACAACCCTGAATTCCCCTCCAGGGCATTGTAGCAGGAGCACAGGTGGGTTATCAGAGCCAACGTTTCTCATTTCTCGTGCAAATAGACTTGGCCAAGCTGATATGCATCGATAGAGTCTACCATCCATATTTTACATAGTGATGTCCCTCTAGTATGAAATGTTGCATCCACAAAGGTGAGGCTGGTACGTGATAAAGGTATGTATGCACTTCCACAGCCGTTGCTGCCAAATACAAATGGTGTAATATTTCAACTCCTAATTGACAGCGACGGTTTTTTTCAATCGAGAATAATGATCACCTGGGAGTATCTTTTTCCTCTCAAAGTTTTTCTTGATCGTCAGTTTATGTCCTCGAGCATTGTAACAGATAAATGAGCTTCCACCCCAATTTCTGGTCGCCTGTAAGATGCGATTGATGAGTGTAACGAGTTCCTTGATATCATCTTGGTTGTCTTGTTTCCAGCGTTTTATTGCGATAGTGACATCTTCCACTACTGGCGTCGAGAATATTCCACCTTGATGATAAGCACGGACGAGGTTGGGCGTCTGAGCAATCCAGAGTTGAGGTCGAGGCGCAACTTCTGATAGCCTTATACGATAATGGGAAACTCGAATTTTGATCTCCAGTATCGATTCCCGTGATACTACCCAACCTTCTCTCTTGATTATCAGCTTGGAATCAACCGTGGGCTGGTACAATAATTTCATAGGTGGGTGGCTCTTCACGGCAGAAGATTGCAGTTCCAGTAGTCATATCCACCTGGATAATAAATGAGTCAAGAACATATCTGCTCTGAGTAGGGTTGGTAAATGACAGAAATTTCAGAATGTTATTTCGGTCGGTCACGACGTCGATTGAACTAATGTCGAACGAGGATTTCTCAATGTAAAGGGCGCGGAATAAGGGTTCCGAACGGCCATCGAAATGACGACAAACACGAGCAGCCTTCTGAAAACTGTAAGCAAAGCCGCCATCGTTCTTCAGTTGTCGGGGCCCTCGTGAAGTAGACCAAGGAGCTGGACTGCCCGGGACAGCTATGGTTGGCTCGGGTGCTTCAATCCAGTTGTAAGAAGCCAGGTGCTTTATATCAGCAATGTTTACTTCTGGTAATTCGGAGGAATCCAGGCTGTCGCGGGAGATTTCCTCGAACCCCCCGGTAAATGTCCACAAGTCTGACATTTGATGGATGTAGTTGTTTGATAATAGAAGATTTGGCAAGATCAGTCAAGGAGGTGGGGCAAAAAAAGAATAGCGTGGGCTACTTGGACGATAGAAGAGAAATGATATAAAGGGAAAGCACGACCTGCAAATGGGAAGCCTCAGGCCACGCAAACAGTGTGGGTGAAACTTCCACTTCAGCCTGCCCACTATAACCCATCGTCAGCTCAAGCATCACCGTGAGTAGCTGAAATATCCAAGAGAGCACTGTGAGACAAATACATGTATAGTGCGAACTACAGGGCACTTATATTTAGACTGAATTATAGAGCGCTGCATCTCATCGGCGCGTTGAATGTATGTTAGCATATATATCACTGATAGACGCGCTCTACATCTGAGGAAACACAAGGAGATTAGGAATCTAGCTACTACCATGTAGTTCATTATATAGCTTCATAGGGACAAAGAGAGAGTTCTAACTCGCTATAAGCACGCAGATAACCAATTCCTTGCTTCCTGATTGCAACAGTAACTACATGCGTGCATAGTAACATTACCCAACTACGAAGGGGAATAGTGCACAGGGTCGCATGGACTCATTTTAACCTAGCCTTGAAATTTAGGTCGTCGAATTGTGTAATAAGAATGTGTCTATGATTGCTATTACGGGTTTTCTAGTGAAAGACGTATGCTTTATTTAATATAAGAAAAGTTAGAGATCCTAGGCTTAGTGTAAAAAGCAGTCTAGATTCAGGCCAAATACAGGCAATGGGGCATCAGATAGGCGTATACCACCCTGGGCGCTATATAAGATCCCGCTCCCCACGTTCTTATTTCCTTATATAGCTGTTCAACTGTGTGATTCTCTTTGGTTGGAGATCACATATTGAAAAACCAGAGATCATTTTGAGATGTACATGGTCTCGGCCAACACGCCGACAGTGGGTCAACGGGGACTTATAAAGAGGGGTTGGTCCCATAATTCTTTTACCTCAACCACAACACAATAAATACAAGATGTCGATGAGTATTGAAGACTGCGCTCAAAACCGAGATGGCTTCCCTCGTCCATTCCCGGATACGCCTTCAAATGTGTTGGAACAGTTCAAGATGAACGAAAAGGTGGTGGTTGTTACGGGGGCTGCCGATGGACTTGGTCATGCGATAGCACAGTCTATGGCCGAAGCTGGCGCTCATGTTGCTCTGTGGTATAATTCGTAGGTTTTATTTACTCAATGCCTGTCTTATAATCGGTATTAACTACATCAACAGAAATGACGTCGCTATTGAGAAAGCCCAGGTCCTGGCAAGGGAGCATGATATAAAGGCTTTGGCTTACAAAGTCGATGGTAAGTGGACAGTTGGAGCTTCATATCCACAAAGAAGGCGACAACTAAGTTTTGATCTGCAGTTTCGGAATCCACTCAAGTATCCGAGACGATTGCAAAGGTCGTGGCTGATTTCGGCAAGATTGATGTTTTCATTGCCAATGCAGGTCAGTTCGCGTGACAACTTGATATACCGCAGACAGCTGATTCAGAGGAGGCATGGCGATCTCCAAGCCTATATTGGAACAGACTCTAGATGAGTACCGGAAGCAGATGTCCGTGAATGGTATGAATCTGTTCCTTCAACAAGATACTGAATTTTGGTATTGACCAAGAATTAACCGATAATTAGTTGATGGCATTGTTTATTGTGCTAAATATGCCGGCGGGGTATTCGCACGACAAGGTCATGGCAATCTCATCATCACCTCAAGTATGAGCGGACACATTGTCAATGTTCCTACTGATCAGCCTGTCTACAATGCGACCAAAGCGTACGTCACCCACTTTGGAAAATCACTTGCCCGCGAGTGGCGGAATTTCGCGCGAGTCAACATCGTCTCGCCAGGTTTCTTTGATACAAAGATGGGCGCCGGCCCCTCAGCCCTCCAGGAGGCATACCGCATGTCGTCACTTGGAAGGCAAGGCCACGTGAAGGAAATCAAGGGATTATATTTGTACCTTGCCAGCGATGCATCTACCTTTATGACCGGAAGTGATGTACTTATCGACGGGGGTTATGTCTTGCCATAAAAGCTTAAAATTTAGACGCTCAAATCAAGATTGCAATGAGAATATCATAAGTTGGATATATGAAATTTAGATGACGACACCAAGTAATCGGCAATATCTCGCTAAACGCAATTTCAATATCGGGCTAAAACCTCAAATGAGACCCTCTGCGCCCGAAGGCGTTTATGCCCCGCTATGTCAAGCCTCAGGGTCTGTTTATTAAGGTACGATTTTGATACGTTGCAATATAGCGATAGTTATACGGAGTGAGCGTGGTGCACTAAATATAGCAAATTAATTGACCAATCGAACCTTCAACTCAAACGAACGTGCTCAAGAAGTTAATAAAAAGTTAAGCTGTTTCCCCAACTTGGAAACAAAGCTCCGAGTTTTGTCGGGGATGGGACCAGCTATCCGAGCCAACAGTGGAGTAGCATGAGTCAACGACTCATAATGAAGTGCAGGGTCAGCGATGGCCGAGAGGCCGAGAGTACCGGGCATCTCCAACAGGTACTTTTGCCTCCAATATCGTTCAAGAACTGGGGTTGTCGGACCCGGGCAACATCTTGGCGTGGTCATTCAAATAGGCGTCAAAATAGATAAAAAAAACAGGCTAATCAACGACAGGGATGCATGTCGTCGTCAGCTACACAGGAATATCATATCAAGTGATGAAGCCACTTTTCTAATCGAAACACGGCAGACGAAGGGGACAACACGGAGAAAACCTGCTTTGAGGTGATTAGCGTCATGTGATTGGCTGGTGTAGCGGCCCGGTTGGAGATTGAATTCCCTCAATACACACAATAGTAGACAAAAAGATAAAGAGAGAGTGTGTGTGTAGATATAGGATAGAAAAGAGAAGAAGAAAAGGAAGTATCTAGAAAGATCAAGAGAAAGAAAAAGACAGAAGATTGAAATATACGAGAAATATACAATACGTATTGAAATCGGGTTTTCCCCACGTTCTCTATCACGGAAGTGACTTCATGCGATTTCAACTGCCCCTCCTTTCCTTCACCTTTTTTCATTTTCGCTTGCTTTTGCTTTTGCTTTTGCTTTTGCTTTTGCTTTTGTTTAACATAGCGCTATCCGGTGCAGCCAGGTTCAAAAACGGCATAATTACAGCAATCACACAGGCGATTGGTGTCGACTTCGTTCCCGATAACGTTCACTCGCCATGGCTGAAGAACGAGATTTCGCCACAGAGGCACTCGCGCCTGAAGTCGATGTTCCCTCTCCCAGCGACCCTGTTCCTCCGTTTCCTCGACAGACCTCAAGCCCCGTCGTCCTTCCCTCCCGCGAATCGTCAGGACCCGGCTTGTCTGCCTCCTCCACACACCTGGGCCAGATCAATGCTGCGCGCCGGGGTGGGCCTTCACCACACCAACAGCCGTCAATGAGCTCACAAGGATCCAGCGGATTAAACCCAGACCTCATGGCAAAAATGAAGGCATTCTCATTATCCCGCCAAGGTGCCCCAGTGCCACAAACTGCTGCTTCGACGGGGCACATCCCCATGGCTCAAGGAAACGGTGCAGGCGGCGCATTTGCTGGCGGCATGCCCCAGAGTGCCGCACGGCCCAGTCCTCCAAATTGGTCATCTTCCCCTGCCATCCCCGCCACTGGCTCTAATTCTTTATCGCCTCGGCCGGGTGGGCTAGCAGCGAAGCGCATGAAACCAGGTCTCAAGCTATCGGATGTCACTGGTTCGCCCAGTCCTGCAGCAGGTAAGGATCAAAAGCAGGGCGAACAAAATGGGGAGAGTGCCTTCAGCAAATACTCCGAGTTTATCGACACGAAAGAGGGCACTTTGAACTTCAAAAACAAAGCTATTCTACACGGAGGTGGTGTCGAGTTTTCGTCAGGCCACAGCTTTAAGATCTCTCTGGATGAAGTTGATCGCTTGGAAGAATTAGGCAAGGGTAATTACGGAACGGTCTATAAGGTTCGACACACTCGCCCGCATCTACGAAAACCCGGTTTGGGGCTGGGTGGCATTGTCAGCCGGCCTCCAGGCCACGACGAACCGAGTCCGGAATCCGGGAACCAACTCTCGGGCGTGGTCATGGCCATGAAGGAGATTCGCTTGGAATTGGACGAAGCCAAGTTTGCACAAATCATCATGGAGTTGGACATTCTACACCGCTGTATCTCTCCATTCATCATCGATTTCTACGGTGCCTTTTTCCAGGAAGGTGCAGTCTACATGTGTGTTGAGTTCATGGATGGCGGCTCGATCGACAAGCTCTACGAAGGTGGTGTTCCCGAAAACGTTCTGCGGAAGGTGGCTCTGTCTACCATCATGGGATTGAAATCATTGAAGGAGGACCACAATATTATTCACCGCGATGTGAAACCTACCAACATCCTTGTCAACAGCAAGGGCCAAGTCAAGATCTGCGACTTTGGTGTTAGCGGAAATCTGGTCTCTAGTATTGCGAAGACCAATATCGGTTGTCAGAGTTATATGGCACCTGAACGAATCGCAGGAGGCGGAATGCAACAGTCGGGAGCGCCGAGTGCCGGCACATACAGCGTGCAAAGCGACGTCTGGAGTTTAGGCTTGTCCATCATCGAATGCGCCATGGGCCGATACCCATACCCACCGGAAACATTCAACAACATTTTCAGCCAGTTACACGTGAGTACCTTGACACCAGTTTTCCAAGTTGAACATTCTAATATTCTTCATTTTAGGCTATCGTCCACGGAGATCCCCCAACACTACCCGAAGGATTCTCTGAAGAAGCGCACGCATTCGTCCGGGCCTGTCTCGACAAGAACCCGAAGAACCGACCAACTTACGACATGCTAATCCGACACCCTTGGCTAGCCTCTCTCATGCAGCCACCTACCGAGTCTGGTGATGACAGCGCCCCACTACCCGAGGAGTCCGGCTCCGGCGATGCCGCTTCATCCGCCATCACAGAGGACAAAGAAGTGGCTGAGTGGGTCAACAAGCAAATCAAACTCAAGGAAGATGGCTTGCTACATATGTCCGAAAAACCGGCACTTCATGCCGTGGCGCTGGATAAGGTCGGCACGGCCCCTTCCGAGGGTGATCCGCACGCTCCGTCGCAAAATGACTGAGCTTGTCACCGGCTATTCCGAATTTTGCATCATCCTTTTCTCCAGGGGCACTTTCACGGCGCAGGCGCCGTTTGTCACGACTTGCATCCCTATTGATTCCACCATGCCAATATGCTAATATTCTGGCCTTTGGGGTCCATTGGAACGTGGTCAGACCGTCGCCATGGTCATTACCCGCGTGTGATTTGTGACTATTTCGACAAATCTTCCACCTGGATCTACAAGCATTTGGTTTATTGAACTAAACTGGGGATAATTTGCTGCTCCCGGTCTTTATATCGGGCGCAAGGAACACATTTTCATATATGTTACCCGATGTATCCGAATTTCCTGCATTTGAACTGTGATTTCCTTCTGTGTCTCCGATACAAGCGCTCTACTTGGCCTTGCATTCTGGATTGGGTATCATTTTCGTAGATGCAGTCACTGTAGTCTATCATCTATCAACCTTTCAATTGAAACCATCTTATTTTAATTTGCTGGTAAGCTATTCACAACCTTGGAAGTACATATCAAAAGCCATGTTGAATATAGAACATAAATATACACCATAGTTCTCCCTGTTGAAACTGGAAAACTCATCTCACACCATCTCAAGCCTCTCCCCAAATCTCATCCGCAATCTCCCTCACCAGACTCAACTTCTTCTTCTGATGCTCAACAAGAAGAGGATACCCACTCTCATGAGTACTAAATCCACACTGAGGACTGATACAAACCCTCTTAAGCGCCTCCTCCCTAGTCTCCCCAGACCCCCCAGCAACAAAATCAGCAGCCGAATAAACCCTCTCCTTCATAACCTCCTTATCCTCCAAATCCCGCACCTTAGTACTAACAACCCCAACAACAACATTCTTCCCCTTCGGCAAAAACTTCAACGGCTCAAATCCCCCAGCCCTCTCAGTATCATACTCCAAATAAAAAGTATCAACCTCCAAATCCTCAAACAGCTTCTTCGCAATAATATCATAAGACCCCTCGGAAAAATGTCGTCCCCCAATAAAGTTCCCCCGACAAAGATGAATACCAGTATGCATATCATCAGGCAATCCAATGAAACAATCATTGTAAAGCTTGATATAAGCATCCAACAAATCATCCACGGTCCCCTCATTGTCGGCATCAGCTTCCCATCCCGCACGGAACGATGTAGAGCAGAAATACGCCATCCCCGGATCATCGAATTGCACGTTCCGTAGACCGGCTGCGTATAGCGATGCCAGCTCGGCGCGATACACCTTCGCGACGTCGGCGAAGTACTCCGCGTCGTTGGAGTAGGCATCGGGGGTGTATGCGCGTCCTTGCTTGTATCGCATGTGGAACCAGGCGGGTGTGATCATCGTCAACTTGATATTGTGCCATTCGCTTTGAGGAAGAGACGCTTGCACTAGATGCAGCTCGTGGAGGTTGGATTGGGAGGCCGAGGCGCTGTGGGAGAGCTTGCTGGCCGCGATGACGGAGTCACCTGGCATCACTTTTCGGTCTTTTTCGATCAGGCTTACCACGTCTGGGTGGTAGAGTCTGAACATTGAGGATTCGGCGTTTTGGAGACGGATTGTTCCTGGGTTTGTTAGTTTGGTTTTCTTTTGGTTGTGGTTGCTTGTTTGTATATAGATAGATAATAGATATAACTGGAGACAAGTCTAGCAGCTTACCCTGGAACTCATCCCACATCAATCCCCAGAACCGGGTGCGGTTGTACTCGCCAGAAGTAACGGCCTTGAACCCGAGGTCTTGCTGCATCTTGACGACATCGCGAACGGCTTCTTGTTCGATGGCGGGTAGTCCGGTGGCTTCGGCGGAAATTCCGGTGGCTATCTTCTCGCGAACTTCGAGGAGGTTGTCTGGACGTAGTAGTGAGCCCAGTTGCTCGGCCCGGAATGGCGGGCCGCTGCTAAGCTTCTGCGCCATGATGTTGTATTTTGGGTCAAAGGCTATCCTTTCGATTCCGGGGGAGTTGCTTGATATAGGGATTATTTCAAGAAGAATTCTAGCTTTCATAAAAGGGGGCTCCTCCATCTTAGGGCTTCTCCATGTGGGGAATTTTATATGCGGGGCTGCTGGGGCTCTTTAGGCTCTACAATGACTATCTTCTCTTTTCTTTTTACTGGTAATATAAATATAAGGGGAATGGCCAGTTATCTGTTAGCTCGATGTGTAGATACTATCACTATAATTATATCCTGTATACCTTAATACAAACATCGGCTTGCCGACGCCTCAACGCCTCAACGGCTAAAAAAGCCCCACATACACTATAAAGTTAGCTGAAGATATTTCTTGCATATAATTCTGCATCTAACCCAGCCAAATAAAAAGAATAATAAGTATTAATTATTCCCTCCAAGTTCTGCATTCGCGCGCAGTGCAAGTTGAACACCGACCGTCCAAATACACACGTGATGTCCCAATAGCGTAAAAAAGAACATGTTGGCAATAAACCGGTAAAAAGCCCCACATCCTATCTCCATAACGAAGGACCTGTAAGGAAAAAAAAATAGGTAGCTTCTCTTTGATTGAGCGTGTCATCCTTAGTGCAGGGGCCATGCTAATCTTCTCTGTATATTTTCATTTGACCATATGCCCCGAAGGGCGAAAGAACATCCTTAGAGTTCAATATAACCCCTGTTTGAGGGCAGAATTATACCGCCTACTGGTTTGGTCTGCGTAGACATGGGATTAGCATGTTTGGGGGTTCAGTACAGCGAATTGCTGCTTGTTGGCCAGTGCAGTTGATATGATAGATAATGTTCAGACAAATAGAAGGGAAGATGAGATGAAAACCAAATAGAATCCATTGCGGGTCTCTAGGGCTTTTGTGTGGGATTACTCATCCTATGCGGGGTCATTTCAATGTGAGTGGTAATTGTTAATTGCTAACTAGAATATCTTCTGGAGTTGGCATCATGACCTCTTAAATCAACGATTGGCATGAATACCATGTAGGTTGTTGAATATCGTCTTCCATACTTCTAACCCCTAAGAAGTTCGACTTTTTCGGCACCAGGCTACCATCTCGCTAGTTCTTTCCTTTGTGCGTGACATTGTATTCGTCTGATAGAAGGATGGAAGTATATGGATCCTAACATGGTTATTATCTATGTACTTCGTTCCGTTGCCCTCTAAGCACCACACCATCTTCTTACTCTTTAGGGTATGTGGCTGTTTGGCCCCTTGAGAGATATACTAGCTCAATAACAAAAGTTTAAAACCAAACCTGCTACAAGGTATAAATATCGGAATCTTCTAGACTATTATTCACACATCTCTTCTATTCTCGAACAGCAATACAGCATTACCGCATAGTCACAAGCTCTTCGGCGCTAGTAGGGTGGATAGCAACACAGCTATCAAAGTCCTGCTTAGTAGCACCCATCTTGACAGCGACACCGAAGCCCTGAAGCATCTCACCGACGCCAAGACCAAGGATGTGCAGACCGACAACCTTCTCCTGGGGACCGGCGCAGATGATCTTCATCTCGGTGGGGTTCTTGGCCTTCTCCTCGGGGGACAAGCCGACATCGTAGTACATGGCAGTGAACTTGGTGTGGTAGACCTTGATCTTGTCATCGCCGTAGCGTTGGCGGGCCTCGGGCTCGGTGAGACCGATGCAGCCGACCTCGGGGTGAGAGAAGACGACGGTAGGAATGTTCTCGTAGGAGATCTTGGAGTGCTTCAGCTCGGGGGGGCCGAAAAGGCGGCTGCCGAGTTGGCGGCCGGCAGCAATGGCAACTACAGAATTGAGTCAGTATATTTCTTTAGACGAAAAGTGGAGATCGTGACTTACCAGGAGTCAGCTCAGCTTGACCGGTCACATCACCGATAGCGTAGACACCCTCAACGGAGGTGTTCTGGTACTCGTCAACCACGACGTGGCCGCCAGCATTCAGCTTAACACCAGGGATATCCAAGTTCAGGTCTTCGACCTCGGGAGCACGGCCCACAGCCCAGAGGAGCTCGTTAACCTCGAGCTCAGAGCCATCATGGCCAATGAGCTTGAGCAGGCGATCCTTGCCCTTGCCATCGCGGATGAGCTGCACCTCCTTGAAACCGCCGTGGTTGCGGTGGATGTTGACGCCGACGGCCTCGTAGCGATTGGTCATAGTCTTCTGAACCATAGGGTCGAACTTGCGCAGGAAGGTCTCGCCGCGGATGAACATGTGGGTCTCAACATCCACAGCGTTCATGACACCAGCAAGCTCAACGGCGATGTAGCCAGCACCGACAACGGCAATCTTCGGGGGAAGTTCTTCCAACGCGAAGAATCCGTCGCTGGTGATACCGTGCTCGGCGCCAGGCACGGCAGGGATGCTGGGCCGGCCACCGGTGGCCAACAGGATGTGGGGTGCGGTGTACCGGACGGTGCCAGAACCGTCCGCCAGCTTGACCTCAATGGTGTGGGGCTCAACGAACCCAGCACGACCATGGACGAGGTCGATTCCTTCGCGGCCCCAGTTGTTCTCGTAGGCGCCGTTCAAGCGCTTGATGACAGCATCACGGGTGTTCTTGAATTGGTTGTAGTTCTTAGTAATGTTATCAGGGATATCGTAGCCGTAGTTCTTTGCAATGTGCAGCGTCTCGTTGATAGTCGCAAAGTTCCATGTCATCTTCTTAGGGACACATCTAAATGTTGTTAGAAAAAGGGTGCAATCAAGTATAACAGCACTACACCTTGTACTCACCCTACATTGACACAGGTACCACCGGATCGCCCGCTTTCCACGATTAGAGTCTTCTTGCCATACCAACCCGCTGCGCGGCGGGCGCTTCCACTGCCACCACTACCACCGCCGAGGACGATGTAGTCATACTGCTGTGTCTCGATGGGAGGCATATTGGATGATTCTTGGTTTTTTGGCGCGGAGGACGAAGAAAAGTGTCGAGAAATGGTAGAGAGACGAGAGTGGGGTGCAATTGAGTCCGCAGGGGTGGAGCGGGGAGAGTTGATGGTCGCCAGAGTTCGATTGGTCAAACGACCAGGACGGATTTGCCCGACAGAAGATCGGGTCACAGATGAAGAGGCTCGAAAGCTAATCCGGGATGATTGGATGGAGCGGGAGAGCATGGAGAGACGGGGAGAGGGGAAGAGCAATTATATACAGGCCGAGGTGACGATATCAGGGTTCGTTAATGCACGTTGGTTATTCCGTCACTGCGGGCGATTTCTCAGCAGTGATTACGTGATCCAATCTAGAGCCCGAGGTCCGGGCAGCCCAGACCTAGTCGATATAAACTTTATATTTTAGTTTATTGCATTTCATATCTATAATTTGTTTACAGTGTTGACATGTAAAATTATTGAATTCGAAGATAGTATGTATGGGTATAGGAAATCTAGGAAAGAGCGACAGGGAGTGACCGGCACTCCAGAATCAAACTCGCGGTAGCACAAAAGGAAATAATATCAATCAGACAACTCATAACTCAATGGGCAGGGTTGAAGCACTGGAATGAGTCAAGACTTGGTTGAAACCAATGAAGGCCAATAAATGTTGAAAGATGTTTCAGATAGAAAAGAGCACTAGCCCTATCAATTTGAAGATGTTGGTCGGAGTATGACAGTAACAGGGAAGAGGGTATCAAAATGCGATGGATGAAAAAGAAAAGAAGCCGTCAAGTCCAAGCCTATGTATATCTTGACTCCATGTCACAATATGCAGTCGGTGTGACATAGCAGTCTCTTGGGCGAAGGGCTAGATAGCAGTTGAGGGCGTGGAAGGACGAAGGATGGCGCAATGGGAGTGTCTGAATATTTGCATGGAGAGAGATCAACAAGGTATCGTTTGATGCCTTGCAGATCAGCCAATCCACACAAGGTCATGCGATCCTCTTGGTCACATTCTGCCTTCGATGGAGGGGCAATATTGTGTTGAAGGTAGCGTGGGGACCGAATATTGAGTCGTATGTTGTGTTACGAGGCGAGAAAATGAAGTAAGAGTGTTTCGGAAAGAGGAGAGGCATCCCAGACTCCAGAATCCAGGATCACGGCGTGGGATCCTTTCATCTTCGTCTGGGCGCTGGGGTAGAATGCTATCGCAGGATGACTAGTGGGTATAGGCGATAACGGCAAAAGAGATGAGGCAGAAGCAGAGAGGGATGTAGACAGAGCGCTCCATATCGACGGGTGAAGAGTTGCGTTTCATGATTTTCAAAGGTGTACAATAGCAGTCAGTGAAGTGGCGATGTGTTTAAAGACCTTAAAGTGAGGGGGTCCGGGAGTATGAGTATGGGGAGGGCGGTGTGTTTATCTTATCCGCTTAGGTAACCGTGTTGGGGCCTCAACAAAACATCACCTGACTCAACGGAGCCTTTTGTCAGGATGCAGGTGATATGGATGCTAAGAGTGGAGAAGGGTACGAAGACATAGTTGAATACAATCACATTATGACTTGGCGGAATGAGAAATTAGCTCAACCTCGACCTTTTGATGTTAATCATTCCAAATGAATAGGTAGATATCGAACATATACCACTCTTCGTTTCTGATGCTGGATGAATGTGATGTGGGCGCAACCAGTTATGTTTAAGACTGATCTCTAGAAGGGGACCTACGAGATAACAGCAGAGGCTAAACCGGTCAAACGGTATAAATAATTGCACGAACCACGAAATGGTAGAGGAAGGACGCCCGAACTCCGTATCCCCGGCGCCGAAAATGCTATACATGATCAACTTTTGATAAATGCAGCCACATCAATCGGAGACTACTCCAAGCATCTCCTCAGTGTTCCTGCGAAACAGACGCTCCGCTAGCCCCGGCTTGGTCGCGCATAATTCCAAGCAACATTCAGTGAATGGACTGATATCAATACTGGAGAATCGAGTGTGCGGCCAATCAGTGGCGTAGATGACTCGATTAGGTGCAACAGACAAGAACTCGCGTGCCATAGCCTGAAGATCACGCATTTGATGGTCTTTGCTGAGTCTATACGGCGCAGATACCTTAACATATGTTCTCCCAGCGCGAAGCAGAGAGATCAATGACGAGAACCCTTGAAGGGTGTAGGGATTGAAAGCCGCACCATCATTTTCCCACAACGTGAGTTCGGGGCTGCCAAAATGGTCGATGCAGATGCGCACGCCTAGTCGTGGGAGGATCGACTCCACCATGGAGACCATCTTGAGGGGAAGATATATCTCGATGATCCAGTTGCGAGGCCGGGCAAGCTTAGCATGCTGGAGTAAGGTCTCTTCCAGCTCGGTCTTATCCATCACTTTCCCTACGGACTGAAGGTTGATTCTCAGTCCGCGGACTCCAAGGGTATGCCATTCGTCTAAAGTCTCCGGTTTAACGGTAGCAGGGTCAACGACAACAACTCCCCGGCCGCGCGAGGGCCCAAGTCTTCGCAAGGCATCTAATAAACATGAATTGTCCGTGCCATAAACTGACGGTTGCACAAAGACGAGATTCTCAACACCCAGTCCGGACTCAAAGGCGAGAGCTTCGCGTAACGTATGCGGTTTGGGTTTATATACCGCGGTTGGAGAGACGGGAAATCGCTCAGGTTCCACAACATGCATATGACTATCCCAGGACTTTGGAGGGAGTCTCTGCTTTAGCGATACACTTGCGGCCGAGACATGTGTTGAGCGCCGTTGCTCTAAACGGGTAGAAAGGACATCAAAAGATATCGATGGAGGCCCGCGGAGTACATTGGTTTTGGCCTGAGCAGTGGTCAGCATCTCGAATATATGGTAAGCAAAATAGAAAGGGCGGCGAGTTTCCAATAGTAAATGAGGAGACACAGGTATAAAAAAAGGCAAAATGAAGCCCTGGGAAGATACTCACAGAAGAGCAGCTCCAGCAAGACGATATCACCCTACGACAGGACCTAAGAGGAACCATCCCACTTTCACCGCTTAACATTCGTAAATGTTGATCGAAGTGCCTGCAATGCAGGTTTTTTTTAAATAAAAGCACCCATCGACCCTTTCCGACCAGCACAATATGTACGGAGTGCAATGTACAGGTCTTGTATGACCCACCCCCCAACACACACGCTTGTGATCAGGCGCAGGGAAAAATCGAGCTCGGAAGTTGTCCGTCAAGGACTCCCTTCCAATCCCTAAGCAGCTATATGGGCCTGTTAAATGCGGCGATGAGCCGTCAAGCGGAGCCAAAAAGTGGATAGCTGCGGCGCGATCCGACATTGAAGTATAGAGTCACTTGGAAGTCATTGTAATGCGAGAAAGTAATGGAGAATTATGTGTAATCATTTCTGCATTGCAGTAATTGGTGCTCAAATCCTTGTAAGACATGGTGGGAAAAGTATATGTAGGAAGGCCAAGCTCGGACGTTGACCGAATCTCTTAGCTCGGACGCCGAGCACCCGGTCTTATCCTGTCCACCTCACTTCATTTCCCCCGGATTTATTACTATACGCCCCCACAGCTTGTTTATACTAGGGGCCATGCGATGGATCACGTCACGATGGTCGACCAATCCCTACTGCGCCCTGGTGATTGTTGTCATTGCCTGCGGCGGGATTCCGAAAGGTATGAACTCCCCCCGCCCCTCCCACTAGACTAGATTGTCAGACAACGATCTGCAACACTATACCTACATAGGTAGTGACATCGCTAATTGCGCATTCTCTTCATTAGGATATGATGAGGGTGGTTATAGTGCCAGCGTCTCCCTCCCCTCCTTCAAGTCCGACTACAACCTCGTTAAACAATGGGGAGTTGACGATACCGAGCTAGCTAATCGGAAAGCGAACATCACCTCCTTCAACGTCCTAGGTGCAGCACTCGGTGCCCTGATAGCCCTCGACCTCAATGATCGACTGGGACGCTTGGTGGCGTGGCGCCTGGCGTGCATCGTGTGGGCAGCGGGGACATTGATCCAAATATTCGCGTCTGGTATATACGGACTGCTCTTGTTTAGTCGCATATGGGGCGGGTTAGGCGCGGGCGCTCTCACCGTCACTGCGCCATTGTATTTAACCGAAATCGCCCCTGTGAAGACGAGAGGTCTGGTGGTGGGGATATACATGGTAGTCTTACTGGCCTTTCTGGCCATGGGTAAGCTTTGACCCTCTATACATCGTACATTGTACGCATATTCGGCCCCTAATCAGATACGCTAACACTTTGTTTCAGGATTCTTTATCAATTATGGTGCCAGGGTCCACATGGCGATCACGCGAACCCAATACCGCCTAGTTCAGGCTGTGCCTTTAATCCCTGTCGGCATCGCATATGCTCTTTCGTACCTTTGCCCAGAGACTCCTCGGTATCTCGTTTCAAAACAGCTCCACCACGAAGCGCTGGAGGCTCTAGCACGGTTACGCGGCAGGACTATCAACGATCCCGAAATCACAAAGGAGTTCGCGACTATCGATGCACGGGAGCGGGAGCGAGCAACAGACCTAGCATCTGTCTCTCATTGGACTATTTTCAAAGAGACCCAGACGAACCCAAATTACCGACAGCGCTTCTGGCTGCTAATGACTATGCAAACTATCGCTCAGTGGACCGGCGGGAATGGCATCACATACTACGTAACGACCATATTCCAGGTACGTCAATTTCAAGCATCCGCGCCAAGTAACAAACCACTAACAAATCCGAAAACAGTACGCCGGTGTAGGAGGCGACGCAACATCCCTTGTCTCATCAGGCGCCTACGGGATCGTTAAACTAATCTTCACAATGGCCTTCACATGGGGTCTAATCGACCTCCTCGGTCGACGTCGCTGCACACTCGCCGGACTAAGTCTACAACTCGGGGCGCACATCTACATGGGTATATACATGGGTCTGCGTCCAGGCTCAGCAGACAACAAAAACGCCTCCAACGCAGCCGTCGCATCTGTCTTTGTTTACGCTGTCGGCTGGTCCATCGGCCTCTGCACTGTGCCCTACCTGTACGGAACGGAGATATTCCCAACACGCATCCGCAACCTCAGTTACGCGATTAGTATGGGGCTGCACTGGTTTTTCCAGTTTGCTGTTGTGCGAGTCACCCCGAATATGTTCGTCTCGCTTGATATCTGGGGTGCTTATCTCTTTTGGGCGCTTATTTGCTTTTCGGGGTTGGTTATCCTTGGCATTTGGATGCCTGAGACGAAGGGTGTGCCTATTGAGCGGATGGGGGATTTGTTCGATGGGCCGTGGTATCTGCGGTGGCGAGCTAAACCGAGGGAGTGGGATGTTGCTTCGTCGACTGATATGTCGCAGAATGTTGAGTTGAAGGATGCTCGTGTCTTGAAGTCTAGTGGTTCGGTCTTGTGATTTTTTGTTATTTTCCTCGCATCCCATTGATATGCATATATCTGTCATTTACTGATACCCCATTTTGTTATTATTTGGCCCATGTTTGACTTTTATAGCGTTTTGATTATGTCCTTTTGCGTGATTCCAAAAGATATCTTCTCTATTTTACACATAAATGACAGCTTTTTTCCACCTTACGGCATATCGTCTTGGAATAATTATTGAAACGTGATAGTTGTCGATTTTTCTCTGCGGTGAAGCTTACAAGGCTGCCTACACGGAAGTGTACCTAGGAATAGAAGTGGATATATGTACCTCGGACTGACCCTGATTCTGACAGGTTGCTATATTGTATATGGAGTTGGGAATCATGGAAACAAAACTAAGTCGGTGGGCAAAAGACGAAAAAACAACCGAACCATCGCATGAGTAACGCTATACAAGATCATTGAGAAGGTCCACCCCACCCCTGCTCAAAGACAGGCGTCATATTCGTCGTAATCGGCTGCGCATACGAGAATGCCTCATATACCTCCGGCGTGATTTCGTAGGAACCGGGGTCATCCATCGTCATGACGGCGTTTGGCATCCCGCCCAGCAAGTGCGTAGGCGGCATCTGGGGCATTTCACCCGGGTGCGGGATGTTGAACCCTGCCCCTGGGTGCTGGAAGGTATTGTATGGTCCCATGAGGGGCGGGTTTTCAGGGCCGGTGGTTTGGACTTGCGTGGCTATCGATGCTTGTGGTTGGTGGTGATGCAGGCCTGGGGAGACGTGGCGGGATGGGTTGCTGCCTATTGAGGGGTCCTGGCTGTGCTGAGGGTTGTGGAGATGAGGATGGGGTTGGGGTGGGGATTGGTGATGCTGAGGGTGGTGTTCCTGTTCAGTTTCGGGAATAGGTAGGGGCATCGGTCCGCGGATGTTGATTTGGAGTTTTTGGAGCTCCAGGGAGATGAGGCTGAGTGCTGTTGTGATAACGGGGTTGGCGGCTTTGACTCTCTCGAGAGCGAAAATGCAGAACTTGAGTTTGTCTAGTGTTCCCGGTGCGGCGTATTTCAGGGCTTGGATCTCCAGTAGGAAAATCGATGCTGCTGTGTAGATGCTGTATGCTAGAGAAAGGACGACGTGGCTGTCGCCGAATGTACGGCGGTATAGATCGAAGAGAGATAGGATTGATGTTGCTGATGCCATGCATTGTACAAGATGGGTCGAGTCGTATGCCTCGGGGCGGGCTTTGAGCAGCTCTCGAGAGCAGAGAATTGGTCGATGGAGAAGGATGTTGATAGTATGGTATAAACAACTAGAAAGAGTTGAGTTAGCACTGTGTTACAGGGTACGCAACATTGAGCACATACTTCAAAATCACGATATGACTTGGTGGTGAGTATGGAGGAAGGTCTACCGCCGTCAATTTCAAGTAGTCCGGTAGCTCATCCCACCAGTCACTCAGATTCTTGGCCTGCTCCTGAACACAATCAAAGAACTCCGAGTCCGTGCTTCTGCGGATTGGGTCGTATATGTGGATCAGAATCTGGTTCAAGACTTCCGCCAGACCGCACATCTTCATGAAACATGACGTCGAATGCGCCTGTGTCGGCGGATAGTGAGCACCATCAGTGAAGCTCACCCCATGAGGTGTCCAAATTTCGATCTCAGCGGTGTCATCGAGAATCATGCGTGGCGGGCTAACGCGAGAGTGCTGCATCGTCGGCGCTCGGCCAAAGTACAATGAAACCACCTTATCCCAGAAATAACAACTCCAGAATAGACGGTTCCGTATTTCAATATCCTCATCACTCAGTTGAGCGGATCCTGAATATTTCCGGCTGTCGATAGATATACCCAAGTCGTCCAACAGTCGAAACGCCATGCCACTGTATAGCCAAGCCTGCGTCCGATTTCCACGGCCGCATTCCTGGGCACTGAGAAGAAGTAATGTCTGAATGGTAGGGATGCCTGCATAACCAACTTTGAGAGAGTCGAATACCCCATTCAATGCGCGATGGGAGAATTGTGCACCGCCGTCATAGGAGTCCAGAAGCGGGCCAACCTGAGGCTCCGATTTGCACCAGCGTACCGAGTGAGAAAGAATGGCATTTAATAAGACGTCGGAATAATAAGCCCCATTAATTTTCATATCACCTATTAGAGGTTAGTGTCATATATCCGAAATAGCAAGATCGAACAGACGTGTAAATGCAGGACGGTAGACGAAATTCCACAGCGGCTGGATCCAGCACCAATGCGAATCGAGAAGATATTGGAAAGGCTCCTGCAGGACTATATCAGCATCCACATCCCTCAAACAATCCAATCCAGGACGCATACCGGCATAGCAGCCATCTGCTCGAAAGCCCTTTCCCGCCATGCGCTATTAACAAGCCGCTCTTTGCGACCCTCCAATTCCTGCGCGTAATGCGAAGTCGACGCGGCTTCGTTCACTACCCCACCAGGCAGCTGGAACAAACTAGTCGGCCCATGAAATGAGACGCGACCGTCATTTTCCACATTAAGGCCATCAAATGCTCGACTGAGGTCTTCGGCATCGGGATCGATCTTTATCTTCGTTCCGCTCGAGTTGGACTCAGCCGATGAGGGCGATCTCGTCTTCCGCGTCTCTTCCCCCTCTCCGCGCTTCAAAGCTTCCTCCAACTGCGCAACCCTAGCCTCCAGCTGTTTCGTGTACGATAACGTCGGTGCTCTTGGAGAACGATGTGTCAGTGACGGAATAGAATAAAGAGGGGGATCGACCCACAAGCTATACACACACTGCTCGCTGCGCGCGGCGCATCGCGAACACGACGGACTAGCTCCGTTACATTTAACCTGGCGAGCATTAGCTCGAAAATCTCGGGGTACTCGGCCTTCGTCCGAGAGGGATCCGCGGTCACCTTGCGTTTGCGACAGGCCTCACATGAGAAGGCACTCTTCCGGGGGAGAGTCTTGGGAGGCTCCGCCATTCCAGTACCTTTGCAAGGTTGTGGAGATATACCCCCAAAATATTAAAATACAAAGAGGAAAAGATAAAAATAGGAGAGAAGTTTTTTGGCCCCACGGGGATTAGGCCTTTTGAGAAATGAGATAGTATTGACGTCGAATTAGCTCGAGGTCGAGTTGGAGTAGGGCAGAGGTTGGAGCTCATTGGTTGGAGATTTGGAGATTTGGAGTGAATCTATATCCACATAGATTATATGTTCTATAGGATATAGGATATAGGTGAAAGAAAAAGTAAAAGGCAATTAGATGTGCTTGCTATTTGCATGGTATTCAATTGTATACATTCCCTTATTTGTTTCCTTTCTTGAAACCCGACTTGCCCTTGCCCTTAGTCTTGGCCTTCTTGGGATCCTTAGCAGAATCCGCATCACCCTTGCCCTTCTTCCACCCGATATTACCATCGTGTCTCATCTGTGCATCATCAAGACGCTTCTTGTCCTTGTTGCTGAGCTTGACATTGCTCTTCTTGGTATTGGGACCGTTCAACTCGACATTACCCAGCTTGCGAGAAACCTTCTTGTCCTTTTCAGTCTCGAACCACGTCCGCTTCGGCCGAGACATGATCTCGTTTCCGTGCTTCATGAGGTTCTCACCCTTGGTGAACTGCATCTCGGCTTGAGAGAACTGCTTCTCGGTCTTCTCCTCTTGCAGGATCTCAGCAATCTCGTCAGCCATATCCTCGGCCTTTTGCGCCCAGCTGTCGGCAACGGATTGCTCGACCACACGACTGACGATCTTGGCGCCTTGGGCCTTTCCGGCGCGGACGGCAAGCTTGACGACCTTGCGGTCGGGCTCGGCGGCAATCGTGCATGCACGACCGGAGCGGCCGGCACGGGCTGTACGTCCAACACGATGCAGGTAGATCTCGTGGCTCTGGGGTGCCTCGTAGTTAATGACGGTCTCGACACCCTTGATATCCAGACCACGAGACGCAACGTCGGTGGCGAGAAGGAAGGCAACCTTGCCATCTCGGAAGTTTTCGACGGATTTGATACGCTGTATAGGAAGTTAGTGCTGTACATATAAAACACGGATTGATTGAACATACCTGTTCTTGGCTCAGACTACCGTGTAGCTCTGCTGCCTTCAAGCCCAATAGGCCGAAAATGATACGAACGCGGTGAGCTTCCTTCTTCTGTCGGAAGAAGATAATAACACGCTTGTTGTAGGCTTCTTTGCACAGGTAGAGGAGGTAACCGAGACGCTTGTCCTCCCGTCCGGGACGGAGACGCACGAACTCTTGGATAAGGGTGGAGACAGTGTTTTTCTTGGCATCAACCATCAAGCGCATTGGGCGGTTCATACCGACACGAATAAGCTTGTCGATTGAGTCTGTCATGGTCGCAGAGAACAGCATAGTCTGGCGAGATTTGGGAATCGTGGTGAGAATCTCGTTCAACTCATCAGCGAAACCGTCCTCAAGCATACGATCAGCCTCATCAAGAACTAGAATCTCAAGGGTATCGACTGTGAAACTGGGCGAGTTGCGCATGTGATCAATGAAACGACCGGGTGTAGCGATGATGACATCGGGGCGCTTCTTGAGCACGTTCTCTTGCTCGCGAAGACTGAAACCACCAACCAATTGACAGAATGTGACGTCTGTGAATGTAGCCAGTTTGACGGAAACATTGTAACACTGAACAGCCAACTCACGAGTGGGCATCAGAACCACAACACGACTTGTAGGGACCTTGCGGGGACGGAAGAGAAGACGCTCGAGGATAGGAACAATGAAGGCAGCGGTCTTTCCGGAACCAGTCACGGCACTACCGACGATATCCTTGCCCAACAGAGCAACGGGAATCGCCTTGCGTTGGATAGGAGTCGGGTCTGTGAATCCAACTGCGGCGAGACCGCGAAGGATGGGGCGGGAAAGATTGAATTCTTGGAACGTCATCTTGGCCATGCTGGCCTTGGTGTCGACCTTTTCTTCGGGGGCAAAGAATGCTTTGCGCTTCTCTGCTTCCTCCTCATCCACCTCGCTCTCTACATCAGACTCCACGTCTGAGGCCCTGTCATCGGGGTGACCAACGGGTGTGGCGACAGAGTCGTTGTCAGATGCAGCATCGTCATCGGAATCCTCATCTTTATCCTCATCGTCCTCCTCGCCTTCATCCCCAGAGCCAGGCTCGGGGCCCTCGGCATCACTCTCCTCCTCGCCGTCTGCGCCCATGCCGAAGGCGTCCTCGGCCATGAGCTCATCGTCCTCGAAGTCAACGGGCATTTCGTCGCCTGATGCAGCCTCGTCTTCAGATGCGCTGACGCTCTCTTCCTTCTGGACGGGGTTCTTCTTCTGCTTCCTAGCAGCAGCCTCATCCTTTTTGGCCTGCCTCCGCTCAATGATATCATCAATATCAACAGCCTTCTTGTCGCCGGAGCGCTTCTTCTCGTTGTCATTAATACCCCAGCCATCGAAGCCTTCAGTGACACCTTGGTTCGCGACACCGCCGACATCGAACTCGAACTCGGGGTCTAAGACGCCGTCGTCTTCTGTTGCGTCCGCTGCAGCAGCATCATCGTCCTCCTCCTCTTCCGACTCGGGTTCGGGTTCGGGCGCGGCGTTCTTCTTGTTCTTCTTGGCGTTTTTCAATTGCTGCTTTTCTTGCTGCTTCTGTTTCTTGTTCTTGGGCTTGACGCCTTCGACTTCGCGCTTGCGCTTTTTGTTGTCTGCTGCTGGCGCGGTATCGTCCTGCATCTCGTTATCGTCATCTTCTTCCTCGAAACGGGTTTCGATCTCGTCGTCGGAGAGCGTGAACACGAAATCATCGTCTTTGGCGGAACTCCGCTTCGCCGATTGAGGAGCCATTTTGAAGGCTGGCGCAATTTCCAGTGTATATTTGGTAGCTGGATATCTTCCACACTCGCTCGAACAGTCTCAATAGAAAATTCAAGACCCCCGAACACTGTGCAAGCAACTCAATCTCGCCGAGAAGAAATGGATCAACATGCAAAAAAAAGTTCCCCGGGCGGTGACAAGAAAATTTCAGATGACATAATCAATCCGCTTCGAGCCCGCTAAATAACTAGTTAACTAGCTCTACGGAATTCCTTCAATATCCCACGCTCTATATTCATCCCAGGTTATAGATGGAAAAGTCAAAGCCTCTTCTTTCTCTCTGCCACCTACCTACCTTTAAAGGAAATATCTCAAAAAACAGACATCTGAACAGAATATCTGAGAAGACCACTGGAAAGACCACTAATGATACATCACAAGGCTGCGTAAGCGGCCAAGTATTTATTCTACTCTACAATTAAGAAAGAATTAACATAGTCATACATTTTCAATCAAATACCTATCTAGGTAGGCACTTCTCATCTGCTCAATATCCCCCGTATGCCCTTCAACATATCAACTTTTCTTTTGGGTGAGACATCCAGGATATAACATGCTGGATATAGACCATTTGTCTGTCGCATCAGTCTCATTTTGTTTTCAACTTTTTTTGTTCTTTTCGTTTTTTGTTTTCTTCCAGACCGTTGTTTTCTCGATTTTCCGAATATGCTCCCCGTTCATAGTCCCCACATCATTCATTCGCGGGCTCATCAGAGGTAGTTGAGTGTGGCAGGCCGTGTACCATTTTCCTGGGGCTTAGCTCGAGCCTGAGATCGGTTCTCAGCCCCGTCGCTCACACGTGGGGCCCGGATGCGACGAGCCATGTAACGAAGGTCAAAACTAGGAATATGTGTCAGTGAGAAAGTGAAAAGAAAAGACAAGCCCTACCTCTTGCCACTCTTCACTCTTCCATTCTCGAATACGCACTTGTCCTCGAAGCCAAAGTCCTTCTGCAACCACTTCTTGATCCAAGCATGCTCCTCCTGGGTCTCCTGGGATGCTGCAATGGCACAAACCAGTGTTGTGAGGTGGCGGCCATAGCCCGGTCCATACTGCACTGTGCCAGTTTGATCAAACTCATAATCGGTGTTTTTTCCGGGGTTCACATCAAAGCAAGAGAGTACCATGTCAATAAGTGCCCGTCCAATGTGTTGATTCTTGTTACCCTCTCGGATGAAGACATGCAGCTCACCCATATGCATGTCAGCGCTCTTGCCATGCCGATGGAATTCGACATAAGCATAGCCAACCACAGGATCGATCTGGTTGCGGCACAAGGGCTCCGGTGGACGTCGGGCAGCGACGACGAAGGGGAAGTGGTTGTCTCGGCAAAATTGAAGCAGCTCCTCGAAGCCCTTTGCCTCCATAGATCGGGTTCCGCTGCTCAAAGCTGAGTTTCGTGCATACCAATTCATGATTCCAAGGATAGAAGAAGCGTCACACTGTTCCGCGGGACGTAGATAGACGCCAGGTGGGACAACTTTTGAATCTGGTGGTAATTCTAGCCAAGCACGGTAAGCCGCGGTGCGACGCAGGTGCTCTTGTTGTTGCTGTTCCTTCTTCTTTCGTCTTTTGTTGACCTTTCCCAGGTTGTACACGTAGCCCTCTGACGTCTCGTGCCAATGCAGGCGTGTCTCCTCGTCTTTCATGTCCCTCGGGGCGGGGATATGCTTGATGTCAGGCAGAAACATAGAAGACTGTCCATCGGGCATCGCGGTTCCGTCAAAGAAGGCAGCATGGTAGATGTCGACTTGGCGTCCTGCAGGAAGCTGATCCCACCAGCTGCGAAATTGGTTTCTAACAACGGCGTTGGGAAGATCAAAAGATGAAATTCTGTGCTTGAGTTTGTGCCAGTGATCATATTCTTCCTGGAAGTCTAAAGTGCAATCGTTAAGAAGAGATTGCTCGGATTCGTAGATAGCGCTGTGGGATTCCGATGTGAACGTGAGGATGCCGTCTTCGATTCTCGGGAAGATCTGGTAAGATTCTCCATATGCCTTGGCTTGAATCTTGTGCTGGGCATTCCAATGGGCCCGAGACAGCACATTGTTGGACCCTTTGGCTGTCTTCTCGATATCTTCGTATGCATTGTCAGGAATAAAGTCAGGTGGGTCAGACGTTGCCCATGGCTCAGGTTCCTCAACGCCTTCGACAATTCTGGCCTTTGCGAGCAAATGATAAACCTTGCTGCTCTTATCAACTCCAGGTCCATCCCTCGCTGCGGGAAGCATCTCAGGGCAAGAGTGACTCTCGTTTTCCATGCCAAACAGAGGCTGCTGTACGGGCTTGTTCTTTCTCCTCTGTTTGTCAAACTGTTTGGTCAAATCCCAAGTTTGTGTCCAGCTCAGATCCTCAATGCTCTGTATCAGCTTGTTTCGTTCCATCTCGTCCATGGATTCGAAAATACGAAGCATGGCTGAACTAGAGTTAGTTGGGAGCACTGTCGATTTTGCCTTGTCGGAATTCTTGGGTGGCTTTTGGTGGATATCATCCCTGCCACAGAATGGCACAGACAGTTCGACTTCTTCTGCCATTTTGATATGACTTGGATCACGCGGAATAAAATGTGAGGTTCTAGTAGATATTTTCATGTCAGCTGGGATGCTCGAACATCACTGACATAATGCTTCTTTGGTCTGTTCTGGATCTCCCTTGCTTTTCTTCGCTAGCATGTGATTATGGTGACTGAGAAACCAGTTGGGAAGACCTGGGAACCCACTTGGGGTAGAGCTTGCAATTGTGCCTGTTCCACAAATGTATCACTTGGGGGGCGGGGGTGGGGGGCTTTGTGTTTGTTGCTCAAAGGGTGCATATAAATGTTGACAAGCGTACCTGAATGATTGGATGCGGTGTAGTGCACTGAGGAGACTGGACTGTAGAGCACGTTCTGTGTCGCGGGACGTGACACGTTGAGTGAGAAAGAAAAAAAACGACCGAGATTATGAAAGAGAGAAGTGATGATGGAAGGGAGGAAGAGAGTGAAATAGAGGATGGTATGGAGAGAGGGGCAAAGGAAAAGGGAGAGGAAGAGGAAGAGAGAGGACCATAAACGGTAAGAAACCTCGAACGTCCTGTCAAAGTCGAACTTCAGCTAACCTTCACAACTTCCTGCTATCCGATCGTATCTCTGCTGTTTCCTCTCATCCAAAAAAACTAGCGTTTCTAATAAGACTTCAAGTTACTTCGCAACCGCAAGAGCTGATATCTGAATAGACCTTGGAAGATCTAGATGAAGTTGATACAAATGATACAAAATTTCAACGCGACAGCACGAGCTACGGTCTATGGCTTACAGTATATATATCTAAATGTTTATGTTCAGATAAAATGATCTAAAGCCTTAAATTCCAGGGATCGTAAACTTATATTGGATACGGAGTATATAACTTGCTACTAGTGCCGTGCCCTGGAGTTTGATACAGTTTTGGAAATTCAAGCTATCAAAATATAGGGGAAAATACACTAGCAAGAGATTCACATAGGCATATTTGAACAGAAAGTTATGTTGTAGTAATGGGGAGAAATATAATATCGGACGATCGATAGACATGGTCAACCCCCGTCTTGAGCCTGACAGCATTTTTCCTTTTCCATCTCCCTCCCCAAAAACTTCAAGCAGGATATTTTTTGCAACCATGTTGTCCATACTGCGAAAAGCCCGCTTAAAGGACAAAGAAATGCGTATACTGATGCTGTATGGCCACCGAGCAGTCGTTCAGACCGAGATACTAATGATTGCAGGGGTCTTGATAATGCCGGGAAGACGACCATCGTCAAGCGAATTATGAAAGAGGATGTCACGACGGTCAGCCCAACTTTAGGATTTATCATCAAGACAATTGATTTTATGGGGTAATTTTCCATACTTGTTAATACCTCGAGCTTTGCTAACTCGGCGCAGATACAAACTCAACATCTGTGAGCCCACCGGGATCTCTGGGACTCCACCGTACTGACAGCACTAGGGGATGTTGGAGGACAAAAAACACTTCGATCCTACTGGAAAAACTATTTTGAAAAGACCGACACATTAGTCTGGGTTGTCGATGCCACCGATCGACTCCGGGTTGATGATTGTCGACAGGAGCTGTCGGGTCTGCTTCTCGAAGAGGTACGGATGACGTCCCCACCCGTCTGTAAAACTTGAGAACGTCAACTAAACCCATTCCACCAGCGTCTTACGGGAGCTAGTCTGCTAGTATTTTTGAATAAGACAGACGTGGAACATTGCATGAGCGAGCAGGAAGTTCGAGAAGTAGGTCTAAATCTGGAATTGTTTGTATGTGGCTAATGTTTCTGCAGCGTCTTGACTTGGATTCAATCAAAACACACAAGTGGACTATCTTGCCATGCAGTGCAATGACGGGCGTGAATCTGAATGAAGGTCTAGAATGGGTGGTACAAGATGCCAAGGACCGCTTGTTCCTTTACTAAACCTTTAACTCTCGGGGGAAATCGGCCTTCTTGATATGCTTATATTTTAAATTTCCGATTGATCAACTTGTCCTTCCAATAAAGCTATGATATATATAAACCAACGTGCAGTCCGGTTTAAAACTTCGCTTCCAAAAAAACCATCCATGCCGTACATTTTTTATGCATACCCTCTCTAATATTGTTTACATGTTCTAATGGGCTATCTCGTAAAAGTTCAAAATTGCAAAGGAAGGCTGCTTACATCCGATAGGTAGAGATTGACAAAGAGTTAAGAGTTTTCATCTACACTGCATGCAAGGCACAACTGATATATCCACCCACGAAAATAAATATGATCCTCTGAATTCATATAGCCGAGCCCCTGAAAACCAGGAAAAACCAGGAAAAACCAGGGAAAGCCAGAAAACCCCCCGAAAGAAAGGCCATGGAACGAGAGGCAAACTGCGGGGCGGAAAGAGCTGAACTCCACAGTAAACAAACATCAAGTTTGGTATAAATGTATCTATATATATAATATTATAGAGAGAAAATAAGTATAGTAAATAGAAATAGAAATAGAAATAGAAATAGATTAAAATGATTTAAGAAAAAAAAAAGGTGAGGTGTGTGAGCCAATGAATTTGTTGATCATCACAAGTCCCGATTTAATTTAAACAGGGCGGAGAACACAACTCTTCTTCTCTCTCTTCCCTCATTTGTCTCATTCAAGGAGGCGTGCATGAACGCCCCAAGTCCAGACCATGACTGTTCCTAACGAGAGTTCCGAGGATGTCAATGATTTCCTTCAGCGCATCCGGGAACTAGGCGAGCGTCGCGACAAGGAAGATGACGAGCGCACCAAGAAACTGGAGGAGGAGATTATGCAGGGGCGGAAAGAAAGGCAAGCCCGGAGAGCTGGTACGCACTCTTCCCCTTGATGCAGGCAATGTCCGCAGTCACAACATTTGCTGCACAGTGTGCTGATATCCGGATGACTCAAAAAACAGAGCGTGCACGATCACTGGCCCTTACCGACGATTCATCCACCCTTAATGTCGCGCGACTGAGCACATCGTCTACCAGCCCCCGATCTATCGACCCCCCGGAGCACCTCGAGCCAACACCGCAAACCCCGCAAACACCAGGACCTGAGCCTCCGACCTCCAGCGCCGTGGATTCGAGTCAAGACACGGAGGTTTCTGACAAGCGGCGCGGATCGGTCCCAGATCTCGGAATGGATTCTCCCTCGCGGACACGACCCCCCTTGTCCCGCAGCCGCGCGGGGACTTTGTCATGGCAACAACGCCCGTCCTCACGAGATTTCGGCATGTCACCCTCGGCATCCCCAACTCGCTCCCCAACTCGCGCAAGCCACTTGAGAAATTTGTCTACGGCGTCGGATGAGAATACACTATCTCGCCTCCAATTTGGGTTCCCGCGGCCCTCGAAGGACGCTCCTGTGCTCCCTCCATCACCGGATCGCGGGGCTGGGGAGTTAGCATACAGTGGGAAGGAGGAACAAACAGATAGCCACACAGATGTGGGCGCGGGGCACCAAGAGCCGGAAGTGGAAGAATCAAGTACTGAACTAGATAAACTTGAGGCAGTAGAAGAGAGGTCATCGTCGCCTCCAAGAACCGGGTCTCGCGATAGCAACATGAGCCATCGCTTCTCGGTATCATCGGTTTCAGCCGGGCTAGGGTCGCCAGTGCACCTGACAGAGACTCCGAAGCTCGAGCCTCGACAGAATGATTCCTTTGAGGAATCTGTGCCGTCTCCAACCCAGCGGCGGATGTCACCCGAGCGAAGCCGGTCGACCTCACCCACCAAGGGTCTGGGAGGCTTTGTTCAGAGTGCTATGATGAGAAGATCAGATAGTGTGTCAAAAAGGTGGAGTGCACAAATTCCTCAGGGACTTGGGCGGTCAAATTCTATTGTGTCAAATCGCAGCAGTGTGGCAGGTCCAAATTTGAGTGAAACCCCTCCAACTCTTGGGCGAGTTGCGCGTGAACCTTCAACTCTCCTGCGACCAGGCTCCAGCCACAGTGAGGCATACACCGAAACAACTGAACGACCAACCACACCTGCAAACGATAGAGACAGTGTGAATTTTGATAGCCCAGGAAAATCATTCCGACCTACTCACTCGCGTTCTGCTAGCTCTGCTACCGCAGACGGGAGTGAAAGTTCGTTTGTCTCGAAAACCATGGATCCCAGACGTTGGAGCCCCAACAAGGCTTCTTGGCTGGAAAGTGCCCTCAATCGACCAGAACTACCACGACAAACATCCAGACCTCCGTCGCAGCCCAACTGGGCCAAAGATCGACAGTCGCGAGGTAGCGTGGATTTGGGACGAGCCAATAATTTCAAGGAAGTCACTCCTCTCGGTTTGATGCGAACACCCCCACCAGGAACTCAAACCAAACTACCTGGCTCTGGTCCATCACTTCCTACAAGTCCTATTAAAGATGGTGTTCCCGAATCTCCATTAGGATTCCCTCTGAAGAAAGTTGGTACCTCTGGTCCATCGCTTCCGACAAGCCCTACCAAGGATGCTGTTCCTGAGTCTCCATCGGGATTCCCTTTCAAGAGGACTGGCATCTCTGGTCCCTCGCTTCCTGCCAGCCCTGTGAAGGAGGCAATTCCTGAGTCTCCATCTGGATTCCCCTTCAAAAAGCCAAGCGTCTCGGGTTCATCACTCCACAGGAACTCTGTTACGGAGCCTCCCTCAGAATTCCCTTTCAAGAGGCCTGGTACCTCTGGAGGGTCAGTCAGCGGAAGTCCTGAAGGCAAACTCAAAGAAACACCCGAGTCTCCCTCGGGATTCCCTTTCAAAAAGCCAAGTGTCTCGGGCTCATCACTCCACAGGAACTCGGTGACGGAGCCTCCGGTGGAATTCCCACTCAAGAGGCCCAGTGTCTCTGGTCCCTCAGTTTCTGGAAGCCTTGCCAAGGAGACCGTTCCTGAATCTCCAGAGTTCTCATTCAAGAGACCCAGCATTTCTAGTCCCTCGATCCCTGGAACCCCCGAAACCAAATTGAAGGAGATCGCGCCAGTATCTCCGTTGGTTCTCGGTAGCCCTGACGCCAAACAAACAAAAGAGGAAATCCCAGCTTCTCCAACACCTGTTGAAGAGGCCCTCAATGCCCTATCAGGTGGCGCACCGGTGGAGGAACCTAAAGCTGCCTCTCCCGCTGAAGTGGAGAATGAATCGCAAGAACCACCGGCATCTGAAGAGTCCGAAGTCATCAACGAGCCTCAATCTACTCCCACTCGCAGGGCCCCTCCCGACTCGTTGAGCCCCAAACCAAACTTTTCCGTCTCTACCTCCTCGCGTGGGCCCATTTCACCCAAGGCCAAGCCACAATCTCCTGTGGTAGATTTCCGAGCAAACTTACGGAAACGCGAAGTCGTCAAAGATAACGGGGACAACAAAGAACCAGAGTTTAAAAATGTATTTGGGCGCCTCAAAAAGACTGAAACTCGCAACTATGTTGCCCCTGACGAGCTCAAGGGCAATATCCTACGAGGCAAAGCTGCTTTGAACAACACCGGCGGACCAAAGAAAACTGAGCGAGTCGATGAATTTAGGAAGAGTCTTGTCTTACGCAAAGACGAAATGAAAGCCGGCGGAGGCTCCATCAGACGGAATACCGCTGGAGAGCAGGATGCGCCAAAATCGTCTGAGATCGTACCAGAAGCAATTGCCATGCGACAGAATATGACCCGGGCAAATAGCATCAAGCAACCACTTGTCGATGAGCCGATGTCGCCCGCTAAAAGCTTGAGTTCTCGACTTTCACAGGACAGACCAGCATTGTCGTCCCCGAGTTCATCTTTCAAAGGCGTCAGTCCATCGCGCGTCTCTCAAGAACAGCATCAACCACTTGTGGATGAGCCAATGTCGCCTGCTAAAAGCTTGAGTTCTCGTCTTTCACAGGATAGACCAGCATTGTCGTCCCCGAGTTCATCTTTTAAAGGCGTCAGTTCATCGCGGGTTTCCCAAGAACAACAACTACCTGTGGACGATATGATGTCTCCCGCTAAAGGCTTGGGTTCTCGACTTTCACAGGACAGACCAGCATTGTCCTCCCCGAGTTCATCTTTCAAAGGCGTCAGTCCATCGCGAGTTTCCCAGGAACAACAACCATTGTCGCCATTGCCTGCCAATGATGAGCAGGGCTGGCCCTTGAAAGATACTAGTTCCTCGCGAGCATCTCAAGAATCGCAGCCATTATCACCCTTCCCTGATGATGATCCCATTGATGAGCCAGAGGAGGCAATCCCGGCCGCATGCGACTACAAGCAAACTCCCAAGGCGGTATCTTCTGCGAACCAGAAGGAAACCCGCGAAGTCGTGGCACCATTCGCACCCAGCGTAGTGAAGATGCAGGAGCCCTCAGTCAAGACACTCCGCCCAGTTCGTCAATGGCCACCGGCGCCTGTCGCAGAGGCTACCGCGACTCCAAGTCCGGCACCTAAAAGCAAATTGGCAGGTCGAATCAACCCTGCGCTAGCTGGCCTGCTTTCTCGTGGCGTGCCTGCCGGTGACGGACTGAAGAAGCAGCTACCGACCCCTGTCACAGCGCAGAGTGAACCTGCTTCGCCAGCTGCGCCTCTCACGCACGCCACAAAGGGTCGTGCTAGAGGTCCTAAAAGACGACCCCCCAGACAATTGATGTCTCGACCCCATCCCCTCGGGATGATACTATGGAGGTTGGTGCAATTTCATCCTCTGAAGCCACTCCGTCACAATCTCCCATAATCCCTGTTGAATCCTTGGAGATCGATTCGGAGCACCTGTCGCAGCCTGATGAAGACCCAGTTCCTGACATCAAAGACTCCCGTTCAGACAGCCCAGTCACCGAGCAACTTCCGGAGGTGACCACTCCTCCCCAGGACACCCCCGAACGCGATACGCCTCAAAGCGGATTCCCGCAAGCACTTCAGACCCGTTCCCTAACAACGGACTTCAACATTTTCCCCTCCCCCAATCTTGAGGCGACACCCAGGGACCCCGTAAGCCCTGGAGAGGTGAGTCCATCAAGCGCACCACCCGTCCCACCGAAGTCCGATTCGCCCACCTCTCCCTTGCCTGTAACACCGACGCCACAATGGGGCCAGCAAAACCGGTTTGCGTCCTCGTCACCATCCCCTCTCCGAACGAGTCACAATGAGAACCAGATGGATTCACGTATGAGTCAGCAGAAGAGCATCCCCCCGGTCGGTGTTACCGTCGAGTCAGCACGCAGTTCCGTCTCACGGCCCATGAGCCATCCCTCCCCGCCAGTGCCCCCTAAAGACGGTAATGTGATGCTTCACAAGCCCACTGATCCGCGCAGACTTTCAAGAAAGATGTCTGCCCCATCACTGGTTGCGCAAGCTAGTGAGGCACGCGAGGTTATTGCGGGCTTCTTCAAGACATTCCCCAACGCTCGAAACAGGATGGACATTGATCCGCAGCTGATGCTGATGCGTAAACCGGACGATGTAAAGATCAGAACCGTGAAGCTCCAGATCTGGGAGCTCACCGGTGATGGGAGGCGCCAGGAGCTTCCTTCCCACCAGGAGTACATCTTATACCAAGGCAGCATGTATCTCTGTGTGCACATATTTGAGACCGGACGAAGCAGCACTTCGGAAGTATACCTCTGGCGTGGAGACGATGTCCCCGAATCCTCGGTGGAGGATGAACAACCGTTCGCGCGCAAAGTCGCTCGTGAGAATAGCTCCAAGTTGCAAGTCATTCGACAAGGCAATGAGCCCAAACGGTTCATCCAAGCGCTCGGCGGCATTATGATCACGCGTCGGGGATCCAGCTCTCGCCATAATTCCTCGGCTCTCTACATGCTTTGTGGCCGAAAACACTTGGGCGAGATGACCTTCGACGAGGTGGATTACTCACTGCGCAATCTTTGCTCTGGTTTCCCTTACGTTGTCTCAGCCCCCTTTGGCAAGCTCTACCTATGGAAGGGCAAAGGCAGTGGCCCTGAAGAAACCGGTGCAGCCCGACTTATCGGCATGGACCTAGGTTTGACCGGCGAGTTTGAAGAAGTCACCGAGGGTGAAGAGCCCGAGGATTTCTTTGATATTTTCGCAGGCCCCAGGGAGGCCGCGCCGCAGATGTGCCAAGCTCACTGGCAGCTCAAGCCGAAGTACAACCACTTCCGCACGCGACTCCTCCGACTCGACCACGAACCGAGCCAGCCAACTCGGTTCTGGAATCTCCGCCGTCCAGGCTCAGGCTCACCAGTGGTCAAGGCCAACGATTGCATTCAGGAAATCGAGCCCTTCTGCTACCGAGACATCACTGACAAAGACGTTTACGTTCTGGACACCTTCTTTGAGATCTACGTGTAAGTACCCAATCAAAACGTCCTCCCCTCGACTGAGACTAATTTCCACAGTATTATCGGTGATCAGGCCTCACAGAAGGCTGCCGAGTTCGCCTCGGCAGTGGTCTTCGCGCACGAATACGGTATCCTCGCCACCTCCCTTCAGGACCGACCATTCATCCCCAAAAGTTACGTCGCCCTCGGCGGCGTCTCCGACCGTTGCCAGAGCGCATTCCGAAAATGGAACCCGCGCAGTCAGCATGCGCCTTTCGTGTTCTCTCTCGATGTTGTTATTGAGGCGATTCGATCTCCGGAGGAGAATGAGTGAGATGTGTTTTCTTGTATCTGTTTTTTTTTAAAGGGCTTCTGCTTTGAATTTGTGCATATTTTTTTGTGCAGAGCATTTCGGAGTCCAATGTACTTGTGCCATATTGCCATAGAGGGAACTGGAGCATCTGGGGATGTAGAGTGGATTTCGCATTTGATGGTGTATTTAGGCATTCAATTCAAGTTTCATACATTTTACCTAGGCTTTTATTTATAAAATCATATGAATCATTTACCTAGACATTTAGGGTAATTTAGGGTAGTATACTAGAAGATTACGGGAACGGAGACGGAGATAAAAAAAAAATCATCCGAATGTCGCCATCCTTTGATTGGCGTTAAATATCTCTCCCTTTTCACTCTCCCCGATGTAAATAAGAGCCATGGACCCTTCCATTCTTCGTGAGCTCTCGAAGCTCGAGCCCGCGGTACCGTTCCGCTCCTCGACCGATCATCTACATCATACATGGGCCAAGACATTCTTCTCCCGCCCAGAGTTGTACATCCGCCCACAAACCATTCCAGAAATCCAACAACTGGTAACACTCGCCCGTCGCTGTCGCCGTCGCATCGTAACAGTCGGTAGCGGCCACTCACCCTCCGATTTAACCTGCACCTCATCCTGGCTCGTCAACCTCGACGACTTCAATCGCATCCTCCACGTTGACCCGTCAACCGGCTCCGTAACCGTCGAAGCAGGCATCCGATTAAGGGATCTGGGCGCACAACTGGAAAAACATGGTCTGACACTTGAAAACCTGGGCAGCATCGACAGCCAGTCCATAGCAGGCGTCATCGCCACTGGCACCCATGGCAGTTCTCTACGCCACGGCCTGGTATCGGAATGCATCGACTCGCTAGGCCTGGTCCTCTCCAATGGCCAGCTAGTCCGCTGCAGCCCGACAAATAACCCGGACCTGTTCCGCGCGGGCCTGGTATCGCTCGGGGCGCTCGGAATCGTCGTCGAAGTCACGTTCAAGGCGACGCACACCTTCAATATCGCCTGGCGCCAGGAACGCTATTCCCTATCTCGCGTGCTGGACGAATGGTCCACCGGTCTGTGGACTTCACATGAGTTCATCCGCGTTTGGTGGATGCCATATGAGAAAAGCGCTATTGTCTGGCGCGCTGATAAGACAGATCTCCCGCTGCGCGCTCCCCCGAAAAGTTTCTACGGTGACTCCCTGGGCTACCACATCTACCATAATCTCCTCGCGCTGTCTTCATACTTCCCGCGCATCCTGCCCTGGGTCGAATGGTTCGTCTTTGGTATGCAGTACGGCTTCCGCGCTGGTTCGACTATCACCGAGGCCGTTGAGCCTGCGCGCTCGGGATTATTGATGAACTGTCTTTATTCGCAGTTTGTTAATGAATGGGCTCTCCCGCTGGAAAAGGGACCCGAGACTATCGGTCGGCTTTCGGCCTGGTTGAATGGCGACACTGAGACAGCGCGCATCCCCTTCTCACCCAAGGGTCTGTATGTACACTGTCCGGTCGAAGTGCGAGTCTCCGATACTTCGCTAAACACCAAACCCCGCCCATTCCTGGACCCCACGTGTCCCGACGGCCCGACGCTCTACCTCAACGCAACACTTTATCGTCCATACCTCCGCGACCCGCCGTGCAGAGAACGCTACTACGAAGCCTTTGAATGGCTGATGCGGGAGATGGGCGCGAAGCCGCACTGGGCGAAGAACTTCAACACATTAAGCCCGAACGAGCTGGGCATCTCGTACGGCTCCGACATGGAATCGTGGATGAAAGTGCGTTCAGAAGTCGACCCGGACGGGATGTTCGTGGGCGAATGGCATCTGCGCCACCTGCCCCTGGAAATCACGCAGGGAAGCGAAACACCCGACGAAAAGCTGCCCCTCCTAGAGCGCGAGCAGGAACGTCGCAGGGTGGACTTGAGTGGCGTTGGGGATGGGGTTGAATGGGTAGGGGATCGTCGATGGCAGGCTCAGGTTCAGGCTCAACACTCGTTTGATACGTTGGATATGGAGAAGAGCGCGTACCCGTTACCGCCAGATCACTCTCCTAGCACGACGACCAGCGAGGAAAGCTTTGATTTGCTTGCCAGGGGTGAAGCGAGCATCTTGCTCCCCGATGGACCGGGGTGAGAAATCAGGCGAAAGCAAACAATGTTTTGCGAGAATCCTGATTCTTCCGTTGCTTTTTTGCATCTGCTGATCTGTCGGTGACTGGTCTACTCTAGGGCTGTGTTGGGGTTTTTTTTATTATTGGCTCTAAGAGCTAATTTGATTCCCGCATCACTTTCGTGTTTCGTTTTCGTTTCCCCTAAGCAATTTAGGGTTACTTTTGTACATTGGGCAAATCTGACATCCGAGGATGTTCGGGCTTCGAATTCTCTCCCAATTCACATAGATCTAGTAGATTCCCTTTGATATGACATATTGCATTTTCCCCTGCTTTTCCCCTTTTTGCTTTTTCCATTTTCCATTTGCCAAGGCAAAGAAATCTGATGGCCTCGTGGTCTCTACTTGAAATTGGAATCTGTCGGTGAACGAGTAAACTGCATATTGGATGCAGGTGCTCGTAAGCCCTTTCAATATGGCGATCTCTGTCTGTTTTCTTTGCTTTTGAGAAATATGCATCCAGCAATCAATATTCGATAATCCATGTACGGCCAATTTACATGGAATTCATATCTTTGTGGAATCGGGGAGAAAGAATCACACTGTGTCTCTGTTCTCATTCCCTGTTCCCTGTCTCGCAGCTGAGAGACCTTGAAGTCCATGTACAGGTTTATATTCATGTTCGGTGCATTCGGTCTAGACTCGGTGGCAAACCCGGGATTCAGGATTCGTCTGTTTAGAGGATATGAAGGATGGGGGGAAAGGAAAAATGTACAGTCAAGTGTACGTCAGTGACACATATGATATTGCAGGAGCTGAGCGTAGGTGTGATATACACATATGTGTGTACACACTGCCACACATCGTATGTAGAAAATCAATGCAAAGATCTATAGATAACTGTTCGGATTAGGGCTAGAGATCTGATGCCTGTGCGAGAATGCAGGCAGTACCAGGGTATAATATGAAGTATAATATCATATAAATTATAAGAGTTAGGAATGTTCTAATAAGAATAGAGTAGAAGAATAGAAGAGTAGAAGAATAGAAGAGTAGAAGAATAGAAGAGTAGAAGAATAGAAGAGTAGAAGACATCCCTAATATCCAAATAATACCCTTAACCAAAAACACTTCATAAAATCTCTCAATTCTTTTCCAAAACACCTGACAGTTACTGGCATATCACGTTGTACCACGTTTCGGTGCAGCTAACAAGGATGTTCACTTATTTTTATCTCGCATTGACCTCTTTCAATGATTGGACATCTCACAGATTCTTCGGAGTTGACCTTTTCCAATCTCCAGGCACGTGTGGAGGGTTCTGACGTGCAGAGGGGAAAATCGTGTGACAACGTTGGCTTTGGTCCCTTTCTGCCCAATGACGGTGATCTACCCTCACGGCTCGGACCGTGTCATTGTACTGATCTCTAGGTACCTAAACAGTCGCCTAAGTGTCTCTACGCCTGGGGCCACATGTCACCCTCATCCTAACCTCTCCACGTCACAGAGGGCTCTGCGGGGACTTTGATATCAACCGCCCTGGCGGCTGAAATTATTATCATCCCCACCTGCTCGATTCCTTTCTTTCTTTTTTTTATCTATTTTTCTTTTTTTTTTTTACAGCTTTCTCTCCCTAAATCTCTCTCTCTCTCTCTCTTCCTTCTTCCTCCTTTTGCATTGAAATACCTCCCTTGCTTGATTTCTAGTGGAGTTTTCAATATGATACAATCAACCATGTCGTGGCAGCCAAAGCTTCGCCCCAAGGGCTTCCCGCATAGCATTGACGACTTTGCGGCTGTGACTTCATTGTCGGAACTGGAGCATCGGGCCCGGACTAGCGAAGACAAGCGCGATCAGCGCGTCTTCCGAGTGAAGCGTAAACATGTGTTGAAAGCCTGTGATCGTTGTCGCGTGAAGAAGACCAAGGTATGTCAAATATAGCATGAGGATTACAATGTGACTAAACCATCCCAGTGTGATGGGAAACAGCCTTGCAACCGCTGCTCGGTATACAACCACCCATGTCTATTCCGTGAAAGAAAGGCCACTCAGACCAAAGTATATTCTCGAGGGTGAGTCCATGTCCAGAATCTCAAACCACACATATCCTCAAAAGCTCATAGACATGTCACACACAGATTCGTTGAAATGCTCGAATCTCACCATTCACTCGTCGTAAAAGCCCTTCAGAAACTATACAAATTCTGCATCAACAATGAAGGCTTCCCAGGCGATCCCCTCGCAGAAGCCCCAGATGGACACCCCCTAACACACGCAATCCTCGACCGTCTAGGTCTAATCAAACAAGCCGAAGAAAATGCAGACGAGCCAGACGAAGACTCGGAGGATCTGCGCTACCTACGACTGCTATCAACTTCCACCGAATGCAGCGTCACAGCAGAACCTTCCCCAGAACCAACAACACCACCAGAACCATCCCCAACTATATCCCGTCCACCAGTCCAGACACCCATATCAGTCCCCAATCGCACAACAGCAAACTGGCAATGGGATCTCCAGCCCGTTCATCAGACAAGCTACAGCTACCCAGACGCAGGGTACCACGATCTAATGGCGCTGCAGCAACGGTCCTCCATGAGCGCATCGGATATGGGTCCTGATATCCCGCCCCATGCTGATATGCCTACATCTTCCGGACTACCGCATCATCCCCAACATGCGCACCACGAGCCGCCGTTCCCGTATGTTCTGGATGGATGCTGTGATCCCGGCACGCCACAGCAGGACGTGAAGCCCGTGTTGGCGAGGCTACCGTCCGGTCTCATGGGAGAGTCTCATACGCATCCCCATCAGCTTGCGGAGAATATTTCTGCGGAGATGATGGGTGAGTTCCATTTCCAGCAGGACTCGTCGTTTTATCCTGGGTTTACACCCGGTTGGAATTTTCCTTCGGGGTGAATTTGGTATATGATGGGAATTGTTTCTCGTTTTTGGGAGATATATGGTCTTTTCGGTTTGGGGTTTTGGTATAAGCTGTTGAGCAGCTTTTTTTCATTTCACTTCTCATTTATATTTCTTCCCATTTTGCCTTCTTTTCTCATCAAGTCATTATGACTTATCTTCTTCGACTTTCTTTTTCCGCTATTCTTTCTATACCCCCCACTTCTGAATTTGAATACCGCCACCGGAGCATGGCGACATCTACGCAGGATTATAAGATTGGAAGATGTCTGGCACATTGAGCCCTAATCCTTCTTGACCGGTTTTCATTTACTTCTCGGGTTCAGCCAGGTCTTTCTTTGGTACGTCATTATTGATCTTGGATTTCGATTTCCTTTCGATACTAGTATCTAGTTTGAAAGAGTATCACCCTATTAATTTAGGTACTAGTTTCTTATACCTTGCTTTCTATTTTCCTAGCGTTAGTTTTGGGTAGACCGTGATTTTGTATAGAATTGGGTTACTTACAATGCGCTACAGATTTAACATTATATTACATATCATACCTTCAGATAAATCCCATGGATACATATTCTACTTGACAAGGTCAGTCATATTTCGCAATCAGGGATATATTTCACCAACACCAATAACAAACCAAAGTATTCTGTACACGATAACCATCACAGCTGACCTACAAAAGATAACACAAGAAAAACCCGACTACCTCACACCAGATCTAGATCTCGCACCAGGTCATACAGTGGTACGATACATGCGTGACCTGACACAGATGCATCCGGCATCAACCCAGGAAAGAAAGAGAGGTCTGGAAAGGGTTATGAGTGTGCAGATCAGATCGGATCGGATCGTAGATCGTAGATCGTAGCATGTATAGCAAGTGCGTGTGTCGTCTTGCCTGTTCGGGTTGAGGGCTGACTGGGGCTGACTGGGGGGTGGGTTGTTTGTGGGACTTGAGGACATGCACTTTGGTGGTTGCTAGGGTTGTTTGTGTACCCTGTAGGTACTTTTTTGGCGGTACTGGGATCTATGGTGATGTAGATGTAGATGAGCTATGTATACATCTGGGGATGTGTGATATAGGACAGGGAATTACGTTTGCATACGTACCAGGCTGAATGTATGCGATTTCCCTACCCTTTCTTGGAAATATGTTACATATTTATATTTTGGAGATTTTGTAATTCTCATCTACATGTATGTGCGAACGGATCGACAGCAGCCGACATGATGGTGGGGATTGCTTCGATAGTTGCCAGGCTGGGTGCGATGGACAAGAGCAGCTCTAGCGAGCCCCGTGAGCCACGACTCGCTTGCATATTGTAAAGTCGAGTGGAAACCTGATATCGATCCCATTTCAACTGACTCAGTCAAGCAGAGACTGTTACGAGTACCACTGCTTTCCCGATAGTGATAATGATGGAGATGGTTTAGGTGAAATGGAGTATTGCCAACGAGCGTAAGGAGTTCCATCCAAATAGGCCAGGAAGCCAATCAAAAGGGCGATGTAGACTAGGCTTATGATTGAAGCTCCGATTTCCCAGGCCCATGAGCGACTCCAGTTAGAAGACTTTGTCTTGGCTTCTGTTGGTAGATTGGAAGCACCCGAAGGACCTTTTGGTTTAGCTGAACCATAGTGTTGTGGGGACTCTTCGGGCCTAGTAGGTATGGCTCTCTATAACCCTTGGAGACGTTTCTCTCATCACTGTTCCTTCGGAGTTTGATGGGATACTAATAGGATGGGAGTGAGACATAATAATGCTGGACTTTGCGCCTATTGGAACTAGAGTAGGTAGTCGTGACAAAGGCTTGGAAGGACGGATTATAAGTTTGAGCAGATCCCTTCCGATGGGTGCCTGGGGCTAAATACAATGGGCCGGCCCCAGGGGGCGGCCCCTTCCCCTGGGGGAAGTGGGGGTGGGTGGCTTTGCTTAAAGTCATCTTGATACTTTTCTCTCGCTCTCTCTTCTTGCCGAACAATTTCTCGAAAGAGTTCTGTGAACCGAATTTTGAACAGGTTACCGAGACTATGCTATTTCAAAGTGTTGCTATGTTGGATATAGTAGTCACCAACTAACATTCAGAAATACTGCATAGTAATGAAACTGCGGTGACTCGCAAGAAGAGTGTCGATTTCCCGAAGAGGAATAATAATCCAAGCGAACATAAAATTTGAGATCCGACTCATTAGTTTGTTTCTCCACAAAAGGGATAATTGAATCAGCATGCCAATTACTACCCCATGATATGAGTTTTAATTCGACAAGATAGGAAAGTATCATTCAAGGTAGTTAGGTATGTATCATCATAGTCTACAGTTTTGATATCACAAAGCAAAAATATACCCTCTCTAATGCCCTCTCTAATGCCCCATCTGGTGCCAAGTATATCATAAACTAGGTCCGACATCTTAGACATGTGGTAAGTGGCGCATTCTAGAAATCTGCTCATGTTACTCCTGTGGATGATTGGCTAAATACATGATCCAGACCTTATTTTAAACCAATATTAAAACAACTGTTGATCAATAACTGCATCGCGAGAGTCAGAATGATCTAGCCCATTGCCCAGAAGGGTAACGAGTTCGTATTTTTAACCCCCGCCTCTTCCGCCTGATTGCCAAGAGATTGGCGCCAACCCTTGGCGCCAAGGGTTGCCAGCTTTTCCCTGCAGCGGAGTTGTGCCACTTCCACGAGAGCGCTTTGATGCCGTCTAATTGTTTAGTCAGGATATTCAGCTCAAGGAAGTACCCTAGTTTTTGCTCGCGTGACAAGATAAGCTTCCCATGTATTGATAAGATGCGAAAATGCCAAAGCTTGGAATATTCCGCAATGCCCCGAAGCTTGGCAATCATGCGCTTGCAGCTGCTATATGCAGTAATACTTGGCAACATCGGACCCAGTATTACTGTCATTGGATAAGCCCCAGACTCCGATGTCTATCAAACACGAGGCGACCGGCTCAATATCTTGGCACCAGGACCAAATCCGTTCTCTTCCAATGATCCATACAACGTGCCCGGGTGCCCAGGGATCAAACCTTGGAACCCACGGGCCAAGACTATAATCTGGGGCATCCATACTGTGTGTCTCATAACAGAGTCTGAGCTTTCGCTTGAATGAGCTATGTACTTTCATCCCCGCACAGAGAGCTACTTTCTGTTCAACTATCCAGCAAGTGATTGCCCCGGAAATTTTTCAAACGGGCAAACAGCTCGGTAGCTGCCACAGAAAGATATATTCTCACCAGAGAACAATCTCCAATGCCAGACGAGAAGCAAGGCATCCCCCCCGACTCTGGGTCGGGTGGTAGCCCACTAAGCCAGCCGGCTCACACGCTTACTTATGAAGCTGCGATCAAGGAACTCGGCACTGGGCTGGATGAGGGTCTGGCTCCTGATGAAGCGAGTCGTCGTCTGCAGCAGTATGGTCCCAACAAACTGGATGAAGGCGAAGGCGTATCGGTGATCAAGATTTTCGTGCGCCAGGTGGCCAACGCAATGATGCTAGTAAGTGCCCAATGTCTCTCGTGTGGATATCACGAAATTCCTTCGAAGATCTCCGAGTCTAATAAAATTGTTTCTTGCAGGTGTTGATCCTCGCAATGGCAGTCAGTTTTGGAATCCAGTCATGGATTGAGGGCGGAGTTATCTGCGCCGTCATTGTCTTGAATATCATTGTTGGATTCTTTCAGGAATACGCCGCGGAAAAAACAATGGAGTCGTTACATTCGCTGTCGTCCCCGACGGGCACTGTCTCGAGGGGTGGACAGACATTCTCGGTGCCGTCGGCGGACATCGTGCCGGGTGATATGATTGAGCTTAGGACGGGAGATACCGTTCCAGCGGATATTCGGTGAGTTTCCTGTCATGGCCTGCGATTTCGAAGCCATTGGGGCAGTTGTTGGAATTTACTGACACATATCAGCCTGGTTGAAGCAGTCAATTTCGAAACCGATGAAGCTCTCCTGACTGGCGAGTCTCTTCCCGTCCAGAAGGAATGTGACTTGACGTTCAAAGAGGATACTGGCCCTGGAGATCGCCTAAATATCGCATACAGCTCTAGTACCGTTACTCGTGGTCGCGGTCGTGGTGTGGTTATCAGCACAGGCATGTACACTGAAATCGGATCTATTGCCCTCGCCTTGCGGGGCAGCGGTAACAAGCGTCGTCCCGTTAAGCGTGGTCCCAACGGTGAGACCAAGAAGCGTTGGTACGTCCAGGCCTGGAGTCTCACCTCAGCGGATGCCGTTGGTCGATTCCTCGGTGTTAATGTCGGAACGCCCCTGCAGAGGAAGCTTTCAAAGCTAGCCTGTTTACTCTTTGGAATTGCCGTTCTTTTTGCCATTATTTGCATGGCTGCAAATTCATTCAGTAGCAACACCGAAGTCATCATGTACGCCGTTGCAACTGGTATCAGTATGATTCCGGCGTGTCTGGTGGTCGTGCTTACTATCACCATGGCAGTGGGTACTAAACGTATGGTCGAACGCAACGTGATTGTTCGCAAATTGGACTCGCTAGAGGCGCTCGGTGCAGTCACAGATATCTGTTCCGATAAAACCGGCACATTGACTCAGGGCAAGATGGTTGTTCAAAAGGCATGGATTCCGTCTCGAGGCACGTATTCCGTCGGTCCATCCAACGAGCCTTTCAACCCCACTGTTGGAAATGTCAGCTTCACCCCTGTACCTCCTTCACAATGGGATCATGAGAAGGAGGGTACCGCTACGGACAACGTTGAAGGCCTGGTCTCAGGAAACCGCCAGCTCGAAGACTTTCTGGACGTCGCCTCAATGGCTAATCTCTCTCACGTGTACAAGTCTGAAGAGGGCGAATGGAACGCGCGTGGTGAACCCACAGAGATTGCCATTCATGTCTTTGCATCGAGATTCAACTGGAACCGCGACCGCTGGACTAAAGGTCAGGGTATGGTCAAGGGCCAGGGTACAGTGTGGCACCAACAGGCTGAATTCCCATTCGACTCAACCGTGAAGAAAATGTCCGTGATTTTCAGCAAAATCACCCAACAAGAGACCCGGACAATGGTGTTCACCAAGGGTGCCGTCGAGCGCATCATAGATTCATGCACCTCTGTTATCTGGGACCAGGATTCGTCTACCCCCGTGCCAATGACCGACGACCACCGCGAAAAGATCCTCCAGAACATGGAGGAACTCGCCAAACTAGGACTCCGAGTCTTGGCTCTGGCCCATCGACCATACACTGCCAAGACACAACTGCTCGAAGATGCCGACCTGAATCGTGAAGATATAGAGAATGATCTGTGCTTCCTGGGACTGATCGGCTTGTATGACCCTCCACGCCCCGAAACAGCAGGCTCAATCCAGGCCTGCTACCGTGCTGGTATTGTTGTCCACATGGTGACTGGTGATCACCCTGGCACTGCCAAAGCCATTGCTCAGCAAGTAGGAATTCTTCCTGCTAATTTCGATGCAGTGGCGGCTGATGTCGCGGACGCTATGGTCATGACTGCTGGTCAATTCGATAAACTCACTGATGAGCAGGTAGATTTGCTTCCGACTCTGCCTTTGGTCATTGCACGCTGTGCCCCGCAGACGAAGGTGCGTATGATTGACGCCCTTCATCGCCGTGGCCGGTTTGCGGCTATGACTGGAGATGGAGTGAATGATTCACCTTCGCTTAAGCATGCCGATGTTGGTATCGCTATGGGTCAAGCGGGTTCGGACGTGGCTAAAGATGCATCGGATATTATCCTCACGGATGACAACTTTGCCTCGATTCTCAATGCCGTCGAAGAAGGCCGTCGTATCTTTGATAACATTCAAAAATTCGTGCTTCATCTATTGTCAGAGAACATCGCTCAGGCTTGCACCTTACTTATCGGATTAGCTTTCAAAGACGCTGATAATCAATCCGTCTTCCCTCTCTCACCGGTCGAAATTCTCTGGATTATTATGATTACCTCAGGCATGCCCGACATGGGCCTCGGAATGGAGGTGGCTGCCCCCGACATCATGAACCGCCCTCCGCAAAGCAAGCAGGGCATCTTCACCTGGGAGGTAATCATCGATATTCTGGTGTATGGTATCTGGACCGCAGCGCTCTGCCTGGCAGCATTCTCTATCCGCATGTGGGGATTCGGCGACGGCAACCTAGCCCGCGGCTGCAACAAGGCGTGGTCCGAAGATATCAAAGACTGCGAACTAGTCTTCAAAGCACGTGCGACGACGTTCGTATGCTTGACCTGGTTTGCGCTGTTCCTGGCATGGGAAATGGTCAACCTGCGCCGGTCGTTCTTCCGCATGCAACCGAAGTCCAAGAAATACTTTACGCAGTGGATGTACGACGTCTGGCGGAACAAGTTCCTTTTCTGGTCCATCATGGCCGGATGGATCACCATGTTCCCTATCCTCTATATCCCCGTTTTGAATGACGTCGTCTTCAAACATAAGCCTATTACCTGGGAATGGGGCATCGTGGCGGTCGAAGCTGTTCTGTTCTTCATCGGCGTCGAAGCCTGGAAATGGGGTAAGCGAGTCTTCTTCCGCCGCAGGGCCAGAAAATATCCGACGTTGAATACGTTGGGGGGCCAGGCGGACGTCCCGGAGCAACCCTAACGAATGCTTTCCCTGGTCTGTCATCGAACGGGTCGGGGAACAATATCACTTGGGAACAACGTCACTTGGAAGAATTGGAGGATGGGGATTGTGGGGATCTGGAAGAGGCACGGAAGAGGCACGGAAGAGGCACGGAGAGGCACGGAGAGGCATGGAGGAGGTACGGAGGAGGCAAGGAGTAGACATGGAGAAAGCATGGAGGAGGCACGGAGGACTTGGAGTGGGTTGTGGAAGTTTGGGCTCATGCGTTGGCTTATTCGGGACTGCGTTGCCCTGGGGGGTACTTTCTCACCGAACATGTACATATAGCAAGAGCATATTCGGCAAGTCAATGATACATATAGTTCGATCAAGTTCTATTGCTGTAACTAAAGGCAAAAGCAAGTACGAGGTCATGCTTGTAATGGAACCATACAAGAGTATTTAAATTGGTAACCTGGCATGTCAATTACTCCAAATCCAAACAGGTCAGATAATTAAAGCCCTCGAGGAGAGAAGATATACAGGGGCCGACTACGGGGTGAGAGGTGAGAGGATGAAATCTGCTTCCTCCCCCTGATGCTTAGTGCATAGCACATCAATCTCTACTATTTTTCAGCCTCTCCCATATATTATCCCACTAACAACTTGGGTTCTTCCTAGGCAAATTTCTTACCCCGCTAAGGCCCTATGCAGAAGAATGATTGGTCCCCTAAACAATACGAGCCATTCGTTAATGACTAGGGCGATATATGCAGTTATCCTCGCATATCTTTGTGACTCGTGCTCGTGTCCGGTTGGCTGATCGGTCTCTAGAACGCACTACGTTAGCGCTTAGGTACTATGCCTCTTTTGTCCGGACACTAGGGAATAATTGCGAGGCTTTGCGCTCGTATTCGAGTTATCTTCCTATTTTGTAGGGCCCTCACTTTCCTTAGACAGTATATCACTGTACAACTCCCACAATCTCGACGCCGATACCCAGGGTTCTACGAACTGGATCCTTGGCCTGGAGCCTTCCTTGATAAGGTGTGCCGACCGTGCCGCCGAAAATGTCGCTGAAAAAGTTGAGCCTCAATTCCTACCGGATAGGATGGATTTGTCCGTTGGAGGTGGAACAGATTGCGGCAATGGAGATGCTCGACGAGGAGCACCAACCTCTTCCGCAATCACGCGGGGACACCAACGTTTACAACCTCGGCAGTATCAACAACCATAACGTTGTCATCGCTGGTCTTCCTCGGGCGGGGAACTGTTCCGCCGCTACTGTCGTCACTCAAATGAGGATGACATTCCCAGACCTCAAATATGTCCTGCTGGTTGGGATTGGGGGTGGCGTACCGACAAAGACCGAGTGTGGAACGATCCGGCTAGGACATGTGGTCGTTAGTGACCCGGCGGGTATACACTCTGGAGCAGTACAATACGATCACGGAAAGGCGAAGGGGGGTCACTTTGAACGCAAAGGTTTTCTCGCGCCTCCGCCAACAGCTCTTCTCAACGCTGCGCGGGAAGTGGCTGTCCGGCGCCAACGGATGGATTATGATCCAATTTGGAAGAATCTGGAGCGAACCCAAACCAGCCCTCGATTACGTCGTCGCTTTAAGTTCCCTGGCGCCGCGAATGACCATCTCTACCCTTCAACCCATACACATAGGCAGGAAGGGATATCATGTGAAGATGGTGGATGTGACCCAAGTCAGCGTATCGAGCGACCGACGGATAAGGAAGATGACTCGTTTATTGTTGTGCACCGAGGCACAATAGCATCGGGGGAGTTAGTGATCAAGGATGCTGAGTTAAGAGATGATCTGGCGCAGACGCATGGGGTGCTATGCTTCGAAATGGAGGCAGCAGGAGCCCTTACCGATTTCCCCTGTATAGTGATTCGAGGCATCTCCGACTATTGCGATTCGCATAAGAATGACCAGTGGCATGGCTACGCTGCAGCGGTAGCAGCCGCTTATGCACGGCAGTTATTCTTCCACATGTCTATTGAAGAGGAGCAACGGTAAATTTGTCACAGTCCTATCATGGAGAAGCCACAAATATATGTGTAATTAATGCGTTACTTAGAAATCTGGATGCAACGCCTACGACTTTTGAGCTCCCGCTTAATCTGTCCGAGATATCCGAAGTGACCCGCTTCGTCGCACGAGAAGATTCGCTTAAGAGAATACAAGAGATCCTCGATGCAACTGCTGGACGCCGTACTGCTGTGGTACATGGGTTAGGTGGTATTGGCAAGACGCAGCTAGCCATCGCATATATGAAACAAAATCGGTCTCATTATTCGGCGAGAATATGGCTAGATGCAAAAAATGAAACAGCGTTGAAAGAAAGCTTTTCTCGCGTAGCCGAGTGGATTGTACGCCACCACCCGTCTGCTACATATGTTGCAGCTGCTTCGGAGAGCCAAGAGCTGGACGAGATAGTGAAAGCGGTCAAACAATGGTTGGACGAGCCGATGAACGATCGCTGGTTGATCATCTATGATAACTATGATAACCCATTATTGCGCAACCGTACGGGGAAACGCCCAAGCTCTGCTTCCTTTGTTGAAGCAGACACCAATGACAATGACGATGACCTTACAAAGGCCTTTGATCTTCAGAAGTTCCTCCCCGAGACCGACCATGGTGCCATTGTTGTAACCACGCGGTCCTCTATGGTAAAGCTAGGCCAGAGACTTCACTTACGCAAGCTAGAGGATATCAATGATAGCCTCGATGTCCTGGCTTCTGTGTCTGGCCGTGAAGATCTAAGACAAGGTGAGTGTCGAGCATATGGTCCTATGTCAAGTATTAATATCAAGCAGACCCCGCAGCCACCGATCTCGTAAGGCAGCTCGATGGACTTCCTCTGGCCCTCGCAACAGCTGGCGCATATTTAGAGCAGGTGTCGATAAGCTGCACTGACTACCTCCAGCTGTACCGAGAATCATGGCAGCAATTACACGAAAAGACGCCACCGCTGGGGGCATACGATCAAACGCTGTACTCAACTTGGAATCTCTCGTATCGATACATTCAGCAGCAGAGCCCAATTGCGGCCATGCTTCTCCGACAATGGGCCTATTTCGCTAGTGAAGACTTATGGTATGATCTGCTTAAAGACTGCGGCCCGGAGAAGCCGGAATGGCTAGGCTCACTGACAAAGGACAAGCTCACATTTCATGCAAGCTTAAGACTTTTGTGCAGCCACGGGCTCGTTGAAGCTGATCCGACTACCAAATTACAGCGTGTGGAGTCACGAGGGTATAGCGTACACGGCTGCGTTCATTCGTGGATGATCCATGTGTTAAACCCGGGGCTTGATAAGAGTCTAGCCTGGATAGCAGTCGAATGTGTAGCGACGCATGTGCCCACGGAAGACGAACCCAATTTCTGGCTTATACAACGGCGGCTGATTGCACATGCAGATAGGTGTCTGGAGATATTAAGAAATCTAGAAATTGAAGATGAGGATGTAGCGCCTCTCTTTTCTTTAGGTTATCTCTACGCGGATCAAGGCCGGTTCCAAGAGGCAGAGGCGATGTACGAACGAGCACTAGAAGGCTACGAGAAGGCGTGGGGACGAGAACACATGTCGACGCTAGATACCGTTAACAACCTCGGCACCATCTACGAGAACCAAGGCCGGCTCCAAGAGGCGGAGGCGATGTACGAACGAGCACTAGAAGGCTGCGAGAAGGCGTGGGGACGAGAACACACGTCGACGCTAGGTACCGTCAGCAACCTCGGCATCCTCTACAAGGAGCAAGGCCGGCTCCAAGAGGCGGAAGCGATGTACGAACGAGCACTAGAAGGCTGCGAGAAGGCGTGGGGACGAGAACACACGTCGACGCTAGGTACCGTCAGCAACCTCGGCATCCTCTACAAGGAGCAAGGCCGGCTCCAAGAGGCGGAGGCGATGTACGAACGAGCACTAAAAGGCTACGAGAAGGCGTGGGGACGAGAACACACGTCGACGCTAGATACCGTCAGCAACCTCGGCATCCTCTACAAGGAGCAAGGCCGGCTCCAAGAGGCGGAGGCGATGTACGAACGAGCACTAGAAGGCTGCGAGAAGGCGTGGGGACGAGAACACACGTCGACGCTAGGTGCCGTCAACAACCTCGGCGCCCTCTACGCGATACAAGGCCGGCTCCAAGAGGCGGAGGCGATGTACGAACGAGCGCTAGAAGGTAAGGAGAAGGCGTGGGGACGAGAACACACGTCGACGCTAGATACCGTCCACAATCTCGGCGCCCTCTATAAGGAGCAAGGCCGGCTCCAAGAGGCGGAGGCGATGTACGAACGAGCACTAGAAGGCTGCGAGAAGGCGTGGGGACGAAGACACAAGTCAACGCTAGATACCGTCAGCAACCTCGGCACCCTCTACACGTATCAAGGCCGGCTCCAAGAGGCGGAGGCGATGTACGAACGAGCGCTAGAAGGTTACGAGGCGGCTTTTGGCGCGACCTCACCTCTCACCTACATCCCTGCCTTGCACACTCTTAAGAACTTTGGCCTTCTATGCGAGAGCAACGGAAAAGTCGATACCGCTCTGCTATACTATCAGCGGGGGCTGGTAGGCACTGAGATTGTTTGGGGCCAGAATAGCGAACAATATACCTGGCTTTCCAATCAATTGAGCTCTATACAGCGTGGTACGTCTAATATTTCTGACGGAGACGAGTCTGTTCAAAAGAAAACAACAATGATGGGGACTAAATGGAGGAAAGTGAGAGCGAAGCTCTCCGGCATGTACAAGCCTAAGTAAGACATGCAAAGGATCCAGGCATGCCTCCTATCTGGTTTTTAATCGAAAGAATCATCTTGAATAACTGGGTGTTCTGTAAAGTTACAGTGTTCAGTGTGTGTCCAAAATTAGAAGAGCTATCCAGTTGTAGATGACGGTGGAGTAAAGTTAATTATTGTATGAAAATCGGGAATACCTAGCCATACACTAGCTCATTTTCCAGAGTAATGAGTTCTAGACAGCGGAGCTGAATTACATCGCCATATCTAACCTTGGAAGTTATAACTAGTTACCCAATGAATAAGAGTTTAATTTGACAAACCCTAGAAAACGCCATAGTGGCAACAGTAGGTCTAAGCCCAGGGCAAGGGCAAAGCCAAGGTCCAGATTTTAATCCAAAGCCAATGTCACACATACACAACACACAAGCTGTGAGTACAATCAAATCAAATGCATGAGAAAGGGAATCAATCCTCGTCTTCGGTCTCTGTGTCGGTGTCGCTGGTATCACCAGCGTCGCCGTCGGTGTCACTCTCGCTAGAGTCATCGGAATCCTTATCCTTAGACTTCTTCTTGGGTGCTTGGCCTGTCTTGATCGCTTGCATTTGGCCGGCGATTGAGTCTAGAAAAAGTGTTAGTAAAAGGAACAAGTAGTTTAGTGGGTAGCGGAGAGAGACTTACCCTCGTCTGGCTCGCTGATGTCATCTTCCTCTTCCACAGCGGCTGCCTTAGCAGGATCGTCAATGTGCAGGGTGATTTGAGCCGTGTTGTCAAGACCCAAGTAGCTGTCACAGATCATGTGGAGGATGAAGGTGAAGTCGCCGACCTGCGGGGGAGCCTGGAACTGCATCTTGAGGGTTTGGACGTTGAAGGTGGGATTGCCGGCCTCGTCGAAGATCGGCTTGTCGAATGTGGTGAATGTAAACGGCGGCACGGCCATCTTGCCCTGCTTGCCGTCTGCGAGGAAGATGTTCCAGCGCGGGGAGTGGTCGCGCGCTAGGTACGGTGCGTGCGCAAGAGGCGGCTGGATGGTTTCGATCTTCGTCTCAACCTTCTTGCCGTCCTCCATCTTGGTGGCGCGGTTCTTGGCTGGCTTGCGACCCATCAGGGCTTCCAAGTCGTCCTCGTCGGGGTCGATGTCCTCCAGATCGAGCGGGTTCACTGGCGGCACGGATGTGCTGCCTGGCGGGATGAAGCGGGCTTTGACTACCAGCTGTACCAGACTGCTGGGTGTGATCACCTTTTCTCCCATAACCTTGAAGAAGATCCGCTCGGGTTGGAGCACGGGGAGTTGCTTGGCAACGGACACGGCGTCGGTGTATTGCTTATCAGAGAGAAGACCAGCACCGACAGTAAGACTGCGTCGTTGAGCCTCTGGCAGTTCCATGTACCTTTGAACGGTGAGGTGCTCCTTGGAGTCTTCGCCCTCTACGGACTTGACAATAGCATCGGTGAAGTTGGGAAGTTGCAGCAGTGGTGATGAGCCCGGGGGCACAGCCTGGATGAGGTTCTGAGAAGTTTTGAAAGCACCAACGATCGGTCCAAGGTTGCCAAATGCGAGTGAGATAGCAGTGAAAGCTTCAGTGAGAGCAAGGGCAACAGGGGCCGCTTCATATTTTTCTGTGGAGACTCAGTTAGTGGTATGTTTCAGAACATAACTGGGGAACTTTTCTTACCAGCATCCAGGGAGGCGTCGCCAATATCAATTCGGCCAAGATAAGCCCACAGCAAAGCCAAAGCCTTCCGACGGGAGGAGCTATCCAACTGCTTCAGAGCCGCACGGTCCTTGGCTGTAAGGAACGAGTTATCATCTGCCAGCACCCGCTTCTCGAGCTTGGCCAGGCCAGACTCGGCCCGAGCACCCTTGAGCATATCATTGAATTCCTCGCCGGACGACAAAGCGCTGATAATTCCACCTTCGGTAATATCATCCTTGTATTCGCGGAAAATGTTTCCAGCGCTGGCAACAAGAACACGCTCCTTTGTGTAGCGCTGAGATCCATACCACCACTTGCCGACGATATAAGGCAGAAGAACGCCCAAAAGGGCACCGTAGACCATTAAAACATATTTGCCATTACCGTCCATAACAATGAACTGGGGAAGTGCAATACCGATGCTGAAACTCTGTTTGCCATCGGGGTGGCCAAATTGGAGGTAGTTGTTGCGTACCTCCTCGTCAGTGAGGGCTTTATAAGCCTTAGTGAGTTCTACAAAGCGCTCGTTGAGGGTTTCCATAGTCTCATTCTTGGAGGGGTCGGGGCGGATTTTATCGGGGTGGTAGATCAAAGACATTCGCTTGTAATGTCTGGAGATGGCTTTCTCATCTGCGCTCTGTTTTGCGAGAGATTTAGTCAATTAAAACATTCTGGGCGTATTAGGCGAGCACGCGCCGAGCTGAATAACTTACCCTCGAGACACCCAAAATATCATAAGGGTCGTATGCCTTCACCACTGACCTGGAGGTGACGGCAATTAAGTAGACCATCCATGCCATCACGGCATATCCAACGATGACCGTGATAATGCGCTTAATTCGGCGCTCTTTGCGCAGACGCTTGCGCTTCTGCGCGTCGATGAGGTCCGCATCTTTAGGTTTGAAATCGGATTTGATGCGGGGAGCGGTATTCTCAAGCTCTGTCCATCACATACAGCGGTTAGGACCAATGAAATACATCTGGTATAGTCTTGCCAAAGCTCACCTTTGCTGGGTCGTAGGAGGTTATAGGTGAGAGGGAGAGTGACCAGGCCGGTCAAGGTGAGGATGAAGAAGGGGAAGAATTGGCCCTGGAAGCTAAAGTTAACGTTACTATGTCTTTAGCGGATCAAGTCCCATCCTTACCTGCTCATCATAGGTGTAGTCTGACGACATCCTGCGGCGGGTTCAGGGTACAGACAGCGGTGGCCGCTGGCCGCGGAATTTAAAGATCGTGTTGCACAAGGCTGTTGACAGTAGCCACTTTGGACGGTCAAGAGAACGCGTTTGGATTCTCAAAATGAAATAACAGCCGAATTAGAGCCCAAAAGCCTGGCCCACAAGAAACAAAGGAGTGATGAAGGGAGAATCAATATCGCACTTCCTGATCTGGTGATGACCGTGTCCTCAAGCAGGGACCCCTTACCGCCTGCCTTAAGTGGGACTCAATACGTGGCAGTTTCTCTTGAGTCAGGCGGTGTGTCACGAAAAGCATCTGATGTCTACGGAGTACACGGAGCATGTATACATTGATGTTATTCTATCTTATATCTTTACATGGATCTTTTTTGATGTTCAAAATTTGTTCATAAATATTTGTAGAATGCGCTCGAGGCTGCATATATACTGATAAAATACACCCTTAAAGAGCTACAGTCGTCATATCCAATCGAATCCACATGCTGCAGCCTTATCCATTTTCCTTTCAGTTTAGGAGTAAAGACAGAACAGATCCATCGCACACAATTCTCCCCTCATAAAGATAACCAAAACCTCCTCCAGTCCCAGAAAAGGAGTTCAAGCATCAACGACTCGAGGTCGGACGCAAACTCAACCAATCAAGACAAATGGATAGAAAGTATCAGTCAGAAAATGCCTATGACTCATTTTCTCATGTGTGCGATAGTATCAGTGGACCAGAATCATACGGCCGGGTCAAAAGGGACCAATCCGATACCTGAGTATCTTCATTGCTTCAAGTCGGGAACCCGGGGTAATCCATGTGATCTGGCGTTCTTGCCACTTTGTTGTGGTGTGGGCGCATTTGCAGTGGATGACAGAAACGCAGGGCGTCACGTCGGTTTTATTTTCGATGGCATTTTTGTTTTGTTTGGTCGAATGCGGATTCATAAACGTCGCAAATTCGTAAAATCGTTTTGGTGTTTTGTCTTTTTTGTTGACTGGGTATTTTTTTTTAAAAAAAAGGGGTGGCGAAACAATCCGGTAAAGTCTGCCGATGGAATCTTCAGACATTCAATCTCCAAGGGCATGGCCACTCGTTCTGAAAGAGGTGTCAGGATTGATGTTTTTCAGGTAAATTGGAATCGAGTGATACTCACGAGTCGATGTAGTCGAGTCCACCGAAGTACTCAAGCATCCGGTAACAAAGGCTCACGTCGTCGCCCGGCTCTCCACCGAATAAACGACACTGCGCTTCTTCCATTCCACCTGATTCCAGCCGCAAGGGGCGATCACGGGTCTGCCAGGCTGTATCCCCATAGTGCCATGATGGGGCGAGGGTGGCCGGAGATTGTGAAATGCATGCGTCAGGAGAGTTGTCGGCAGACACAAGATTGCAAAAGCTATTCTGAGGTGTGCGAATAGTTGCCACAGGCAAGGTTGGATGTTGAGCGAGACTAGTTATAGAGCGATTTGAACGACGAGTGCGGCGTCTGTTATGCCTCTGGCCCATTCTCGAAGTGTTCAAAATGGGGACAACTTTTATAGAGGGGAGAGACCATCACCTCCAAGGATGAGATGAGGTACTGAGGGAAAAAAACCGGAATGATGGCTTGCTTTATACAGTAAGTGAGTCACTTAAAGGAGAAAATTCCAGGAGACCCACTTGAGTGGGACCATCCCGAGAAAGATCACCTTGTGCGATCACCTTATGGCTGAAAAAAATGGCGCCAGCTCTCCCACAAGGTCCTACACTAATTCTTATTGGATCAATTTTATCGGAAAGGCGTGATATATTTCGTCAAATGATATCTTTTACTATCGCGTCATTCGAGGACCCTTGGAATGAGTAATTATTTGACTTTATATTATGAGGTGATTCATATGAGCCATAAGAGCAAGAAATTACAAGAAATTGCAATTGAAACAAAAAAATCGAAACAAGGAAATAAATTGAAACGTCAAATGACGAAAGGCTCCATAAGGAAATTTCCAATGGATTTCCTAAATAGTGCCATGCGGACCGAACGGCGATCACATCAGGCAACAAAGAGTTTCCCGATTTTACCCTAAATCACCCTAGAGGTACTCTAACGTACCCTATAAAAATTACCCTAAATCCTCGACTCATGCAGGGTCCCGGAGCCTTCGTCAGTCTCCGGATCATTTAGGCAATTTGGGTAGCAAGGGATATCCGAATTTTTACACCTTGCATAGAACACGTGTGCAACGTGGTGAAAATGTTCAGATGCCTAGCCAAGGCAATAAAGAACTTTTTGAGTCATTGAGAGTATAATTATTTTCCCGCGGGTAGTCGGGAAATTGAAAGAACTCCTTTGACTATTGACTCAGATTTAAATAATTAATGGAGTGCCTGATCCGTGAGGACCCTAAATATAGCCCCCGGCCCGACTGAAACCTCTTTGACACATCCCGAGACAAACAGAACAAACACTAAACAAACACTAGACAAATGCAAACATCTTGATTTCTAGACTCTCCCTTGCAGCAGAGTCACTATATTCCGGGTCAACAAACGCAGTATGCGGTACTGTGAAGCCACCCTCATCCATTTTGGAGCTATCGAATTGCGTGAAGAGAAGGGGTTCATTGGGTCGTTGACCGCTGAGATAACACCATCTCTGACTCGGACTAAACGCATACCGACCGAGTTCATTCCACCCACTTGGCAGCTTTAGTCGAGTGGGAATACCCTCGTCTCGGATACTAACGGAACTCCAGTCACAAACCGTGAAGGGATCTCTCTGGATAGTCTTCAACGGTCGCCAGACGTTGATAATCAAGACCCGGCCAGCGAGGAGACGGTTGCGCTCCTGCTCGTCCGGAATATGCGTCTTCAGGTATTGGAGTGCACCTGTCGGCGTGAAATCTGAGTGCACGTCGTGCGCAGGGGCGCGGTTGTTAGCGAGCAAGGATGTGTCTGCGGCGAGACATCGTACCCGATGTACAAATGTGACGGTTCTAGTAGCACCGGTTCTGTGAAATCGTTCAGCTGCTCGAATCACGAGACACGGTTTATTCTGGGAGTGCTACTGACATTTTGCGAACTAATGCTTCAGTCTGAGGGATGATGGTATCTTTCACATGCTGTTTGTCCGAGACCTTGTCGAGATCGGGCATATCGTGCGACACGTATACAAATCCGTTCTTGTCAAGTGTGTAGGATGATTCCTTTCCTCGGATATCCTGTATTTGCACCCGATGCGTCCCATCTGAGACGTGCATTTTCTTGCTGTTATCCTCCGTTTTATCATTGGCAACGTCGACTTGGGCACTATTGTCGACATCCGGGCGTCTCCAGAAATGGAGGTCTGTGTTGATGTGCTTGGCTATATATTCGGTGTGGTCTCCCATGTTGAATATTGAATATCGAGATCGATAGCGAGGATTGATATGCTTATTCGAAGAGAACAATCCTCGGGGTCCACAGTTGGGGGGCAGGCTTATAAGTACCTGCGTCGTGGAGCCAAGCCGCCAATCAAGAATGTCCGGTGATTTTAGATCCGATTAATGTGCATAAACCGAAGTTACATGGAAATCGACGGCGTGTACTATGTACAGGGGCTAAGAGGGGGCGTTATGCTCGCTTCCAGGTTAATTGGCGCTCAATTGAGGCATATATACGAGTACGAGCCCGAGGTAGAGATCGTCGGCTCATGGTTTTTGAAACGCGCAAATCCGGGGTTCATCCTTACCCGACACTCGTTCTGATGGTGATGTAGTTCGTATTTCGTTATTCGCTAGTCTACATAGGGCTTGCGTGTCTTGACTCAATATATATAGTCATCGATGTTGGGATAATAATAATAGCTTGAAACTATATATAAACAGCTGTCATGGAAACCTCAGATTTGTATCAGAAAACTATCACTAATCTGTGTCACTGACACCACCTGGACCTTAAGCGAACTTATAAGATAGAACATGGTCAAGTCAAGAGTCAAGCGAAGCCGCAAGTAGTTATAGGACCTGAAGTATATCCCCCCTCCCCAAGGAGCCCCAAATGACAGAAAGGGAAAGTAAACAGTAAATCGAGTCGTGCAACTCGTATGAATTAGCTGGAGCAGGGGGACTCATTACATCGCTCCGCCTTGATCTACATGTATAAGTCTTGCTCTTTCCTAAAGTCAAATTGTCGAGGCTCTGCCTTGGGCAGAACTACCTATACTCCTTCCTCAGTCGATCTTTCTTCCCTTCTCTCTCCCTCATCTCCTCCCCTCTCTTTACATATCTACCAGTTTGGCTCAATTCATCCAGCCCTAAAGGTTTTCCTCCTTTTTCCTTTCCGTCATCAGAAATACATATTAACCCATCCTAGTGTCTATCTCTAGCCCGTCAGGGTACTGATCCTCCCTCCTAACGAGAATACCGGCCAGGGAGCCGTGTCTGAATTCTCGAAGGCGACAGAGGAGCGTGTTGACAATGAGACCCTCCCATGATGCTCGACGCGGAGCGTAAGGGGATTCTCTGCGGACTATGGGACTGCTGCCCTACCAATTCCGTCATTATTTGAATGAGAAACAGCAATTGCCCATCGAGTATTCAGTGATGATCACCTGTGTCAGGTGCAGAAAAATCACAGGATTCATCAACCATCTTGTTCATAACCAAGGACGACGGGGAGGACATATAGCTATGACTTGGTCCTAGGTCTCACGTCTACTACACCAATCTGTCATCAATTGAACGCAAAGCGCCACCCAATGCCTTGTGACCACAGAGATTAACGCACTATTTCGCAGAAAAAGCCCGCTCGAGTTGATACATGTTCCTAAAGCCGAAGGGCAATGGCAAGAATAATAAAGACGACGTCCTGTCCGTACGTTATCCCTACACAGGAATGACGGACTTGTCAGTTCTGGTTACCCGTTTAACTAGTTTCTAGATGGTTGCTAATCGATTGCAGGTGTCACAGCCCGCAAAACGTCCACGGAGGATGCTTTCGATTGCAAATCTTCGAGGGAACAACCTTGACTCTGGTAAGTCTGCTACCCAGTAGGCTACCTAGCTACCTAGGCATTGGCATTCAATTGCTAATCACTATAATAGACAATGGTCAGTTTGAAGCTTCATTCGCGATGGTTCTCCCTCACTATGCTCCATACCGACATCTGAGACTCGATATTAGGCCGCGGGAGACCCTCAATCCCTCAGCGCTTTATCAAAATACCCCCCGTCACAGGGCGACAGAAGCAGAATAAATCGCATATCTAACATGCTCTCGATCATTCTTTTGCTTATGGGTGGCCTTCAAAATCGCTGGCCACTCAGTGGAAGGCAAATCTATAGCGCTAGGATGCAATCGAAGAAGCAATAAGCGGCTCATACTTGCTAGAAGATGGACTATCCTACACGACAACATCCTGCGGTATTATTTTTTGTTTTCGAGAATCTATATCATACATATTACGATACACATGTTACACAATTCTCTCTTCCAACCGAACTATGGCAACGTGTTATTTATGTAGGATGCGAGATTTTTGGTCTAAACAAGGACTCGAAAAAGCATAATAGCTGAAATCAAAGGGACCAATCTCCATTGGAAAACGTCAACAATAAATCGGTAATATCAAATATCGGAAGCAAGATTCCACAGCTATCATTGACTAGGTTCTCCAGCCAGTCATAAGTAGAGTCAAATACAAAAGCGATGCATTAAATGATGTATAACGGCGTTAATGATGAAAGACCGGCAGAGGCAATGAGTAAAGAGAAGACAAATCAAAGAACCAGGCTGTAGACACAGAGCCCGAAAGAGAAGGAGAAAAAAGGTAAATGGGGAAGAAAAACGAAGGGAAGAGTAGGAGAGAACAAATGGCAAGAAAAAAGAAAAACACAACCCGCGTGTGTACTGTACAGGGTCCCAAGATCCGGACCATGCCTGGCCACCAAAAGCCATCATTCCTGTCCAAGACGCGTATGAATAGGATCCAACTACCAGATCAACCACTCCCCTAGGGAGGAAGGGACAGCTTCTAGCGCTGTCTGCTTGCGCATCCCGAAAACACAGACCGTAGCTCCAAAGACATGCATGACAAGTAGGAAGAAATCGGATATTTCGGCTAGCTACCGTGTAGCTTTCACGCCGTAGTTCTAGCCCTTTACTTCTTGCGGTTGGATCGGCGGGCAGCGAGGTCACCCTCAGCGAGCCACTTGCTGGCGTTCACCATCTGGACGATGTTGACGAACTGCTTGAAGGCCATGATGGGGAACGAGATGCCGGTGATGATCCACGGCCAGGTGCTCTCGAGCTTGTTCGCACGCGCCATCTCAAGGGCACCGGCACTCCAAGGGCTGGCGAAGAGGCTGGCTGGCTCGGGGTGGGCGGGGTTTCCGGGCTGGGCGGAGGACAGCTGGGAGTCGGAGAGAGGCTGGAGGAGTGAGGGGGATAGGGTCGGCGAGGAGAAAGACAGGAGATACAGGCCGATGAAGAAGGCTTCGTTGGCGGTGCAGCAAATGAACAGAACGAGCTAATAAAATATTGCGGATAAGCTTATGGGATGCAAAATCAGTTCACCGTAGAGGGGTTCTTACCTTGCTGGTGTAGTACTGGTACATAATCCAGCTACGGTTAGGATCGACCTTCTTATGGCTCTGGCCCGATCCGCCCATGCTCAGAGTAGCGTACATGTGCATGTAGTGACTGGCCAGGTCCAAGCTGATGAGACCTTGGAAGAGGATGGCCCACCGGGGCCAGGCGGAGCTCAGGAAGACTAGGAGACACGCGGTGGTGCATCGGTCGGTCACCATGTCCAGCACTGCACCGAAGGTGGTGGATTGGTGGAAGTATCGTGCTGCATAACCGTCCAGGCCGTCCAGCAGACAGGACACCGTGTAGAGGAAGGAGCAGGTCCGGGGGTGGAGGGGCATGTAGTACAGGGAGGCGAAGGTCAAAAAGACTCGGGAATATCCTGGGAATGTGTTAGATGTTGAACCATATGGCAACTTGAAGCTTCAAGCCACATCAGCGGGGCATCCTACCGATAAGATTCGGAATGAAAAGGAAGATGTTCTCCTTCTCTTCCTTGCTCTCTTCCCGTGCGGCGGATCTGGCCCTCTTCTTGGAGGAGGCGCGCTTTGAAGGTGTCGATACGGAGCCATTGCCAGCTGAATCGCTCTCCTCAGCGGCGAGGGAAGCCTTTTGTCGTCGTGTTCTTGCGCTCATTGTGAAAGGGATATGACTGGCGAAGTGTTCTCGTATAAGGAGGGAGGTAACGATAGCGAACGGTCTAGGCTCTGTCAGCTTCGGGTTGTACGGATGCAGCAGAGATCGCGGGAGAGAAAACACACCGTGTCAGCGAGATAAGAATAAGGAAATTCCGTCGGGGATAAGGATAGGAGACGTTCAGGGAACAAGGAGAAATTTCAACGATAAGAGGAGATAAGCACGTTTGACACTTGAAACCCTTTGAAACCCTTAAAATGAAAATATAAAAAAAAAGAAGGGATGAAAGAAGGAAAAAGGAAGAAAGAGAAATTGTGGAATGTCGGATTACGCGGAACCTTGGAAGACTCCAGTGAGCTTTCCCCACGCGGTCCACCTGGAGATGATCGTGAGATATTTGAAACGTATGGGACTTGGGACATTTTTTTTTTTAGGACTTGAAACATGCCAAAATTGTTCTATATCTCTATACTTCTAGCCTTAAAATATTGTAATTATATCTTTAGGAGCGATTATAATCTCAGGAACATTTGAAGCTTGTATAGTCTTGTATCGCGTTGGTGCTTATAGACACCATTGATTATATACGACCAGTTCAGAGGTCGAAAAAAATATGTACAGGTCATAACTCCCAAATATACAAAGAGACCCATTCACGTCCGTGACCTGCGCGGATCAGTGGCATCCTGTCGACGCCACTCGCGAGACTCCTTAGTACCCATACTACCAACGCCGCCCTCTTGACGACGTTCCCAACCACCAAGGCGAATAACAAGACAAGTAGCATTGTCACCTTCCCTAGTCACCTCGGTCGAGAAATTGACCACATCACGCGCCCCCTGTTCCGGGGTCTTGGATTCTTTAACGATATCAACGACCTCCTGGTCAAGCAGTGTCCCGCTGATACCGTCGGATACCATAACTAAGAAGGAGTACTCGGCCGGGCCAATCTCTATACGCTTAAGTTCGGGCTCGGCAGAGACTCCAATGCGCTTGGACTGGACGTCGCCGAAAGCGCGCGTGTTGGCTAGCCCGCTCATGCGTTCTTCGCCGAAGGAGTCAGTCACAAAGGATGTAGCATACCGTCGGAGTCGGGTTGCCTCGATCGGGGAGGAGGGGTGGTGGTTTGATGTGATGGGGATGGCTTCACCGGTTTCTGTTGAGCAGAGGAGCATGCGCGTATCGCCGACGTGGGCAACCAGGAGGCTTGATGGGGCGATGGGGTGCCAGAAGGGGGTTGGCGTCGGGGTCGAGATCATAGCGACACTTCCCGTGCTGCCGCCCTTGAAGCGGGCGCTTCCACCGATCTGGGGAGATCGGGTCATGCTAGGCCTGTAGAAGATTTCATCGTCGTTCAGAGGTCTCTCGGCTCGGACTAGATCTTCGTCGCGCTTCGCTGCTTGAGCGTTGACAAAGTCTAGATCCGCACGCAAGAAGGCATACTCCATGACTTCCTCGATGGAGATGTGGTTTTCAATACTCGGATCGGTGGACTCAGCGCCATTGTAGGCGAAATGCGGTGGCTTGAATCTCTTGAAGTAGCCACCAACTACCCGTCTCCAGGTCTGCACAAGGTATTTCTCTAGGTCTCCGATTCTGCGTCGGTCACCCTCTTGCATCACAGGTAATTCGCTAGTGGCAGGTGGCACTTCGGCACCAGGTCGTAGGCTGGACCGTAGTTCGATATCAAATGCCACATTCTGGATATACTCGTGCAGGTAGTCCCTCAAGAACGAACTACACTCGGATCCGCCATGGCCATCAAAGACACCGAAATAGAAGACTTGGGGGTCTCCACTAGCTGTTTCCGCACCGCGCGACTCCCGGGGATGGGCCAAAGGGTCTTGTTTATTGGGTCGTCTAATCGTTAGCGAAGTTGGAGGTCGCTTCGCAAAAGCGGGGATGTCAATGACGCCGGCTTGGTACGTGTCTTCATTCGACGGGCGGGTTCCGCGGGAAGTGACGGCACCGAAATGGTGCTTCGCGTTGCGGAGTGGAATCCGGACGACGGTTGTCTCACGGTTTATTAAAGCTTGGAAGGCAGCTGGCGATTGTGGAGTATCTCCGGTGTGAGGTATAGAGGCGGAGCGAGGTAGCTTATGAAATGACGAGGACGGACCACGGGGGTCCGGGTGAAGCGAGGATGACGGCAGGTGGGTGACAAAGTAATCGCGAAACTGTGGCTGCTTCCTAACTGTCGACTGGCCGGGCGGCACAGACTCGGTACTGTAGCATCGCGCTCGACGAAGGAGAGCGAAGCCTGGGTTATGTTAGGTCAAGGATCGCAGATAAGCAGGTAGCTTGCACGTACTGTAACAGTCGGCCGAGGTCCAGACTCGGCCTGTTACTCGCCTCGCTGAAAGGAGAGTCATTGGCCCATCGAAGTACAGTCAAGTAGCAGGGAAGAATTGAGGGTTGAAAGGACTGTGGGGAGAACACATCTGGCCCGAGCGTCGGTAGATAAGAAGACTCGGACCGGCACATTCGTTCCGCCGGATAGCTCTTTTAGTGCAGTTATGTACACACTTCCATGTATAAGGGGGCATATAGTATGTATTTACCGATTAAAGCTATATACTCAGTTGATGATGCTTGACTCAAAGTCTTCACACGATTCCAGTTTGAAGATCTTCGAAACTGTGAAAGAGTGAACGAAAAACGTCTATACAAAGAAGTGGATATCTTTCTTCTTGAGCTCCACTTAAGACTACATGTACTACAAACAAAGCGAAAATTTCAATATTTGACGCTACTCCATTGACAACCTTGGAACTAAACAAACAGGGCAACAAGATGCTAAATCACGCTGCTAAAAACGATCATATCGGTAGCAAGGTCCACTTCTACCCACAGAAGTGGAAGAAGAGACAAATGGCACACGGGAGTGGCCGAACAAGAGAAAACAAACGCTGAAAGAGTGGCACCTACCGGGTAGCAGAGCCGTCCATAAGTCCAAGGAAGACGTCCAGGGGGATCTGCCTTCGAAGAATGTGCCAGGTTAGATATCGAATATCGGAAATTGAATGTACTCGGGGGTGAGCATCTAGATAGCCTTAGTCCGGGAGAAAAGACTGCTGTACACGGCGTCCACGACGGGTTGGGCGGTAATCTGTCTTCCGCCAAAGTATCGGCCATTGAGGCCCTTGATGGCATTCTCACCACCTTGAACGCGGTCGAACTTCAAGTAGATATCTCCCTGGGAACTGACATCTAGTGAAATGTGAACAACGTGGCCATATTTCTCCTCACACTCCGAGCGGACGTCCTCCTCGAGTTCCTTGATCCAAGCTTCACCGGTCTCTCTGTAAATTGGTTAGCGTTCATTCTCTCATGATAAAGTCAAAGGAAACTTACTCGGCGGGGTCAAACATGTTACGAAGCAAAACACAGCGACTAGCCATGTTGACATTGATGGGAAGTGGCTTAGTCTCGGTCTTGGGTCGGAGGAACTTCTGACGGTCGTCGACAGAAGGCTGGGGGTCATCTGTTCTTGCAAGCTTGCGCATCAACGCATCCCTAGAGTAGTTGTTGAAGTTCACACCAGCAACATCCGTGTCGTCGAGTGCACTAGCACCGGCACCTTTCTCGGATTTTCCGCCAGCACGGTCAAAGTTGTTGGAGCCTCCAGCTTGAACGCCACGACCTCCCTGGCCGGAGAATGAGGATCCCTGGAAGTTTGATTGGTTTGTGGACGAAGCACCTGAGGGGCGAGCGGCGTTCGATTCGGGGTTGAACTTATCATTGCCGAGACCAACCCGAATAGCTCGTCCAGCAAGTTCAAAGCCGTTCATCTTTTCCAAAGCGTCCCGAGCTTGTTCAGGGTTGGCGAATCTGGTTAAGTCAGTTAGTGGAAAATCCAAGAATATAGAGGTGGCGGAGGGACAACGTACTGAACAAAAGCATAACCTTTGCTTCTACCGGTTTCGTCCTTTTGCAGCTGAACAAATTCGAGCTCGCCGAATGGTTCGAAGACATTGGTGAGATCGTCTTCAGTAATGCTGAAATGAACATTACCAACATAGAGTCTGTGAAATGGTGCAGTGTGTTGATTGCCTGCAGTAGCTTCGGGGTTGCGAGCTTGGCGGTTCTTTTCCGCTTCAGTCAGTTGCGCAATGATGGGGATTCCTAAGAGCATTTGGCCGGTGAGTCGGATGGCGGCGGTGACGGACTCCTCGTTTTTAAACTCGACGTAACCGACACTATACAGATATTAGCAAGTACTTGTATGAAGTAACCATGGGAAAACATACCCTTTGGAGCGTCCGCTAACGCGATCCTTGACGATTTGAGCATCCTTAACGGGGCCGGCCTTTTCAAAGAAGTTAAAAAGATCTTTGATTCTCAGACGAGCAGCAAGCTGCTGCACAAAGATAGTGCGCCTGTCACGTTCATCCTCGTTAAGTTCTGGAGACTTGCGGCTAGAAGATCCACGACGAGCATCATTGTCACGGCGGGGGCGTCTTTCTTCCTCACGCTGGCGGCGATTGGGCCGGTAGTGGCGATCGTCATAAGGAGAACGGGAGCGGGAACGAGCGCGACCTCCACCACGATAGAAGTCACCGCTGGAGCGGTAGTCGTCACGGTCACGGCGAGGACGGCGCCGCTCAGATTCGCGACTCTTGCTCCTCTTTCGGCTTCTAAGGCTTCCGTTAGCACTGATAGTGTCGCTCTTCATGACTTCATCGCCTTCCAAGTCTCGATCGGGGCGGCGATCACGGCTGTGGTCGCGGCGACGGCGTCGGTCGCGGGAACGATCATGGCGCTCGCTGGTGTCCGCGCGAGATTGGTCGTCACGGGCTTCCGAAGTGGTTGGGGCCTCGGCGGGGGCGGCCGCAGTAGACTCGAGGAGAGCCTCTACATCAAGTCCAGACATTTTGGGAGGTAGCCTGTCGTTGATCGGGGTAGAAATAATGATCGGGGTAGGGATATTGTCACTTTGTAGGGGTCAGATGGCGACAGGAGACGCAGAGTTGGCTTTCGAACCCTTATGATGCGATGAATCAGCGGAATGTTCCGTTGATTTCCGGCACCTTTACGCGCGTAACGCTCTTTCTTGCAAAGCCACGAACGCGGCAAATTCTCGATGGAGTTGTTGAGGCACTGGAGTGTTGGTATAGTATTTAAATAATTTGGTTGGTCGCAAGGCCCAAGAGGCTCGGGGCGGTGAGCGCGACGAAGTCACGTGCGGGCCGGATGAGATTTTCTTCGCCTCAAATCCAAGGCGTCGAGATTCCGGCCTGAGGCAACATCCCGTAAGCCAACTGGCAACCTTAATAATTGATACACCTATGGATACTTTTCTACGGCTAGATTGGCATATTTTAAATAATTTGGGAAAGCTTGTCCTCGATTTTCTCTGCCTTTCCTGCTATCTGTCAGGTGCTCTAGAGAATTGCTGTTTCTTTTAGCTCATCTGCACACTAATGGCGACAAGTGGCCACTTGTATGTAAGCCTATGAAGGAGTAGGTAAAAATTCACCCAAGTAACTGTGAGAACATTTGCATCTAGCAGGCATAGGATACCATGGAGATAAAGATATTATTTTCTTGCATTATAATTAACGTTCATATACACTGATAAGTGATGTGTAAAAAAGAAAGGTATCAACTCCGCCTTGCATCTAGCACCATCACAAGAGATGACATGACGAAGTGTGTATTGTACAAGAAGTAGACCCCTGAGACCAACCAGAAACTCCAGTAGCCAATGTACTTGAAGAGTACCGAAGAGTAGTGACTCGATCGTACTCGGCGTTAAGTCGTGACTTGAGGACTAGTGACAGCCCTATATTAATGCTTGGGGTGGGTTCACTGAGCCTTGGTGCCCTTTGCGGCTGGGGACACCAACTCGGTGCCGAAGACCCGATCCCAGAATGGACTGGTCACACCAAAGCCATTCTCGAAATCGGCGAAATGGTGCTGGAGGTGGTATCTCTTGAGCTCCTTGTAGTAAGAAGGGAGACTAGATTGAAATTAGCGTGGATTCATTGTATCAGAGTTAAAAGTTTCAACTTACTTTCGATGGTGCAAGAAGTAATGGGTGAGATCATAGCAGATATACCCGAAGATGCCGCCACAGAATACCGATGTAGCCGCGTACCAGTTGTAAAAGAAGACTGCGTGTGCCAGCTTCCAGAAAGGTGCAGCTAGGATCACAAATAGTGTCGGTGGCATAACAAGACGATACTTGTCCATCGGGAGATAGTGGTGGATACCGTGGAGCAGGAAGTGTAGGGTCAGACCGACACGGTTGTCCGGAAGCCAGTGGTCAATGTGAAATATGAATCGGTGCAGCAGATACTCGATCAGAGTCCAGAGAGTCAGGCCGCCAAAGAAGTAGGAGGCAGCCGCAGTGGAGCTCCCCAGCCCGACAGCTCCGACCGTAATTCCATAACCAACCAATGGCAACCAGATAGTTGGCACAATGTACCACGCGGTTTTGCTGAGAGGTTCGAGGAAATTGCCAAAGAGAGGAGCGGACTCTCCTCCCCGGTAGTGACGAGGCCGATGAATCTGCTCCAAGTAGAACTCCTTAGAGAAGCCGCTGAACCACAGCTGCATCAGAAGCGGCTTGTTCAAGTCTAGGAACTTGTGGGTCTTGTAGTCCTGGGTGTAGTCTGTGTCCATCGACAGATCCTCCTCACGCGACATTCCGGTGGTTGCGTAAACGGGACCAGACTCGGTTTCAGTCACGGTTTCGGTGATGGTTGTGGTTGTCGTGGTTTTGGCAGAGGTCGGAACATCGGAGACAAAACCAATGTGGCACTCGTCCAAGATTTCATAGGCAGCATCACTGTGTTCGTGGGAAATCTCATCCTTCAGGATATCTTTCACATCCTTGCCGGCATACTCCAAGATGAGATCACCGCCACCGGGGTGCGCGTCGATGAAATCGGTGATATCGTAAACATTAGCCCCCAAGGTGAGGTAACATGATTTGGCGGTATTGTGAGATTGAACCTCGGCGGAGGTAAACGTCGGCATTACTCTCCCAGGCATATTGGCGGATTTTTAAAAAAATAGGGAAGGATGTATGAAGGAAAATCCGGCGAGGCAATAATAAGAAATAAGGGGAGAGGCGTGGCGTGACACCAAAAAAACCAGGGATCCGCCCGCTCCGGGAGCCTTGGAAATTTTTCGAAATCGTTGACTTACGATTGGATCAAGCCACCTAAAAACTGGATCCACCATCGGACTTTAGTCTATGTAGCCTATCTGCTAACTCCCATCTTATGTAGGTAACTCTTTTGCGAAAATGCAAGGTTATGTACATAGTTATGCATTGTATTTTACATCGGTGGGGCTTCTCTAAGCATTAGGCGCTGACTTCGGGAGGGAATTGCGGTCCGGGCTTAGCTCGGCTACTAAGCCGTTAAGCTCCATTATACTCTACTCTCTAGTAATCTCTCTCCTGCTTAGCTTGCTTTTATTTCCGTGGTCAGGGCGAGCTTACTAGCCAGGTCTCGATATGGTTATAAAAAGTAGTTGCAACATGGAAAGAACGATTAGAAGATACGAAGCCATAATCTGAATACACGGAATTGTTTATCAGATCAACTTTCGCCATGTAGCAAAGGATACCAAGATGCAAATCAGAATTCATATAGACCTGAAACCGAATTATTCTGACTATCATATTTGTGAAGTGGATAGCAATAGTCATCGAAATAGCTTAAATGGTCACTTCAACCCTATTGGAAATTGAAAGCCTTTTCTTTCTATATTCAAAGCCTATAAGTGGAGCGATAACTATTTAACAAAACAAGACAAAGGGCTTGTTTGAGAGTATGTCTATCGGCATTTCATATTAACTTGCGTATATTGTTCAGAGCAGTTGCATTTCAAAGATCTCAAAAAGATTTTGATACACCTAGAATAAAGAGATGTGATATCTAGATTTCTAATGATAGTTAGAGGGCACTCATTACCAAGAAGCCACCTAATATAGCTTCATGGGAACTAAGAAACATACCACAAGAGAATCATCAGCACCCTGATAAAGGGATATAGCCATAAACACTGTGGAAGCCCGTCTCAGTGCAAGATATCTTTTTTTTGGCAAAGGGAACAAACTCAATGCTATTGGAGTACTTAAAAGTCGAGCTTCCATGGATGTTAAAGATCATGTGAGTGAATTAGCAGCATCTAAGGGGAAAACGGAAAATTGCAGTTAGGGATACTATCTAGTATCAGTCATGATCTAGTTCATATGTACTTGATTGCCTGTTAGGTATGGTATCCGAACAAGAATAGAGGTCAAATAATATACAATATGTGGTCATCACAGGCTATGCCAAGGGATAGATAGGTCGATTACACCCAAACAGGCTAGACTTATCAGGTTAAATTGCCCAACAGCCTAAGCTCCTTCGACGGGGTTTCTGAGCAATCCTCCCTGAATTTGGGGGCCCATTTATCAGACTGGTTTCTGGATTTGCCACCCGGTCGATCGGTTTAATATAAATACGAAAACCCGCAGTTAGACCCCATATTGACTCCATTAATGGAGTCGAGCCCCATAACATCTGACAGCAAATCTGTGGAAACCCCGATGATCCAGAAAGATCTGTTACCAAAGGCCACCTTAGCATGTACACAAAGTACATACAATAGCACATACTCCGTACTCCATACGTATTTTGTACTTTATATTCGTACAATCGGCTCTTGTCCCCACTAAGAAATTAGTCTACGCGGCACGCGGGGCTATTGCCGGAAAGATTCCTTACGGTATTTATCTTCTGCATGGTCAATTCAAATTGAAGCAGGGGTTAGACACAATTAGTGGAGACTACAGCCCCTCTTCCTAAATTCTCTTTCTCTACTCTCATCTTTTTTTTTGTCTCTTTACATGATGTCTTCCTTCACTTCCCCTTCCACAATGTCGATTACGGACTGGTCCCCCGAGAACCCCATTCTGGCCTACCTACAGACATTGATAGCTACCAAAAAGACCCTTCCTTATGGGCAGCCTGTGGTCGCCCATGCCTCCGTCAATCATACTGGCTCCGCTTCACTCCTGCGGCTGGCCGCAGATATCGGCCCGTACATCGCCGTACTACAAATTCCGGCCGATGCCATCGACGATTGGTCCAGCGATACCATCGAACAGCTTCAGTATTTGTCTAGGAAACATAGATTTCTACTATGGGAAGCAAGCAAGATTTTGAACCCTCTGGTAAACTTCATTGGCAGAGCGGATACGCCGTTGGAAACAAGACAGGCGTTGGCGGACTTGATCAAGAAATCATACACCAGTGGCCCATTGAGGACGGCAACATGGTCCAATCTGGCCAGCTGTTGGGCCCCCGCAGCTCCAATCGAACAACAAGAAAATGATATATTGATCCCAACCTTGAGATTGGCAGCCCGCGAGGCAGTCGCGACAACCGCAAAGATAATCCAAACCGAGATCTCAGCCGAAACAAATAATTACTCGTCGAGCGATGAAGTGGAAATGGTTATCCCCTACACGGAAACAAGCAATGGTTGGAAAGAATTCAGTCCGAATAATACGGGATCAGTATTACGGAAATCGTCAACCATCTCCGTCACGACCGAGTCTGTGATTCCGCACGCACACCTTCAAGCAGATAACGGTGTCCCAATCCCCCCGCTACTCGCCCGCAGCGTTGCACTCTGTCTACCCAGCACCACTGAATACGCGTTTACCTCCGAATTCCGCCAAAGTACGATAGTCGCCGCATGTGCCAACCCCGACTTTGTCACCGGATTCGCAACGAGCGATCCCTTTTTCGTGAATCACCGAGGAAATGATATTTGTGATTTGGCATTATTCGACGGCGCCGGAAATCCCCAATTAGGCATCAGCGCTGACAAGCTCGCTACCTTGCCTTACGTCAACGAACACCGAAAATCACTCGCTGTATTCTCTCTTGTACCACCTAGTCTTGGCCTTGGCTTTGAGTTTGATCCTACTGTCAAGCCCGATGGAAGTGCACCATCCGAATCCGACTCTGAAACCCCATACACTGCGCAATACCTATTCCATGCCGTCGGGCAAGCGGTAGCCCTTCGAGAAAAGAACCGACAAGAGCAAGAAGCTAGCGGTCCTCGAAAGCAACCGGTGGGCCCCAATCTCATACATGTTCCTGTGGTTATTGTTGTATAATGTCGCACAATAGCGCTTGTTATTCTGCTTACTCGCTGGCCGCGAGTTTTGGTGGCCTCATCTTGGCTTTGGAATCGAGTATGCTATACGCCCATCGTATCTTACTTCTTGTGAATAGTTCGAAGACTTGCTTGTGTCGGTATTTCCAACAAATGTGTCTTATACAAATACCAATGAATTTGATGAATAAATAAATGGCTAGCCTCACTTGTGCACGAATTCTATCTAGAACCCCGAGGCATAACGATCTAGACACCCCTCCAGTGTAAAAGAAAACTTGTGCCTGAACTATCAGGCTAAAGGGGCACGTGCCCATTCTTAGTCATCCTGTGGGATCGCCCCAGGGCCAAGGTGGGCATGGATATCAACGGTGAAAGTGCTTTCAGCTGTATAGCTATCCTGCTCTATCTTTTCTCAGAGTCTCTATACATTAAAATCTGTCTTTTATCTTTACCAATCTGATCATGGGATCGGATTAGGGTTTGATCACCAAACAGTTAACCTCATTGACATCGAACAACAATCGTCATCTTCATGAAGAACACCTTTTTGAGACTGTTACTATGACAGCACATAACACAAATTTTGGACAGAATTCCCGTGATTATTTTACTTCCAATGTGTTACCTTCACAGCCACAGTTTAACGCCATATTATAATCACAGAGACCTTCGGGGAACTCGACATGAACCCAGCCAAAAACCCAGGCCATCACAATGGGCTTTCTGCTCAAAATGACCTCCAAGAGGATAATGAGGAATCACCAATCAGAGTCATCTCTGCAAATGGGGACTTGATTCTCGAGTACATCGCTCCCGGTGACTCTTCATCGTCACCAACCAGGCGCAAATGGCGTGTGGCAAGCGAGCGTCTTACCTCCCACAGTCCATATTTCCAAGCATTACTGGACCCGACCAAGTTTTCCGAGGGAAGACAATTCAGTGCCCAAAAGCAAGCCTGGAATGAAACCCAAATATCAGACTCAGCCCCACAGCATGCGCTACCAACAGTCAGGCTTCCCGGCGTGCAATCTACCAGCATGTGCGGAGATGATGCTATCGAGTTATTTTTGAAGATTCTATGCCTTGATTCTTTCGAACAAACTGAAAGAGTCCTGTTTGAAAATGAGTTGAAGACCCAGTCTACATCGCTTGTTGCGAGAATGATCGACCTTGCCGATTCATTGAATTCTCCTCGTGTTGTCGAAGATATTCTGCATAGAATTGGATATTTATATGGCAAGACAAAGCCTGCGCTTCTTGCCAGGTTTAATGCAGCTTCGTTGTCAATGAAGGAAGATCGGATTCGACAGATCATCTTTATATCGTCCTTCCTCAATGATTCAAGACTCACTAGAATCATGACCCATGTCTTGCTAGTTTTGGGCTCCAGATTCTGGATAAATGGGCTAGATAGCCCCGAGGAAGAGACTTTGCGCTGGAGATATCTACCACATGGTTTAGAAGGTGGGTTTGCGGAGAGTCAATCCCAATTAGTTCCAGTTAGCTAAATCATCTTCCTGCAGAGGAAATATACTCTCGACGTCAATATGTTTTGAACACCATCACCGACCTACAAGCTCATTTTCTTCGAGTCTATGGAGGGCTGGAGGAAACCGATAGTACAAAGCCCGCAGCAAGCAGAACATTGGGCGCGGCCTTTACCGCATCTGCACATTCGCTTCTTCAATCCCGTCACTTCCAATGTCGAGGCGGATTCAACAACGCCAGCCAATGCGACCTCTTCCAACTGGGCCAAATGGTCCGATTTTTCTCAATGCGCGCCAAAACGATCTTTCTAGGATCAACATTGATAGACCCGGATTTCGACTCAGCTCCCAACGATGACGATCACACAGCTGGCGAATCCAGGAACGACCACCCCCAGGCCCACCATCTGATATTACAGCTATCATCGCCTCTATCAAACAGTATCCTGACTATGCAATTGACGAAGCCCACACCGGCTGTGGTGTGCGACGTCGAATTATGCCTGCTTTAGAGTGCATTGAGAAATTCGTCTGGGATGACCGTGGTCTCCTTGGCATCACCCCCGCAGTCTCGGATACCGCTGTTCCAGACCTACATCGACCCTCGAAATGGACGCGGTGGGCAGACTTTGTGCAGAAGAGTCACGCGGTCGATATTTCTTTTGCGAGAGTCACGGCCGTGTACTACCCTTCAGCACCGTCGAAAAATCAAGTCACCCGTTCCACGCCACAAGAAGAACTGGCACGGCTGTTGTTTACTGCTAAACGGAGGGATTGGAGTGCAGCAGGCTCTGGCTGATGTTTCAGCCACTAGATATATATTATTAGACTATCTATATCGCAATTCATGTATTCTAGTAGCTCCAGGGTGGCCCTCTATACGAGCCTAGGCCGGTTTACAACACCATCATATAACCTACTATATTATGACTTCGACACTTTTTGAGAAATGGAGCTTGTCATTCCCAAACTCTAGAAGTTAATTGCGGTTTTAGATTGTGTCCTGATCATAAGCGAGTCAACCCTGAACTATCACCGTACACTGGAACCGGTCATCAAGTGGAGATAATCTGTAACCGGGCCTTACATTTCACTAATTCAGGAGAGAAAAGCTGCTCTGGACGGGTTTATATATTACCAATATATGGCCGCAGCGAAGTACACTCTTCGGTGGCGACTACTCCCTATGTTGATACGGAGTAGATAGAAATAAGAGAGCACATGCCTAGTTGCCCAGTTCAGTTGATTTCCAACTCTGATTCGTACAGGTACTCAACGTCACTATGATTTAAGAACCATCGTGATAAGGTCCGTCGTACCCCTAGCGGCGAGTCCGAAAATACGACAGAATGATCCAAGAGAATGAGAAGATAAGAATTCACTTCGATCGGTCTAGACTTCGCATTTTATATCCAGGGGTGGATTCCGGCTGGCTCTAGACATCCAGACTTTGGGAGTACATGGGTCTGGATGATTTGGTTCTGGGAGAAGCTTAATATTGGAGGTTCTATGGATGCAAGTATATGTGGACAATAGATAGATGGGTTTGGATTGTAGTGATTGTAGTGAGATATATTAGTGAACATAGAATTATCAGATGCCAATAGACATGATTAAAATCTCAAGACAATGTATAACCAACTATCACAAGATAATAAACTCCTGTATCGAATTGTGACTTGTAGATGGTGCGAGAAGTTCAGAGAAACAAGAATCACTTTTCTCTATAGTGTCTATATGAAGACAGGTGTGTAGTTTTCTCTTTCTTTTGATGGCATGCAAATGAAGCGACAGAAGAAAAGAACTCGAATCCAGATAAATGCAGAGATATTTTCCAATTTGACTCTGCGTCCATTCTGATTTGCTTTTTATGTTGTCCCATCCAGCTACATGGGTGCCAACCTTCAGCACACCGGATCACCCCAGAAGTACCCCATATCAAGTTCCATATTTGGACCAGATGGGAAGAAAGAGCCCGTGATCTGGCCGGTGGCTGGGTCATAGGGGAAGCATTCATCATACGAGCTCCGACCCGAGAGATCCTTCTCCTGCTTGATGAACTGGTCGAGTAGATCAGGTGCCTCGAGACCGTAGGGGTCCTGCATACCGAGAGGAGTAGTGTTGGCTTGATCCATCGGGGAACAGGCGATTGAGTCCAGCTCGGCGGAGATAGCGTCAACCGCCACTGCTGCAGGCATGGTTGCGGATGGGTCAAACGCCACATCATCCGCTGCTGGCTCTTCTGGCACTGCATCGGTGTCTGCAGTATCAGGGACATCGAAGAGGGAGTCGGACTCTTCAGTGGTAGGGAAATCATTCACGTTGATTCCAATATGTGGTGCCAAGCGGCGGAGGAATCCGTCACAGAGTTTCCAGGCTCTTTCTGACGCCATGTTGGTTTTCGATAGCGTCGATAGCCAGTCCAGTGCTTTCTTTGCAGCTTTGGAGACCATCGTCGCTTTCTCGGGGACGTGCTGGGCCCGGAATGCCAGCTCGAGTAGGAGAACAGTAACTGCCTGCATCAGATAATGTAATATGCACCACCAGGGCGACATGCGGTATAGCAGTACTGCGTCTGGGGCATCCGGGAATAGCGTAAGCATGTGGCATGCAGCCTCGACACATTCCGCCGCGGTCTTGTTGCAGAATTCGTAAGTCTTATCCTCTTCGGAAGGGGATTGGTCCAAGCGACAGAGGCACGGCCGGGTGATTCCGATTTTGGTGCTGTAGAACAGAAAGGCGAGGCCCATTCGCTGACTGATGGGGCATTGGGATGTTTGTGTCGAGGTGAAATCGTATGCAGCAGGGAGATTCATGAACCATGAATCAATTTCAAGCATCAAGCTCTTGATGGTGAACTCTGTGCTCGCCCACGGGGACTGTAACGCTTCCGGGCTGTAGAGTTTCACTGTCATCCGCTTGGAGATGCTGGTCAAGGAGGCCAACTGCAGGAAGTAAAGTGAAGTGCAAGGCGGAAGACTCTTCAGATACTCGGCTCGGCTCAATTTTGTCTCCCCCTCAGCAGGCAAATCGTTTGAATCAGAATCAGCCGTCGATTCTAGGTCCTCTGCATTGTTGTTGTTGTTGTTGTTGTTGTTGTTGTTGTTGGCGGGAATCCGCTCGGAACCACTGGATCGGAGTACAGCTGTGCCTATCAACCGAGCCACCTCGTCTTTTTGGAAATCACTCTCATCAAAAGGAACAGGCATTGGTGTAGTGCAAGAGCTGTCGATGATACATGAAGGACGCCCAGTCATGATGGTAAGTAAATGATCCAGTGTATACAATGACCACCACACCCGATAGCGTATCTCCTTGGAAGTGTCGGATATGCTCGCACCCACGTTGCGCAAATGCAATCCAAGAGCTAGCGCTCCTCGAACTGCACTCCCGGAAAGTTTCCAGGCCCTTCATGAAAAAATGTCGTGAGTATATAATTGTAAGATGTGCGCTGCAGGATGTCGACTTACCGATTGATATGTCCCGACGCAATCAGATAGAATGAAGTAAGCCCCTCGACTTGCAACTGCTGTAGGTCAGGGTGATGGAGAATCTGATCTTCCAAGCTCAAGGCCCGCGCCCTTGAGAAGTACATTTGATGGTCATCATCTTCTTCATTCCAGTCCAAGTTCGTCAATTGCCCATATTTAGCCGCAATGGCAAAGATCAAGTTGAGTATAGCGAGCCACTTGTTTCCTGGCTTGAGAGAGGGTTGACTGAAAAAGACCTGGAATTGGGGGACAAAGGTTGAAACGCCAATGATTGGGAAGGAAGGATGCACCGATGTCAGATAGGCATTGAGCATTTTGCCTGCCATCTCCCGTAATGGAACTCCATACATATCACTTTGATCTGCAGTTGGAATGTCCAGGTCATCAAGGTAATAGTTGGAAGCCACTACCCATGGCTCGCTTGGATTCTCCGGGCGAGGCGTCAGAGTTGGAGAGGGCAGGCCGTTATCGTCATCTGTGTTGGGAATAGTTGCAGGCCAGGCCTCACATTCACTGTTGACCTCTTTGCTAAGCCTTTGGAGCCAAGTGATCTCAGAGCTTTTTCCAATGAAACCCGTTGCTCGTGCAGTTTCGTCTCTGTTGAAGTCCTCTTCTGTCTGGTCGCCTGATTCCAGGGGACTAACGGATGATGCTCGGGAGGGCGGTGGCTCAGAACCCGCATGCCATGAGATTCTTCGTTCTCCAGCTGCTGCAAGGCATGTTTCTGGGTTGAATGCCAAGTCAGGGGCCGATTCCTGGTTGGTATTAGATAACATAGTTATCGGATGTGGATCAAGCTTCATACCGCTGCCAGAGCAATGTTCACGAGTTGCTCATCAGAAACGCCGAACCGATTGCTCAGCTTGCTAATAACATCTTCGTATGCCTGCACCTTTGCGGACAAGCTTGCCAACTGTCTTTTCGTTCATTGTAGATGTCAGCTCTTGCAATAACGCCAGCGTGCTTTTATATTGGCTCTGCATACCGTTTGGACTTCTCCCTCTTGCCATCGGTATAGCAGCAGATGATTCCAGCCTCTCGACAATTGCGGCATCCGGACTTGTCTCCGGTGCATTTCGTCTTTCGTTGTCTGCAAGACTCACATGCTCGACGAACGTGTCGACGATGAAACCTACCAGGAGAGGTGAAGGCAGACTCGGTTCCTTCCGCTAGTCGCGGGATAGCCATTTTCTTGGTGCCCACTTCGGATTCACCTCGTTGGAGATGAGGAACTGGGTTACCCTATAGATGCTTTATCAGATAACACTTCCTTGGAGTGATCATGATTTCACACTTACCACACTGGACAACTGATTACACGTGTCTGCATCAGCACACGATAATTTGAAGAGGCTCTGTTGATCATTCCACGAGGGAAATGGAATATTACTCATGGTGAACCACAAAAATTATGGTTACTGAAGCTGTTTTCACTAAATGTCAGTGGGATTCGTAACTACATCTTCATTCTTTACTTACTTTAAGTAAATTGAGTTTGGACAATGCGTAGGTTCCAAAGAGCTTGCGATATATATTGAAATGACAATATCAGCAATTGTTTTATTGCCGTGACATCTGTCAAGTCAAATAGTCTAAATGGTGTAAGACAAGAAGGAGGTCATTGGATTTTATAAAACACCCCAGGATTTGACCCATGAGAAGGATAGATCGGGGAAGAATGAAGGAAAAGAGGTTCGGGTTTCGGGCACCGTTGGGAATCGTGAGCTGGTCAAGCTAGATACTCCGTGATGACATCCAATGCTCGTTTAGGGTAATGTGTAAACGCGCACCATTGGCCACTCGTTGGCCAAATCAGGAATAGCTGCGGGTTTGCCTCAGTCTCCTTGTAGGGCATGGGGCGAAAGTTCAACGTTTTCATGAGCAAAGCAAAATAACTTCTTTTGGTTATTGAGCACGCTATTTGCCATCAACCAAACAGCCTATGTGGACTTGCATTTTATTACTCCAGAGAGCCTGAGGTATTGGCCTAACCATCAAGTTACCTCCCCCGGTGATCCATATTTTGACAGGGCTCAGCTTTCGGTTGTTGGTACCGGCTGGCTCTGGACTCCGATGCAGTGGCCAAGGGTCGTGGATATAGGATTCAACAAGAGGATGCCCAGGTGTAAGCTTCGATGCAGCCAGCCCACCTTCAGCCCTAGGGCTGTTTTTGAAACTCTGAATTGTGTGTTTCAAGGAGCCCATGAGCAACACTGAACTTCCGCAGTCTCGAATCAGCCACCTTCAGCAGAATGAATATGAAGACTTCCTTACCAAGTCAGCAGTAAATAGCTCTGGAGTGTCCAGTGGCCCAGACCCGGGACTTCGAAGTCAATCTGACGTTAGACTGTGGCGGCACCAACTTTGCAGTGGTTCGTCCCTGGTTGGTATTCAGGCCAGGACCACCTCATTCGGAAAAAGGATGATAATCCCCAAGGGGGAAAAGCTTGACGGCAATTCTCACCAACCTCTCCCGTCTTGGTGTCTTGAGTTAATTTGAGATACGAAGCCCATAATCCTGACGTTCCATTACGTTCGGATGATTAACCTTATAGTGGGCTTAATGGCCTTGTTTGTCAGGCTCCAACACCGATAACTTGGATGTTTCGAGGTTATACTACTGTATAAGGATGAAGAAGTAAAAAAAGAATCAAATAAGTTGGCTTAACACGATCTTGGTAATTAAAGAACACCACAATCCGAACATCATTAGGAACTCTATACAGTAGTCCAAGCCCATTTTTACTCAATGAGGAAGTTCTCCGCAACACTTCGAATATCCTTCGAGAACGCAACCTCCTCACCCTCCATCTCCAGGAGGGAAACACTGTTGATGTCGACATCCACGAAAGGCTTGGTCTTTGTGAAGCGGACACTCATCGGGAAGAACTCGTTCTCATCAGCATCAATCGCCTCGAACTCAAAGCTACCAGAGGCGTTCGACTCATCAACAGTACCCAGGTTCCAGTCCAGACTGTCACCGGAGACCTCGTAGACCGCATCAAAGCTAGATACAGCAGGCTCTGTTGTGCCATATGGAATAGTAACAACCACATCGCGGAGACTGTCACCGCCGGTGAGCTCATACTCCACGGTCACGGTGGTGGAGTCAGAACCCTTGTTTACCCAAACGGTGAATGTGATGGGGAGAATATCAGCATTGTCAGCCGAGCTGGCAACACGCCACCGGAGCACGCCGATGGAGTTATTGGCGGGGAAGCGCTTAGTAGTGTCCTTCAGTTGGATCACGGAAGAGTTGGTGAAGAGGGCTTTGTCGACATTAGGGTGGGTGCGGAACTGTGCGCCATGTGTGGGAACAGCCTGGCAGTCGAGTCGGAGTTTAGTGAGTGCGGGATCGGTGATACGGAGCTGCATATCACCCTTAACCTCGAAAGACTTCAAGGCTCCCTCCCGAGTAAGCGTGGCTGAGATGGTCTCGGCGATTGTGAGTTGAATGGGTTCCCGGTCCGCACTGAGAGACTCGCGGGCTGAGGGAATGTCGTGCACCGGAGCCGAGGCTTGTGGAGCCACCAGTGGACTCTCCTCTTCGATTTCTGGGCCCATATCACCCCGGACCTTCTCGTAGATATCCGTTGCCTTTGATTTCTTGCCCAGCTGCATGCCCTTGCCGCGAGTGGGAATGGGCCTAGTTATCACGCAGTCAGTAAGAGTCTCGCAACGGCTAAACCAGAAATCTTCCCAACGTACTTGGCAAAGGACTGTTTCTTCTCGGCCTCGTAGGAATCATAAGTGTCAGGCACAGAGGGGCGCGCTGGGGGTGTGTAGACGGGGTAGGACGGAGTTCTTGCGGCTGCGGCACGACCTGTGCGAGCAACCTCTTTGCGTTGCATTTCCAGCTGCTTCGCCTTCCTTTTGCGCTCCTCGGTGGCCTCCAGCTCTTTGTTCTATTAATGTATGTCAGCCGAGAACTAACCTCGCCGGGGGGTTCAAAACATACCCGCTCAATGATCTCCTGGATTCTCTCTTCATGACTCTCCATTTCCAGGAAAGTCTTGATCTGAGAGAGAGAAAGATTCTCCCGGTATCCCATAGTCACCAATTCATCGAAGGCACTCAGGAGCTCAAAGGCATTGCGAAGAATCTCCCGCTCGTCTAGGCTCTTGCAGATGCTGGTGGTGACTTGCGCAAAGAGATGGAGACTGTCGATGTCTTGCAGAATGTTCGATTGCCGGTTGGTGATCAGCACAATGTACATCTCGTCCAATGGCTGGTACACGAAGCGCACGTTGTCTTGCTCAACGGTGGTATGCTGGGTTCCGGAGTCCGCTAGCTTAGGGAAGGAGGCAAGAAGGGCTTCAATTCGGGACCGAGAGATCTCCCGAAACTGGCGCGAGAGGACCGCTTTACCTCCACGGGTGCATATCGACGCTGCGAGAACGACCTGTTGTGTGTTAATTAGTGTAATTCCCCCGCGAATTGGATTGAACAGAGGCTAACCATGGTGGGAAATCAGCACAAAAGGTGCACACAGATGGCAATAAAAGAGTGATCAAGGAACAGAGTATAGAAAAGGTTAGAGAAGTGTAGTGTTGACTAGAAGCGTATGCCCTGGTGTTGATGGTTGGAAGCGGTAGGGAGCTACTCTGTTCACTTCGGCGGTTGGCCCGTGCATTCCTTTCGCTTAGTCGTCAACCAGACACTTTCTCTTCACTTCATCTTTTTCTCACGCGTTGAACACACTCCACCAACACTCAGTTCATCGTTTCTCTTGCTCTTACTCGTAGCCTTTCGCTCTGAGTATCGCCGAGGAAACTTTTTGCTTTCATTTTCAACCCTCATTTCAACCGCTTTCATGGAACGTCATTGCTGAACTTTCCAATACTACCTACGACCCTCAGCCCCCATTTTTACGCGTTTTCTTGCTATGACAGCAGCCCCCTTGATTGCATACTCCATGATGGAAATCCCAGCCGCGGGTGATTCTATGGAGATGGCCTCGCCCTACCAGGGGCAGGCTGACGATTTTGACATCGACATCGACCTCATGGAGGACAATGTCTCGAATATGGACAGTGATATGATGGGTGCAGATGAATTTACAACTACTTCTCAGCCTAACGAACTCGACAATGACGCGATCTACGATGCCGACATGGCCGATGAACCCTCCGAAGGGTCGATGATCGACGCTGACAACTACGCCGATGAAAACAACGACATTGACGTGCAGTTTGAGGAAGAGCCATACGAAGAAGAAATGATTGAAACTGATCAGGCCGAAGACGTCAATATTACCGCCCCCGTCATTCATCTTGAACCTGCGGACAGCAATGAAGACGCTGCCAGCGCCATTAACAAGGATGCCACAATCACACCCGTGGAACCTCTCGAAGCAGCACCTCAAAGCTCGAGTGGCTCTGTCGAACTTGCCCCCGTTCAAGACGAAGCCCAGGCTCCCGGCCTTGAGGCCGAGACTCAGGCTCAGCGGAGCACGGCTGCTGATGACCCTGCTGAGGAACCATCCGAGAACGTCATCAGCCCCGAAACCGGCGATCATCACGTAAATACAGATGTTGGTGAAGAGGCTAACAAGATATCACAACCTTCTGTGTCAGAGACTGAGGTACCCGAAGTTCCCAACGACAGCCTAGAGACCAGTGAAATCAAACCTTCTGCCGAAGATTCCCACGTTGATGCCGCTGCGCACCCAGAGGCGCAGGCTGTGTCTGAGGGGAATCACCAAGTTGCGGATGAGGATGGATCTGAATCTCTACAACAGGTCACATACATAGATGAACCTCTTCATCCAGTGAAGATTCTCTACCAGGACTGCGAGATCGCTCTGTTCCCCCCCTTGAGGGAGACTTGGCGGATACATTCTTTATTGAAGATGAAGCTTTAGCTTACGACAACATTGGTCAAATATTCAAGGCTCTGCGCCAGGTGCTTCAAAGAACCATGACAGGCAACGAGGTCTTGGTCATCGATATTGACACCCTCGGTATCCAAATGACAGAGGTAGGTACTTCTCAAAGACCCTCCATCAGCAAACATACTGACTCATCCTCTAGGACTCATTCCATACATCTCAAGTAACCTTGCATCAGATCCTAGATCTTTACCTTAGACTTTGTCGTAACGATGGCACTACTGAGCCCGATGCCCTTTACCTTACACTGAGCACCAAGCGTGCGTTCCCGGCTGAAATCGCAGATCTCAATGACGCCGCAATCGACGGCAAAAAGCTTTCCGAACTTCATGCCGAAATTCAGTCATGGGATGAATATGACGAAGCCGAACCAGGTTCTGAGGGGGATCTTGACGCCCATGGAGCCGAGGAACATGAAGACGAAGCCTACTACACCACCGAGGCCCAAAAAGAGCTTTCGACCACAGAAGTGCAAACGGCTCCAGGGCCTGGAGAAGAGCAGGCGCTAGATAGCGAACAGGCTCAGGTCCAGCCCGAAGTTGTCTCTGACGGTCAACATGAGATCGTGCATGCGGAGGATGATAATAGATCTACCTCCAGTGAGCGGGGTGCCGAGGCCGCACCTGAGTCTGAATCTCATCCAGCCCAGCCCGGGAGCAAAGAGCCAGATCACTCTGATGTGTCTCGCCAGCTTGAAAGAGGCCAAGACCAAGATCAAGGATACAGTCATGACCATGGTGATACGAACGAAGAGCACTATGATTCCGAGGGCCCGCAAAGTGATTCTACTGCCACGGTGGCTGCACTGCCTGGCGCAAGCGAGGTCAAAGAGCATACCCAGCATGTCCCTCCGGCTGCGGACGTCGGCACAGATCAAAACGACGAAGAGGAATATTACGGAGAGGACCACGAGAACGATGATCTGGGAAGCGAAGAATATTACGAGCATGAAGATATCGGCTCGGTCGATGATTCAGAGGCTTTCCAAAAAGATATCACTGGCAGTGAAAATGCTGATGTTGATGCTCAAGAACCAGCTGATCATGCGTCTGTCCTTGATGAAGAGGACACAGATGAGTTAGATGCCCCGCCGACAGACGAAATTGTCTCGGAAGTTCCTGTGCAGGATGATACCAACCGCCCTTCCCATGACCAGCCGCGTGACATCGGCTTGCATGACGCCTCTGACAAAAAGGAGCGAACACCAGAGCCTGCAGATGATTTACTTGGAATCGCTGTAGACCTGATGCAGACTCCTCCGAGGGATACAGAGAACGATTCCCTTGATCACTTTGAGGGCATAGACTACGACGAACCTGAGGATGAACTCGAGGCTCATGTTTCAGCTGATGAGGGTGCGGATGATCACGAGTTTGACGATAACCATTTTGGCGACTATGACACCCATTTTGAAGAATCGGAGGCTGTAGAGCTGGTTGGAACAGACCCTTCCTTGACCGACCCCCAAACCAACCAGATCCCGTCTGCCAAACGGTCTCGGGAAGATGAAGACGACTGGAACCTAGTGGAAACCACTGTTGACACCAAACGTCGTCGCTCTTCGTAAACCACGTTCCCACTTTCTTTTACCCCTGGAGCTATTTCTCCAACCTCTCTCATCTGTCATGCCCGGTGTCCAATGAGCCCCTCGGCTCGTTCCACGCGACTATTATCCTCCCACCATACTAATCATACTTACCAGCAACGACCTCGACCGATGGACGCAGTGTCTCGTTCGACTACTAACAAGAAACAGGTATGTTCGACCCCTTCCCCCAGCATGCGCATGCCTTCAACTTGGGGTATGCGCCTTCTCTTTGCTCTCGATGCATTCGATTACCCATCTATTCTTGCGTTTTTTTTTCTTATTTTGTTTGATTCTTTCCCATTGCGATTCAAGATACCACGGGCTTTCGGCCAAAAATCTTTGTTCGGTGTTGAGGGGTGTTTTTTTCAATGCATTTTCCTCCGGATATGGCGTATCGGCGCGATGGGTTAGGCCACGTGTTTGTAGTCCAATGAATCTTTTCAACATGCTTCTGCTATCGAAGTATTTCTGTTTTCTTCTCCATTCTCATAAAGAAGAATGGGTCTGATCTCATCTCCCCCTTGTACCCCCAGATTTGAAATGCCTAGTTCCGCGTATATTATGGGGTACAAAGGAGAAACATTCCGGGGATAGCGGATTAGGATATTGTAGACTCGGTATTTTGCAAGATATACATGTATAATTTCATGTGAATACGGACATAGTTTTATACTCATTAACTCAGCCACACAGAGTCATGTGTAGTGGATCCCAATTGAAGTCTCTGGGGATTCCTAAGTATAGAAATGCCGCATTCGGAGAGAGCTGAAACGCCGGTCTTGGCTTCATTTCAGGGTCTATTTTGATTTTAATAAGAGATGATAGTACAGGTACAATGTAAAAGGTCCAGACTCTGAAGAGACAGTGACACATAATAGTGTCATGTACTCCGTACTTATATTCTGTAACTACATACATATAATGAGGCCACCTATTCTACATATTCAAGGCATCTTAACATATTTCTTAGGAAAAATTAAAATTAAAAAAAATTACCTAAACCACCTCGGTCCTTGGAAAGCCTCCCCAAGCGCCCCCAAGCCCTTCCAAGCCGTTGTGCTCTTACGCGTCCCCCGATCGGGCTTGAAACGGAACCCCACCGCACGCATCTCTGGCCTTTGGCTTCTTCTGGACGTCTACCTTTACATCCTCCTTACTCAGAAATCTCACGCTGGCTCGTCTTTCTGTCTCATTCGCTCCCTTTGCTTCCCCCTACTCCGCAAGTTCTTAGCCTATTACCTTGATCCCTTCCTTCGCCCACAGTCTTTCGCGCTCATTCCCCGATCCATTGCACTGGAGGTCTTTCGACAGTAGGAGCACTCGGCTCCTAATAGAGGAATCACGTCAAAATGCTTCCAGATAAGTATGGTTCATCCCAAATCTCAAATTGCCCTCCCAAGGGCACGTTGGCCAGCTCTAACATTGCGCGCTGCGCCCCTATAGATATGTCGGGCTTATTCTAGCCATTGTATCGACCATGGCCATCGGTACGAGTTTTGTTATCACCAAAAAGGTTGGTGTGCCACTAGAAAACGATTGGATCCCGGGCGCCGAACAAATACCGCGGCGATTGGGTCTAAAATAATTAATCATCGGAGCGGAATCGCTAATACGGCTGAATACAGGGCTTGATGCAAGCTTCCGAACGACATGGGTTTGAAGGAGAAGGATTCTCATACTTGAAGAGTCCGGTGTGGTGGGGTGGTATAGTGACACGTACGGAATCCAATGGCCTTGACATTCGGAAAATGCTAACAGATTCATAGTGGCTCTGGGTGAAGTCGCCAACTTTGCTGCGTACGCCTTTGCGCCTGCCATCCTGGTTACGCCCCTGGGTGCGCTGAGTGTTTTGATCGGGTAGGGATATCTCCTCAATAGCGTGCGTAATCTCAAAGCTAACATGACACAGTGCGGTCCTGAGTTCGTACTTCCTCAACGAGATCCTTGGTGTATTGGGAAAATTGGGCTGTGCGCTGTGCTTGCTGGGATCGGTCGTCATCGTTCTCCATGCACCTCCAGACAAGCAGGTGGAGACAGTCGATGAGATTCTGGCATATGCGGTTCAGCCAGGTAAGACTTGATCGGTGTCCGCCCGAAAATCACCGCTGACTTTGCGACCAGGATTCCTTTTCTACTGTATCACAGTTGCGGTCTTCTCGACTCTGATGATCTACCGAGTTGCGCCGGTCTACGGCAAGAAGAACCCGCTTATCTACATCTCGATTTGTTCGACTGTGGGATCGGTTTCCGTCATGTCCGTCAAGGCCTTTGGTATTGCAGTGAAATTGACCATTGGAGGCAACAACCAATTTGTCCACGCATCCACCTATGTCTTTGCCATTGTGACCTTATTCTGCATTCTGACGCAGATGAACTACTTCAATAAGGCATTGAACTCTTTCTCGACTTCGATGTGAGTATACACATCAAGCAATATGAAGATACGAGGCTAACATGATTCTTTCAATAGCGTGAACCCCCTTTACTATGTCACCTTCACAACCGCGACTCTCTGTGCCTCCTTCATCCTTTTCAAGGGATTCAATACCACCGACGCCGTCAACACCATATCTCTACTTTGTGGATTCCTTATCATCTTCACCGGCGTGTACCTCCTTAACCTCTCACGACATGACCCCGATGGACACTCCATGGTGAATTCAAAGCTTGACGAGGATGGAGTGCCAACAGACGGTCTGGCGAGCTTCCAGACCCGGCGGTCAATGCAGTCCCGCCGAAGCTCCTCGAGCGCATTCTTCAATGGGAACGGCGACCGCGAAGGCCTCATCCACGCATATGATGCGGAGCACGGGATCGGCATGAACACCTTGGCCGAAGCAAGTGGAGGAGAGCCAGGTCCGACTTTCCCGACCGAAACACAGACCGCGATGCACACAAAGCGGAACAGTCAGATCTGATCGGTGTAAGGTCTGATTCCAATCCTCGCCTTATAACAAGGTCTTTGAAATGATTCTCCTTCTTCTCTACCCGACGGCAAGCTTCTCTTCCACAGGCTTGATCTCCACTTGTATTTTTACTGTTCCCCGAAAATGTCAGAATTGCATTGAAACTTGGGCGAACTCATCAGGCACTGGACATGTCTGTATGAACGACTGAATATGACTCTGGGTTTCTCTGGATGGTTGCGATTTGTCTTTTTTTTCTTTCCTTTTTTTCTATCTGGGCGAGATACTTGTATATAGTTCAAGTTGGATTTTTGAATAGACGTATCTGGGTGGGGCTGGGACCGATGATGTATTTGCAGGTCAGCTGTTTATGGACCATACCCATCCGAGATTCTTGCTTCAATTTCAACATCTTTTAAATTATCCACCCTTTAATGCCTACCTTTTGCGAGGGGTCTAAATACGAGGGCTGTGTGATCTTGTTCTCAAACGCGGGGAATTTGCGCGATGCCCGCTTTATTGCGCAAATTGGCCATCGTCGCCGCAGTTGACGGCCTGATCCTACATGCTCAAGCCACCGGACCACGACATAATGGTAGTAACAATGAGGCTTCCTCCATACGCATTGACTATAAGACGAACAAAATCACTGCGTTGCCCACTTCTGCCTCGGAGCCCCTCGATGGAAAGGACGCCCTAGAGGCCTACGGTCTCGTAGGTATGTTGATGAACTAAGTGAAAGTTGGAACAAGGAGACTAATCGAAGGGTATTGCTGCTGTAGGTCTCTTATCTGTCGCTTCATACTCATTCCTCGTTTCCATTACACAGCGCGAGCAAGTAGCGCAGATCCAAGGCGGCCCGATCTACACTATAACGAACGTCGCAATCATTCCGATCTCATCCCAAGCAGATGCTTCCCGCGCAATCACACAAGCCAGGAAAGAGTCCTCGCAGGAGGAAGTTACCATTGAATCCTCCTCTGATGAAGATGACCTCCCCGATAACGAAACCGACAGAGCCGAGGCGGAGGCGGAGATCGGCAGCCTGCCCGCATCACCTACTCGCGATACATCTCATGCCCGCGGCACCAGTGCTGGCAGTATCGCAGAAGACGTCATCGCGAAGAAAGTCCGTTTTGGCAGATTTGCGGCCAATTGGTTGTCGCGCAAAAACCTGGGCTTGCCCAGGCCTGGTGCTCTAGAGCAGGATGTGATAGAGTCTCCCTTTGACGAAGCTTCTAGCTTTTCGGGTGAGACCAGTGAGGTAAAGCATGACGCTGTGAATGAAGCTGTGTCTGAAGAGGCTGGGGTTCAGAGCGAGCCTAATCGGCCTAGCCAGGCTGCGGAGTTGTTGCCGAAACTGCTTCGTTATACGAAACTATTGTTTGCATCGCATAACTTTTTCTTTGCATATGATTATGACCTTACGCGCTCTTTACATACGCAGGAAGCTCGGAAAGATCAGCTTCCCCTTCACAAAGTTGTGGATCCATTGGTATGCGCGAACTGATGCTTAGTATGTTTTCTGTGAAGCTTGCTTGCTGACTCGTTGGCAGTATTTTTGGAATAGACATTTGATGGACACATTAATTGATAATGGGGCTCATGGCTTTGTTCTGCCGTTGATTCAAGGTTTTGTCGGCCAACGAGAATTCACAATCGCTGGTGCTGAAAGGAAACAATCTTCGAAGGACTCAGTGGAACTTGCGGAAGGCCGAATCCTCGGTGAAAAAAACGAGGCCGAAGCTGTCGAGACTAATGTCAGCAAACGTGATTATCTTTTGACTCTCATTTCTCGACGCTCTGTCAAAAGACCAGGTCTTCGTTACCTGCGTCGTGGTGTCGATGATGAGGGCAACACAGCGAACACAGTCGAAACCGAGCAGATTCTCTCGGTTCCGGGTTGGTCTCCGTCTCATCCTGCCTACTCATATTTGCAAGTCCGGGGTTCCATTCCTCTTTATTTCTCTCAGTCGCCATATGCCTTGAAGCCAATCCCAGTGCTCCATCACTCTGCGGACACGAATCTCCTTGCCTTCGGTAGACACTTCCGAGAGTTCAGTCGGCGGTATGGAAATGTTCAGGCTGTCTCTCTTATTGACAAGCTGGCAGGTGAATTGAAGCTGGGAGAGCAATATGAGAGATATACCCAATCCTTTAATGCTGCCGGTGGGATCGATGGTAAGCCATTGCAACTTGAATGGTTTGACTTTCATCGCGAGTGTCGGGGCATGAAGTTTGAAAATGTATCTCGTCTGGTCGACCGACTGAAAGATACATTGAATGAGTTCTGCTACACCATCGTTGCAGACAACGATATCCTGCAGACCCAAAAGGGCATCATCAGAACCAATTGCATGGATTGTCTCGACCGCACTGGTGTTGCCCAGTGTGCATTCGGCCAATGGGCCCTCGAGCGTCAGCTGGAACATGAAGGCATTGACATTGATCTTGGTGGTGACTCTTCCACCCAGTGGTTCAATACACTCTGGGCGGACAACGGCGATGCCATCTCCAAGCAGTATTCATCAACCGCAGCCCTGAAGGGGGACTACACCCGTACACGCAAGCGAGACTACAGAGGTGCCCTCAACGACTTTGGACTGACACTCTCGCGCTACTACAACAACATCGTAAACGACTTCTTCTCTCAAGCCTGTATCGACTACCTCCTAGGAAACGTCTCAACTCAAGTCTTCGACGAGTTCGCCATCCAGCTCCAAACCACCGACCCAGGAATCTCAGTCCAAAAACTCCGCCAGAACGCTATTGATACAAGCTGCAATATCGTTATCAGTAGCCCCTCTGAAGAATTCCTAGGCGGCTGGACCATGCTGACACCCCGCCAACCCAACACCCTACGCACCCTACCCTTTGAGGAAACAGTCCTACTTCTTACGGACGCCGCAGTGTACAGCTGTCGCTTCGACTGGGAGACCGACAAAGTCCTGTCCTTTGAGCGCATCGATCTCCGCTCCATCTCGCGCATCCACTACGGTACATACATCACATCCATATTGACAGATAGCCAAGCCGACGAGTCGACCAACGTCGGTCTCGTCATAGTCTACCGCGACGGTGACACACACACCCTCCGCGTGAATACCCGATCCCTGCAGAGCGATGTCGATCTCAGCACACTCGAGACTACCGCCAGCGCCAACAGTGAATGGGACCTCGTTTCCTGGCTGCGGGGTAGCAAGCGGGCGACGACGCGGTTTGTCGCGTTTAAGGGTATCCCGCTGTCGAATCCGGTTGCTAGTCCCCGGCCTGGGGGTGCTGCGACTGTTCGGGAGATGGATCGCATTCGATCGGTGTGTTTGGATATCGAGCGGGCCATGCTCGCGGGTCAGGGAAGTAATGTTGAGGCGGTCTCTGCGGTTGAACAGTCTGATATCATCTCTTTGGCGGATGCTAAGAAGAGGACGGGGTGGTTGGAATATCTTGTTTATGATCTTAAGAAGATGGTTTGGGCGTGATTGGATTGATATTGAGACTTTATGCATCTTCAGCTTATATGAGCTTTCACTCTTATGTTACATATTGTCTCTTGCGTGATCACTGACAACTTTATTTGAATGTTGGCGTCATGTTGGTATTGACTGTTGAGTGTGTTTTGTAACTATCACCAAGATTGAAATACATGTGATTTGGAGTGCTTCTCATGATTCAAGAGTGAGGGATTCAAGTGTAAGTATAGGATCTAGTATATTAGAGGGGGAAGTCAAGTGGTCGCAAATCTTAGGAACATTTGAATCCTTCCGCCTGAGGAAAGTCACTCTGATGTATCTTGGGCATATTTTCATGGTGACTCCCCGCGGTTTCTATCCATCGTGACTTTCCTCTACCTGTCTCCCAACTGCAACATTTTCAACCACACCTTTAATCCCATCCTTACGCAACCCTCAGAATGATTTTCATATATTTTACAGATAAATATACTGAAATGCGAAACTTGACATATATTGGACTTTCTAAGGGACTGACCGCCTACCAATTCCAGCACACTCTTTTTTTCTGCCCGCAGCACATACACCCCTCAGTCTGAGATCGTCCCCGACAACTTTATTTGATTCTGACCTTATTCATGCTAAATTTCTTTGGCCAATTACTTGCCGTCTCATTTCTGGATCTGCCTTAGCGGATCGGAGATTTAGGCCTTTCCTTGATCTGGGGAAACGAAGGGGGCCCGTTCCCACATTCTCGGCGGGGCTCCTGTGCTACTCGCACTTTCGACTAACCTCTGTCGCATCGAGTCTCTTCACCACAAGATGAATTGGCAACCTCAACAAGAGCCATTGAGGCAGTTGGCTCGCTACCTTCGCGACTCGCTCAATGGAGCCAACCTTCCAGCCCGAGCAGAGGCTGAACAGGTACTGCCTTTTCCTTTTTTTTGTGTCCTATTGAGCTTCTCAACGGTCGCCGCATATGCACTACCGCAAGATGGAAACTAACCTTGGAATTTCTTGTTACTAGATGCTCGCACAAGCGACCTCTTCCCCTGATTACGTCAATTACATCACCTACATCTTTTCCAATCCGCAAGCTGCTCCCCTGGCAGCCATTAACGAGAATGAATACCCTACTGTTCGATTTGCCGCCGCCGTAAACGTCAAGACGAAGATTGCCCTGGCTTACAGCACGATCTCCCCTGAAAGCTTGGCCTTCATCAAGTCCGCGTCTCTGGTTACACTCCGCGACACCGATCGCAATGTCTCGAGGGCTGCCGGTAATATTATCACCGCAATGGTGCTCCACGGAGGCCTCTTGTCCTGGCCTGAGATTGTGAATGAGCTATTGACTACTGTCGCTAATGCCAACGGGGATGTCCCCATGTCGGCTAGGGAAGCTGCAATGGATACTTTGTGCAAGGTCTGTGAGGACAACCGCAAGGTCCTGGATCGTGACTACCAGGGCCAGCGTCCCCTGGATATCATCATTCCCAGCTTGCTGCAATTCATTACGGTTGAAAACTCGCGCATTCGGATTGCTTCTCTTAACGCCATCCATGTTTTCTTGCCGTTCAAACCCCAGGCATTGGTGGCCTCGCTCGACCAATTCCTTTCGCAGTTGTTCAGAATTGCTGGCGATGAAAACACCAGAGTCCGACAAATGGTGTGCCAGTCGTTCTCCCAACTCGTGGAGACTGCGCCGGAAAAGTTGGCACCGCATATGGAAGGATTGGTCAGCTACATCATCATGCAGCAGCAGTCCAAGGACGACCCAGAGCTTGCACTTGACGCCGCCGAGTTTTGGATTGGTGCTGGAGAGCAAGAGTTATTGCAGGCCGAATTGGCTCCATACATGCACAAGATCATCCCGGTTCTTCTGCAAAACATGGTCTACGACGACGATGAAGTGGCTCGACTTATGGAAGAGCAAGATGATGCCGACGCCGAGGACCGTGCTGAGGATCTAAAGCCACAGTTTGCCAAATCGAAGGCTGATCGTTTGAACATGAACAAGTCAGGTGAACAGTCGGACGCGTCTCGCGCCCTCGAACAACAGGTAGAGGAGGTTGATGATGATGATTTGAGTGAAGGTGAAATCGAGGACTCGGAATTCGGAGATGATCCCTCGGGTAACTGGACTTTGCGCAAGTGCTCTGCTGCTGCGCTCGATGTCTTCTCCACCGTTTACCACCGTCCCGTCTTTGAAATCCTTCTGCCGTATCTGATGGAAACCCTGCGCCATGAGAGCTGGCCGAACCGAGAGGCTGCTGTTCTTACACTAGGTGCAGTGGCGGATGGCTGTATGGATGCCATCACTCCCCATCTCCCAGAATTGGTCCCTTACCTGATCTCACTCCTTAATGATGATCAGCCTGTGGTGCGACAAATTACTTGCTGGTGCTTAGCCCGTTATTCCGGTTGGGCAGCCCACCTTCGTGACCCAGCTCAGAAAGCCCAATTCTTCGAGCCCATGATGGAAGGCATCCTTCATCGCATGTTGGATAACAACAAGAAGGTTCAAGAAGCTGCTGCGTCAGCGTTTGCTAGCCTGGAGGAGAAGTCTGAAGATAATCTGGCGCCCTACTGCGAGCCTATCTTGCGCCAGTTTGTGGCGTGCTTCAATAAGTACAAGGACCGCAACATGTACATTCTTTATGACTGCGTGCAGACGCTCGCCGAATGTGTTATGAGCGAGCTGGCAAGACCCCATCTAATCGAGATATTGATGCCTGCCCTCATCGGTCGCTATAACTACATTTCTGATGATTCCAGAGAGCTCTTCCCATTGCTTGAATGCCTCGGATACATCTCTGCGGCGTATGGCGATTCCTTTGCCCAATTCGCACCGCCTCTCTTCGGCCGCTGCATGAAGATCATCTATGGAAATCTGCAAGCTTCTATTCAACCCACACATGCCGCGGCTGATGAGCCGGACAAGGACTTCCTTGTTACTAGCATTGATCTTCTTAGCGCCATCATCCAAGCCATTGACCCACAAAAGAGCGGCGAGCTCGTGGGTTCTTCACAGCCATCATTCTTCGAGCTCCTCCGCTACTGCATGGAGGATGAAAACTATGAAGTCCGCCAATCAACATATGCTTTGCTGGGAGACTGCGCCATCAGCATCTTCCCTCAATTGGAGCCCTTCCTTCCCACCCTTGTCCCGGTTCTGATTAAGCAACTTGACTTGGATCTGATTCGCGATGACGATCGTCATACTGGCTTCAGTGTTTTGAACAACGCCTGTTGGTCTTGCGGCGAGATCGCCGTCCACGAGAATGCCCCGCTTGCGCCCTACGCGGAGCAACTGTACCAAGGGCTCTTTACGATTATCACTAACGAGGAAATCATCGATTCGGTGAACGAAAATGCCGCGATGGCGTTGGGACGATTGGGATTCTGCTGCGCAGACCAGATTGCGCTTCATTTGAGCGAGTGTTCCGGGCCTTTCCTGAAATCAATGGATAAGATTGATTTCACCCGTGAAAAGGCCTCCGCCTTCCTCGGTTTCAACCAGGTCGTGATGAAGAACCCCCAAGCCATGGAGTCGAGCCTGCTCGATTACTTCCAGGCTATTGCTTCGTTCCCCGCCCGCTCGCTGGCACAGGAAGAGTACCGGGATATCCAGGCATCCTTCCAGCAGGTAAGATCATCTTTCCTTGGTTGTTAGTAATCTCCTACTAATCAATATGTATAAATACAGGTCCTCCAGGGATATAAGACCATGATCCCTGACTTTAGCAACTTCCTTGGTCAGCTACCCCCGGCCGTGGCCCAGACACTGCGCACCGTGTACCAGGTCTAAGTAGAGACCTTGGTGATCTCTGCTTACACATTGGTTACCGGGACGTCACTTGACGTCCACTCCTGTCTCAAATCGGGCTGGGATTGGGTTGGAGGGTAGGGAGATTGGGGGGGTCAGTACATAGGGGGTCAGCGGCCAGAATTTCACGTTAATAGAAAGAGGAGGGAGAAAGGGGGGACAAAATCATGGGAAGGAGCATCTGCGATTTAGCTGTGTTTTTACGTTACATCTCATGATTGCAAACATGGGCACGCATGACCCTTTATGATTTCTATTTCGTTGACTTTGCTTGATTCTTATTTTTTTGCATTGTGCATAGTCATCAAGTCAGGGCTGGCTCATAGGTTTATTTTTTTTTGGCTTCTCAGCGTTGGTTTTTGGGGGTTTTTTGCGTGGCATATTCATATCCCCTTTAGATAGATACCTAGATAGATAGGTCTTCGTAATGAAGATCTCAAACAATATTTCTGAATATTTGGAGTGTAGATTTAGCTTATGTTTCGCAGCATTGAAGTACGCTTTAGAGTGACTTTTGCTTTCTAACCTCTTAATCGTTTCGGGGCATCTTGTATTGAGTTAATATTTGTAAGTATAAAGATACCGAATATATTGTATTGTTCTTGTCTTACCCACCTATGGACTAAACCAATCCCCTTCGAAGTAATCAACTTATTAATAGTAAGTATCCTTGTTGCTTGATGGGTATTGGAATCATTTTCCCGGACCTTTGTTCGCCATATCCGTTGGCCTACTACACACACCAATCATTGCTACCAGTGAAATTCTAATTCCTTACATTTTTTCTACTTTAGCAATCCTATTTGCCTATAAAGAACAAAGCTGGATGAATAGATTGCGTGCTAATACCAGCGCATGTCACATCTATTTCGTTCACATATCTCCCTCACATCCGTGCCTGGCACAAACTATCCACCCCCGGGGCAACTCGAAAGCAGATACTTTGGAAGATCGCTCGCTAAACCTTGGACCGTGGACCAATAGACGGAGAAAAAGCAAATCAAAAGATTAAGATCAGCAGGGCCCTAGCAATCTCCGAACTGCAGAATTATTTTTGGATCGACGATGCAGACACTATGCACCATAGTCACCTGCCCTTAATAACCTAGGTATTACATATCACATCTATGTTGTACAAGAAATCAAGAAATCACATCCCCTTTTACTAAAAAGCCCTAAGTTGTATATTTTGTAAGTAAACAACACAGGGTAAAAAGCTAAAAGGCAAAAGAAAGTAATATAAGCCCCAAATCCCGACCCTCGCCTAACTTATAATTAAATCGTCGGTAACTAAATCCCCAACACCATTCCCCAACCGATTGGCCGCTCAGACAAAAACCGCCCGAAATACCAAGACGCGAGCCTTTCCCTTAACTACTCTTTTTCACGAACCCGGAACGCCATGCAAATTCCCCACTCTATACCCTGTGATTAAAATGCCATGTGTCGATGACAGACGTTGATGCAAATGTTGTGTAGCGTACCGGGCGTTCGGTTCTTTAGTGCGCGCCATTGGCCCCAAGGCGTCGGGTTATCTAGCTTTATGCCTGTTGCGGCTTGCAAGATGGGGTTATTGTGGACTGAGTTCCTGGCTTTCGGTGGGGATTCCCGAGTTCCGGGGGTTTTGGCTATGCCCTAAATGGGGGATATCTCACGAATTCGAGGTTTTTTTTTTTTTCATTTATATAGTGCTTTCAGTGGTAAATGGTGTTAGGTTGATTTTGGGAGGTTTTGTCAGGGTTTAATTTTCAGCCTCAGCCGCAATATATTTTCTGTGTTATCTTCCCAAAGTTGTGTTGGACAGTCTAGGCTGTGGTCTGAGACTTTCCACCTGAGACTCTTTTACTTTTGTGGATATGAAGGGGCTGAAACTTTGAAAATCAATTTTTATTTTCACAGATCTATGAAACAGACAGGAGAGATCCGGTCTTTAGAAACATTCCATGAAACATAGACGACCGTCCTCGTTTTTGATGCAATGTCCCAGGTTCAGCTCACTCTCTTGGATATTTCCTTCGCCGTCATCGAGCTGCGCATGTAGCATAGGTTCGTTTCCATCTAGCTTGAAGACCACGTCGCGTGAACTCTTTGAAAAGTTTCGGTCGCCCCAGGAGAATTGCCCTAGATTGGCGTAATATTAGTTTCTGGTCAGGGAAGAGAGGGTGGGCTGATCTCGGTGCCGGGAAGTATAGGGAACAGAACTAGAATTGGCGTGTTCTTACCTTTCTTTGCCCCGAGGAATTGATCCAGATCTAACTCTGAATATCTAGGTTCCCCCGAAGGTCGCTGACAATAAGCAGTGAGGAGGTGCTTATCCTTGATCTTGATGTCGGTGGATGATCTGTGGAAGCCCATTTTGGCGTGAGCTGAAATATCCGCGTGAGGTAGAATCAACCAATGATAAGTATGAAAATATGGGATGTGTATATGCAATTTATTTGGTGTCTGTTGTCTGTTGTCCCGGCATGCGAGAACAGTTAGGTTGTGCAAAGTGGCATGAGAAAGAGAAGAGACGAGAATAAAAATTGATGCTCATGATATGGAGGAATGTCCATGAATTGTTGCCTCTAATGACATCGATATGGTGTAGATGTCTGTGGCCATTTGGTATTATGGAGGCGGGTGGCTCTGGCATCATGTTTTTTTCATTATGACACCCGATATAGGGTGGAAGTATACATGTAAGCTATACCGAGAAATGTGATATTCTCTACTATACTGTTAAAGTCTACAAGAGAGTACTGTTTACCCAGGTAAAAGGTCATGATGATCTCACTATAGATGTCAGCCTGGCACAGTGTCGGGCATTAGTTTCGGGCAATAATAAAGATAATATGGTGGCTTGGGAACAGGGTTGACGCTAAAGACTCTAAAGGATGTTATAACTTAGGGCTACGGAGTAGCTAGTACTCCGAAGACAGGCTATTTTTCCTTAAATAATAAACTTTCCCCAAATCTCGATATTAAACGAGATATCTTGTCCGCTCTTTTAAGCCGAGCTTTACATATCCAAAGTCTCTTAGATGAGAGGCATTTAACTTACATGTATGCAGATAACCTACATGACCAGGCCAGTGTACAAAAATCAGTCTCCACAGTCTAGGATAGCCCAAGTCTCGGCATAATAAAGTTGGTTAGCGTATAATTCCACGGGCTGTGTTTTCTGGGAGTTTCAAGATCACATCTGTTTGATGTGTTTGAAGTCACTAGACCAGAAAGGGTACCCCCGCGGAGGTATCCTAATTATAATGAACTTCCGATATTCTGACGCAGAAATAGCTAGACTGAAAAAATAAAAGTACCTTTTGGCCCCCAACCTTGACCGCGTTAGGCCTGATGTTGCGACAAGCGAGTCTTATACTGATTGGACAATATATTCACATAGAAAATAGATTGAACACTTCCGACCCATTTTTCTTTTTCTATTGAAGCCTTTTATAAGCCTTAAAAGGAAGGCGCGTATTGCCAAGTCAAACTGGTCAAACACCTATGTGATGACGTAATGTGCGACCTCATGGTGCCACGTGTTGAAGTCCAAGGTGGCACACCGACACTTAGACTCTGCGTCTGATCCCCAGAAAACGTGGGTGTCACATCTACTCTTTGAATTACCCTTAACAATATAGAGTGCTATTCTTTCTATATTGTATGAGATTCAACCCCTGGACCTTGCAGGAATTACTATCTGAAAACTAATATCCCCGCCGAGAAACCATTTCATTTCCCACTTTGGGCTGATTGACGTACACTGTCAGGCTCATGGGTTTCCCTACGTTCCAGCCCAGTGGTAACTTCACCGGAGAAGCAGATAGGGTGGTTCCGGGGGCCAAGTTAGTGTCAGGATAAGGGATGCGAGGAGAAAAAAAAAGTGAAATTGAGATGTGCAGTGATCCCGATAGATTGGTCTTAGTCTTACACCCCTGGTTGCGAACTAAATGTTCAAGTTGCCTTGAATTCCCCCAGGTTCCCAAGGGGCGTAAGAGTGGTTTCTTTTTTTTTTTTTTTTTTTCCTCTACAGTTAAGTATATTTTGGAATTCGGTTGCGATTACCGAGTTCAGCGTTTAATATCCCATCTGACTCACGGGCGGGTAGAAACGGCCGACTTCCGCCTGTCAGGCCAAGCTTGAATCTTAGCGAAAAGAGTTCACGTCTGAGATGGGCGTCTAGGATAGACTGCTTTTTTTTTCCCAACAGGGCTAACGGTCATTGACAGCGACCCACAATCCAGGGTTCAGATCGAAGGGCTGAGGCAAGTCGATCGATTATATTTTCCTATCCTTTTGGAAGTCTGGGGTCTGTGAACCCCTGCATACTCTTGGAGCTATCTTCACTGGAAGGATGAAAGAGAAAAAAAAAAGCAACAATGAATACACATCAGCTTCTGTGGACCCTTTGCCTTCTAGCATCTAAAGCATCTATAAGCAATAGAGTGCTCTATACGGAGTAAACCAGAATAGATTGGGGGCCAAAGGTCTTTAAAAAACAAATAAAAAAATCTCCACATGGAATATTTTAATACAAGGCTCGCAGCCTAACTAGGCTATATAAGCTTCCCCATGTGGTCCCCGATGCCTGAAATGACCGAGTGCTATATTAGACCATAATAAACATTATTTTCTTTTCTTTTCTTAGCTCTGTACCCAGAGGCTCAAAATCTCGATCGTCACTGGAAAATAAGACTAAAAGTGAAATAAGTGAAATAAGTGAAATTTAAAGATATCTTACTCCAGAAAATGTAGCCTTTTCCCCCTCTTCCCTTTCCCCTTCTCTCTCTCTCTCTTCACAGATCTTCCTCGTATTCTCCACGTGCTTAATTCAACTTGAACTACCGCCCCCAAAGCTATTTTTGGACTAGGGCATATCTCAGCTTCTATAACAGAACATACTTGCCCTTTCACAGAGTCGACTCCAATCCCAATCTCCCAACATGGTCGGTCCAGGCGGTGGTCCACCACGCAAGAGTCACACCAAATCCCGTACCGGCTGCAAAACATGCAAGAGAAGACATATTCGATGCGATGAGACCTTCCCGCAATGGTTTGTTCCTTTAATCCATAGTATATCCCCGACTAATTCCATATAGCCGGAATTGCACAAAACACAACTGCCGATGTGACTACCAGGATGCGGCCACTCCCCGTGGTAGTCCCCCCGCGCCGCGCCGCGGTCCTGACCTCCTCATTTCGCCAGATATCGAAATGGAAATAGACAGTTGGCATCGCACCGGCGTGCCTCCGTATCCGGAGCTTTTGCAGTGTCCGCGATCCGGGTGGTCTGGCTTGTCGAGGACTGATCTACGCTTGATTCACCATATCATTGGACTTTCTATTGATTTGCATCGTCGAGGGTTGAGTGGTTGCACTGTCTGGGCCCAGAAAATGCCCAAGTGAGTACTCTCCAGACTGTGGGGGTGTCGTTCTTTACTGACGAGTGACATTCTATAGTTTCCTGGCTATTGCGTTGGGCAGCGAGTTCGTTATGAGCTCTATCTTGAGCTTTTCGGCGTTTCATCTGGCGTTTCTTACACGGGACCAGGAGACTAGGCAACTAGCTTTCCGTCATAAAGTCACGGCTCTCCAGGGACTGCAGACCGCTCTGGCATCCTTCTCGAAGGAGAACTGCGATGCAATTCTCGCAGCTTCGGTTCTTTTATCATGGCAGGCGACAGAACAGTGAGTGTTATAGATCGGCTCCTTGGAAATTCCCCCAAACTAACATCAGAACAGTCAAAGTTGGGCGTCTTTGCAACATGGCATCTCCGGCGTCCTAGAATCCATGCATCCATATTGGAAGCAAGAGTCAGATCTGGCACGGTTCATAGAAAACCAACGAGCAGTGAGCACGGCAGATCCTTCAATGGCCGGTGTCTATCAACCCCTCGACGAAGACATGCTACATCTGGATCAAACTATCCAGGCCCTTCGAATGACACAGAAACGCGTTTCCCACAACCTCGAGCACTCCCAACGCCTAGGAGAGCTCATCGAATTCACCCAGCAATTCCGCGATGACTTCCCCAACCAGACAACCGAACAATCATTCGAAAGCATCCAAACCCTCCGCCGCTGGCTCTTCTGGCTCCCACCATCCATGCTCCGAAGTACCGAATCGGACACCAGCGCCCTCCCAATCCTAGCCCAATTCTTCGCCGTCGGCATCTCTCTCGACCGCTTCTTCCCAGAGTTAGGCGGTGCATACCTAGGCGCTCTAGCTATCACTCCTATCGAAGAGATGTACCGCATAATAGCCACCCACAACGCCGCAGATCCCTTCAACACTGACTTCCGTTTACCCATGGAGCTCATGGATCTTCCCCGTAGAGTTGTCGCCCGCCATCGCAGCCGCCTCTCCCTCCCCTGGTCCCCCCGCTCATCAGTCGACCACTACTCCCCTGGCCCACCCAGTCCTTTCCACGCGATCCACGAGTACCCACTCGTCGCCTCTTCCTCGCCTGCTTCCGCCTCACCTTCATACGCATCAACTTCATACGCCTCTCCTTCTTACGCCGCTTATACCCCGCCCTTGCATTCCCCTCCTGCCGTCAATATTGCCAACTCTCCCTTCCCCATCCAAGACGGCTATGTCTCCGCCGCACCCTCGCATTCCCTATACCCGCCCTCCCCACAGCTCCTCGATAACCAGGACGTACACCTCGGTCTCTCGGATCTGGGTCACAGCCATGCCCATTCTCATCACACTCCCATTCCTCATTCAGCGGCGTACACCCCGCCATATGGTGGTGAGGTACTGTGCGCTGATTTGCCACGCGCGGATGGCACCCTCGGTCTCAATATGGAGGTCTATCCGCAGACACATCCGTTTGAAATGCCGGGCTTGGCTGCTCCCGCTTCACTTTGGACTTGATCGTACTGGATTGATGAGATGAAGCTATCTATACCGAAAAAAACACAAAAACATGGGAAATTTTGGACTACCATCCTGAAGGTTGGTCAGTCGGGTTCTGGCTATTGGGTACCAGGGAAATTGGAAGACATATACTTCTCTCATTTTCTGAAAATATGGAGGCTACGGAGTTATGTTCTACTGGGAATTTGGACCTAGAGAACATGTGCTTTTTTGGATTATACGCGAGTCTTTCGGTTTCACCACTCGACTCTTTTCTCTTATATATATTCCGTCCTTGTTTTTGTTGAGCATGAGCGTTGATGCGCGATCTTGTGTCCGATATATTCGGGTTGGATTTAATACTCGCACACGGAGGGAAATCATTCGTACTGATATTTTGATATTGATATATATACCCTGATTTTATTATATCTTCTGTTAATTGACTTGAACTGTCTGTATATTTTGTAATGTGTCTAATCGTCAGAACTATAGCCATCTTGAAAACAGACCCCCACCCCCAACGAAAAACCATTCCCTCACCATAATATCCATACATCCATATCTAAAGATAGCAACCCCCTCGTCACTCTCCGAATACATCTGCATCTCACGATCGACAGGTACCCAAACCCCCAAAAACAGCCACCGGTAATCCATCACCACAGACCCGTTCCTAAGAATAGACAACCTAAAAGCACGGGACGCATATTAGAGGAATTTAACCTACAGATCCGTCCCTCTGATTGGCAATCGATATACCCCGCCGACCCTTCTCCAGACCTCGTATTCGGCCGCTCTCTTGGCTCCTCACGATCCATCCAAATGCGGTAGCAAGTCCCCGAGCTAGCACCGATTTGGTTCCGGAAGATTTGAACATATGTCCGTATATCGATATGGTATAAGCGTATGGTGGATTTGGATTGCGGTTAGGATGATTGTTGGTATCGGGGGTTGAGTCTTCTTCATGCATTAACGGACGGAGTATGAGATCATCTTTTGTAGGTTCTAGCCCTATCTGTTGGATATTTTTGGGTTTCTTTACACAATGCTCGCTCAGATTCAGGGTCTGTTGAAGGAATGAATTGGGTTGTTCGTATTATTATACGGTTGGATCTTCGCGGGAACTGGAATTGGGTTAGTGATCGTCCCCCCCCTCGTGTTTTCTATATTTATCTTCACTTTTTTTTTCTGCAGTTGAATACCTGGTCTTGGGGCTCTTGCTTTATACTCTATTTGTGGATATCACTCCGTCGGTTGTCGGAGGTGGAGATTGAATGGGAATATGGAGTTCGCGTCTTCGATGGCACTCTTCGTCTGGGTCTTTGCACCAAAAGATGGTCAATGCTGCTTAGTCTGTGCGTAAATGGGATTGGAAGATTTGGTGCGTCTAGTTATGGGTCTGGGTTGAACTATTTTTGGTTTGGAGATCGGGGATATTCGTCTGTTCGCTTTGTTTCCTCTCTGTTCGTTAACGCCCTGGAAGAGTAGATTTACTGCTGGTTCTGCTTTCTACCCCCATGTCTAAGGTACTCGGTCAATTTGCTTGGGATTGTGTCATATCATTTCTTCAAAGATTGAGGAACAAGTATAACTAATCACTTCTGTTGATACATAGTATCCAAGAATATTGTATACTACGTTTTCTGACTTTCGGCGTCCAGGGTCCATCTTTGCTTGAAGTGAGATTTTGAGACCGGTAAATACTTTATTCTTTTTCCTAAATTTCAATATGATTACACATTGCGTGCTGTCCTAATCTGCTAGGAATTATAGTCACCTTCTATACTTTATAGTGGATATGCACGTGACTTGAGGCTATACTTTCACGTGACAATGACATAACCGCATTCCCGTTTGGGGAAGAAAGCAACCTCGATATCGACAACACAACAACTTCCATCAATTGCCCTCAGTATCCATCACAGACAGTCAAAATGGCTGATGTAGGTGGCTGGAGCACCATCGAGTCAGATGAGGTACCATAACCTCCCAGATCTATCCAAGCAGCATACTAACCCAAGCTAGGGTCTCTTCACCTCTCTGATCGAGACACTCGGAGTAAAGGACACCCAATTTGAAGAACTCATCTCCCTAGATGCAGACACAATCCGGTCACTAGGGTAAGCAATAAATCCTCACCACAATTCCACCACATCCAAACTCTTTACCTAAAGCTTCAAACTAACCCAACCACAACCAGCCCCGTCTACGGCGTAATTTTCCTCTTCAAATGGACCCGCGAAACAAACAGCGCACGCGCCGAAGTCCCCCTCGACGGAACCTACGACCAAACATCCCCAGAAAACCTCTTCTTCGCAGCACAAACCATCCAAAACGCCTGCGGCACCCAAGCAATCCTCTCCGTAATCCTAAACCACGACACCGCCGCCTCCCCCCAACCAGCCATAACGCTCGGCGACGAGCTCCGCTCATTCAAAGAGTTCACAACCGGGTTCCCTCCCGAACTCCGCGGCGAAGCGCTCTCGAACTCTGAAGCAATCCGCAGCGCACACAACAGCTTTGCGCGGGCGAGTCCGTTTGCGGATGAGACTGCTCGACCACAGGATGACGAGAAGGGAGCGGACGTTTACCATTTCATTGCGTATACGCCTGTGAACGGGACGTTGTATGAGCTTGATGGATTGCAGCCGTATCCTATTAGCCATGGGGAGTGTGGGAGCGGTGAGTTTCCTGAGAAGGTGATTGAGGTTTTGCAGAGGCGGATTTCGAGATATCCGCCTGAGGAAACGCATTTTAATCTAATGGCTGTTGTGAGGGATCCCAGGGCGAGGGCGAGGGAGATTGGGGATGTGGAGACGCTCGAGAGGGAGGAGAGGAAGAGGGCTGCGTGGCAGTGGGAGAATACTTTGAGACGGCATAATTTTGTTGGGTTTATTGGGGAAATTTTGAAGGGGGTTGTTGGGGCTAAGGAGAAGGATGCTGAGGGGAAGGCTTATGAGGAGTGGGTTGAGGGTGCGAAGAGGGAGACGAGGAAGAAGCTTGAGATGCGTCGGTAGAGGGTTGGAATCTTTTTCTATTTCTGATTTTTCTACGGTGGCATTTCAGATACCCTTTGTGAGATGATGAAATAAGACAAGATATGGTATTCGATGATGATGTTGAAACCCCAACGCTATAGTATAGTAGATACATGTAGGTGTGATAAATCACCGATTTGACGCAGTATGTACTAGCGTCCACATTGTAAATCATGATAATGTGTATGAACAAGTCTCCGTGAAGATTTATCGTTAATTCTCCTCCAATTCTCAGTATGCAACAAGTCGTGACTTGACATGCTCCAATAGAGGCGCAGGCAGTTCCTCTGGCTTGATCAGATTCAGTGTCAGCAGATCACCCCAGAAGAACATGACTCGGTCCTGCGCGTAAGCCAGGTAGTCAAAGTCTCCGTCATCTTCTTCTTCGACATCCGCTTCCGCAGGCGTCTTAGGGTCATCGCCGTTGCGAGCTGCAAGCATCTCGGCAATGCCTTCTTCCATGCCAGGCACCTTGGCCTGGACAATACCCCAAGCCACCCACTGCGCGGAGTTCATCGCCCGCCACATCCGGGTCTGCTGCATGAGGAATTGCACCTCCGCCTCAAGTTCAGCCTCTCTGGACTGCTCGTTTTGCGAAAGGCGAGAGCTGGGTCTATCGGACACATCGTCCAAATCCAATGGTGCAATCACAGCAGAAGTGCGAGCGCGAATGGTTGGCGAGGCCAGAGGTGAGATAGCTCCGCTGGCGCTGGATGGTCGGTGGGTAAGGTAGGTTGAGACGAAATGGTACTGCTGGTCCGGTGTCGGGTAGGTGCGGTTGTTGCAAGCCCATGAGCGCTCTTCGTCATGGTAGTTGTAGCACCACTCGGTCTGTTGCAGTTAGCATCCATTCGGATTCGCGGTTGAATAGTAGACTTACAAAGTGGTTGGCGAACTCCAGGCCACGGGTATTGGCAGAAGAGTACTCGAAGTCGATAACGATGAGCTGTTTGTGCTCATTTGCAGGCAAGAGTAGCGGTGACTCCGTGGCCGGCTCCATACGAAGTAGATTGCCATATTGAGTCTAGACAGTACGTCAATAACATAACCAAGAAAGGTGAAGATAGAAGCTTACATCATTGTGTGCAAATACAAGCTGTCGCTTGATCTCCGCATTTCCACCAGAGCTGGCAACCAACCATTGCCGGTACTTTTCCACGGCTTTGCGGAACACGTCCCACTTTACGCCGCATACATAGCCGCGACGACGCCATGGCTCCAGTGCCGCTTTGGTCTCATTTTGAGGGGATTCGATTTCTTTGTCCAGCCAGGTCATCACTTGCTCGCAACGATCTACCCACTTATCCCAGTTCTTGAAGATCATAGGACCGCCTTCGCGTTCTTCTTCAAGAAGTTCAACGCCATCATGCAATTCTCTCATCCGCTTGGCAACCTGCTTCGCCGTTTCGGGCATCCGCAGCTCCTTGGGAGTGAGTGGGCGAGCCTCAAAGTACTCTTCGAAACGGCCATTGCGGAAAGTTCCAAGAATGCGTGGGCCGATGTTCTTCTTTCCGAGACGACGAAGAATCTGTAGCTCATTCTCTCGGTCGATTAGATGATCGACCTGAGGACCGTAGATACGCAAGAGAAGCTTGCTGTAAGACTAATTAGCTGTGTCTCCAAAGTAAGAAAGGCAATTCGTTGCTTACGGCGGGGGCTTTCTTGAAACCAGACTGTTGCTATCGGTCTTGGGAGGAGGCAGATTCTTCGGTGGTTCAACTACATACACGGCGTTCGTGAGAGCACCGCTGAGTCTGACCACCTCAATCTCTCCCGCCAAATCCGCGGGAACCCTGCGCCAGCCCTTAAGCTGTAGAGTGTGCACAAGACGCACGATCTCGGACTTGAAAATCACCCAAGCCTCTGCATCCTTTGCTTGCTTCACACTCGCACTGGAATCGGCGATCTCTTCTACTGCAGCGCCACCGGTGTAGGCAAGTGTCTTTGTATTGTCAAGGACAGCTTCCACGCTTGGTGGGGCCGCATCGACATCTGTGAGTTCCGACTCGGATGCCGAGCCTCTTCGTAGGCCTCTAAGACGATGTCGAGATTGCCGTTTGACAGGCTGTCTGTGGGTCAAGCCCATTGCACTGGCGGGCCGGGTAGTCGCATATTGGAGGAGGATCTTTTCCAGTTTATCCAGGGAAAAGGTGTTCTCCGAGGTGTTTGAGCTGGGTCTTTCTAGGGCATCATCTTCTGCAGCTGATTCGTTTTGCTTTGTTGCATGGGAGGGTGACTCGGCTTTCCGTGCTTTACGATTCTGTCGTCTGACTTTCTCATGGTGAAGCCATTCGTATACTTGGTGAAATAGACCCTGCTGGGGATCTTCTTCGGATCTGGCGTGATGCTCTTGGTCCTCGCGATGGTTGCAACACGAGTGATCGTCCAGAGAAGGCATGGTGAATGGTTGCGCAATGGGCTTTTGGGGACTGTGAGCCCAATACTATTTCAGATGTGTTCTGTTCGGCGGGGAGCCGAGAACAGTTCCACTTGCAACGTCCTAGTCAAAGAGCTGATATCCAAGTCCGTGAATCTGTTGGGAATTAGTTGGGATTAAGAACGAATGATTCAAGTAGGCTGAGGCGAGAGTCGCCTCCGAGATGGAATTACAGGGGACAACGTGTATAAGAGCACACGGCGATACAGTTGATTCCCTAACTACAGGAGATTGGCAGATGGAAAGGAGAGCCTACCTGGAAAAGAAAAAAAAAAGGTCGGGTAAGCCAAGACACGGAGGCTCAAAGTCTTATCTCTTGAGCACGCGACCAGTTGCAAAAGCAATTTCTAGCCAAAAAAGTGTCCAGTTGAAATGATTCTTCAAGATAAAAGGGGGAAACCAAGGTGGGGGAAATAATTGGACCCCTTAAAATCCAGTAACGGGTGGCCAAGCGAACGGAAACGTCCAGGAAATTAGTCCTTTGGTCCTTAGACTGCTACCCATAGATTCAAATCTGGGGAAATTCAGTATTAAATGGAACTCCAGAGTAAAAGGCAGAGCACTGAAAAAAGAAAAAGAGTCCTGGATCTGGACTCTGGGGGAATATGTCCCCCCCAAAAAAAGTGGCGAAAAAAAAAAAAGGTGCTTATCAGCCAGCTCAGGTGACTGTTTCGGGTGCCTGGCTAATCGGGCCAACCGTTTACGAAGTACTTCGTACTTATCGCACTTCCAAGTAATCCGGGGTAGCCCCCGGGGCCATGAAAAGGTTTGTAGGGTCTCGCAATATTCGGGAGTCGCATTCAAGGCGTACAGAGTATTCGATAGCGGTTGATGGGGATTTGGGGCCATAGCTTTCTCGTCATCGGCACCAGATGCGGAAAGAGGAAACACCGCGTTAGGAAGCTGGGCGATATGGGTCAATAATATAAGTTCATGGCGCTCATGGCTTGCAATTTGTCGCATGTGGGAGATGAGCTGGTACCAAAGGCTTTTCTTTGGTCTCGGCTCCGGTCTAGTAGGGAACGTCGAGGCATATCAGCCAGGGTATGGAGTGTATAGCATGTGTATACTGGAGGTCTGGCATTTTCAGAGTCTCTGGCAGATGTCTGTTGGAGACATGAGTGTTGACAGACATAGAAAAGAGGATGGGAGGTTGTTCAGGTGGAAGGGGTGTGCAGAGAGGGGAAGCTTAGTAAATTACCGTATTGGTCTATGGTATTGTTCATGCATCAACATTTGAATCAATGGAATGATATCACATTTCAAGGATTAAATAAATTATAGCTATATTTCAAGCATTATGTTCAAGGTGTTGCTAGGCCTTCTCTGTACTTGGTAGGTGGGACAGCACTCGTCCCTTATCCTCTTGCCGATCATGGACATCTTCACACTGATGACAAGTTATTAATCACTTCCGAGTCTCATAGCATGCTAAGGAGAAGAATGCACAAGAGAAATTGTGAGAAACCATGTTTTTATCCTGCTCCCTTGCCAGCCTTATGATACACACGATTTGGCCTCGGGGTAATCCAGTAGAACAGTGAGGATACAAGAATGTGAGCCAAGAGAACTTGATAGACCTTCATTCATGAAGATTGCGGGGATTGACGTACACAATACGTGTATTGTGGTCTTCTATGAATGGCGTTTTGATGTCCCAACCATTGAGGTTGTGAAGATCCATGACTTTGGCACCAAGTGGCTGATCCTCTTGAGGCCATCTTATAAGAGCCCAGCCACGCTTTTTCTCATGTCGCAGCACATAGACTGGGAAGACCTTTTTGATTTTGTGAGCCGTATTAAAGTCGTAATCAAGATGATTAATGTCGACAACAATGAAGGTACGTTCATCCCATACATCAAAAGCGACAGGCAGTACCCGCGGGTCATTTTCCCAGCCAGGAAAAACCTCGCTGACAACGCCCTTGGCCGAGTCGCGGTAATTTTCAGTATCCAGACTTTTGGTCCTCACTTTAATCACAATTCGTTTTGCAACGTCATTTTCCAAGATCACTTTCCGTACGTCGGAAATGCTGCCTATGGACGCCATGCCGCATGTTTGATGTTTGCACCAAGAGGTATACGGAGGTGTTCGAGCACCAGGACTTTTGGAGAAGAGACTTGAGGATGAAAGAATACATATGCAGATATGCAGGTAACCATGCCTTCTTATATCTGGCACTGTTGATAATAACGCTAATCCTAGAATGGCAGATGCCTAAAACGACTACTCCTTACCTCGTCTTGTTTATCGTAATCAAGTTCACATCACGGAAAATGAAAAGAAACAAAGGGATTCCTCATCCGAGATGGAGAAATTTTTGAATATTTTGCACATTTGCCGGGGACTAATGGTCGTACGGAGTAGTATATTGACTATTCCTAAACCACCCGAGCAGTCTTGCGAGTACTTGCTATCCCAAGTGATCGGGGGTCCAAGCGAAGATAAAAGAGAGTCGAGACTAAAGGTAGAAGAGGCGTAAATAGCGTGGAAGATCGAGAGGTAAGCAAGATGTCGATGTATTATGCCTAAATAGTTTCTTTCTTGCTTTAGACCAGCGCTATCTACTTAAACATGACCGTCTTTCAAATCTTTCGCTAGACCGTACTTGCGATCAACCCAACTCTTTTCTATTTGCCGATCATGATATAACTGATATTTTGCTACAGTGGACATTCTACGAACTATCTCGGACCCCGCACATGTTGCGTCGTGTTTGCATCGAACTGGATGATATCTTTAGTCCTGGCTCACACCCAACCCATATTCGAGATCAAATCTTAGAACACAGAGAGAACATTCTCCAAAGAACGAGCTATACCTCTGCCGTTATCAAGGAAATTCTTTGTCTGTATCCACCAGCTAGGACATCGCGCTTTCCGCCCCTAACACTGGGTTCAGCATTCGGCTATCGAATTTCAGGAGATGTGCCTGGATGGATTGTTGCTTTACAACTGCGAGAGTATTATACAGCGTGACCATACCGTATATGGTGACAAAAGCGATCAGTTATTCCCTAACGGTGGTTGGAAACCGGCAAGTGTTTGGCGGGCCTTCGAGTGCGGACCACGCAACTGCATTGGATAAGAGTTCGCGAACATCGAAGCGCTTGTGACTCTTACATGTGCGACACGGCAATATAATTGAGAGAACGCAGGACTTGGGACAACTAAGCGGGATGAGTCAAGTGCGCTGATTGAAAACAATAATGGACAGTACGAATTCAGTCAGAGCTGTATAATGTAAGTACTCGACGGGACTACCGGCGGGGCGGGAAGTGATATGTGGTTACTAACAGGGCTCAGACACTGGAGATTATCGCCAAGCCAGTGGATGGAATGAGGATAGAATCCATTAGACCACTAAATGGATTTCAATGCAGAACGCCCAAAAGTAAGTTTTCTCATGCAACATGCACTTTCATAGCATCCACGAGAAATAATTGAAGTCACCGTGAGACATTTGAGCTGCCAAGGGCTTCTGTGCAGATGTCAGGTTAACTAGGCTAGAGTATTCGAGCGGAAAGGACATGCCGAGAACCAGATGTATTGGGCTGAAAAGTCAAATCAATAGAGCTGTCAGGAGACTATCTATCCCGACTGCATGGCTATTATTGTTGAATTGTTTCCCCCGAGGTAACCAAGTAGCTACGGAGAACTCCGTGTATACAAGTATGGATTATTAGAGGCATGCAGGGGAACTAATAATGTGAAAACCGATAGGTACGTAGATGTTGTCTCGACCATAAAGCAAGGGATAACTATAGAACCAGATGAAAATCCCTTAGGCAAATCAACCAAGAGGCTATTCTATAGAGGCTTAGCTGAACATGAACATAGAAATGTACGCCACTCCGTACTCCGTACAATATATACGAGACTGCACGTCTGACCCCAGATCGAGATCGGCCACGCCGATCTCTCCTCATGCCAAGCAATAGAAATTTTAATCCGAGTCCATGTGGAGAGACCGAGTGAAACACGATCACTCAGGGTCTTTAGAGCCGAAAGCTATAATTAGAGGGGCCTCTGTGTCGTCGGTGGACCTATATTGCATACTGCATTCTCTATACTTATAAAAGACCGATCCTCGCCAACTTATCAGCGTTGAATATATTCTACAATTCTCCCTTTGCCTACCATCGACCAAAATTCCACAATGAAGTTCACTACAGCAATCATCGCTTCCCTGGTGGGAACCAGCACCGCCTTGTTCGACAAGAACCAGCGTATGAAATGATACACTCATCTATAATGTTCCGAACTAACAATGCCTCAATGATATAGCCTGGGGTAAACGCGACTACGCCTGCGTAAACGTCTACCAAGGCATCCCCGACAATTCAACCGTCTCCGCCGGTCAAACTGTTCGCGTCCGTTTCAACCGCAAACCCACAGGACGCTGCCCGGACCCATTGAGCCAGTACCCCGGTGATGACTACAGCGTGTGGTTGTACAATAACCCCGTGCGCAAGTTGGACACTATCTCCTTTGACCAGTCTATTAAGATTGTGGGTGGGATTAAGGAGAAGGCGGGTCTTGTTGATGTTACTATTCCCAAGAACTTGCCTCAGGTTAAGGATGGTTCGGTTTGGTATTTGAGGGTTGGAACTACGCTCTCAACGGCGCCACAGGTATGTTTCTTTCCTTTTGATTTTGCTTTTTCGAGGTGGATTATGTGCTTTCGGGCTGTGTTTAGCTTGGCTTTTAGTTGGCTTCAGGGGCTAATCAATATTATGCAGATGCCCTCCTTGTTTAACGCTGCTGGGCCATTTACGGTTACTCGTGCATAGATGACTTGGTTCGGTTTAGAATTCGGTTGAAGAGGGAATATGGTCTTAATTTATGCATATATTGATAGTCAAGTCACTACCATATCTTTATCACATACGATAGCACAAATAAATTGAAGCATATGTATATTGAGTTGGGCTTCGGGCTCCTGGCCGAGGAGAAGACCCAGCTTTGTTGCTAAAATGCTATAAATAACTTGGTTCTCAGGCACCAGCCTCGGAATGACCATGCACGATTCCGTAACGTCATCAAATCAACATCAAATCAACATCTAATCACGGAAGGAGACACTGAATACCTTGTAACCACTGCTAGGCTTAGCACGGTCACCTTTAGCATCCAAGTGTCCATGCTTGTCAATATCAATGTAACGCCCTTGCTCCACAAACTCCATGGTATAGCCAAGGCCATTGCCCAAGAAGGTGAATTGCACTTGAGCTGCATTTGCACCCTGGCTTTTGGGAAGCAAAACACCACCGGCACCGATCCATCGGCCATCCAGCGCGCTGGAGATGGTAAATGTATGGCTTTCCTCATCGTCGTTGTAGTGGATTACCCAACGCTGGGATTTATTGCTGTGCTGAGGGCTAGCAGGGCTAGACACAAGGCGGTGGTCGCTGGCTGGATTTGTGATGGCTGCTCCATTTTTCTCAAAGACTAAGTATCGGCCCTCGGTGAGATAGCCAATCACCTCTTTGAAACCCTCTTCAAACCACAGGGTATTGACATCCGTTGCATTGCTCTGTTCTCCATATGGAACATCAGGACGTGTTTGCTTGTGGCGAGACTGACAGTTAGATGTACCGGTATATTCGCCCTTTTCGTTGGTATCAACAGTCCCGGCGTCCGGAAGATCGGGGAGAGAGTAATCTGGATGGTCAAAATCAAGTGCGTTGACTAGATTAGACATGTGCTTGCGTCGCCATGAGACCATCTGATCGGTTGTAATATTTTTGTGTCCCCGCGCTGTCAGCCATTCCTCAACGAAGAGAATCTGAGAGTTATGATCTGCCCGCTCCGTGAACACGCGGTTTCCTCGGGTCCAGGGAGAGATCATATAGAATGGTACTCGGAAGCCAGGCCCCACAAAGATATCTGAGAACATACCCAGAGGGTCTTGCATCCATTCTCCTGGGGTGTCTTTAGGGGAATGGAAGGGGGTGACATGGTCACCAAAGCCACCAGTCTCATCGAAGCTGATCATCAGAAGAGTCGAGTTGTATTTCGGGCTACTGGTGACGGCATCGACGACCTTCTTCTGGAGCCAGGCTCCATCCTTTGGCATGTATGGTGGGTGCTCAGACAGCTCAGACGGGCCAACAATGAAACTGACCTCGGGCAATGTGCCGTTGGCGGCAGCCTGATAGAAGGAATCAAGGCCAACAAAGGACATACCCTTCTTGGCCAGAGGGCTATTTTTTGAGGCTTGTTGAAATTGTTCGAACCAGGCGAGAGGGTTATCATCGAAGTTGTTTGTGTCTTGGAAGAGTTGCCAAGAGACTCCAGCCTCTTCGTAAAAGTCATAGACGGTCTTCCATTTGAGTGGGTAGCAGTTGATACCGTGGTCATCGCAGCCTAGATTATTCTGGTGAGATCATGAAACAGCCCAAACATAATTGCCTAGAAGAATAGGAAGAACAGAATATAAAGCTGAGACATACCTGGTACCTCATTGTTGTCGATATATACACCTCCCTGGTCCTTGCTCTGGGGGCTACCAGGAACGTTGATGGAGCCGCTGACCAAAGTAACCCGATTAGGATTTGTGGCAGTGATTTGACTTTCCTGTTTGAAAATCAGTATCCAACTTTTTTAGAATCGAATTTGGCCACGCACCTGGTACATGTCTCCCGATGTCCAACCTTCAGCAATCGCAAATTGAACCGGAATATCCTGTCGCTTCAAGTAGCCCCAGCTCCAAGGTGTGTTTTTCATCACCCAGTGGTTGTTCAACCCATTGTTTAGAGACTGCTGGTTCTCCTCGTAGCCATTGCTACCCGCGACCATACACTGAATCGCATCATGCCAGTCACCACCTTGATATCCAAGATACCAAGGCAGCAAGGTCTTGGTCTTGTCTGACTGGGCCGGCTCGACTAGTCTGGTAAGGAATATTAGAACAATCCCTTCCCTTAGAGCTCGGCTGCTTGACACTTACTGATGCCAGACCGAGTTTCCATCGGAGTTGACTTGGACATTGGGATCATTAAAGCCCCGTACTCCAGGCATAGTGCCAAAATACTGTGATTTGGTCAGCATAATGGAAGCATTTCATAACGCAGGCAAAGCATACCGTGTCCCACGAGCGATTCTCCTGCATGAAGATGACGACATGCTCGATGTCGCTTAAGGATCCACCAGAGACGAGCCCAATTTCCAGGATTATCGCGATAGCGATACACACCAGCAACTTGAAAGCCATGATTCGGTAGTTGCAGAAGGGATGAGTGGAAAGGGTTCAACCGAGAGAAGAGTCCACTACTTATGTACCAAGGAGACATGCAGATAGCCGAAAAATTCGATAACAGAGTACCTAGATGTAGTATCAGGTACACGTACCTACCCCACGAGCTCTGGGACTTTACATCTGCAGGTCTCCCTCATGGCTCCAGACTATTCAGGGAAAGGACGAGTTAGAATCCGGGGATTGGAACACAGGGATGGGCTGACATTCTTGATGCATGGCGCCGATCACAATGGAATTATATAACATGCAAAGTACAAAGAGAAGGTGCAGCTGGATCCAATCTGATATGCCAGTATCTCCACGTGAAATTCTGTTCCATGGTTCAGTCAACGCTAAACAAGAACACACTTTCGGCAGGAACGAGCTTGTATACATTGGGTTTAGTTTAGTGCCACAAGGGCTTTTTATACATGTTTTATTTATTAATGTAATATGAGATGGGATAAATGTCTCGTTGATATTACACTAATTACACTAATTATATTATCTTCGCTCTGATTGATCAAGAAGGGCACGTGCATGGTCTTTCTGTAAGGTCGCATCGGATGATCCCTTTGGCAGTAAGGGAAAATGAGGTCATAGCGCAGAATGCTCTTTCCTCCGGTTGACCTTGTTTATATATTTGATATGCTCAAAGTTCAATGATACTCTCATATCATGCGGAGGGTACAGTCGTCGGAAAACGGCTACCTATTTAGAATTGACCCCACCAATGCCGGAGCTGTCCCAACGGCCATGGCCGATCGTGGGCTGCTCATTGGTTACTTGTTTCTTGATTGGGTTGGTATACATTCTCCAGTCCACTCCTCTCGTGCCATTGATTTTGCCGGGTCGGCATCACAATATTCAAGAAACTAAGGTCACCACCCGGCCGCGGATAGAGCTTCACCCGGAGGATCATGCGCACCGGGCGCCAGCGACTCAATCTTTAGATTGGCGTGTGACCTCGGAATTTCGCAGACCAGATGGTGTATTAAAGCGGGTCTATCTTATCAACGGTCAGTAGAAAGAAGTGACTGGTATCGCGGCTGTCGATCTGACCGGAGGATATCGAACTAGGCCTGTTCCCTGGACCGACGGTGGAGGCCCGTTCTGGTGACACCTTGATCATTACTGTCACCAATGCCTTGTCGGATGAGTCAATTGCTCTCCATTGGCACGGCCTTCATGTGGCTAGTAAGTATCTGGCTTTGTCAGACCTCGATTAAAAGTATCGGGGCTAACGTATATAGATGCCATGGATGGTGCAGCGGGGATTTCACAATGTCCCGTGGCTTCTGGGGGACATTTCGTTTATAATTTGACAATTCCAGCCGATCAGAGTGGTACTTTCTGGTATCATGCCCATTCGGGGGTCTCGCGGGCGGATGGCCTTTATGGTGGGCTGGTCGTCCATGAACCAGCTTCCAAAGAGACAGCTGGGGGCTTAGCATCCCGGAGGCGCGAAAAACTCCACCGTTACACCTATGACAGAGAACTTTTGCTTCTCATCGGGGACTGGTACCATCGCCCTGCGGGTGATGTTCTGGAAGGGTATATGGATCCAGGAAACTTCGGAAACGAGGTGAGTACGGAAGTACGGCATCAAACGACGGATAGTGCTATCTAACGCTGGTACTAGCCTGTACCTGATTCCATGCTCATTAATGGAGCAGGGTATTTTGACTGCACGAGGGCTGTGCCTGCTAGGCCAGTGGACTGCTTTGATCAGCAGGTGAATACTTCCTTTATCGACCTCGATCCTCACACAACATATCGAATTCGTGTGGTCAACACTGGGTATGTAACAGTACCAGAGTCAAATAGTCATTAGCTGACCAGTTGGCAGAGCTCTGGCTGGGCTGAGTCTCGTCTTCGACAATCATCACCTGGACCTGCTTCAGGTCGATAGCGTCGATGTGACAACCTCTAAAGAGGCAAATATAAATTCCATCGGTGTACTCTTCCCCGGGCAACGCATGGACTTTGTTCTTCAGCCATTATTACGACCCTCTAAAAAGCAGTCACATATGAGGGTTCAGTTAGATCAAGAGTATGAACAAAGTCGCTGAGCACCACAGCAATTATTGGATGGTTGCTAATGTCTCACTAGCTCCTTCAAGTATAACAACCCGGCGTTGACGCCAGATCAAACTTTCCCCATGAACTACCGTTCCAATGCCACCCAGAGATCTCCACTCAAGGTCCACCATCTCAACATCGAAGAAGTACCTTCTGCGCCCTCTATCCTTCGCTCCATTCCTCCAACAGCGCAGCAAATACATGTGATCTACACCAAGATCCAAAGGATGGCCCGATATTCCAACAAGCCATTCGGTTACTTCAATCAAACTACCTGGAAACCCCAGCACGATCCACCCGCTCCATTGGCCTCTACACCACGAGTTAAATGGGACGCAAACCAATTCGCAATAACAACGGGACCAGAGCCTGCATGGGTAGACCTAGTCATCAACAATCTAGACGAAGGATCCCACCCATTCCACATGGTAAGAAACCTTCCTACCCCCACCCAGTGGTAACAAGCCCCTAATTAATATATATCCAGCACGGGCACCACTTCTACATACTCGCAGTTCACCAAGCCGAATTTGGCTGGGGCTCTTACAATCCCTTCGTCGACAAAATCCCACCACACCTAGAAACTGACTCAGATGCGTTGAAAAATGAGACAGATGACGTCCAGAATCCCAACACTGGTTATAATTCCGGTCTGTACGACACATCTCGGGCTGCTTTGCGTGACACAGTTCGGATCCCAAGTCGCGGCTATGCTGTTCTCCGTTTCCGGGCGGATAACCCCGGCGTTTGGCTTTTTCACTGCCATATGCTTTGGCATTCGGCGACGGGTATGGCCATGCTGATTGATGTGCAGGGCGATCCGGTGGGATTGGCCGCGCACGCTAGCAGCGGAGAATTATGTTCTGCTGTGTGAGATCTATTGACTATTTTTGGCCTTGGGAATGGCCAAATTAATTCGCGCTTACACTCCAGAGCCTAGCTTCATATCTGTTATAGATACTCCTGTGCTCTTCACTATCTGAATATGCATGTTGGCAATGTCTTCATTTGGATTTGGATTTTTGCCAAGCCAACTCCACGCTGGCCCAAAGGGGATATTCCTCGGGAGCGACAGAAAGGAGATGTCTCAAATTGTATTGGAAAGGAACCAACCAGCCCGGGAGCTAACTCCAACGGGTAATAGGTAAAATATCGAAGCTGGTCAAACTTATGAGGTCGATAATCCTCAGAGACTCAAATGGCGGCTTTTTGCTTGATAGTACTCGCTCTTGAGATGACCTCGAACCACATTGTCATCTGAAGTCCTCAGAGCTCTACCCTTTGGAATGGCTTAGGGACCATCTAGAAATGCTATAATTTTCCAATGAGGCTTAACTTGCTAGCAGTTTGATTGTACATACTTTATACATCCTTAGATGGCCGCGTTTATCTCAGGGCCCGTCGGCCCCCAACCCACGTTCGCGTTTTGGCATTTCGTGGCTTTAATTTCGCCTTTCTTTTTTTATTTATAGCTAGGGAAATGTGCCATATCTTTACAGCTGTCTATAGCTTTTTCTTTTTTCTTTTACGAAATGCAGCCGGTTCGTTGCGTTCGGTCTTGGGTGCAGTCATTACAACTTCGCTTCGTGACGACGACCGAAGCCATTCGCTCAGGGACATGGAAGGAACATCAATACCAGCTTCTTCTAGGGGCTCAACAGAAATCTCAGTACTATTACTCCCAAAATACGAAGAGAAAGTCTACCATTACCGGGGCGATAACAACTATATTGGTCCTTTTGTATATTTTCTCGCATCCACTTCTTTATTTGACTCCCTTCGACGAGCGTGCTTGTGAACATCCAGTCATCCGGCTTGTTCATGATGCCGAGCAGGCTTTGAACAAAACGTTGGGGCGCCAGTCGAAGTCATTAGACGAAGCAGTGGCGGAATATCAACGACGATATAAGATGCCACCACCTCCCAACTTCGATAAATGGTATACATTTGCGACGTCGCGAAAAACGGTCTTGATCGATGAATACGATACGATATATCATACCTTGCTGCCTTTCTGGGGACTTGCACCCAGTACGATCCGTTCGCGCGTGAGAGAGGACCTTGGTTATGATAACATCGTCATGGGCATTGCCATTCGCGACGGCAGAGCTACCCATTTGGGCAATGGCCAGGGGAGATACCAGAGAGATGCGACAATGACGATTCTTGACAAGTTTTCCCAATGGTTACCGGACATGAACCTGGAATTCAATGTACACGACGAGCCGCGAGTGGTAGTTCCGCATGAGGAGCTGCACATGTTGGTCTCTGAAGGCTATGCAGCTCACGCTCGTCTAAGTAGCAATTCGTCGTTATTGAACCAATTCTCGCGGGGCGATACCAATGACCCTGTCCCACCAGCGTTGGTCTCCACGACCAGATTCAACGACATCCAGCGCCAAGAGACATGGCTCTCCTCGCGGGTTTCATGTCCACTAGACACACCTGCTAGATCTCTGGATGATAACGCACCAGACAACTCAAGTGCCTACGCAGTGGGTCCTTTGGGCTTTGTGTTCAACCAGACTGCCGCTAGTGATGTGTGCAACAGCCCGTCGCTGCGCCATCGGCTGGGGCTATTTGGTCGCCCAGAATCTTTCAAAGTGACAAGCGAGCTAGTCCCGATGTTTTCCATGTCCCATCCATCTTCATTCCAGGATATTGCAGTCCCCTCTCCGTGGTATTACGAAAACATATCAAAATTCGACCCTGAAACCTCAGTTCAATGGGAAGAGAAAAAACCGCAGCTATACTGGCGCGGAAAGACTAACGGAGGACATAGCCAGAATGGCAGTTGGCGTAACCTGCAACGTCAGCGTATTATTGGAAACTTGACACATCCACAATCGCCCCAATATATCATGCAACCAAAGAACGATTCAAGTTGTGGCGCAGGCCACAGTGGAACCTGGGAGGTCCAAATCGCAAATCGATCCCAGATCAAGGAATACTTCAATACCCATTTCATCGAGATCGTGGCTTGCGATGACGACTGTGATGAGGAGAAAGAGTTTTTCCACGATATTGCGCAATCAGACCCCCAGAGCGAGGCCTGGAAATACCGTTATCTGTTAGATATGGATGGCCATGGCTACAGCGGGAGATTCTACGCCTTCATGCGCAGCAAGAGTGTCCCATTCAAGTTGACCTTCTTTCGGGAGTGGCATGAGGATGTTTTGATCCCATGGGTCCACTACGTGCCGATTAATAAAGACGGGGATGAGATTCCTGAGTTGATGCGGTTTTTCGAGGAAGACCCTGCCGGTCAGCAGATTGCTCGATCTATCGGTGAAGGGGGTCAGGCTTGGGCGGCTAGGACGATCAGAAATGAGGATATGGACGTTTATATGTTTCGACTTTTCTTGGAGTAAGATTGATCGAGCATCTTTTCAGTGGTGACTTTGCTAATGTGAACTTGCAGATACGCCCGTGTGCAAGATGACCAGAGAGAGAACCTGGGATTTCGGCTATAGAAGCCAGGTGGTAGATCATGTATCTACCAGTCAGTTTTCTACAACCCCCCAATCAAATTAGGTCGATGGGTACTCGAGCCAATCCGAGTCTTACACACGGCAGTGCCACACGTCCTCGAATTTCCATGATGACGGTGTGACCATTGATATGGACCACTACTACACGACACGCGCGATACCATTGCCTGCACTCCGAACAAGACTTTTCATGCAGTCCATGTCTACCGATTCCTACTTCTACACCAAGAGCTACAGCATGGTCTGCGGTCGTGCATCAAAATCCAGCTCGACACTTCGCGGAATGCGATGTGCTCAAGGACTCTAGTGGGAGTCGAGAACTGGTCTATCTGACAATGATGACGGGTCAATTATTGTGAAAGGAACTGTCCGCAGCATTTGGTTTCTTTTCTCTTTAATTACCCCTGCTACGCTTACTTTGCAACTGGTTATGACTTCTAAGGCTGTACGGAATTCGAGTGAGAGTTGACCTATTCACTGAGCTGTGTCATTGCCTGGCTACTTGCATGTTATTTAATATATTCTTTGGGCGCATATCTTAGTTTCTATACCATTATCATAATACCAAAAGAGAGACGCACTAATAGCCCCCCTTTGGAACAGACATGAAGACAATCAGAAACGATAGACACATATATTTTCAAGTAAAGTCAAGCGTACAAGCTTTCTGAGCGCACCTCCTAGCAGGATACAAAATCGCACATTACCCTAAATAACGCCAAAATCATCAGTTTAAAAACCTCGTTTCGAAATATTTGCTCTCCCTTCGAAATTAACGGGGGTCGATAGTTACGTGGGGCGCTAAACCCAAAAAGGCAAAACTAACCCGAAAGGGCAATCCACAGGTCCGTCTACAAATAACACCTATAATGATAGGGGCATCAGGACGTGTTCCAAGCGATTTGAGGAAAACCTTTTAATAAAATGCGAGCCAATAACAGATCTGCAAGGGTTCCATTTATGAATCCTGCGATTATATGAACTTAAAATGCCCCATAACGAGAAACGGAGATACGTATGCTTTGGCCCCCCGATATTCTACGGAGTATCGAAAAATAAGTTAACTCGGGGAGTTAAGCTCATTAGCTTGTGCGGGGTAGGAATATCTAATATTCAGGGACATATAGCTAATACATTTTTCAGCTACAACTTTCATTTTATCACTCGATCCTCTCAATATGACACAAAGCTGCCGTGGGATTGTCGCATATCCGCCGTTAGAAAATGGCAAACTTGACTTCCGGCTGGAGGAGCTCTCGATCCGTGACATTGAAGACGATGAATGCTTAGTTGAGCTGGTGGCTACTGGACTCTGTCACACCGATCTGGGGGTTGCCGCACGGCCGGATGCCACCTTCCCGAGAGTTCTAGGCCATGAAGGTAACTTGAATTTCACCTAACTCAGACTGACCAGAAAGGATCTATAAACTAATAATTAGAGCCTAGGTGCCGGATACCTGAGAAAGATTGGTAGCAAGGTGAACCGTTCACCAATGAATCTCCAGGAAGGGGACCCTGTGCTCCTGTCATTTGCTTTTTGCAATACATGTTCAAGTTGCCGGTCTGGACATCCATCATATTGCCGATCGGCTCTGAAGGTAAACTTTGCTCACCCGGGACGAGACACCTACAGATTGGAAGGGAAGGATAAGACGGTAGTTGGTGGTTTCTTCGGCCAGTCCAGTATGGGAAGTCTAGCCGTTGTGGATATCAGCTGCATTGTCAGCTTAGCTGGCGTCGTGAAAAGTCGTGACGAACTGAAATTGTTCGCTCCGTTCGCATGTGGGTTCCAAACTGGGGCTGGCACCGTTGAGAACCTTGGCAAAGCTATGCCTAGTGATTCGGTAGCTATAATCGGCGTCGGAGGAGTAGGGCTTACTGGTATTATGGTAAGTGATTATTACACCTATCTGAGCTTAAAATTCCACTGACATGATTTTGTACTATATAGGCTGCGAAAATCATTGGTTGCAAGAAGATTATTGCGATCGATAGAATTTCTGATCGACTTTCCCTGGCACGAGATTTAGGTGCAACCCATGTGATCGACAGTAGTGCGCTTGTGGGCAACCTAGAAGACGCCGTTCGAAGCATCACAGATGACCTTGGTTCTTCTTTAACAATTGATACTACTGGCAACCTTTCAGTCATTCAGTCAGCACTTAATATGACGAGTATAATGGGAAGAATGATTTTGTTGGGAATGTCGAGAGAGTCACTGAATATCGATCTAACGAAGTTCAAACTGGTGCGTGATGCGCATTTTCTTTTATGTTTTCCCAAGGATTCCCCCTCTGATAAGGTTGATATATAGTCAGGGCAAGTTCTCCTCGGCAGTGTCCAAGGCGATGTGATTCCATCACAGGTAAGCTTTCAATCCGACCACCACGCTCTGATATACTGATACGTTTATCCGGAAGTTTATTGCGCAAATGATCAAGTGGTACAGAGCTGGTAATTTCCCGATTGAAAAGCTGGTTCACTTTTATGAGGTACGTAGGTCTATGTCTTAGATGAAGACATAAACTGACAATTCGATAGGCGAAGGAATTTGATACTGCTGTAGCCGATATGAAAAGTGGGAAAACCGTGAAACCTGTCATCCTATGGTAAAGTGTTCATCGATAGTTCATAACAAATAGGGTAGCTAGCACAATAATATACGTCCGAATTCCCACAATCCACGGCGATATTATAAGGATATAAACAATGTCAGGTAGGAAAGTTGCGACAAGAAAGATAGCACTCAAAAGGTACATCGTTATTTATGAAGACTCCATTGCATGTAATAATTCGCGTTAGGAATTGGGAAAATAATCCAAACTCAAGCAAAGAGACATGTTTAGTCTACGGAGTACATAGAGGTATCAATATTTGCCGGGGAGTTAAGGAAGGTCAGGGCCTAGATTAGCCAATGATATCAATCGAGGATTTTCGGTGTCCGCACTATGCGGGGACCACCTGTGTTTTCACTTCGAAAAATCAGATTTGAACAATATGTACTGTAATGCTCCTTGATGTCCCAATATGACAGAAGCATCCAAGACCAAGCGGCGCCGAAATCGGGTCCCCATCTCCTGTTTCAGTTGCCGAACACTGAAGACTAAATGCGATGGTGCACGGCCAGTATGCTCTACGTGCGCCAACAATGGTCGTGAATGTACTTTTGTTCCGCAGGGCATAGCGAAGGGTACTAGCACCATGGTACTGGTCAAGGAAGAGTGAGAATCATTTTCTGCATTAGTCACAAAGGCATAACTGAAGAACTTTTGTGGATTTATAGCTATTTACGTACACTAGAAAAGCATTTCGAATCGGTCAAGAGCGCGGTAATTGATTCTACGCCCGATACAACAATAGACTCTGGGCCTTCTGCTGCTGTTCAAGATCAGCAGGCATCAGACCCGACTTGCTCCCTATCCTCGACTGTGACTCCCAATACAAAAACCCTTTCGTCGACGGCGATAGCAGTCGATTCTAACGTGTCAATTGGGTGTACCTCATTTACTCGGTCGATTCTGAACAGTCTTCATGACCACAATTCCCTAGAAGGTCAATCCGAGATGTCTGGTGGCGAGACCCCCGCGAAGCAATCCTACCTGACATTGGAGGATCTATATATCCTACCAGACAATACACCGGAGGTTTTGGATCGATATTTTACTCTTCGGAACATCATTGCACCTTTGTTTCACGAGCCCACCGTGAGGCCGATTTTCAATGCCGCGCTACGTTGCCCCCCGGAAGAGAGACATCTGCATCGGTCCTCATTCATTCTCCTGAATATGATCCTTGCTATTTGTGCTTCCCACTGGCTGCTTGATGTTGATGAAAACAATCGCACGGCACGAAAACATCATGATATTGCGATGACACTTCTACAGCCTACCATGTTGCGTGATTGGACCCTGGAACATGTTCAAGCTCTGCTTCTGGGCGCCAGATATCTCCAAGGCACGAACCGTGTTGCGGAATGCTGGAATACGCTTGGTCTGGCTATTCGAATCGCTCATGGCTTGCGTCTACATCAAGAACCGCATGCGTCAGACCCACCCCCGTTGCGTGAAACTAAACGGAGAGTTTGGTACTCTATCTACATGCTTGATATGCATTGGAGCATGATATACGAGCGTCCAGCAGCTACCCGATCCTCTGAATTTTCCGTATGCGTACCCGAAGATCTCGATGATGTCTGTATCCAGGCAGACAGGGTGCTCTATCCGACGCCCAGGCTGCCATCGTTCCTCTCCTTTTTTCTTCAAAATATCAAGTTGTATCGTATAGTTGAAAAGACATTGGCCCACTTATCAGAGCGCAGACACGAGCGGAGAGAAAAGGCAGAGATGGTGATGTCTCTTGATGAAGACTACCAGACATGGCTCCGAGAGCGTCCAGCACATCTCATTCTCAATACTCAGGACCCCCCGGAGCCGGTATGGATCCTTGCATTGCGTGGTAATATGGTTTGTATATTAATTCATCGACAATCGCTGGCTACGACTTTGCACGAGAGAGACAAACCCGGGCCCATTGAGGAGTCCACGGTCTATCATATTTTGCGTTCAAGTCAGAGAATCTGCATAAATGCCGCGATAGATTCGATTGATGTCGTCGCCTTGAGGCACGAACACACAAAAGAGTCAATAGGCCTTGACTGGTTCAATGTCTACTACTGTATGTCAACTCGGTCACTATCATCTTCGTTACATCCTAACCATTTCCTACAGTATTCAATGCCGTGATAGCCTTGGTCTCGTATATAATCAATCCGTCCTACACCCATGACCCACCTATCCTTGAGAAAATGGAAAAGGCACTCCATATGATCAAATCAATGTCGAGAAACCATTCTTTCGCCCAACGGGCCCACTCTTTTCTACGGCAACTCATCGAGTACATGCATCCACCCCAGGTTCCACAAGAGCGAAGATCGGATTTCCACACGCAGACAGAGCCGCGAGCAGCTGCCGGAACCTCTGATATGTCCGTTGATTTAAGCACATTGTTTGACATGGCACAGAATCTCACGGGCCATTTAGAGTCCCAGCTAGGAGATTTCGACTGTCAGGGGTTATCTGAGCCAATGTGGACCTTTAATGAAGAAGCACCATTTGATTATTTCCCGTAGCTTATGTATAGTAATCGAGAAGTCTATTCACGCTTTGGCCAACTGCATCCAGCCTATTATTTGCCTTCTAGTCAGCCGGCTATCCGGATATGCTGAACGATATGCCAGACCTCTTAGACCTATTCCTCCAATTTCTAGGCCCCGTCAAAAACTCAATTAAACTCACCATTCATATCGCGCGTGCCATATTACGGAAATGTTCCGTGCCCTAAACCAAGACCGGGGAGATAAGCCCAATGTTTTAGTTAGCGTCAAAAGGAATTTGACCACTTGCAGAACCTATTTGAAAGGGCTCCTGGCCCATTTTCTCATAGCACTTGCAACCTACTTCAATATGTTCCGCATCGCTATCATCGGCGGTGGCATCGGGGGCTTATTCGCAGCCTTGTCAATCAGGCACTACTGTGAATCTAGCGACATCCAAATCGATATATATGAACAAGCTTCTGCATATAAGGAAATCGGTGCCGGGGTGGGAATAGGACCAAATGCCGCGGAGCTTGTGAAAAAGCTAGGTCTCTTGGAAGAGTGCTTGAAGATCACAGGTGACCGAGCAGGCGCTTGGCTTTCGTTTCGTCGATATGACACCGGGGCAGAGGTTCATACAGTCAAAACACCTACAGATGGAAATACAACACAGTTGTCGATGCATCGTGCGGAATTCCTGGAGATTCTCGTCCAGGCCGTTGAAAGCCGAGGGGCGGCAAATTTGCACACGAACAAACATTGCCAGACACTCGAGGTATTGCTCATATCTTATTACTTATCATATTATACCAATTGACTATTTAACTTGGTTCAATTGCTAATCATAAACATATAGGATCACGGGGACACGATGTCAATAAAATTTAATGACGGAACAACTGTGTCAGCAGAGTTAGTAATTGGGGCAGATGGTATTCATTCAGTCGTACGCTCGAGTTATATGGTATGTATCTCTTTTATCTAAAATCTGGAAAATAAGTTGACGAACTATTTTGGTAGAATGACAGCGCTCAATATGGTGAAATGGTGGTCTATAGAGGCCTTTGCGACATGGACAAGATCAAGGACTCATGGAAAATTCCGACATTTGCTACAGTCTTTATGGCTCCTGGGAAGCACTTCCTCACGTTTCCTATCAGCAACAACAAAATCCTGAATGTGGTAGCCTTTGTGACCACTCCATGGGGGAAGCTCGGAGATGCAAAGGAAACCTGGACCCTCACAAGTGAGAAGGGGGTAGTTCAAGAGGAATTCAAGAACTTCGATCCTGCAGTTCAGGCAGTCATTGAAAATATGGATGCCAATCCATTGAAGTGGATTCTTTTTGACCGAAAGTCAAGCCCGGAATGGGTATTCTCTAGGGGCAAGGTAGCCCTGTTAGGCGATGCAGCTCATGCAATGTGCCCTCATCAAGGTAAGCCAAGGATATCTCCAAATTGAGGTCCCCACTTCAATTAAGTTAACATATGACAACATACTGATTATATTCTCATATAATAGGAGCTGGGGCAGGGCAGGCCCTTGAAGATGGGTATATACTCGGGCGAGTTCTCCAGGAACATTTCCGTTCTCAGAGGACAACATCCATCGAGAAGTGCCTTCGTCTTTATCACTCTATTCGATACCCTCGCTCGGAGAGAGTCCAGATGACATCCCGCCAAGCAGGAGACTTGTATGAGATGAAGATCAACGAATTGGATGGGCTTAGCTATGATGCTGGCATTCCAGTTGTGAAATCTTTATTAGAAGACCGGATGAGGTGGATTTGGGGCGAGAATATCAATGAAGTGTACGAAAAGGCCCGGTCTGAATGGGGGCACTCGTATGGGCTATTGTGAATGTTGGTTTTCGGTAGTGTCGGTAGCCAGACTCTCTTACTAGATGGCTTCACCTGGTAGTTCTCTCTCTTTCTATCGTGACCCAAATCCACAATTTTTCCTTCCTCGCTCTTCTAATGGTATGATCCGGTCGTTGGTTTGGTGAGGCCAGAAGAAACTTAAGCATAACTTCTTTTCGAGATGTAGTTAAAATTGTTCACCCACGGGCTGTCTAGATTAGGCTTCGAAGGTTAGGCCTACAGCCCACTGATGGTTGGGCTTTGGGGGATCCTGGCCTATTTTTGGGCTTTGCGGAGGTCTACCGTGCCCTCTCCGCGGAAGGTAAAATGAAAAATGAAATGAAAATTTTCACGACAAAATATTCTGTGTTACCTCTGTTACAGTGCGAGTGTAATTATAGCAACATGTTATCACCAGCAGGAGTAGGAGCAGGAGGTTTCAGGTATACCGTGATATATGGACCCGATGATTCTGAATAGGCAAAAGCAAGCCACGTGTATATCCCCGTGCTTGTCTTAGGATCGTAAGTAGGACTAAAGAGATTAGCTATTATGCAGCCAAGTCAGCGAACAAACAGCAAACGTACTATGACTCCCTCTCTAGAGCTTCATGATTTTCTGCATGCTGATGCCATCCTAGGTCACGGAAGAGAGAAATTACAGCACTAGAGATGTGCGTGTCAAGTTCGTCCGCAACAAGGAAGTACGTCTTCGGTACGGGGGTAGGATTTTTCAGCGAGAGTTCCCAGTTGCAGTGGACCTGCAAGAACTCCCTGGACTTTCCGTGAGGGAGAAGCTTAGGGTATACCATGTGCCACAATTTGGACAGGATTTCGAACCCCTGCTCGATAGATGGACCCTTTAAATGCCCTCCTAGCGTGTGGAAGTCATAGAGATCCTGCAGGGAGGATACCTTCATTGCGGCGTAGATCTTGATTCGAGACTGCGCGGGACTCTTGCAATCGAATCCGACTTCGGAATGCTCTGGGAGCAGTTTATGGCTTATCGACCGGGTATACTCCTCAATTATGCCTAACTCACAGATAATCCCCTCTTCCATACCGCTGAGATTCCTCATGCTCTCGAACATGATGCTAATCCAGTCGGCTCTTGTGGCAGACGCTCTTAGGAGAGGAAAGAAGTAGGCTTTCACAGTGACCGAGCCTTCGCCGAGATCGAGCCCGAAGAGCGTTTGCGTCTTGTTATCGAACTGTGAGAGAACATCCTTGTACAGCGGTAACATGTCCTGGTTCTTGAGGATCATGTCATTCTCGAGCTGGTCGTACCAGGTGAGGTCAATTCCAGATTGGAATTTGGCCAGCCGGCTGAGCATCTCCCTAGGGGCGACTTGATTCATTGGGTCGTCATGCATCCCGGCATGGGATCCAATCGGCTCGAGGTTCATTCGGACCGTGCTCTTGCAGTTTTGTTGATAGTTGACGCTGACATCCATAGGACCTCCTCCTCCTTCATCGCCCGCGATACAAGAACGCCAGGTGATATTCCTCCCTTTCTCAGCTGGGTAGTGGCCGAGAAAAGGGAGAACCGTACATTGAATCAACAGAAGGTGCCTGAATTGTGATTCAACGCTGCAACCGGTGCGAATTAAAGCTCGCCCGATGATCGGGGCAATACGGTGCCACCATAGCTCGTGTTCGGCGTCCGGAAACTGTAGAAACTGACCGAGAACCTGCCAGGGCTCCTGGTTTGACTTAGTCATTGTCGTTTCAATGGAAATCTCTTAGGCTTGATTGGCAAGCTGGGCGGATTCAGCAGGTATAGAAGCGTTTACAAGTAGAAATTGTGCCAAAATTTGCAAACGAGACATTTATCTTGTTGGGAATGGGTTGCAACTTCATTCAATTATATAGGCAAGTACGATTAAGTATACTGCATTTTTTATTCTATTTAAGACCAATATAGAAAAGTGTCACAAGGTAGCACCCTGCTGCCAAATGTATGATGTCTACGGAATTCAGTAAGGGAAAAGATTTCTCTTAGCATGAAGACTAGTACCCTGCAGCCTAGGTATACACTGTCACACTTCATTAAAATAGTTTTGTACTACTTAATCCTACGTATGTATCTTTTGTATGCTTAATTCAGAAACCTGCAGCAGATCAGTCACACACATATGTGCGTCCTAAGTCCTAAAGATGGTAGTTATTTGTTTAAAATTGTCATATGGTAGCATCATATTGCCAAATGTATGATGTCTACGGAATTCAGCAAGGGGATTAATCTCTTATGCTATGAAGACTAGTACCCCCTAGCCTAGGTATACGTTGTCACACCTCATTAACATAGTTTGTACTACTTAATCCTTTGTATGTATCTTTTGTATGCTTCGTTCAGAAACCTGCAGCAGGACAGTCACACGCATATTTGTGTCCTCTGTCCTATAGTTAGTATTTATTTGTTGTATTCCAGCCTAGGTAGCATGTACTTTGTACAGGTCACTGGGTAGTAATCGATATGCATGAATGGTGTGCTTAGATAGTATTTGTGGAAAATCTTCAGATCGTATATGCTCTCCCAGACCCAGCCTCCACCTAACATGATTAAGGGGAGAATCCAAGATCCAAAATACTTCATCTTCCATTTTTCTTTGTTTATACCCAGAGGGTACCTGGATCTTTTCTTGTTTGCATCAGATACGATATTCTCATTGTATCTACGGCGGACACGAGCAGTAACCTAGGGCAAAGACCAAGTCCGACACAGTACGATGTGATGGGAAAAGCACTCACTAATGAGCAACTCCCCTTGACCAGACATTTGAAGTCCATTGTGCGGGACAACGTGAGCGACATTCATAACCTCGAGGTTCTGGACCCGGTTTGATCTAGTCACTGGGATTTGGCTGCTCAACTGTGTGGCTGCTCAACTATGCAAGGAACAAAGAGGCAGGACTGAGCAACATACAGTGGGTGGCATCTAGACCTCCGCAAAGCCCACAAAGCCCAAGGCCCAACCCAACCCACTAAGTATAGAATTTAAGGTGTAAATACAGCCTTCCCTGTGAATTTATACTTTCCAATCGTCGAGCGTAAGCGTAGGATGAATGATATACAATTTCTTAGAGATGATCACGATAAGTTCATAGGTTGAGAAAGTACAGTCTGTGTACGAGGAATGCCATAGGTAACGCCAATTCCCCAAAATAGAGAAGTTAATGGGTAATTACAAGAATGTCCAAAGAGAGTGAATATAGAAACCCGGGGAAACCCCAAGAGGGAAAGACCAGCTTCGCCGTTCAGGTTCACACATTAGAAGAGGCAGCCCACTCAACAACCTCCAGAGCGCACATGACAAGCACAAGGGTCGAGGGGAGGATCCTGGGAAGAAAGAAAAAAACCATGTTAGCAATGATCAATAATTGAGATAGACTACCGGGGGTTGTCTGTTCTCTGTAAATAGGAGGGACAAGAACTTACCAGACAACATAACTCTGGAACAAGAGTTTCGACATAGCGCCAACAAAGACATTATTGATCTGACAGATCTGCGCCAGTTGCAATGCAGACGGCGCACCCGTAAGCAGGAAGCAGACAATAATGAAAATAGGATCATCGAGGATACTAATTGGCACAAACTTGGCCATGAGCGCCAAAATCGGCGCCATGATAAGAGTCGGCAGAAGCATACGCGCAAGCAGTGAAGCAATGATCAGCTTGCGTTCGTCGCGGGGATGCTCGATGTCCGCCATCGCCTCTTCGGGGATAGTATTGCGCGCGAGGTTCGCGCCCAGCACGACCAGGATCAGCGGCACGGCAACTTGTCCGTTCTGTTCAATTGCACGGGTGACCGAGTTGCGCACAAAGGTGCCGTCGTCGAAGAAACCGTGTTGGAGTACTGGCACTGAGGCGACGATGATCGATACTAGCATTGCCCACAGAGGTGGGTTCATGAAGTCCCATGCGCCATGAAGGAAGCGACGCAGTCCGCGCGTGGTCGCTGCGAGGCCCTTTTGGACCTTTGGTGGGAGGCGCGCGTGGAGGACGTTAATTTTCTTCACGCGCCACTGGCTCAGGCGATCCCGCGATCTGCGCAGAGATGCTTTGCAGCGCTGGAAACGTGTTTTCTCGGCTTCATGAGCTTCGCGCGCGGTGATTTCGACGTTCGGGAATTGGAGGATTTCGCCGTGGGAGCTTTGGCGGGGGAGGAAGGGGCCAGTGGGTGGCGGCCCAATTACGGACGGTGTATCGTCTGAGTCGAGGTCGTCTGAGTGGGCGGAGGACAGCTTCGAGTAGGAGTAAGTGCGCGTTGACACAGGTGTTTGGTCACCAGATTGGAAGCGGTCGGTGTGTGTTGCGTGGGCATGGTGTAGATCGTCTGAGCTGCGTGTTCTGACTAGCGGCTCGTCCGGGTCTGTCTGGTCCGGGTTGTCGCTATAGCGCGCCTGGCCCTGCTCGATGATTGATTGGCCATTCTCGTCGCGCTCCGCCTCCTCGAGGTATCGGTCCTTGGGCGCTAAGAGAATGTGGTATCCCCAACTCCAGCGCACGAGTTGACCTAGCTGCTGGAAGATAAGCAGGTATAGGATTCCACGTGCGGCGACTTCGTCATCGTTGTCGTTAGGGATCCGGTCCCAGTGGAGACCTTTGAGGGTCTGCGAAAGCGATATGACGAGGGAGATTGGGAGAGAGTTTGAGTTGCCAAAGACCTATAGAGAACGGGTAATCATTAGAATTGGATATTCGACTCTCTCAAATGGCAGGACCCATCACATACCGCCATGGCAGCCACAAAGTTCGATTGCCGCTTCTTGAAGCGACAACATTTTGCAACAACGAAAGAACAGAAGTATGAGACAAAGGTCTGGACAATAAAAATAACCGGGATAATAGCCAGGTCCGTCAGCTTTTCAGCAGTTAATTGTGAGCCCAATTTGGTGAAAACTATTAATAGGAGTCAGCTTTGTCATAGAAATATCTCATGAGAGCACAGAGGAATACATACTAAGACAGGGGGTGAACAGAGTCACATTGAGGTTTGCCACCAGTTTCTGAGCATCTGCATCAAACATGCCCTGGCGGGCGGCAATATAACCAGGAAAGCTGACGCATACAACCTCTAGCACTGCTTCAAAGACGAGCAGCACTAATTGAAAGAATGGTGGGTGGCTCTCATGGGCGCCTATGAAGAAGCGGTTGACGCCCATTGGGGCTTGGGCAATAGCATTGACATTTTGAAATGATCGGGGCGCGTTAAAGATGGCCATGTGTATTCAAGAAATGAATGAGAAAGGTGAAAATCCCAAGGGGAAGTGAAGTGTGAGAAGAAATAAGCTTGGAATTCGCATTCCTTGATTTTGATATGGAATCTTGGCAGTCTCGCCCACGTTGATAGCTCTTTGGTGGATGCCTTATCTCTTGAATGGCGCAATGGTTGGAATTTAAATGTCTTTTCTTTTCTTTTATTGTTAGTAGTATTACTATTTCTGACTATTACAATTTCTCATTCATACTGATTCATACTAACTAACCTACATCTAATCTTCTACAAAGCTGGAGATCTGGAGCTTTGATCAGCAATGACGCATTGGGGGGCGATAGCACTACGCCAAGACCTTCCTAATCCGTCCTGATCTGGATCGATACAGATTATAAAACGTATACTCTTTGAGGTTTCAAAGAAAAAAAGAAAAAAAAAACTTGTGATTAAACTAAATTTTCAAGACACTGTCCTAGAGAGAAAAGGACTGGTATATTACAACAAAACATGGAGGTCAACACCGAAATCAAGTGTCGGCTGTGTACCCGGGCTGTGCAACTTACACTTTACGCCTCATTGACAAAGCCCAATTTTTCGCCTATCTTGATGCGCTGGCCCTTCTCAATATTCCAAGTCCACCCATCACTGGGAGCATCATCCGGCCAGCCGGCATCAATGGACTTGCGAGTTCCAAGCGGAGCTTCAAACACAAGTACGATCGAACTGCCAAGCTGGAACCCGCCCATCTCCTCGCCACGCTGCAGTGGATGTCCATCAAGTGTTCGGCTGGCGTGGTGGTAAGTCGCCTCAACAAAGCCGGGATACTGCTCACCACGTTTGGCAGCCAAGGCGGCAGCCAGGTCCGCAGCGGTATCGGTCAACAGGCTGTTCGTGCGCAGCTCCGAGTCAAAGTTGATTTTAATGGAGCCTACGTTGGTAGCTCCGACCGGTGTGTAACTGAAGAAACCCCACCGCCATCGGCCGAGAAGTGCAACTCGCTCGTTGAGAGTGAAGAGTCCGGGTAAATGTCTCTGCAGATATGGTGAAACTGAGTATAACTCGCCGGCAAAGTGGCGGCGGCTCTCGACGACCCAGGGAGCAGGGGAGTGGAAGCGGTGGTAGTCACCGGGTGCTAGGTAGATCACAACGTAAAACAAGGCATGGTTGGCTGCTGTCTTGGGCGCGTACCATGGTGTTCCATCACCACGAGCCAGGTCCTCTTGTACTTGGATTTCCGAAGCTAGTTTGGATGCAGTTGAAGCATCCAATGAAGCACGTCGTTTGGGAGCACCGTCGCCCGAAAGAAGGCTCGGGAGAGTGTAGGAAATACCGTTCACGCGCGCAAACTCTTCATGCGCATCCAAGGTCTCGGCATCCTTGGTTTCCTTCCCGTCATTGTCCCTGAGTCGGTTGGAGTGGTCGGCGTTCGCAGGCGTGGCTGATCCTAGAAGAGCGTCCAGACTGTATGTCATTCCCTTGACTTGCTCAACCTCGCCCCGCTCGATCGTTCCAAATTGTAAGATTCGGCCGTCGGAGGGAGCGAGAAGAGCACGAGGATCGGGATCCAATGGTCGAACTCCAGGCTTCAGTTTACGGTAGAAGAATGCGGCCAAGTTCGGGTACGTGTGCAGGTCGGGTTCAGCAACCTCCTCAAGGTTGACGCCAAAGGCCCAGGAATAGAGTTTGAATCCAGGAACGCGGAGGTAGTAAGGAAGTTCGATTTCGTTGAACTGGCCCCACAGACGTGACATGGCCTTCAGGGGTAGAGTGGACATGATCTGAATATGCCATGGGCCTGACAGACTGATCCTCGGACGACGAGGTGGCCGTTTTCCATCCTCCCATTCATCGCCGGCTGCATCGCGAGCCAGCCGATTCCGTTCCGCGCGTTGTGACTTGTAGAAAGACAGCAACCCTAGCAAACCAATTCCGAGTCCGACTGGGATGGGATACCATTCGACCTTGGTATTGCGTAGAGCAAAGCCTAGTCTTGAGCCAAATCCTCCCCTGTTGTTTTCGGAGTTATTGTCCTTCTGATATTGTTTCCATGATTTAGACGAAAAATGCCGGAGACTGGCCTTATGGCGGGCCGTGGCCCGGAACGAAAAAACTCCATCGACGCCCCGATCCAAGGGGCAGCGGGAGCGCAATGTAGGAGAGGCGAGGAAGTGAAAAGGCGCGAGGCCATAATGTTTAATCCATCGGCCTGGAGCGCTAAAATCGAGCCCCTAAGCTAAGAGCGTTTTTTTCCGAAATGGGGAAATGCGCAGTAGCCGGTTGACCGCCCGGCAGAATTGCACGTGGAGACGTTGGAGATACAATGGATTGTCTTTCTCTATAACCAAATACATTTATAAAGGAGCATTTTTGCGATTCTGACTCTTTGCATCTACACTCGTCTTGCATCGTTCTTGTCAAATTCTTCTTAGCTACTATAGAGTCTCACAGAGGACATTACAACATCAACATCGCTTATCGATTGATGCCAGATATCAGGAACTAGATCAGCTCTATATGCGCTTTTTAGCTTGTGAACAACTACAGTTCTGAAGCAATGGCGACAGAACCATCGCCCCAGTCCATGGCAGAGGGAAACACACCGAACACAATCACCCTTCATATACTCTGCCAGTCTCTCCCCCTCCAAGCCGGTTTACACTCGACAACGTTCCACTCTCTTCCACAATTGCACAGCTCAAGGGCCGGATCGAACAGTCCTTTCCGAATAATCCTCAAGCATCACACCAAAGGCTCATCTACCGAGGGAAACCCCTAACTGTCGATGAGGCAACACTCAGCGCAGTAGTCTCAGCTATGGAGGTAAGTAACTTGTTCTGACCCGCACTATATGGCCTTTCATCCTAACTGAATGGTATTTTCTTTCCAGGAAGGCACTGATAGCATGCACCTTGTGCTGCCACCTGAGCCAGCACACACAGAAGCACCTTCTATCTCTACCATGCCGCAAGCTTCGCCTCTCGCGAATTCCACTCAAGCTTCCACTTCCACTTCCACCTGGTTGAACCCTGATACTTCGGAGACTGCATCTAATGGATCCGCGCACTCCAGAATTCCCAGGACAATGGATGCCACTCTAGGTTCTCCACAGGTCACATTCGCTCAATACCTCAATGCCGCTCTGCCTAATCAACGCTCAGCCACTGCGAATGCACCTGAAGCCGGCGGCGCAGAACTCTCTCAGCGCATTCACGCTTTACGAGCTCTCATTGTGGAGATTGAGGGACAACTGGACCGACATATCATGCCACCCATGGAGAGCATCATTCATATACGGAACCAGCTTCTTGAAATTCAAGATGGACGATCTGAGAGACAACTTCCTGTACCTGGTGTTGCGGAACTGCTTGCCCGTATTCTTGATGCTCAACAACGCACCCGCCTAGTGGGATATATGCAACAGCATTCGCAGACAAACCTTCAAGTTCATTCCCTCTTTGAGCCCCAACACGTGCACCAACCAACCTACCGAGGAAGCGTGACTCAGTTCTTCATGCTAGCTTCGCCAATGGGAGACCACAATAGCCTCGTGGGACAAACTCACTCGGCATCCCGGCCCACAGTGCAGCGGGCAGTTTCGCCTAATACAGTCCCCGCTGGCGAATCCGGCGCAGCTCAAGCACCCCCAGCACCCCCAGCATATCAAGCAACCCCACCATATCAAGCACCTCAAGAGCCCAACCAAAACGCAGCAGTAGTCCAGAACGCCCTCCACCAAGCAATGCTCAACCAACAGCGCCGTGGTAACAACGTAGAGCACGCTGGTATGGCACGACACATCCGCCGCATCTGGCTGTTTACCCGTCTGTGGCTCTTCTGCTACCTCATCAGCGATCCTGGCACCTGGAGGCGTTACATGCTCGTCAGCATTGCGTTGCTTGTCACATTCTTTTCCGAAACCAATATCCCCCGGCAATTCGCGACTCTAGTCATCAGTCCCATCCAACGTCATCTCGAGGGCCTCACACATGCCGGTGGACCGGCAGACCGAGCCACCCAACCTGGAGCGGATCACATTGCGGAGTTCAGTATTTGGGACCAGGTACGCCGCGCGGAGCGAGCCCTTGTTTTCCTTTTTGCGAGTCTGGTTCCCGGTCTTGGTGAAGGGCATGTCCGCGCTCGCACTGCGGCAGACCAAGCTTTCGTAGCTGAGCAGGAACGTCAGGCACGGGAACTTCAAGAGCAGGAGCAGGCACGGGAACGGGAGCGTCAGGAGCGGGAACGGGCCCAGGCTGGCGTGGAAGGCGCGGGAAATCCAGGCATTGAACAGGAGGTCTCTGCCGCGCATGCACAGTCTGAAATCTGAACAGGGTCCATCAGGGAACTGAGACATACCGCGAGCATTTGCTTTTCATCTTTATATTATTATTAGCGGTAGCGTCTCCAATCTAGTTTACAAATGAATTCAACGTGGGTCAAGGTGGTACCCACGACAATGCACTCCATGAAATCAAGCTGATAAGGTGATCAAAATAATGGTCTTCAAGCCGCTTATATATATCACGTGGAGCTAGATGGTATATCGTACATAGTTCTAGGCCGCCATCAATATATATTGTGTTTATGCTATGTTTTATGTGTCTTCCCTTTTATATCACTATCAAAGGCTCGTTGCGGACGAGAGCCACTTTATGAGATATCAGTTAAGCATTGTAGGGATAGACTATGGCAGCCCAACCTGTGATAGCCCAACTAGCCGATGCGTGGTCATTGTTTCGACGTTGCCAGAAATTGATGATCTGAGAAAGACGCAACAATGACCTCCCCCTATTCACCACAAGCCATTGCTCTAGTATAATTGTGCATCTCATCAACTCACAGCTTCGAGGCACCTACATTCTCAGGTGGCTCCGAAGGCGGAGCCATAGGGCCCGTGTTGAAGGATTCTTCGCCATCAAAGTGCCTGCGGGAGTCTATATCAGTATCTTCTCTCGACACCAAAGAAAGGGAAAGGGAAAAAAGAGAGGGATCCACTCACCATCCACGCTCAGCACCACCACTCAAAAAGCTACAATCCCCATTCGCAACACAATCCCATCCACCCCCAACACCACGTCCATTCCTCCACTGCGGCAGAGACCCCGACGCACGAATGAACGTCGTACCCTCAGCAAGCGGCTTCTCAGTTTGATTTCCTTCCTGGTCACCGCTATGTCCAGCACTAGCAGTAGAAGAAGCCCCCTCCTCTTAAAGGTACTCAAACCAGCTGTGAAAACATTGAAGTCCTCTTCAGATTTATCATCCGGCATGTGCCCAGTAAGAGCCCGTCCCATGGCAATGAGTGGCGCAGCATGCGCGCAGATCAGGACGGACTTGCTGGTTCTTTGGTCTGGTGGTAGGTCTGCTTCCAGGGCGGAGACTTCTGCGTCGATGTCGGCGATTATGCCTTGCAAGGCCGTTGCTATGCGGTTGTGGAGTTGGGTGATTGTCTCGCCGCGTCTTGAGGGGATAAGGAGGGGGTTGTAGGTTTGGCTGGCGTCTGAGAGGAGGGTTGGGAAATGGGTGGACATTATTTGGGGGGTTGGGTGGGCTGGGTGGTCGAAGAAGTCTGTTGCACCGAACCATTCTCTGCATTCCAATTAGCTTATAATGTAATATGCCGCCTGTGAAGTGCTGCATTTGTTGGTGAGAAAGTAAAACGGTTGGGTTGATTCGGTAGGGTGGAAGGAAGTATAAGTATAAAGAGAGGACGTAGTACATACCCTAGCCCATTCTCAATTCGTACATCCAGCTCCGCATGCCGATCGATTGATCCAATCTGGCCATCTTTCTGATTGCCAGATTCAGCAGCGATTTTCTTGAGCTCTTCAACAGACGGCTGGATTGTTTGCAGGCAGCGGTAGAAGGGACTCGAGTAGACACGGAATGGCTTCGGGTGGAATTGGGGGCCAGCAATGTGTCTTGCTAATTCGTGCGACTGATGAACGCCGTGCGAGGTCAGCACAGGGTCTGCTGGGTTTCCTGTCGGCGTTGGGAATTGGGCCCTGTATGTGCCAGTGCGAAAGTCAATGGTCCAGCTGAGGCGGTGCTGCAATAGTTAGGTCTACAAGTTCACAACAAGGACTGTCTAGAGTACATACCCCATGTCGAGTTAGATATATCGTGTCCAAAGGCATCGTGTATGAAGTTGTTCAACTATGTACCGGCCTGCCATTGTTGCGGGGGAAAGGCAGAATACATGTACATCCTAGGGCGGTAAACATGTACCTCGGCCCGGGGCTACGGCGCAGAAAAGGAGAGAAGTGGATAAACAGTGCAGACCAGAATCATCTAGCATTGATATACGAGCGAACCTTGTACTCTGCAAGCCATCAAAAGTGCGGAACAGGGGGTATTTTGTTCACAGCTACAAATTCCAGATTACATTCCAGGGTCCAGCCCAGTACAACCAACGCCATGCATAACCAGTCAAAGCAAGAACTTTTCTCGATTCTTTTTTAGAACGACTCCATCTAGTAGAAGAAGCCGAGGAGCTTGCCGGCAACGTGCTTGCGGCGAGCCTCCTCGTGGTCCATGATACCGGCGGAGGTGGTCAGGACAACGTAACCGAACTGACGGGAAGGAAGGAGCTGGGTAGCCCACTTCTCGAGGTCACGGAGCTGAACGGGGTAGCGGGGGTTGATGACACCACACTTGTTGAGACTGGAGATATGAACGTTAGCTTATTGTTCCATTGAGACTGGTGGATGTAATTGAAATACGTACCGGCCGTTAAGCTGGATGACAATCTTGCCGGAGCGGTGGTCATCGACCTCCTCGAACTCGCCGATGTAACCTGAGAAAGAAAAGAGTCAGTATGTTGTGAAGATTTAAAAGTCGTCAAATACTGATAAGGCCATAACAGCGCTTTGGAAACGTGTAAGATCTTCGCAAATTAATATATCGGACACTTAAAAGGCAGACGTCGTAGGTTGATTGAGACCGGCCGCCTAGTTATCAGCCCGAATGGGTGGTACAAAGATTCTCAAGACAGGGAATGGAAAAATCAGAAGGAAAAAAAAAGAGAACGCAAGACAAGAAATAAAAAAGACGAAAAGAAAATTCCAAAATTCACGTACCGTGCTTCTGCATGACAGCAAGGAACTTGACGATGACCTTGGAGGAAGGACGGATGAGGACCTGGCGCTTGCCAGCCTTCTCGGCGTTGTTCATGGCGTTAAGCGCATCGTTGAGGACGGAGGTCTTGACCATTTTGGCGGTTTAGTTCGAGATTCTCAAATCGTAACGTTTAAAAGTAAAGATTATGAGGTATCTGTTGGACGAAGGCGGTTCAAGTCAGCCACCACTAGTCTTCGAGCGCAAAGAGTGCCCCTTTTTTACATTGCAAGGAGTTCTTCAGCCCGTGCCGAGTTGGGAGATGCGTATCATCTTGGCTTCCTGGATCGCGATTCCTGAGAATTATCTATAATTCACGTATGGAAGCAATCTAGACAAGATGATTGCATCCCCAGACTAGCTGAGAGGCTGTTGTTGGGGGAGGGAATAGCACATACCTCGAGAGATGGTCGTCGATGGATGAAGCGGAAGAAAACGACGATCGGTGAAAGTTTGGTTTTCGGGTGGTGCGCGGGTAGGGTTGGTGCGCATATTAGCCCTTATCGATACACGTGATGATAAGCGTCAACATATTGGTGCCTTAGGCTTCTACGGCAAGGCATCACTATTTTCTACAGTAGTTAACTAATACCTTCATACATCCATGGATAATGTAGCTGGAACTCCAAGGCTGTACCTACACATTACTCAATAAAACAGGAACAAGAAGAGCTCGCCAAGTCAAGCAAAAAATCACCATTAAAACGCCAACACAAATGATGATACATACATCTTTACTCCTACTACTACTAACTCATCAGCACATCATTCACTGATTCCATCCGTAGGCAAGGTTCGGATAGGTGGTTCTATACATGATTCTCCAGCGTGATAGCATGGTTGTGGGCAAATGTCGGCGTATACGAGGAAAGGAGACGAAATCAGGGACAGCTTTTTCATGACAATGACTCTTTTCTGGAGGGGGTGACATGAGGGGAAAGGGATACATGAATTGGGAGTACAGTAGAGGGGGTAGGGGATACATGAATTCTTGGGCTACATGAGTCGCAATGCTATAAGATGCGAGGGAGGGGGTCTTGTCTAATTAAAAACAACATAGAAGGGGGATTGGGAAAGGTGAAACGGGTTGTATCAAGAAGAAAAAGGAAACTCAGACAGGGCCATACAGAAATTGGGAAGGGTGCCGGGAGCTCATTCGAATGTGTCATCAGCGAATTGAGCACCAACAAAATGGTTTTGGGGAACGAAATTCGTGACCAAAGGGTAGTGATGGGAGGGAAATCCTGTGCTGGGGAATCAAGGGGAGAGGGATTTGAGGCTATCAGCTAAGCGCTCTGGTTTGACAACGTCGAGAACAGGACATCCACCCGGCACACATCAGGAGCACCAATTGGGTGTGGGCTCAAGTAGCCCTGGGGCCTGTGGCATTGATGCTAACAGGCCCGATGTGAGTGGCAGACGCTTTGGGTGACGGAATCGGACCAGAAGCACTGGTAATCAATCGGGTGAGACATGGTGACGGCTTTACGCCATACCAGCACCCATGTTGATCTGGCGCTTGACCTGCTCGCGGGTCCAGCGGGCAGTCTCGATTGTGCGCTCGCTGTACTGTCTGGTTGTGCGAGTCTCTCTCACGAGAGAGGTGACCCAGTCGTTGCGGAAGTAGGCAGCGAGCTCGCCATTGGGGAACGCATCAGCAAGATCACTATTGAGTAGTTAGTATAGGCAATTGAGACTAGAAGTTGCCGAGACATACCCAATAACACCCATGGCAGACCGCATCAGACCTTCGCTGCGGTTGCTCTCCTGGGAGATGATGTGAAGAAGCTGGAAGATAGACTCGATGAAAGGCTGGAGTTGGGTGACTGCGATCTGATTAGCATGCTGACGTCGTATCTGTGTAGAGAGTAAAGAGGAACGTACTGGAAGGAGTGCCCTTGTAAGACAGAAGAATACCACCCCAAGCATCCATGATGCCTTCACGGAGAGAAACAATGTAATCCACCATGTCGTATGGGAGGTCGGAGCTGGTGGTAACGCTGGAGGCTTGCTGCAGAACCTGGCCAACGACCGCCAAGTACGTATCGAAGTTAGTACCGATGGCCTGGGCAATATCGCCGAAGGTCTCAAGAATCGCAGGCTTGAGCTGGTTGGTGGAAGTCTGTTTGAAAAATTAGCATTAGACGGTAAATTCAATATATCTGAGAGAAATAATCTCACCTGGAGAGTCTTGAGCAGGAGGTTCATGAAGGTGTCGCAGTAAGGCTGGACCTTCTCGTTCAAGGCACGAGCAATGTCGCTGACCAAGCCGATGGCCATAGCGCAGAGACCGGGCTCCTCCTGGTTGCCCAGGGCGTTGTACAGGAATGGGCTGAAAGACTCCATGTACTTGATGAAATCATCCTCAAGAGCACTGGCAATAGCACCAACGGTGGCAAAGATGACATCCGGCACGCTTGACTTGGCGCCAAGGGTACTCAGGACCTGAAGCAGCACGCTCATAATACGGTCAGCCTGAGGCTTAATCTCGCCCTCGAAGCGCTGGACGATAGCCAGAATGACACTGATCAAGCTAGTCTGCATCTCCTCGAGGAGAATACGGTCCTCGGGGCTAACGACCTGCTGCTGCATGGGAACAGTGTGCTCAAGACGCTGGATAATAACATCTGAGAGAGTTGCAACCATGGGCAGGCTGTCATTGGCAGAGTTCATAACAAAGGAGTTGAGAACTTCGTATCCAGCGGTACGGAGCTGGTTATCGGCGTCTTGTCTGTACGGGCGTTAGATCAAAGGAACCAAAAGCATATCACTGGGGAACATACCGCTCGGTCACTGTCAGCAGGGACTTCACACTGTCCTCAAAGTGCTTCGACAGAGGATTGGTCTGTGAGCCATCGTCACCAGCAAATCGGTCTGCGACGTTCATAAGAGCCCAGCAACAGGAGCTGGCGATCTTGGGAGAGTTGGCAAGGCCGTTGAAGAGGCACGAAATAAGCGGCTGGAGGTGAACCTCGGGGTCGAGAACCTCGGGGCAGCAGTCGCACACCCGACCCAGGGCGTAGGCAGTGGAGTCGCGGACGGAGACGGAGCTATCCTCCATCATGCCAAGCAAAACAGACAAGGCCTGCTTGATCAGGGGCTCCAGAACAGTGGGTTCGGGGCCTTCCATAATAGCGCCGAAAGCAGCGACGGCGGCATCACGACGGTGCCAGTCCTCATTGCGGATATTCTCCTCGACAAAAGTCACGACGGGCTGAATGACATCACCCTGCACACACTGGGCGTAAAGCTGCATAGCCTGGTAGGCAGCACGGGACACGTTGTACTCATCGTCACCAGCATCCTCGTCCTGGCGGCACATAGATTGGAGCAAGACGGGAACAACCTCGCGGGTAGCGACGCGAGCAAATCCGAAGAAAGGACGAGCCTCAACACCCTCTGCCTGAGCCTATAAGAAACATAATGTCAGTACATGTCCAAAGTCACTCGGTTTCGTGCGCTTGATACATACCTCAGCGTTGTCATCCTCGATGGCAATCTCCTCCTCGCAGACAGTGCACCAGAACTCAATAGCCAGCTTGGCGACTTCTTCCTCCTCGCTCTTCATGCCCATGATGCTCAGGCCGAACAGGGCCTTCTCCATGTAGAAGCGCATCTTCTCGTAGTAGGATCCCATGATTCGGTTCAAGCAACCGAATGCAGCAGCCTGCACACGGACCTCATCGGCCTGGGTGGCCTCGCAGACGACCTGCATAATGTAGTTGCGCTCTCCCTCGTTGTCCATGTTGGTTCGCACGAAATCGACGGCATCACTGAGAGCGGCGATAGCAGCGTAACGGACATCCATGTTCGGCTCCTCGCGCCGAGCACCCTGAACGACCGCAGTAAGGATAGCATTGGAGTGTTGTGTCAGGCTGGAGCGGAGTTCGGGATCTTGCGACTCGCAAATGTAACCGATGGCAGTGAGAGATGACTGCTTTAGTGCGTCGTTTCCACTGGCGACATTTTGGACAAGAATTCCCATCAACTCGGGCCACTCACCACGCGGCAACTCGATGGCGGCGATCGAAACAATGAGTGTGGCGGCGGCATTTCCAGCGCGAGCATCGGGCGACTGCAGAGTCTTGAGCGCAAGCTCTTTGACCTGTTTCTTGGTGTCGGGGTTGATACTCTGAGCCCATCGGAGCTGCACCTCGCGCAACTTGGCTTGATCCCGGAAAGTGAAAGCGTTCTTCAAAGCGATACCAGCAGCCACACGGATGTGAGCAGGGCTGCTCTCGTTGGCGAGTTCCTGGCCGAGGGTGATGAGGTAGGCAGCCTATCGGGTAACAGAAGTATCAGCATTCGGGATCCTAGGGAAATCTTTCATGACTCGTGGCAGGACGAAGGGGGGCAAGGGAAGACACATACGAAGTCAACCTCCGCGGCGTGGGCGAGTTGCTGTTCGGCATTGCTACGCTCGGACGCATCTGGCGCGAGGGTACTCTGCAACACCTGACGGGCGTCCATGATGTGCAAAGAAATGAAGGATGTGGGGTGGAGAGAAAAAAGAAGGAAAAAAGAGGTGGATAAAAGATTAGAAAAAAGACTTTAAAACCCCTCTGGACCCGGATCAATCAAAGGGTTCGACACTCGGTGATCACCACGATAGAAGCAGTGGTGGAAAGAGGATTTCCTGTGGAAGAGTGGGAAGAAGGGACGGGTGTTTTTGTGGATATGACGAGGCGGCATGCACTAGGTCTTTCCGCGACAAGAGGCACAGAGAGGAAAAGGTGCCTTGAGTGCACGCCCAGTTTTCAACACACAATAAATAGGTGGGAGGGTCTGGAGAATATGGAAATAGCTGTAGAAGTGCAAAATATGTGAAGAGACTAAAACAAAGATTCGAAGCAAGAAAGACCTCAATGGGTTGAGGTTCTACGGGGGTCGCCCTCTGATTGGCCCTAGTGCGGGGGTTAGTCAGGTGCACGTGACTCTCTGCCTCAGGCTGTAGGACTCCCTTGCTCAGCCAAGGAGCGAAGACTTTGTTCACTTCACTTTTGCTATAAAACAGTGAGGGATCTAAGAACATCCCATTTTGGCGAGCTCAGTTTTCAAAAATTTGTAACTCAGGGACCATTTCGGATGATGAGTCTGTTGAGTCTCCATCCGATTTCCGACTATAAGGGTCTCAGCTCTATAGACTCACAACTACGCAAAGAAAAGTATTCTAGCTTATGTTCTATAGTTTCGTGTGAGTGTTCCCTTAGATTACATGGGCATTTCAGGTGTCTATGAATCACCTAAAGGATCCGTCAGTCTAATTATCACTCTGGGTGAATTCGTGTGCAAGACTGCTATTAACATTAGCGAAGAGACAAATAGCTTGTATAACTACATGTAAATATGGTCTCCGGCTACTAGATAGTCTAGCAAATGTACTGGTAATCCTAACACTACATAATAGTGAGTTTGCGAGACTTCTACGACCTCGAGCAAGCTTAGGCTTCGCAACCCTTTCACAACATACGTCTCATAACATATTCACGTTCATTCGCATGTATTCATAGGAGGCTTGCAAAACAACCAATAATGGATTGAGAACCCATGTGATTATACACAACACAATCTATCACCTTTAAGCAACTATGTGGAGCAATATATATTTTGGATGTCGCTCAATTTCTATGTTAGCGCGGCTGGAATTGGATTTGTAATGGAGCAAGCGTGGTGGTAAAAGTATCCCGAGTCTCAGTTTCAAATGCCTCTCCATTCTCATTCGGACCGAACTGGACGTGGAACGACTGTGCCAAAGTGGAAAGCGAAATGCGAAGACTCATCATAGCCAAATTCTTCCCGGGACAAGTATAGGGTCCTAGAGGAATGGGTTAGGAGATCGACTGTGAATCTTGCGTTGAGCAGTATTTACCAAGTACAAATGGAAAGAAGGGGGCATTTTCAGAGCACATTTCTCTCTTCTCGTTCCATCGCTCTGGTACAAATTGTTTGGCATCGGTGTAGTACCTTTCATCTGTTTGGATCAATTGCACTGGAACGAAAACATTGACATCCCCGGGAATGTACACCTCATCGACCTGTATTCCCTCGGCTGGAGTAACGCGGTATCCACCCGTCATTATCGCAGGTCGCAGGCGAAGTGTTTCGTGGATGATATCGTCGAGGTAAGCGACAGACTTGACCTTCTCATATGACCAATCTTTTGACCTTCCTGGCATGGCTTCATCTAGATGGCGTTGCAGCTTCGATAGTATTGCGGGATTCTTGGCCAGATAGTAGAGTGTAGATGCTAAAGTAGTAGCTGTAGTCTCACTGCCAGCCACTATAACCACTCGTGAATCCTCATGAAGAGCAGCCTCGGTTGGAGCCGCAGATATATCCTTGTCGACATAGGCTTTCAATAGCCACGAGACAATATCCTGTGGGCTCCTATCCATATCCCAGTCCTGTATTTATAAGTATTGTGATAGCTATGTGTGCAGAGACAAACTTGCGTACCTTTTGCTTTCGCTCAATTTCATCTCCACACCACCGAAAGAAACTGGAATATCCAGACGCTGCCCCTGGGATACGGCTGGCAAGGTTCAAAAGCCAAGGAACATGGCCCATTGTTCCGAGAATAGCCATATGGTCATGAACGCCTTTGATCGCCGGATGCTCGATCCCTGTAGCCAGGTTGTTAAACTCTTTTCCGAACCCAACATTTCCCATGATGTCAAAACTGAGAAACATTGACCAGACACTAGCATCGATAGATTGACCCAGGTTGCTTTGAATATAAGAAGCAAACTGGTCTACCTTGTCCTTAACACGTGGCTCGTAAGTCGCAAGGGCTAGAGATAGTTAGTACTCTAGGAACAAAGACTTAAGATCGGAGACTGCCTGCCCACCTTTGATGCTGAAACTTCGGTCCCATGCCTTGCGTCGCTTCCGGTGATCCATTATGTCGCGCGTGTGATGAACTGAACAAAATTTGGACTGCGTCGACACTTGAGCGTAATATGTTGACTTCAAGCACTTAGACTGGGGACCAAATATCAACGGTACGGCGGATTTCCGAACAATGCAGATCTCCCGCGGTCCTATAGAGATGCGAGTCTTTAAATCAGCCTCGTATTATGCACTCACGATTATGTCAGACCGACCAGTTCGAATAAAATCGCCGTATGTGTCGTGCAGCTTCTCAATTTCCATATTATATTGGACGTTTTTCCCTGCAAGGTAGGCATCATAAAACCGGGACAGTTTAGAAAGCACAGGGCCTGGAAAGTGATGAAGACGGTGGAAGAATAATCGATAAATTCCAATACTTGACGTAAGGGCCACGTTGAATGTGAAAGCAATCCAACCCACGCGTATCAGTACCTGCAACAACGCAAGATTTGTGACGGAGATGTATGCGAGCGTGATCAAACAAAGCGACACGATATACAGACCAAGAAGTCCATAGAGATATTCCTCTACTGGCAAAGTGCGGAAAATTGACACATGAGATATCACTCCAAGACCCACCGCAGAAAGCCCCAGACTGAGGAAATCAGCACTGAATGCTCCATCGAGTCCCTCCACGGAGAACAGTGATGAGTCCATGGTGAACAGCTATAAGAGAGAGGATGGGGGCACGGTCGGAGGGAAAACACAACACGGGCTCTCCCCAAACTGCATCTTGCCAGTTCTCTGCTCCACAGATTCTAATGACAGCAGTATCATTGGCGCCAGATGGAGAGGCTGCTGTGCGGCCACAGATATTTCGCCCCCAAAGACCAGGCCCCACGAAGCCATCGCTTAATGGCAGTTGAAAAGAATCAAATTGTAACGAAGTGGAGTATGCATGCAGCTAATCCTCTAGCCTTTGGGCCATTTTCATGTCTTGATCTCATGCCCCCTTTGACTCTCCCCAACCTCTCTTTAATCAATTGCATACGGCTAGCTCTTACTAGCTGTTTTCCACGAGATTTATCTTTAATCTCGATACTCGAGTCCAAGCCTACATCTCTTCTCGTTCTCCACTTACCCCTGAACAGCCCGCCAATTATCTCGCCAGGAGCAAGTATTGTACGGAGTACAAGGGCAGATTCACGGTAATAATGTGCACTTTAATTGCGAGATGGGGTCGATTCTTATATCGGAGGTTCGTCTTAATATGGAACCTAAACACTTTCTATCTGTCAGGATGAATCGCCGAGTAATATAGTACCTTCTAATTATTATTACATCCGATTTCTGTTCACGATACCTGTGAGACTATACTATGTCCTCCGGGAAAGTAAGCTTATCGTCGTCTGAGACTTGTTTTATACATCGATGTTGGCCATAGGTCTTAGATAGGAGAACTGGTGTTTCTTACTATCCCCATCGCATAACCTGTAACATCTTAAACTCGGCCTAATTGATTCAAACCAGCCGATAAACCCGGAGAACGGCACCACTTCTCGCTCCACAACGGGAAGGTCTCGCGCGCTCCACGCCATAGGAGCCAGGCCGCATCATTTTACTTCCGGGTATCGAACGGGTGGCTCATTATTAGCGTTATGGAGAACTTCTCGCTGTGGAGAATAAGAGCACAGATAGAAATTGCATTGGGATTAGTACTTTTCGAAAAGCGAGCTTGCAATATTTGCCAATCATGATCCCAGGCCTGGGATGAATATCTAACAGGAATCAGATCCTTCGATTTGGCGTAGCTTTTCGAAGTTGTAAGATGGCCTTATCTTCTACTTCGTACTCTGTAAGCTCTAAGCCCTTGAGTATTCCAACCTGCTATAGCATATAGCAGGTGAGCAAACATGACAATTGGGAACCTTCGTCCACTTACATACGTGATCATATCCATTGCCTTTGCTCTTGGGACTACATCAATTTTTCTTCGTCTTTATTGTCGATGGCGTCTCCAGATCTTCGGCCGAGATGATATGGTCGCTATATTTCTGTTTGTGCGTGCTTCTCACGACAGTATTATAGGATTTCTACTGACATAATCGCAGTTTGTCAATGCTATGTATGCAACAGACAATTCTCTACATATTTCTCTCTTATGGTTGTGGACTGTGAGTGCTAGGACTTGGGCTTTAGATTATCTATGACTCTAATTTATTCGATCAGGCCGAGCAGTCAAGCATCACCAGGGGTCATGCAACACATTACCCAAGTAATTCAGCATCCGCGAAAATATTGACTTTTAAGTACTTACATATACTTGCAGTGGTTATTTATCGAGGAAGTTTTCTACATGTTTGTCCACTTCACACTCAAGCAGGCATTCCTCATGTTTTACCTTCGCCTCTCGCCGAAACGAAGCTTCCAGCTCGCGGTATACGGAACAATGGTCATGTGTACATTGTTCCTCGTTGTTGAATGGTTACTGGCATTCTTGCAGGCCAGACCTCTGACAGCTATGTTCCACCCCGAGGCCTATCCGAATGCGAAATACCTCAGTCAATACGTAGTGCAAATGGTTCCAACGGCACTAGTACGTGGTTATCTTCCTATCCAGCTTTGCAGACACACATGAAGGTATACTAACTCAATAATCAACATTTTAGAATGCAATCTCCGATATCATAATTCTCATACTCCCTATCCCCACTGTACTCAACCTCCAAATGAGCACCAGACGAAAGGTAGCAGTTCTTGGGATTATTTGCTTCGGATTATTGTCCGTCGTCACAGCATTGTGTCGATTTGTCGTTCAAAAGCAGCTTATCACCGATCCCGATACCTCCTACGTGATGGGCCGTATGGTCATTGTTGCAGGCATCGAAATCCAAATCGCCGTCATTGCCGTTAACCTACCTGCGCTCCGGTCTCTTTTCACAAAATTGGTAGGAAGCTCCCATGACCCTACAAGTTATGATCAAAGAGGTGCCCACAAATTGTCGAGCTTGAAGGGTGGATCGAAGAAGTCACTGAAAGAGCACTTGGTCGAGCCGCACAATTCGCATGACGGCTTTGGCGCTACTTTGACTGGTTCAGAGGAGGAGCTCATGCGACAACAGGGAGTTGATAGTAGCAAAAATATTCGAGTGGTAACCAATGTTGGTATTACGTCGCATAAGGCTGCAGGTGACAACTTCGAGGTGAATATTGGCTTTCCTGCGGCGACTAATAGAAGTCATATTCACCCCTAAAAATATGGTAAAACCCATGGCTGGAAATGATAAGGTCGAAGCTTACATTGTATATATACGAAAATCTCTAAGCCTGCAAATAAAGATTGTCACCGCATGATATTTAACTACCTAGAATAATAATGGGGTCTTCACACACTTAAAAAGATGTTCCCAATGTGACATGGGAAAAGCTATGAACGAAGGAGCAACAGAGATTCCTCATTGGTTTATAATGAAAGAACAAGCAGGCGATTTGACACCATAAAATCACCATGTACTGCTGACCTGCCCCTTATTCCTCCAGAAGACCCTTCAACGCCTCAGCAGGTGTAATCTTTGGTGGGGCGAGCTCCAATACTGCCTTGCTTGTGGTTGAAGCTGTGCATTTTCCCTCCCACGCAGTCTCCGGGGCGTGTTTGATAGAGTAGATCACGTTCTTTGATTGACGAGTTGGCGCGTAACTGTGCTCATAAAGCATATCAAGGAATGACATGTCTTGATAGCTGACATGCTCAACCTTCGTACCAATGTACTGCTCGACCAGATCCACGAGCTGTTCCCCAGTAATATCCCCTGGTCCATTGAGAACATATTTGGCTTTGTTGTGCGCAGCAAGATTTTCTTGGGACAAAAGACGAGCCGCAAAGACTCCAACCTCGTAAGGATCAATCACACCGACAGGCGCATCCTTCGACGCCATCAATTTGAGCGTTCCTTGCTTTCCAGTTTTGCGGTACTGTTTGATCAATTCCACCGCACCTGCAAGGTAGGAAGGCGTAAAGATGTTGGGCTGGAGCGAAGTCCACTGCAGGTTGCTGAATTCGGGCGAGCTCAAGAGAGCCTCGATCGCCCAGTGTGCACGTGGATAGTAAGCGTTACAATCCGGGCGGACGTTCGCAGCAGTGGTTGAGATTCGGACAACATATTTGACACCGGCGTTCAAGGCAGCAACGTGGAATGTAGACTCTTCAGCGAAGTGATTCGGTTCATTGTGTGATGCGATGAATGCTCTGGTTACTTGATGTTCACGGAGCCAGTCGGATGTGATTTCAACCCAGTTCTGCTCGATCACTTCAACTCCAGGCAGTTGGGCAAGCTTTTGTGCCACTGGACTCTTCGAAGAACGAGTAAGAGCAATGATACGGTGGTCAGACAAAGTATTGCTTGATTGAAGCAACTTTGGCAGCGTTTCAACAACAGCCTGGCCAGTGTTGCCTGTGGCGCCGATAATGAGAATGGTAGGAGCCATGTTGAGTAAATCAAAGGTAGTATTCAAAGAAATTGTAAGATGATATGTGTTGCAACTTCAACGATCGAGGTACTTGCGCGAACTTATACTTGCCCTCCGGCCTCGGCGATTAGAAATTTGCAGCTTAGGGAGCTAAATATTTAAGAATAGATTACTAAAGAAAGATGTAATTGGAAACCATAAGGCTAAGTAAATGGTTAATAGCAGTGGTATCCCATAAGGTGGCAAGTGGGAGAGTGGGAGGCCGGTGGGAGGCCGGTGGGTGGGCGATATACCTCTATAATGTAATCAGCCAATAGCGTCCGCCACGGGAATGATATCAATACGTCATCTTCATATCTCACTCAACAGTTTTCGATATGGCAAGCCTGGGCAATGAATTAGATATCCCATCTCTGCCTACATCCAGCTCCAATGCCTTCAAATGTTACTTTCCTGGCTGCAACGCTAGCTATCAGCGCAAGGAGCACCTACACCGCCATGAAGGAAAACACCTTCAGCAGTCTTTTACATGTTCCAATTGTGGTCGAGCATTTGGACGAAGGTATCCTGCTTCTTTGTATACTAATTCTCGCAAATTCTAACTATTTTGGAATCAGCGACACACTTCGACGCCATGTCCGTCAGCGTCACGGAATAATTGAACCTCTCAAGCGTGCACAGCGAGCTTGTGAGAGCTGCCACGCGGGGAAGTCTCGGTGCGAAGGAGGCGTGCCCTGTGATGAGTGTCTACGTCGCAAGATTCAATGCTCTTTCCACAACTCTGCCGGTACGGCAGAAAATCAGATTCCCAGATCCGCAACACATCGCACATCGAGCGTGAAGCATGATCAGCCACGGTTACAGAATACAGAAAAGACGGAGCAGTGCATCCGTCTTTATTTTGAGACTTTTCACCTCTCTTGGCCATTCATCCACAAAGGATCATTCGACATACGTCATGAAACGCCCTTCCTAGTCCAATCAATGGTTGTTATAGGCCTGTGGGCTACTAGAGAACATTCTGGGCAATCAGCAGCAGTGGAGCTCCACGGTAAACTTGACTTGGCTCTTCGAGATCAAAAGGTTCGTACTACTTCCCCGCAATATTCCTGCTCTACTAAAATTCGATCGGTAGGAAAAATGGGATGCGTCCGAAGTAACTGCAGCTTGCAGTACCTGTGTCTGGCCAATAGCGACGTACCAGGCTATTCTATTACATATCATCTTCTCTTTCGTTATTAGCAGCCGGGCTGCTATCGATTTCGACTTGAAATTCTCTCTGCCTCCTGCTGATTTGGGATTACTCGAAGCTCTTGTCCGAAGTTGTCGAAGGCTAGGCATGTTCTATTATCCGAATATTCTTGCCAAGTATGAAGAAGCCGACTTGGATTCGTTTGTTTGGGTTTGCATTGAGGAAATCAAACGATTTAATATAGCCTTGTACAGGGTTTGCGGGAAGGCAAGCAGCTCTAGTACAAGAGGCGGAAGCCGTGGCGATATCAATGCAGTACGGTCTTCGCTAACCGCAGGTGAACTTCAGTTCCCCCTGCCGAGAAACTGCCCTTTGTGGAATGCTGTTGGCATAAATGAATGGGCAGCTATTACGAAGGGTGAAACACTGGTTTCCTTAGACGATAACGGCCAGGAGAACTGGATATCAAATTTTTCAGAGGTACTAGAATTCTTTGTGTTATAGAATTTTAAACATGGGAATGACCACCGACACACTTTTCGAATACTTGGTTCTTAACAAGAGACCCTATCACCTAGGTCTCCACGGCTAGACGTAAATCTTGCTCAACGCAAATGTACCTTTTGTTAGGGATTGACATATAAAAGGTACATGTACCTATTCATTTTCAGGTGAATTTATAGCGCTAGGCCCCGCAGCGGAATACACGAGCTATCTGCCCTTTATAACAGGAAAATCAATTGTCGAATCCAGTCCCAAGCCAGATCAGTGGCCTACCGGCAACTCTTGTGGTTCTTTGAATGACACACCACCCGATCCGATCTCTGACCTTGCTTGTCCATCTAGCTCTTTCGGCTTCAACCTCTCTCCAAGTTCTGAATATACCACATGCGATCGCGATTGGCCGTACTCCTGATTCCGCATTTGCTCTTGTGACTGGCGTGATTGTTGCTTCCGACGGCGAATGAGCAAAAAGAGGACAGCAATTATAGCAGCTGCGCCAACAACGCCGCCGACTACACCACCAGCTATTGCGCCCGTGTTGGTATGCGATGAGACACCCGAGCTGCTAGATCCGACTTTCGCGGTTGATGAGGATGAGGGCGATGATGAAGCCGAGGGCGATGATGAAGACGTTGCCGTTGAAGTTAAGACAGGCGTAACTAAGCATCATTATACGTCAATATTCCTTATGCAAGCTCATCGATATGCAATCAACTAACCAGAAGAGCTACTTATAACATCCAAGGTCTCGTAAGTATCGTTTCCGGGGAAATCTTCACCGGAGCAGCCAACCAAAACTCGATCGTTAACATGGAATGCCGACTCTCCTTTGTCGCAACAAAAATACCCGTCCCAGTCAAATAGATTCCAGCTTTTATCTGCGCAAGTCGGAGCTTCTGCGATGCTTTCCGTGCAATTGTTATGGTTGTCACAGCATATAAAATTGGGAACGCTAGTCTGCGAGTCAAAGCAGAAAGAATTTCCGGGGCAACATGCCTGGAAATTACCCCATGTCGAATCTTTTGTACATTTTGTTTCGTTACTGTCGCACGTGTTGTTTCGTCTAATCGCGTAGCCTTTCAGATATTCAACAGACATTGCGACTAGGGGCTAGAGTAGCTGAAATCAAAGAGGAGACAGGGGCGGAAGTTGACAGAAGATAGGGAAGCAGCATTATAAATTGCTTTTCTAAAATTAAAGCTGAAGGTAGTACGCGAGACTAGTAAACTAGCCTGGTAAATTTACAGATGTTTTCTCTCGCTGATCGTTCATTAACCTACCCCAATAGGATTAATAAAATAGACCTAAAGCTACCTAGGTATGATCCCGGCAGTGGAATAGGAGAACCTGAGTCAACTGCGATCAAGTGGACAAGTTCGAATGAACTTGTTCCTGTTTCAAGTACTCCGTATAAAATGCTGTAAATTTCGCCCTTTGCCGATCTGCACAAGCCAGGCTGTGTGGCCCACATATAAGCTTAGTATTTCCATTTATAGTTAAGTCTCTTAGATTCTCGCCAATAAGCCCACGAAGCTCACCTTTAAGGCGTTTCATCTCTTGGCGGGGGCCATAAACTGAAATGTAGACTGCATTTTCAGTCCCAAATCTATTGCCATTTACTAGCGTGTTTGCTGAAGGGTATGTATTCATAGCTACAGTCTGCGAAATTAGTACCTACTACTCTTACGACTTCTTTCCTGGGGAATAAATCCGAAGTTTGCGAGACCTCTAGAACAGTGTCTGTGTGTTACAATACAGGTGTGAAATCGCACGGAGCATGTTTTACACAAAACTACACATGTAGTGCATATGTATACGCGTTTCCTCTGTGGTCGTTCCTGTCGATGGGAAAGAACACGTCAATCATTGGGATTACAAGCCAATAGAGAACCGGAGAGGAAGAAGAAGCCTTCACTCCCAAGCAAACGAGCAGATAGGAACTGGCCCAACAAATCAGACAGCAACGCAGGTCACATAACTAAGGCGTTAACACTAAGGTTTGCTATAACCATCCGCGACTGTCATCCCCCACTTCTACCTTCTCTCTTCGACCTCGTTAGTATTTTGAAGACCCTCATTTTTTGAAGACCCAGCATCTAATACATCAACTAAAGATCCTCTCTACAAAGACCTATGGTTGGGAATGGCATGTTGCTCCGCACGCCGCACAGAGGTTTCATTGAATTACTTACACACTCGTACCTATTTATTCCATGCCGAGTCAGTTATAGTACACTATATGGAGAAGCTTAAAAGCGGTCTAAACAAGACTTAATTCAGGCATAAGTCAGGCCAAAATAAGGCACCTAGGCATTAAAATCAGGCATTTGTCATTGAGCGCTATACACTGTCGTACTCCTTCCTTCATTCGCATGGACACCATCAGTAAGCCTTCACCTTCCAAGGTCGAAAGAGAGACTAGACTCATCCGGGACATTCAGTAAGCTGCGTGCGAGAGGCTGGTTGAACCTTTCCACCTTGTTTCTTGATTCCTCTACTGAACTCTTTTATCTCTGCTCTATTCGATTATACGGTATTAGCTAGTGATTCCCTGGAGAATTAGTCTAGAAACTCAAAAATGATCACTGCAGCTCTAGGGTGTTACTCCCACAGGAGTATCGAGACCAGGAAACGGGACTAAAGATTTTTCCTATTCCGGTAGTTGGGAAGTTCTAGTACCGAGACTAAGCCTTAGGGCAGTTCTTTTTAGAACAGATCAATGGCAAGAATCCTCTGAAGCTGACAGATACCTCTAGATGTATCTTCCTCGAGGATAGAGACCCTATTACTCCGCGCGGTAGAGCCGGCAGGGAAGGCACGTATGTCGATTTCGGCGACAGTGTTAATACTATCCTCCCTGCCGTCTCGTTACAGAAGACAATCAAATCTGAAGTAAGCCATTTGTGATGTAGCTATCTTCGGTGTCTGTTTCTATTCATTCCACCATGCCTAGAAAACTTGCAATAACAGGACGCCTCAACTGTCACAAATCAATCAATCATAACAACAATACGTACTTTGACCGAATTTACTACTTGAAATCGTCCCTCGGAGCTTTAGATGGGGGCTCCAGGGCTATCCTCTCGCGTTACCTAATACCTAATGCCTGAACTTAACAGCATCCACCTCAAAATTCCTCACAATCCCACTCGTAACCGGAAATGGTCCCAAATCCACACTGACCTTCTTGTCCCCCAAGCAGCAAGAATCAAAGTCAGCCCCGCAATTGGAATCTGATCCTAACGCTAAACTTCCCCGCCAATTCCGGGATAATAGCCTGCGCGGTCTGCTCGTCCTTGATCAAATCCTTCGACCAAACAGCCCAGTCAACGCCAAGCGGCGCAACCTTTAAGATCCATAGGTGTGTCATAAGCTGCACATCACAGGCGATTGTATATGCTAGTATGCGTATGTTAGTACGGCTGTCTAGGTCTAGGGAAGGAGTACGGGTCTTTTCCCAGGAAATGCTTATTTTCATATCCTCTGCAACCAATTTGAGCGAAGTTTACTTGTGGCTCCGACTAGGTGGTAATTGAGGGGTTACTTCAGATTAAATCAGTTACCTAGTCTATCCTTCGAGAAGTCTCTATATCAAATATACAGACTGTGGCCTGGTAAGGCCGTGCATCCCAATGGTCCAAACTATGAACTGCCGATGACACTGCCGAGTCCCCAAAACTAGCTCCAAACCTAGACTAGTGGTTTTAGTCTTGATTTTCTCTATATGGCCTCGGTTGTATATCCTAGAATCGGGTCATGGACAGCATTCTGATTACCGATGGAATCTACGCTTGACCTCAAACAGGATAGCATAATGCGGGGAAATATAGTTCAACATGTATCGTAGTATGGGGAAGAAGGAAATGATACTGAAGTATAGAGCATAAATAGGGTCATTCCCAGGCTCGCAATTAGTAGTACCTGAGAATTACACAGCAAAGACATTACTCTAAGCCCACCTCTTTAACTTCAATGGGTCGGTCAACCATGAGTCGATTCCCGCAAGCTCTCACCATATTCGCGACCTTCTTTGGCCTTGCACAGTCTGCAGATAATGGACTATGGCCGATGCAGAAGTTCAAAAGCTCGTCCATCCAAGCACCGTACATGAACGTCACTAAGATGGGCCCGACAGAACCGGGCTTCCTCTTTCTGACACCCCACGATATCATCCGACAAACGGGATACCCGGCCATCTACTCAGATGATGGCCAGCTTGTATGGCAGGGCCCCAGTGGGAACTACTCAGCCCTGCAGCCGCAGGTTCTCAACGGCGAACCCGTAATGGCCTACTGGTCCGGCTATGTCAGCCTTGGCTTTGGATTCGGAGGAATTTCTATCGTGAACAGCTCGTACGACGAGATCCACAGAGTCACGCTGGATTGCGAGGCAGAGAACTTCGTGACAATCTATGATCCAATGAAGTTTGCTTCGTGCATTGATATCCACGAAAGTGAGATCACAGATAACGGCACCATTCTCGTGACTGCCGTCAATGTCACGCAAGCGGATCTGAGCTCCATTGGTGGTCCCAAGGACGGATGGATTCAAGACGCACTCGTCTATGAGATTGATATCAAAACCAATGAGATCCTCTTCCGCTGGAGTGCCTACGAGCACATCGACCAGGTGCCGCTCAGCGATGTGCGTGCTCCGCTCAAGGGATCTGGCGGTACCAAAGCTGATCCATATGGGTACCCTCATCTCAATTCGATTGCGAAATATGGTGACTCGTACTTGGTGTCGTCGCGGTTTATGTGCAGTCTCTTTTTTATTGCATCGAATGGCTCGGTGACATGGCAACTCCACGTAAGCTTGCTGATTTCCGAGAGACCGATTTATCAAAACTGGATATACTAATAAGATGTAGGGTTTGACTGGCGGTGACTTTGAGTTAGGCCTCGGCACGACCTTCTGCCAACAGCACGACGCGCGCTTCCAGTTCCAGAGCGACGAGCGAGTGACAATCAGCCTGCACAACAATGACAACGCCGATTTCACAGGCCACACCGCGCTAACAACGGGCATGGTGCTAGACGTAGAGCTCCAAGGCTCAAAACGAGTCACCTTGAAGAGTCGAATGTGGGATGCCGCTGAACCTGTGTACGCCGAGTCACAAGGTAGCTACCAACCTCTCGGGAATGGGCACGTTTTGCAGGCCCATGGCGGAACGCCCAAGATCGAGGAGTACGATGAGAACGGGGCCGTCGTTATGCGTGCTAGGTTTGGTTATGATAATACCATGCACACGTACCGCACCTATCGGTACCCTTGGGTTGGGCGTCCGGCTACCAAGCCCAATGCTGTGGCTTGTTTGGATGGGAGGAACGGGAAGCCTGTTGTTTACGCTAGCTGGAATGGGGCGACGGATGTGGAGCATTGGAAGGTGTATTCTGGAACTGTGGTGAAGCAGACTGCTGTGCGGAATGGATTTGAGACGGCCATTCTTGTGGATGGCCTGACTAGTAGTGATTCGGTGGTTGTGGAGGCGGTTGGCGGTGTTGGTGATGGGATGAGATCTGAATCCGCCAAAGTCGGACAATGCTGATGGCAGATATTCTTGCCAGCTGATTATGTGTAGTTACTGTTGAGCTAATTTTGCGAGCTTTTAATGACCGAATTCTGCTTTTATTGGTGACTTCCCGTAGTCAAGAGAGAGGCATGTAAACTCAGCTACACATGCAACTAGATACAAAGCAAGGTAACACAGAGAACAGACTAGTCAGAGTGCCCCGGCCTGTCTCAGTCGATCTGCGACATCGAGATTACCTCTTGTTACTACTATTTGCAGTAGTGTCCCCATTTCCTTCAATTGCCCACTAACAGCGATATTGACATCGGCCTTTTCTTCTAGCAGTCGCTCAACCACCTCGATGTGACCTTCTATTGCCGCTGCCTGGAGTGCTGTATATCCATCAATAGAAGCAGCAGCATTGACATCGGCTTTTTCTTCTAGCAGTCGCTCAATCACCTCGACATGGCCTCCTTCCGCCGCTGCTTGAAGTGCTGTTCGCCCAGTAAGACCACTAGCAGCAGCATCGACATTAGCCCCTGCTTCTAGCAGCCGCTCGATAACCTCGAGATAGCCCCCGGCTGCTGCTGCTTGCAGTGCCGTGCGTCCTTCTCTGTTAATCGGGGTATTAACCTTAGCATTTGCTAACAATAATCGCTCGACAACCTCGAGGTGACCCCCGCCTGCTGCTGCTTGGATTGCTGTGCGTCCTTCCATCGAAGTTATACTATTGACCTTGGCTTTTGCCGTCAATAGTCGCTCGACTACAGCGAGGTGACCCCCAGCTGATGCTGCTTGAAGTGCTGTGCGTCCTTCTTCGGTATCAGGAGTATTGACCTGAGCATTTGCTGACAATAGTCGCTCGACTACTGCCAGATGGCCTCCGCCTGCTGCTGCTTGGAGTGCTGTTTGGTCGTTCCCTCCAATAAGAGTATTGACCTCGGCCTTTGCTATCAATAGTCGCTCAACCACCTCGAGGTGGCCTCCTTCTGCCGCTCCTTGAAGAGCTGTTCGGTTATCTACCAGAGTATTCACATTTGTCCCCACTCGCAGTAAAGCTTCGACTGAAGTAATGTCTCCTTCTCTCGAAGCATTTAACAATCCGTAATGTATTGTTTCGATGGAATTGCTGCTTTGTTGAACGATTAACTTAGTGAAGCGGCCACGGTCTTGAACTCTGGAGTTTTTAAGGATTTCGAGTTTGGCGTTTTCAGTCAAAATGTCCGACTGGTGCTTTGCATGGTACAAAAACAGCGTGAAATGGCCGTGGGTTAAAAGCCACCGTACCACTCTTGATATATCGTTTTTTTCATCATCAGTCTGATCTGTCGACTCCCATGGCCTGTGTGCAAGAATAATATCCCCGTCTACACAACGGCAAAAGAATTTCCACATCTGGGTATCCAGTTCAGGGTCCAGGTCTGTTACGTGATGTATCCAACAAGAGCGGGCGTAGTCGAGAAACTGGAATTCGCGGTTCTGGAGGTCCATATCGAGCCGTGAGGGCTCCAGATCCTCGAACAATTTTCGAGATTTCCTCTCCAACTCCCGAGCACTGAGATGCTGCAAGTGCTTACGGTGGCAAAGTAACTTCATTGCCATTCGACTGGTATCACTGCGCGAACGGTATATCGGGGTGATTCCAAGCTGAAGGGGGGTTATTGGAGTGTTCGACCCCTCGGCGACCTTGGATACCTGACGTCTGAAGGTAGTGAAGTCAAGATAGGTCATGCAAAGTAAGCCGAGATGTCGATCGAGTTTCCTCATATCGAATTCGTCTGATAACCAATGGTTGATTTTGAAGAGGTGTTGTTTCACACTATGATGAACATAGTGCACGGTGCTATCCTCTTCATCCACGAATATCAAACCACAGCAATTAGCCATGACCTTATTCATGTCATTGGGGAACTTCTGGCTATCAAGAGAAGTTTGTTCAGGACTTAGACTCAAAGCCTCTTGGTACTCCAAGACTGTCAAAGATCGCTTCACCACACCACAAAATTGGAGTGTTGCAATCGCGTCCTTTGCTGTTGTTTCCTTTCGAACTCGATGTAGCTTTCGATCAAAAATTTCAGAGAGGCCACGCGGTAGATGGTTTAGTACCTCTAAGATGTCATTGTCACTGCCCTGTGCGCATAGCTCTTCTATCAAAAGACGCGTCCAGAGGAACCTGTTCGAATGTAACTATCAGCAGTTGTTCATAATTCTACCAGGTTTTCTGACTCACATTCCATTAGATCCATCGTGAAGGGCGTTGGAGATTTTCATGATGAGTTTCGGATCCCCCAGCTTCAACTGTTCCTCATCTAGGCAACGGCCTAGAGTTGTCGCAATGTATTGGTCCATGTCGGACTCAACCTTTCTCTCAGTCACTGAGATTTTGTATTTAGGTTGGATTTTTCTAAATAACTGCCGTTCAAGCCCAGGGCGACCAGCACAAAGGAGTTTGAAAGCCCTAACGCGAGTACTACAGAGTTTGGCAATGCCCTGCGCAAGCTGCTGAATCTCGCTACCATCACACTCATCGAGACCATCGAGAATAACATAATATTTCTTGTCATCTTTGAGGTGAGTCAATAAGAAAGCAATAGTCTCAGCCGTGCTAAGATCCCGACTATCCTCGTATAAACGCCGTAGAAGGTCGTTTTCCGCAACCTCGATCTGTGCGTTCAATAATTGACGAGCAATGCTTCCGACAATGTTTCTCGCTGATAGAGATGCTGCGTAGTCGGCGGAACAGAAGTAGTAGGATATAATATCGCTAGGCTCACGGGACGCATGTAGTTGAGCAACCACATTTGACATAAGCACCGTTTTACCCACACCCATCGTGCCAGAGCACCATAGAATGTCGGTGTCCCAACGGTCTCTCCAGTGAAGAAATAGCGGTTCCTTCTGTAGCCACTCAGCTGTAGAAGGAACGCGCTGCTGTGAAGCTTGCTTCCAAGGCTTATCGTAGTCGATGCTAGAAAGACTATCTCTGATGCTAGACTTCAATTCCGCGGCTTGTCTTTTCACGCTGTCGATTCGGGATTGCTGCGCCTTAGCATACTCATTTCTAGACTCTTTATGGAATCTCAAGGTGTGGCGGCGGAATGCTGAATTGCCGCGGCTTTCGCGCTCAAGAAGACCTTTAGCATCAGCGTTAGCCTTCTTCGAGGCAAATGAAAGCTGTAGCTGTATGTCCCTCACGGCTTCGTCAAGCTGATCCAGAAAATGTTTGAATTCGGCCTCGAAGGGATTCAAGATAGAGGATAACATTTGAGTAACAGGCGTCCGCTTTGTGATTTCAATAATCTTGATGCATAAATGGATAATGACGGCATAGTAATCGCATAAACTACGTTTGAGACCAACGCAGCCGGGGTAAAGGTGACCAAATTGCTGATACGTCGGACATGACCTGCCGATCGACATGATCATACTACTGACTTTGTCAAAGTAAGATGCGATATTGCTCGCAGTCAAAATTGCCGTCTTGATGCCTCCCCAAACCATAGCAGCGATTTGAGGATTAGAGCTGACGAATGTATCCACGATGGCGCTAAACTGTTGTGTCGCCTGTAGGAAGGTGTGCAATCTTGGCGCCACACATCTCCTTGTCATGTTGCTTTTGTTGGAATCGATCTGTGCAACAAAGGCAATAACGCTCGCGGCATCTGGACTCGTAGTGCTTGCCTGATACTGTTGTTTTTGGTCGTCTGTCAGGATCCCCTCGAATTGCACCAGAGCTTGCTTGAGAGATATTGTGGGATCCGGCCCCCGTATTTGATTTGAGGGATATGAGATTGCTGCAGACATCGGGGGTTCTATGCGTCTGATTTAATGCCAAGATCTCAATTGCTGTCCTCAGAGAAAGATATGTGGCAGACAATGGCAAGTTCAAATGAAGGGATATCCCAACTCGGGGGTGAGGGGCTGTGTTAGCCACACTGCCCTGTGAAGACAGCCTGAAGTGTGTCTTCCGCATATTCACACTAGTTGTAATTATCGTATTTCAAATGCATACATGGTAAAGTATAGGTGGTACTATGTAGTAATTTAACCTGCTTATAGGTTTTGACAGGGTATGATCACCCCGTATAAGGGCTATTTCTACTCATAATCCCTGGCGCCTACCCGCCTACCGGAAAAGCCCCCTAATCCGAGGTTGACCCGCCACAATTAAGGATTCCCATGTAATAATGAATTAGTTCTCATTATTCTCTTCATCACTATCGAAAACTTCCTCATCATCTTCTTCTTCCTCCTCATCCCCGTCCTGATAGTCCTCATCTTCCTCATCCTCTCCCATGGCAGCATCCAAGTCCAAAACCTCGTACCGCATAGCATCCCCATACAAAACACAAACAGCGCGTCGTCCTTTCCGTCCATTAACATCAACATGCACAGGCCGCGCCTTCGGGCCATGTAGAGCAAATCGATGTACAAGGACGCCCGCGTGAGGGGATTCAGGCGAGAGATCTAGTGTCGTAGCCGATATAGGAGGCTTGGGAGCGGATGACTTGCTATTACACTCAATGTAATCAAGGGCAAGAGGTGATGGGTCGGTTATCTCGCTTTGGGATTGTGTTGAGGCGGGCTGGAAGGGGAAGTTGAGGAGATGGGAGGATCCCTCTGCTCGGATAGATTGTTAGATTGTGCGTAGAACTTAGGATAGGAATATGCCAAGTCGATGTGTAAGTGACTTACTGCTGTCGCGCCAGAGAACCATGAGTGTGTTGTCGTTGACGAATTGGAGTTGGCGAACTTCGCCGTTTTGGAGGTCGAGGGTTGCGAGAGAAGTGCTTCTTGTTGAGCTGACGCCACCGATTGAGTTGAGGACGACGCGGTAGAGATAGACTAGTTGCGAGGATGTAAGTAACTGTAATTAAAGGGTGATTGTATGACGAACCTTGGTGTTTTGATGTCACTGATCGGGTAGCGACGTATATCGAGCAAGGCTGACCTTCCATGGCATCCTATTCCGCAAGTTAACATCTGGGACAAGACAAAAGTCATCAGTCGCAAACTCACCTCGTAACAGAAAGTTAGATCGATAACTTCTTGGTCGCAATCAGAGTGAAGCGTCAAAGGAGAGTGATGGAGAATTCCCCTGCGCTGGGTCAAGGCAATCTCTCCAAAGACTTTCTCAAACTGGATACCTAGACGCCTCGTCAAGTCATTGAGCTTAGGCGTCTCGACCGATGTACCATCACCACCCTTATCCCGAGCCTCGCGTTGCTGCTGAAGAAGTGACTTGTAAGTGTCGAAGAACGAGCGGTCGTGGCCATCTGGAAGCCACTTATCAGCGGGAGGGGCAGGGGGCTGAACAACTCCGATCATGGGAAGTTGGCGAATAAAGTTCCGCAAAGCACTCTTGGTCAATGCGCCTTTGATATACTTCACAGTCGGAGGGACATCGAACAAGTCTCTCTTCTCCTGCAGCTCTTCTAGTGTTTGCGACATCGGCTCGCTGTTAAGAACTTGGATTTCTTGACGAAGCCATCTGGAGAAAGCAGCGAATTGACCCAGTTCCTCGTTGGCATGAGTGAGAACACGGTGCGCAAGAAGATGGAGACAATCAAGTGTCTCCACGATAGTATTGAGCTTGGTCGTGTCCAGCCCGAGGACATCGCTTAGCTTGTGGAATTTAGACAATCCAACTAATCGACTGAGAAGTACTTGACTGCGTTCCAAGGCTGGGAGGAGACATTCGTGCGTCAGTCGCCGGATATTCTCATAGCCGCCTGAGACAGCCTTATCCCATCTCTTCTGGCCCTATATAGTTCATTAGCACACTATCTCTCAAATGGCAAGGGTGACATACTCTGTCTCCAACAATATCCGTAAGGAACTCTTTCATCGGCTCAAAGCAATGACCAGTGACAACCAGATGGTAGATAGCAGTGATAAAATCACACTGACATTTCTCCCGCAAGTCCTCATTGACACTGCGCAAGTACCGCGCAGGAAGTTCCTGAGCATTCTTCCACTCAAGCTCAATCTGCCGTTGCACCTGACCAATATAGCGGAGCAAATTCTGAAGCTGAGTAGTCTTCGACGCAAGAAGAGACAGGTATCTCCCAGACTTCGTAATAAAGCGAAGATCCATCGTAACAAGCTCAAGCGGGCCACGAGTACCTCCCTTAACCGGTGATACCAGCAGAGCATGCGTAGAGCTCAAGGGGTGCGAAGAATGCCGCAAGATACGACAAGAGTCGGAGATACCGGGAGAGCTTCCCACAGGGAAAGAGCCAATCTCAAAGCAATCAAATATGCGCAGGTGGACAGTGCCATCATCAAACCCGACAGAGAGCACATCAACCGAGTCGTTGGTGTCCTTCGAAGAATGAAAGATGGCATCGAGGGATGCCCGCGAGCTGAAGACATCGTCCTCGCCTCCTGTTGCAGGCAGGGTGCTCAGCTTTGGTAGCGAGCTCTCAATATCCAGCAAGGCAAGTTCCCTGGGTAGATCTGCTTTAAGCATCGTAGTTGCCTTGGAAGGATACACTCCCGGAGCTAAAAGATCGTCGACGGAGACCTGACCCGCGGATTCATCCAAATGCCGCTGTGCGGCTTTACTATCGGTGAAATTGACACCCCACCCAACGCACGTTGCCTTGGGTGTCGGGTTTTCAGTGGGATTGGATTGTTCCTCTTTCTGCTGGTAGGTCTGGTAATTGTGCACCGTCTTCCCAGTGTACGAACTGATGATGCGGAGTGAGCCATCTCCACACGCGACAGCGAGGAGGCGACCTGGTGTAGTGTTAGTTAATGATCGCGCGGTAACAACAGCCAATGCCGGTAATATCTGATTTAAAGAAAACGGATATATAGCAAAGGCCAGCGACAAGGAAATTCAAACTCACCATTCCCCTTCCACGCCATCCCTCTAATCTCGCCATCCTCTTCATCCTCGCCTAGGTACGGATCTCCACCAAAAGAACCCCCGAACACTCGCTGCCCATTAAGTCGGAATACGCGCAGTTCCTCGTCCTCGGTCGCCAGCGCTATCAGGTCCATCGTGGGACAGTACGCCACGGCCTGCGCCTTGCATTTTGCTGGTAGGGACTTCTCCCCGACCGGGGTCAGTTGGGGGCCCTCGGCTGCCATTATGGGTGTTTCCTTCTCAAGATAAAGAGCACATTCAGCCCATTCTTATTTTGGGAACATTAAAGGTTCAAGAATTGAGGTGTGGCGCTGTTCCTTTTTGACTGAAGCTGTTGATCGCGGGTGGTGGATACAAAGGGATTCTTGGCGCGTTTTGGTGTTCCAATCTGTTGGTATGGGACCAACACTCTGGAGTTTATATTTGTTTTTACTATCTACTAGACTGGTAGAATTTATACATTTGGAACTGTTTTTTCTTTTGTATTTTCATTGATATGATTTTATCTCTATTGAGAGTTAAATGATACATGTGCGGAGCACGAAAACTCCACCGACGACCAGCGCCGGCAATATGATAATAAAAACATGAGAATGATAATGCGAGACAGAAGTCTCTGAGAGGGAGTCTCTCATCAAAATGGTGCCCCATCCATATCAGCCTGGATCAGGTTCTTCAGATAACTGAGCTCATCCATCAATTCCTGCATGGTAGCATTCCCTTGGAACGAGGCATTGCTGCGACGGGAGCGAATGCGCTCAAGGGAAGTGTCGCTCACTTTCCGCTCTGCGGTAGGAAGATTTTGTTCCGAGTCAGAGCCTCTGGGGAGCTCGGGCAGCAGGATCGGGGAGCCATTGGGGCTGCGCGACATCGCGAGGGCCTCCATGGATTCAAGGGCGCTAAATAGGGCAGCATGACGCTTGGGGTTGCTCTCCACTTCATCCATGTTCTCGATGCCCAGACCGGAACAGTCGAAGCCAGGTGTGGACAGGGAAACGGTGAGTTCGGGGAGGCCGACGCTCCAGGAAGGGAGTTCTGCGGATGCTGAGTTCGGAGACGAGGGTTTGGAATAGACAGTGAGGTGGGGGGTGTTTGGGTCGGTACTGGTTGCGCCATCGCCAGACTGTGAGAGGTCTGGTGTTCTCCATCTTTCGTCGGCCAAAGACTCGTCCTGGTGATCATTGGATGCGGAGGCCGATGTCATCGATTCGTGCGGGTTATAGTCGGTGTCGGTGCCCGTGCTCCATTCAGAGAACCGGCTGCATTCAGGCACAACACGGGAGTTGGTAGAGTCGATGGTTGTTGTTGTCATGCTGGAGAAGTAACTGCGCTGAACCTCGCCATCCATCGCCTTGTCTCTCTCGTCGATGGCGCGAACTGCTTCATCCATGACTGAAGACGGTGTGTTTGGGAGTGTAGGGAGCCTCTTTTCTTTGGTAAACGCGGCAGTTGGCGTAGGCAAATCACCGGAGCTAGCGATATCTTTCAGAGCTTCCCGGATCGCACGATTTTCGTCAAATGCCGCGGTATTTCCGTTTGCTGCGCTGCTAGAAGGACTGCGTTTGCGGTGTTCCGGACGCGTCTGCACTGTGAGAAGACGGCCCGGTGCCGTTTCCCCAGCGGTTGCTTTCATCGCGCGACGACTTTGAATGGTGGACGGGCCAAGTTTGTCGGGAGAGCTGGATGGAATCGCAATTCCAGTGTTGACCTTGATTCCAGGGATATTGCGGCGATTCTCAACGGCCTCTTTCTGCTGCAGTGCCATCTTAGAAGCATCCACTGGTTGTATTGTGTCGAACTTCTTATCCGCCTCGGCGGGTTGCCTCAAAGCAGCTAGAATGGCTCGGGCTCTCGGGGGAGACATCGAACGTGAATCTTTCTTGTGGCCCTTACGAGCGGCACTGCGCGGTTGAGATGCACTCCGGTGAACTCCCGCCATCGGAGATTTACCCGAAGAGTGCGCGGGGCTCGGTTCGCGGTGGACTGATGCAGATGTCTGAAGACGCATAGGCTGGGGTTGGGGTGGCGGCTTCCGCGGGTTCATAAACTTGTCTTCGGGGTTCATAGTCCGAAGATGTTCGGATCTTTGGGAACTGCCACTCGCGGAGCGTCCATGTGTGCGGCTGTCGGGTAAAATGATAGGGACATTTAGCACATTCATGGGCTGCCCTGGAAGAAGCGGACACATTGTGGTCGTTGGCTCTGCCTCGTTGTAATACTCTATATCATTATCGAGCAAATACTGTTTTTCTCGTTAGTTCTTTCATCTCATATGCGTGAATATGAGTCTCACATAATACCAGTAAGTACCACCCATCTTCAGGCCTCCTGTTCGCCATTGGGTCTTATCCGGTCCATCGCCTATCATATCGGTAAAGGTATGGCATCCTCTCCAATGTCCGGGTCCGACTCGCTTGTCTCTTTCCATCACATATTGCTTGGAGAAATTATCCCATGATCCGAGCAGCTTGACCGACCGGATCTCCGGTTTGGTAATCCTGAATTGGGGTCAGCGCATGGAGATATCAATTGCACTGGGTACACTCACAGTAGGAAAGTCATGAGGGTAGTTGAGATCATCGCAAAGTAAGACAGCAAGAAGAGTAAGAGTAAACGAGAGGTAATAGCACAGATAAAAAAAAAGAATGAATCAAAGAAAGAAAATGCACAACAATGCAAGATAGGAACCAAAGAAAATGCTAAAAGACAGAATCCCAGTAGAATACACGCAAATGCAAGGCAACGAAAGGACAGTGGTCTATAGAGGTCGAAAGAAAAAGGGTAGCCGGAAGCCCGAGCGCATATAACAAAACAAAGCTCACAGGTAGTCCAGACACCAAACCAACTCCACAAAGGCGGTTCTATAATTATCGGGGTTGGAAGCTGTGCCTGTTTCAGGATCGAGTGACAGGTCTAAGAATAAACGAGTTTCAAGTGTGTTAGGGGGCCAACACGCAGACAATCACCACAATTCCATGGCCTGGACACAGGGCCCAAATCAAATAGTCGAATAGAGGCGGATGCTTCAGGAACCGCGAAGGTGCAATCTCCCCAGCGTAGTGTAAGGCGACAAGGTTGACCAATGAGCGGGCGGAAGATGGAAGCGCCCGACCACTCGGGTTGGTGGTGTTCCTGCGTAGAGTCCGGCGCTAAGAGGGCTGCAGGGTTGGAATTTCGAAACAGGGGGCAGAAGAGGTTGAAACGGTCGAAACGATTGAAGCCCAGGAAGAAAATCCAGAGAAATAGGTTTTTTTTGGCAGATCGGCGCGGGGATTTGACGATCCAAATTGGTGATGAGTGGGTTTAATAACCTGTGTTGATCGTGATAATGGAGTATTACAGTACTCCGTACAGAGTACAGAGAGAAAAAAAAAAGAAAATGATCTCAGATTCTCAGGTTCTCACGGTGTGGCTTATGATCCTCCGATGCTTCCGTCATTGTGGTTCGTCGATCTCTATGCAAGGTCCGTACAATTTAGATTAGTTAGGTGAGATTGGTTAGATTAGTTTGGTTATATTGATTACATTAATTTGGTTTTGATGGTTTTTGATGGTTACATGATCTGACTAATATAAACGAAGCCACTACCTAGGTAGTAAGTACATAACCAGAGTTCGGAGTACTCTAGAAAACAATACCTATATTTATCAGAAGCAAGGGTTCTGTAAGGACGTGATCTACTTTGTAGGCGCTAATTATTCTCATTGGTGTGATCAAATAGAAGCTAACAAAGCTAACAGGGATATGTCCGAGAATTCTCCACCAAGGCGGTTCCCGAAAGGTCAAAATATGCGATAGGTAAATAATGTATCAAAATTAAAACTACTATACAATCTTCTTCCTATCTAACCTCTTATGAACAGCTCCAAGCACAGCCTTCAAAATCCCATCTCCCTCCAATCTCTCCCCAGCCCGATTTCTCCAAGGAACAGTATCAACAATATCCCTCAGATGGAGATTATTACACCGTCTCCCAAGATCTTCATCCAATTCCTCCAAATACTGTTGAGCCATCTGGTCATTCCCAATCTGAAAGAACTGAATCCCAATCTGCCACGGAATAGCACGACAAGAAGGTCCATCCAACCTCTGAGCTGTCTGGGTGATAATACTCTCTGCATCATCCGTGAAAACACCATCGGTAATCGTGATGATATTAATCGGTGTAACCGACTCTATCGGCTTAGGACGCTCCGAGCTAGAGAAATATTTCTGCTTAGCTGCCTCCTTCTGTGTTCGTTTCGCTTCTTCCTTCTCTTCCACCAGATCCATGTATGGGTCTAGGATATTACGCAGTCGACTTCCGACCCCTGTTCCGCCAAAAGGTCTGACGGAGGCAAAGATCTCGCTTACTCGTTGCGCAGTTCTGATATTGTAGTATCCGCCGTCAAATTGTGGGCATTTGATGAGGTCGGGGGTTTCTGTGTAGTTGGAACCGTAATTGGTACTGTAGTTGGTGTTGGAACGGGCATTTGATCGGTGGTTGATGAAGTAGATATCGATTCCCTCCTTGTCATATTTTGTGCAGACTGGCGCGATCGCTGCGATGGCTTCTCTGGCTTCTTGCCAAAGTGCACCTCTCATGCTTGAGCTGTCATCAACCAAGAAGATGGTGTGGAATTGGCTGAGGAAGGCGAACTGAGAATCGGACTCTAGCTCTTCGGGGGCGCTGATTCTGATTGTTGGGATTTGGGCTTCTTCGTACGATGGTGGGAGGTCTGATTGCTCTCTTGTGAACTTTGTATTGGAGCTATGCGTGCGACCTCGGGACCATGATGGATAATGTGTTGGGGTCGTGGTTCTTGATGCGGTGGCAGTCCCTGCTTTGCGCTCTTTGCGCTCTTGCCGATGGCTAGATGAGAAGGTGTGCCATATAGACATCTTTTCGGAAGCACCTATGGTGGAAGAATGTATATATTTTAGATGAAGCAGGTGAGGAATGTCTACCCAATAGACTTGAGTGTCTTGAAGGCTGCTCGGTTTCTTAAATGATGTGTTCCAAACAAAGGATTTGACTCAGGAAACCGCTTCTTTATATCTATTCCGTGTCTGACAACTATAGCAGGGGCTCGGCTGTGAAACCTAGTATACAAAGAATGGTATAGGGTAGAGGGGCCAAGGCACACTTGGGCAGTTAACAAAGTTTTACCACCACATGGTCGAAACATGAGCTTTAATCTAAAAGTCAGCCCAAAGTATGTCAAAGATACAAAATAACATTGGAAATTGCAAGGCAGATCAGCCCTATCGTAACTAACAGTGGATATTGAGGAACGGCCTTGGATGTTACTCATTCGTGTATAGCCACCGCCCTGCATGACCCGGGCAACAACTAGACAAAGTAGAGTCATTGGGTGTTTTGGATCTAGCCAATCATATAAACTGAGAGTTGTAAAGCGCACAGACAAGGTCCCTGAGTGGCGGAGCGAACATAGCACACAGCCCCGCATACGGGAAAGGGTGCACAGGGCGCAGTGTAGTCTCCATCACACTCTGCTTCAGAGATGAGCTAAAGACCTATTATTCTTTCTAGAATTATATTGGAAGGCTGACTAGCGAGGCTCTAGTCTTTCCTTGGAGACACTTCGTGATTCATAATAATCAAAACACCAGGTGCCCTAATCCCAAACCCCAGGCTATAAAACCAAAAAAATCACAAATCATTAGACATCTATCAACGCTGTTGATGCAACGTAATAAATAAGAAAGAAGAAAATAAAGAAAGAAACAAATATATTAGTCGGTTTATAGCCCGTGGCAAGTATCTTCTTTGTGACCCAATCGAACTGAATGTCGCCCCATCAGATCAGGCGTACCGGACACTTCAGTTTTCTTCCTCGGTCACAGAAGGTAAAACACCAGGATCAGCAGCGACAATATCCGCCACTGCCAACGCCTGATCGATACCCATCGTGTGTCCAATCGATTCCAAACACTTGACCACCCAGCGGCGCAGCCCGTGTCGGGGGTTCTCAACCACTCCAGCGACAAACAGATGCCAGAGGAGCACAAGACCTCCAAGGTAGCTTTCAGGTGGCGGGAGATTAGGGTCCCTCTCTGTCTGATAGGTGTTCAAGTGATACGGAACACTGCGACAGATCTCCACGGCCAACCGCCGGATCGTTAATCGTAGCGTCCGACAGTGGAGACGGAACTCTTCAGACAATGAGGCCAGAGAGGAACTGTCTGATAATTGCCAGACGCGGGAGAGGATGATTTCGCTGACGATGATTCGGGCGCTACGGTATTGGTTCCACGAAGTGCAGACCCACTGGGTGGGATACACGTGGTACTGATCGTCGTATGGTGATATGCCCCGGAATCGCTTTTGGAAGGTAAAGTCGAAGGGGGATTTTACATGGGTGGTATAGTTGAACTCAGGGGGAAGAGCTGCCAGCCAGGCAATTAAATCGGCTTCGATGGCCGAGGCTGCTGATATGATTTCCCGGTCATTTTCGTAGGTATTAGTGCGGATGTCGGAGCGAAGGTTCGATAGTTTGGCAATTATCATGGTTAGGAGATTGCCGTGAGCTTCTGCTGGCTGAAGAAATATTGCGAGTTTCGTGCATTCGAGTAGTGACTCGGGCACTCTTGCGTCTCGTTGTAGGCAACTGACAATCTGTTGAGGGGTTAGCTTGAGGTCGAAGGAGGGATTCAGTACACTCACAATCTGATACCGAAGGTGCAAAAATAAGCGGAGGCCAGCGTTAGTCTTGAGTTGATCGGGCCCCCGTATATCGAGCAGGGCTGTTGCCCCATTAATATGGTTGGTCCAACTATCGATATTCTCCGGAGCTCTTGATGTAATCACCTATAAACAGGCCGTCAACAACCATCCGAGGGGTCAAGAATACAAAATTCCTTACTTCATATATGGCAAGCAAGATGACAGCGCCTAATGTTTGATTTGTTTTCGCCTCCTCTATGTCGACTAGAGCGGCGTTAAGCAATCTCAAAGCGGATCCATACTCTCGGTGGGCTACATCTCTAAGCGATGGTAACCGTCTTACTCGCGAGAGCATAGCCGTGGCAGTAGCAACCACGCTTGCCTGCATAGCTTTCTGACTCGCAGGACCCCCGGACTGCATCAAAAAATTGGACATGGTCTCACTAGTCCAGAAACTGCCTGGGAGAGCATTGGACCGCAAAAAATAACAGATTGCTTCATATTTGGCGGCTTCAAGCTCCTGTGACGGCTGTATCTCCAATGGGAAGTTCCCGAGCTGTCGCATAAGATAAATATGCTGTGGATCGGAATTGAAATCAAAGTCCGGATCCACCAGGGTACTGAGCTCAGACCGCACAGGATTCCCTTCTGGGATTGCAGTGCGAGGCAACCGCTCCGCTCGTTTATTCTTATATGTCGAGGCCGCAATCGCCTTTCGGACTACCGATTTGCTTTCGTCACGGAACATTAGCGACAGTTGATCCCGATATCCGGGGCAGTCCCGCTTCGCTCTGGTGCATTGCGAACAGGCCGGTTGGGCTTGGTCACACCGAATCTTCCTGGACCTGCACTCGCCACATCCTTTGCTTGGTTTACCACAGTATACCATATTCTCTTGATGAAATATTGTACCTTGTCCAAGGTAGAATTACAGGAAGTCATAAAGCAGATGTTGCTCAGCCCCATGTCGTCTGGAACGCGCTTAACCGCTTCGGGTATGCTTTGCGACCCCAAACTTCCACTGTCGATCTTACTTATAATAATGCGGATGCCTTGGAGCTACACTTTATAACATATGATATGGCCAGTGAACAAAAGGTATAAAGTATACAAAAGTAAACCCAGCATAGGCTTGTGTTTGAAGGGGTAGCATAAAATATATATCCTGCTTGCATGAACTCAACCAGAATGTCAAAGATCCTCGCAGGATTCTCGACTAGTACTGCACTAACAGGCTTTTGAGTCAACTAAAAGTCTCCACATAGAGAAACCCCATGAACTAGGTTAGCCTGGGGTATACAGACCCACGAGCACGGCCAAGATGAGGTATAGGACTTGTTCTTGGCAGTAGAATTGTCATTGAGTCCTCCATGAGTGTGATATGTTGTTTAATGGCAGAAATACATCCAACTTGTAGGCTTTAAAGCCTCGCTATGTACCCATTTTAGTGGAAAGGCAGGCATGATATTGAATGCAAGTTCAAACATTCAAGTAAAATGGTCATGCAAAACAAACCGCGGAAAACACTTTTGCATTAAATTTCATTTATTGTATTAAGTATCGAAAGCGAAAGACGCATCCATAGCACTTATGGCTATTACTTGCTCGCCTCGGTGGAGACTCAGATCTCAGCATCGACCTGGTTCATACGCTTCCTCTTTCCCCTAGAGTGTCCGCCGGAGTCCGAATCCTGCTGCACAAATGCACTGGTTCCATCATCATGCCATTCGCTAAATTCCCATTGGATTGAAGTCGATTGATCATCACTGACTCCCATACCACGTCGAGAACGCATCAATCGACCCAAGCGGCTCCCTTCTACCATCTCTTCGAACCAAGGGATCCCCCCGGTCCTACCGTGCTGCAGACTCCTTGAAATATTCGGAGAATCACTAGATGATGGAACAATGACAGAAGATGAAGCGGTCTCTGAGGCTGGTTCTAGATCAGATGGGGTCGAGACACCAGCACGGGGAGCTTCCTCGTCAGATTCTTGAGGCAGTAATCTTAAATCATCCAGTGCGCGCTGATCATCCGCTAACAGACTTCCAATCGTGATAGACATAAAGTTAGATTCTTCGATGGGATCCTCCGTCCAGAATGTCAAGGGTGTGCCGCAGTAGCCACAAAAGACACGCTGGGTCTGGGGTGCATGGCGAGGCGAAAAAATGCGGCGAATAGAAGTGTGAGATTCATCTGGGAAGAAGGACTGAGTGTGTGATTGATACCAGCCGAGAGGTACTCGTAGCCATGCCGAAAGAGGTGTGCCGTGAAATCGACCTAGGATTCGATATTAGCCGGGAGATCGACAAGCTTAGCTTGGATTTACTCACGATTGTCTCGGCTGCTGTCAAAGTACACTTGGGCATGGTCTTTCACATCTTCTGGAATATTGATTTGGTATTCGTTTCGACCGCAAGAGCATGAGCCTCGGAGAGGCTCGAGATCCATAGTGGTACAAGAACTTTCAGGACGTTGGTGACTTAGTAAAGGTTGGGTTAGATGGTTATAGATGGAAAATGAACCAGGCAACCGTTTCGCCTATTAGAGATCCTAATTGAAGCGGAGATAATCCTTGATAGAATAAACGTGTAAGGATTAAGTTACAAGACGTGAGAATAAGATTGACATGGGAAAAAAGAAAAAGCAAGATGTGTTCAGTGGACCCTCTCTATGACGTTTAGAGGTTGCCAAGGCCCGTTCCCGGCCTCCATCTTACTCCGCATTGGGCTTGGGCCTTATCGCTTCCTATCGGTTTTCCGTTTCTCCTTTCACATTCTCCCATTGTTTATCTACGATCACCTCTATGCCTTGCTTCGACAGAGACCCAGAACTGCAATAGCGATCCAACCCAATAACGCGAACACCGTATACCCCCGCCGCATCTACCCGCCTTCAGTTTTTCTCAAAATCCTCCAGTCATCAATCGCCACGATGAATCCAGACGATGACCATGATCGGTCGTCCTCAACGCCGAATGGGACATCCAAGCAGGGATCTGCCCAGGACAAGGACAAGCCTCGCCTTACCGATCAAGAAAAAAAGAGTAACCACATTGCCTCGGAGCAAAAGCGACGCGCGGCCATTCGTGAAGGCTTCGATCGCTTGACAGAATTGGTGCCTGGTCTGGAGGGCCAGGGCCGAAGTGAGAGCATTGTTCTACAAAAGACTGTGGACTTTATCCACGTGAAGCTGCAAGAACGCCACGATCTTATCGCAGAGATCGAAAGCAAAGGCGGCCGTGTCGACGACTCTTTCCGTCCAACGTGATACTATTTCCCCCGGCATCTCATTGCGATTTTGAGCAGCATCCTGCAGCCCCCTGTTCCCCTCCGCTGGTCGATATGGTGGGATCTGGGGCCGCAGGCATGTGCCGAGGTCCGAGCGGTTTTTCTCGAATCCTGGACCACATGGACCTTATACCCACACTACGAATTTCTTTTTCTTGTCTATCTATTCACCCCCTGTATTACGAACGAGATCGTCGAAATGATCAACAGCGGGGCTTCCTCGTTGCCTGACAGATCTGGTCTTCGCATATGATCTGATGCCAATCATACATCCTCCACCGCATTCAGTGGACTGAACGACTGTCAATACGATGCCACATCTTTTGTAATTCTTGTCTTTCTACTTCTTTTGACTATTGTACATTGAAGCTTTCTTTTTCTGGTTTGTTTCTGCTCCTGGGTACCAGAATGTATATGGTCACGGCTGTTGCTGCGAAGCAACCGGGGCGTTTTTCTTTCTCAACGGCTAGCCTGAAATCGAGTTCTCTTTAGCTCTGAATGAGCACACACATCGACATCCTTATTTTCAATCAAAGTTGGAATTATTTGACCGAGCCGTACTTCGGTCGCATCACGTGAACAAAGTTACGGATAATAATTTCAGTGCAGTTTCCTGGGGTTGCTAACCATATTGTACAAAGGATTATATCCTACAGGTTCGGAAATTTAGACGAAGTAATTATGCAGCGGTGACGCAGGTGGTATCTCATATACTGCATGTGTTTTAGGGGTCGCAAATGCCATAACACCGATGTATACCCGAGAGAGCTTCGGCTTACCGCCTGATATCTGCCAAAGAAACCGAGCCACTTCCAGGTGAAGCAACACAGACTTTACATTCTACACAAACCCGTAACATACAAGACGTCGTGAACAGTCGGGATTCCCAATTGAATATCCCTCAATTTCCTTGCAAGGTCAATCGAGTGCAGACAAAGACCATTTGCCTCGATAAGCGAACGGAGACAACACCTGATTCCCCGCATCACATTGCTGTCCGCAATATCCAAATCACCAAACAAACACCAAACCACCCAACATGACAGACTCAAAAGAAGCCCTTCTGTCCCACGTGAAAGACTACGACACCTCCGACTCCGACGCACCCCCAGCCTACGACAAACCCGCCCCGAAAGCTCCCCGCGGTGCACCACTCCCACGCCCACCACCCCTCAACCTCCCAGCCCTAAACAGCCTCCGCAGCCAGCGCGTAGTCCTGGCCTCACAATCCCCGCGACGCAAACAAATAATCTCATTCCTGGGCCTCCCGAACCTAGAAATCATCCCCTCAAACGCCATCGAAGACCTACCCAAAAGCCTAGGCCCATTCGAGTACGTGCTCGCAACAGCAACGAAAAAAGCCCAAGCAGTCTACGAGCAAGAAGTCAACAACGAGATCAAGGGCGAGCCAGCCTTAATCCTAGCCGCAGACACGGTCGTCGTCGACCCGTCTACCGGTACCATCCTCGAAAAGCCACGCTCAGAAGCTCACCATGTCAACATGTTGCGCTCGCTGCGCGATGCCCGAAACCACAAGGTTTACACTGCGATTGTGGCTATGGCGCCGTTGGCTAGTGCCCGTGACCCTGGGTATGCGATCGAGAGTACGGTTGAGGAGACGTCAGTGCGGTTTGATGGGGATGTTACCGATGAGTTGATTTTGGCTTATGTGCGGACCCGTGAGGGCGCGGATAAGGCTGGTGGTTATGGGTTGCAGGGACTTGGATCTATTCTTATTGAGAAGATTGATGGGAGTTATGATAACGTTATTGGCTTGCCGCTCAAGGCGACACTCAAGATTATGGAGACTGTTATGCAGAGGGCGGATGATGATGAGGGGTTGCCTGGGGATGGTGAGCCGAGTGATGAGGATGAATGAGAGGATTGTTGGTATGAAGGTTGAGGATCTCTTGTTTGTTGTTAGCCTTGTCTGCCTGTGTCTTTACATCATTATTCCTTTTTGAAGGAAAATAGAATTTAAAAGGACTAGGATTTATATTTAAGAGAACAGTCTGATCGGTGAGTAGAAACACTGCTCATCTTAAAGACTGCCAACCGTTTACTGCATGGCCTAATGTACCTTGCAGAGTGCATAAAAAATCTGGCCATAGATCTACGTAGTATACAAAAGAGACAAAAAGCTTCGAGGATGTCTTCTCGTACAAGGGTTATATTCCGTTCTTTTTCTATAGCTCGGAACCCCGAGCAACAGGAATCCGGCACCGATCAATAATTCGGGCTGAGAGACAAAAGAAAAATAATCAACGACATATACAGAGGCGGAACGGAACGCCTGGATAGACCAGAACCAAATCGGTAATCAGGAACAAAAAGGAAAATAGAAAGACATTATGTCTGAAAAAAAAGAACCGCAGCAGCACTCTATGCTGTCCAGATACGGCGCAGAGCCTCGGTCACACCAACATCGTTCGTCTCGAACTCGTACAGACCAACGGCGGTGGTGAGGGTGAATGCGCGCAGGAGCCAGTTGCAGGTGGTGCGGAACTTGGGCACACGGGAAGGAGGGAAGTAGTCGACGATAGCGGCCCTGGTAGAGAGATGTTAGATTGCGATCGGATTGCAGATCTAGGGTAGATCTGAGGGCGGGATAGCGCGGGGAGACTCTTACTGGAAGCCGATGTGCGAGTGGGCGACAATCAGAGAGCACAGGATGGCGTCCATAACGGGGTTGAGGGAGCCAGCGGCGAAGGGAGCGACGGAGAGAGGGACCAGGCCGACGCAGACCAGTCTGGGATAGATGTTAGTCGGGGGTTTTTCTTTTTCATTGCGCATGCCGGGGCGGTCGGAAGGAGTTTTATAGGTCGGAATTGTAGTGCGAATAAGGGAGCACAAACCTCTCAAAAGTCCAGTGGTAGCTGCCCTCGGAGGGGTGGGTTTCGGGAATGGGAGCCGGGTCGTTCACTATCAGGATAGGTTAATATGGAAGACTTCAGGGCGGTATTGCGATTCGACGGGGAGGCATTGTTTGAGCGCTGAGAGCAACGGAGACTGTATATATCCATCCATTTCCAGGCGGTTTATACTCAATGCTATCGAAAAGCGAAGGGAGGATCGGGATAGGAAAGGCGCGGAAATCACGTACTGGTTCCCTCGACAGTCTCTGTAGCGCGAAAACCACGTCAGCAGCTGGTCATGAACAACACCTAATATATCTCTCCATTGGAAATATCTCAGTAAGCCTTATGGCAGGGCCTCTACTTACGAGGCAACGGGGGCAGGATCTGCTTCTTAGCGGAGGCATGGAAAGCGACGACCTGCGACACGCCGACATTCTTCTGGAGGAAGGGCCGGGGGCCAAGAGTCTGTCGCAGCAGAGATGAGCGCACGAATGAAGCCATTGTGAGTGGAGAGTATGGTCGTGAGGAAGTAGAAACGCCGTTCGAATACAAGCGGATGAAGTTGGAGACCTCGGGAGTCCGACTCGGTATGTCATCCTTTTACGGGCAAGTTGATTGGTCGATGGCTGTCCGCCCAGCCGAAATTGGCCGATACTCTGGTAAGAAACATTTAACCCTGTAGTTATCTTCTTCCTGTCTTCTGCCTGTCTTCTGCCTGTCTATGTTGTATTATACGTGGAGTTGGTTACAAAATTAATGTTGGTTTGTAGGTTCGTATTCCATTATATGCCACATTTATTTCATTTGACTATTTCCAGGGATATTCATTCCCTATATACTAAAGAGTCCTAACCGAGGTATTAAGTACCTCCTAATGTTTTAAACAAAAAAAATCAATGCTCCAGGCATCTCGTTATTTCATCAGTCTCATAAAGCACTTAGAACTTCAGGACAGCCTTGCCCAGGTTCTTGCCGTGGAAGATGCCAACCAGGCCATCGGCAGCGTTGTCCATGCCAATAGTCTCATGGATAAGCACCTTGAACGAGCCATCCTTGATCCACTTCTGCACATTCTCCTGGTGCTCCTTGGTATATTTATCACCCATACCCTTATCACCGACAATGAAGCCGCGCATAGTGATACGCTTGACGAGGACATTGTGGATGTTCTTGATGGGGTAGGGGGCAGAGTTGTACTGGGAGATCAGACCGCAGACGACGATACGGCCAAAGTCGTTCATAGCATCGAGGGCAGCCTCGAGGTGCTCTCCACCGACATTCTCGTAGTAGATGTCAATGCCCTCGGGGGCGAGACGGGCAAGAGCATCAGCGGGCTTCTCGGTCTTGTAGTTGAAGCCACCATCGAAGCCGAGAGTCTTGGTGATGTACTCGAGCTTCTCGTCGGAACCGACGGATCCAATGACGCGCAGACCCTCGTGCTTGGCGAGCTGGCCGACCAGCTGGCCGACGGCTCCACTGGCAGCAGAGACGAAGATGGTCTCGCCCTTCTTGGGCTTGCCGATCTCGTACAGAGAAGAGTATGCGGTCAGACCGGGCATGCCCAGGGGACCAAGGAAGACACGGATGTCCTCGATGTCGAGAGGGTTGTCCAGCTTCTGGATGCGGACTAGCTCCTGCTCGCCGAGGGCGATGTACTCCTGGATAGGAACGTAACCAATGACCAAGTCACCTTCCTTGTAGTTGGAGTTGTTGGAGCGCAGGATCTTGGCGATGCTGCGGCTGTCAATGGGCTTGTTGAGAGGGAAGGCGGGGGCGTAGGACTTGGTTGAAGCGTCGCGCATGCGGCCCCGCATGTAGGGGTCATAGCTGGTGTAGAGGGATTGCAGAACGACGCCGTTGTCGGGAGTGGCAACGTTGGCATCATAATCGGCGGTCTCGACGGTCAGGTGCTCCCCAGCAACGGGGAATCCCTGGGGAATTTTCTTGAAAGTGAGAACCTTGTTGACAGACATGATGTATATGTGTAGGAAGAGATGAAGATGGGAAATAAGAATTTAGTTATGGTGCGAGCTCTTTTATATATGACGATTGAGCTCTTCATTAAAGCGGGGCTGTACCGAGGATATAACTTTTTTTTATTAAGCAAAAAGATCGGAGAAGCTTCTCGAGATGGTGATGCTCCTGTCTATGAGACTCCACTTTCTGCAGGTTTTGCTTTGATATGCATAATTTGTATACCCATGCTCTTAGCGTAGATTCTACCGTACATACTATGAACACATAATGGTGGCAACCGGATCCAGTTTTTCTTCAAAACAGTGGGGAACGGATGAATTGAAGACAACCCAGGCCGACGGAGACGACCATTTTCGGTAGGAAAACCGTGACCCTCGGCATATTCAAAGGGAAAATAATTGTTGATTAATATACAACCCGAATGGATGCATTGTTAAGCAACCGGCTAGTCCGGCCGTTTTAGAACGAAACAGGTATAGAGGTACATTGTATATTTTGGACTTGTATCGTTCTGCTGAGACATTCACTTGAAAAAAAATTATGCATTAAGTACATGAGTATATAGTCGTGGCCGGAATGTATCGACGTGCTAAACCGAAAATGCGCGAAATTAAACCTAACCATGTCTAGGGATAACCTAAGACTTGCCAGCAAGTGCACCGGAAGCCTTCTCAATGAAGTAGTGCTTGCCCTTGATCATCTTCACCATGAAGCTAAACGGCACAAATCCAAAGATCTGACCAGTACCACCAGTTTCACCAACAGGCACGACCATCATAATGCTATCGCCCTGGTCGTAGGTCTTGATGGCGGCGCCGCCTACAATGGCAGCTTTGAGGTTGGCCGCTGCCACATGCGCTTGCTCCGTAGCCTTGAAACTGAGGCGCATTGAGTTGTTGGTGATATCGCCAGCAGCAAAGATGGGCAGGATTGACCCGTCAGTCGACTGAACACGCATCTCCTTGTTCACTGTCACCCATCCGTCCTTGTCCAGGAGCTGAGCTGGAATAAAGCTGTTGTTTGGGGTCGCACCGGTAGTGGGAATATACAGGTCAGCCGAAATCTTGTCTCCGCCTTCCAGAGAGACTGTCCAGTTGGAACTATCGTCGGCCGGAGTCTCGACGCCGATGACTCGCTTCGAGGTCACGATCTTGACTTTCTTCTGCTGCAGCAGCTTGTGTGCGGTAGAGCTGGCGGATGGCTTGAGCATCGGGAGCACGCGATCTGTCGCTGAGATAAGCGTGATGGAGACCTTGCCGGCATTGCCACTTTGTTCCACTGCTTCAGCAAGCTCACCAGCCAGCTCAACACCAATGGGGCCTGCACCGCCAATCACAATCTCCTTCGCGCCAGCAATGTGTCCCTGTGCCGCCTCGATCAGCTGCTCCATGTCATCGCGGCCCGACGGCTTGAATGGGATGGATGTGCCGGTGAGCGAGCCGGTGGTGGCGGATGTAGTGCTGCCCGATGCGATAACGAGAAAATCAAATGATAGGATCCTGGGCTCGCCCTCGTTGGGTGTCACAGAGACCGACTTGGCAGCTGGATCGATGGCAGTTGCAACTCCAGGAAGGAACTCGAACGCGTCGGGCCGGTAGCTTGCAAAGGCATCCTTGATGGGGAGCAAGTACTGCTCGTGGCGGAAGGCCTTGGGTTTGGCGACGATGCGTGGGGCGGCGATATTCCAGAAGAAGCTGGTTGAGGGGTTGATCAGCACGACCTTCGCGTCAGGTACATCACGAAGCACAGAGTGAGCAATATGAAGGCCTGCAAACGAGCCTCCAATGATGACTACGTCAATAGGTGCCATGATGTAGAGTGAAGTGGTACAAGAGTGAGTTGCTTGTTTTGTGTTTTGGGAGAAGGGACGGGATGTCTTATATGTGATAGATTAGATCTGTTATCCACATATATGCAGGGTCAACAATAATAGGCCCAAGATACGGTTATGGGATAATTCCATTGATCTTTTAGCGGAATTAAATTTTTTTAAGTGTTGGTCAGCGATCTTGGAATTTCTAATTTGTCCCTGATGCTTACCAAC